GTGCTCGGAATTTTATCCGATAGGCCTCTGGAGTCAATTCGTAGGCCTTCAAAATGGCAGTCTTGACCAGCCCATAGTTAGTTTGAACGTCGTGAGAGAGTGCCTGATATGTGGTTGCAGCTTTTCCTGTAAGAACCGTGCTCAATAAAGCAGTAATGGAAGTTTCGGGCCATTCACATGCCTTCGCTAAACTCTCAAATGAGTTAAAGAAGACAACCAAATCTATTTCATTAAATTTAGGAACTAATTTCCCAAATTTGGCAATCACCTGCCCCACCGACAACTTATTAGGATCCACTATAGTAGTGACATCACCACTAATTTTACCAAATTCTAATTCCAACCTCCTCTTATCTAAAGCAATTTTAGCCTCTAACTCCTGTTCTTTTAAAGCCTTCTCTAAAGCAATTCTAGCTTCTAATTCTACCTTCTCTAGAGGTTTCTCCTCCCGGAGTATCACCCCAGCCAACAAACTCTCTTCGAACACACCTTCATTGATAAAATGAACAATAATTTTATCTCTTAACACTTCTGATTTCTGAGTGACAGAATAATCCAACTTCAATTCCTTTACAACACTAATCAAAACTTTCCTACTTAACTTCTCTACTTCCTCAACTGTGGGATTTAACAAGAAAGACTCCATTTCAACTAGTTTCAAAATCAAAACAATCCTAAATTTAACACAGCCCAACGCTATGCTATGAACTTGACCTTAAATCTAGGACGCGACACGTCTGGCTACCTGACCTAGATAACTCTAGCCTTGAGCGGTTTTTAACACAGCACCACTGGGTTAAGAAACAACTAACTAGAACTGAAACTAGTGTTTAAATATTTAAACCAACAACTCTCACAACAGATTACATCCCAGACGAGCCCCCACTTTGTAACGGACACCAATCTATCAGCCAGATAGATGGCGAACGCTCCCGGATTCGTATAACTGGTTACACACAGATGGCGACAAGCCTAAATAAAAGAAAGTTGACACACTAGCTTGCTAGAACTCGTAATGGATGTCTAGGGGAAACACTAGAGAAACTAATGATGCCAACAAAACCTTTAATCTGCATATAACTTGTAATAAGTGTACAAAGTCGTGGCAGAACACTAGATTTATACAAGAATAAAATGGATATACAGAATGATCAAAACCCAACTTACAATTCGTGGGAATAAATAGTATGATACACTATCACAGTTTTAACACTTCAGAAAAATCACCACTGTATACATAACACTGCTATAAGCATAAAGAATTTCTTAACCACAAGAAATATATGAATATGCTATTTAACAACTTAGTATTAGTACTAAACGGCAACACACAGGGCTTAGGTCTCTCAACGACGTGTAGTCAAGTAACTGCTGCGAGACACCTGTGGGCGATCTATTTATAGACTTAAGTAACATGGAAGGTCACCTTCAAATCATAAGACCATTGGTTGGGGTGGTCATCTGGTCTGAAACAATCAATCATCTCTCGATGGAAAATTTCTGAGTCTAAGACTCTCTTAGTAAGACAGCGGAAAAAAACCGGTTATTGCACCACAGACCATATATGGTATTATAACAAATGTCAAACTAAAAATAAAACATTACTAGACCTAAGTAGGTCACATACCTATAAGTGAAATTCCGTCTATCTATCAGAAACAGTACTCAAGTTATAGGCTTTTGAAAAAGTTCCAACTCTGGTTTCCGGAAATTGTTGAAAAGTTGAAACAGAACTAAAAATTTGATATAATAATTATTTATGAAATTTCATCAACCTAGCTGTAACTGTTATCGTGTTTCTTCCAGTGTTATCGTGTTATCGTGTTCAAAGACACACACACACACACACACACGCACACATACATACATACAGAGAGAGAGAGAGAGAGAGAGAGAGAGACATACGGACAAACTTGCAAACTAAGTTTTTTCCGACTGAGGGATGTGTAAATTGTCGACATTTTTAAAAATCTCGATTTTTTTTTGCACGATTACAATACTTCCTCTATACATCGATTACAAGAAAGTCAAATCATGATTTTTATCCATGTCAACATTAATAATGGAAGGATTCTCGTCAACTCGACCATGCCATTACTTGAAAGTAAAAAAGGAATAAACCGGGAGTGATCTCCCCAAAACTTTCTCGAACATTCTAATATAAAATAACAGGGGATGGGAACTCGGGCTATAGACATGATTTTTAATCCATTTTAAATACTTAAAGTTTTAAAAATAGAATAAAAACTCGTGGACAAAAAAATGCACACCAAGTGAACGCCAAATAAAAAAGTGCATAATAGTGCGCAATATTATTAGTACTTTAAAAATTTACATTCGTTTTTTGAGAAATCGGAAGTAGCGTAAATTACTACTTCCGGTGAACGGAAATGACTCAAAATTTAACAGAAGGTAGAGAATTAGATCTTTTACTTACGCGTGAAATTTCATTTATCTATCTGAAATAGTACTCAAGTTATAGGCTTTTGAAAAACTCAAAGTAGGAAAAGTACCACTTCCGGTTATCGGAAATGGCTCAAAAGTTGATACGGATCTACGATTTTGATAAAATACTTATATATGAAATTTCATCAACCTAGCTGTAACGGTACTCAAGTTATCGTGTTTACACACGGACAGACAGACAGACAGACAGACACACAGACTTACGGACAAGATTGCAAAATTATGTTTTTCCGTATCAGTGATGTGTAAAACGTCGAGATTTGTAAAAATCTCGATTTTTTTTTTTGCACGATTACAAGACTTTCTCTATACTTCGTATATACGAGAAAGTAAAAAGCACATTTTTATTCCATGTCAACAACATTACGGAAGGAATCTCGTCAACTCGCTGGTGTCCATTACAATTGCGCGCTATTTGATGCTAAATATAGTCGACACTTATACTAGTGCACCATTTTAAAATATGCTATACTTAAAAGAAAAGGATATAGATTTTAGCCTATTTACTAGATCTATCTTGATTAAAGTTTAAGCTCAAAATTTTATTTAGATGAAACAATATGGAATCTAGATCATAAGGTATTGTAACGCTTTCATTGGTAAAGCTCTAAATTTGCTCTGTCCTTTTATAACACGTAGATCTATAGGCTGTTATTTAGATCTAGGATCAAGAGGTGCGCTAGGGTTATTTTAAAAATATTTTAAGTCGGAAGGTTTCTAGATCTAGAATCTAGATCCACTGAGTTTGATAAACTACCTACATTACATAGTGGCCTTTAAAAAACAAATAAAAAACAACAGCCGTAAAGTAACATTTCTATTTACACCTACTCAGATTTCTAACATGAAATTTCTCTTTGTAAGAAATTTTGATTGGCTTTAAAGATACCCGGAGACTGTATTTTTGAAAACCCCACTTTGGTAGAATTTACACTCAAAACTGGACCTGTAAACATTTTATTAAACTTACATCTTTATTTTTTAAGTCCACTCGCGATGTTTATTTTCATTTGAATGCAAAAATTAGAATAAAATGCTCTTGGCTTTTTAAAACTGTTGTTTTATTAGCGAAGACACTAAAAACATAAAAAAAATGTACAAGTTAGTGTTAGTAAAGTACGATATAATCTTCCCAATCAAGTTTCTTTACCCACATTTATTTAAAAAACACCCCACACGGTTTAAATAAATTTAATGGAACCTAGAGACTTTCTCTGCTAGAGTCCGTTACTATTCTGTTAAGTCGATGTTCCAAGCAGTGTTCCTTCTAGACGTTTTTCTCCGGGGGGGGGGGGGGCACTTAAATTTTCGGTGGGGGGGGGGCGGACTAAAATTTCCGAGGGGGGTGGGCGGACACTGTTTAAAGTATATATTTTCTATTTAAATACCGTTTCGTTCGGGGTGGCGGTAGACTTTCTTCGGGGGGGGGGGGTGGCAGAGCTCCCCTGAAGAGACGCCATGACAGCATCAAACTGATTGGACTATCAAACAGGCGATGACATCATTTCAAAGTCGTGATCAGTGTACCGTGACTAATTGATTGTTTTTGTCAGACATCCACAGGGTTATCTTATTTGTTTTGTATTTTCAGTAACAGAAAAAAACCCACAATCAAACTTGTTTTAACTAGGCATGACGATGTAATATATTGAGAATTGTGAAGTCACTCTTCTTGTATTAGTCTTATATTTATAATGTTGTTTTGAGTGATGTCCCTTGTATGTCATGTGTCTTCCGGTAGCTGAATAAAGACTAGATACGTCAGCATGGTTTCATCGTCCAGTGTATCATAATAAAAATTACAATCTATTACAGATGACGTCCCCCGGCTCATCTTGATAGTACTTACATAAATTATAGCTGTAAGTTGTAATACATGAAATATAAAGGTACATTGTCTTTCGAACTCCCCAGGTTAAAATCAAGATCGTTTTAAAGTGAGAAAAATCATTTCAAGTGAAACTTGCTTAATTTGTCGTTGGATTTAGTCCGTTTGTTGATGAAGAGAATGTTTCTTTTCATCTAGTTGTCAGTTCTCTGTCTCGAGTTCTTGGTAAAGTAATGATAAGCGTTTGCTTTGAATACTTTTTACATGATTCATGGTACCATATCAAACCTTGAGAAAGTCTGTTTGGGTGCCAATTTTGCATTAACGTCAAAATCTTTTTTCAAAAGTGGAAGTTGTATCTCAATAATAATAAATAAATAGTTAAAATTTGTTTCTTTTAAATTGTGTAAAAGTATAAATAAATAATATTTCATAATCACATTAACAACATTCATTTAAAAATATACAAATATTAATGTAGATTCCTTATATAAGACTACAAATCCATTTTTGCTTACTTTATTGATTAAATATTTGTTGCAGGAGAACTAAAGAATATACGAGAACAAACAAGCGCATCGACTACTGCTCAAGGTGAGCATTAGATATGGAATCTGACCCCTTCATCTTTGTATATTTCGATGAGTTTGTACAAAACACGTCCGTAATTCACGATTTCGACTCCCCCGAAGTGATAGTAGCTCGCATGGTTTTCATTGTTGCAGCGATAATTTTCATCCCATTAGCTGTCGTCGGGAACCTACTTGTCTTCTTCGGCATCCTGCTCTACCCTGGTTTCTACAACAACAGCAACGTCATCTTGATGGCCATAGCCGTCTTTGACTTCTTCATGGGAGCCGAGTGTCTCCCCATGTACATCATGTGTTACGTCTCACCGACCAAGTACATCATCGCTAACAATAGACACTTGTGTGTGCTGAAACTAGTCAGTCCTCTCATCTCTTACGCTGGATCTCTGTACTGTCTAATGCTACTTTCTGTAGACCGCTATCTGGCTATAATGTTTCCTTTCAGATATCATATCTGGATTACATATAGAAGGTGTGTCTATATAACTATGACAGTTATTTGCTTTATATTTAGCACCGCCGCTCTGCCTTTGATGGGATGGAACAACTACAACCCAGCCATTACTGACCATCACAAGAAGTGTTATTTTTACGGAACTCTTCCCCGATTTTTATTGACATATATGTTTTTCATTCCTAACAACGCCGCTATAGTCATATCCATTGTGGTTAATTTTCATATCGGCATCGTCGTATTTCGACAGATGAGATCCTTTAAAGTAGAAAGCATACTGTGGACGCATGAACAGAAGCGCAACTTTAGTGCGAGAATGAGCTCTGTCAAAATTACTCTAGCACTGATGTGTTTGTTTATTTTATTCACGGCGCCCTACCTGTCCGTTCTTCCATTTAAGATGTTTAAAGTTTTCCCGGAGAACACCGTGGAGGCGATAAAGATGTACACGCTAATCCCACTTTTTGGTAACTCCATCGTCAACGGCTGCGTCTATGCGGTAATGAAAACCGAATACCGCCAGGTGTACCTCACCATGCTAGCCACCTACCCGTGGAACTGGCAAAGAAACCTGCGAGGGCTCTATCGATTGAACAACACCAGCTTCGCCACAGCTACGTCACAGCACACTGAGATGACGGCCGCTTTAAAGGAATACGAAGACGAAGTCATTTTTGACGGCAATGAACAAAAATCAGAAGCCGGCTCTAAAGTGAGACATTCTTCTTTCAGCGGCGTGGATGGCGTATCGTCATCAGTCGATAAAGCCGACTCGCACGGCAAGTCTTTTAGGGTTAGTTCTATAATTTTAACGCCTTTTAAAAACAAACATTCGCACGGCAGCCCCGAGGAGAAGCCAGCATCGTTTGACCATTTGCAAATAAAACCAGGAATCTCTGATACATAAGCATAGTTTGTTTACTCTATGTATTTCCAATGAGCTTTCACGAGTATGAATAAATTGTATTGTTTGAAAAAAACTTTGACGTTGTCACTATTCGTAGATAAATTTGTTTATGGATGTATTGTTTTTGATAGTCTAAAATACGTAGGTTCGCCACGAGACTGAGATGGCACCATTAGCAATATCACCTATTGCCAGTTCAAATGTGTGGTCAGTTAGGTGTTTTTTCACACGTTCTTTGCACGTGCTAACAGATCTATTAGAGCTATCAAATAGTAGGCATACACGAACCGGTTTAGCGATTTTTCTTTGTTTGCTGTCATTTCTTTTCAATAAGCAACCAATAGAAAATATTGTTAAAACATGTAATATGTAAGCATGTAACAAGTCACACAGGCCCAAAAATGTAATATGTAAGTATGTAACAAGTCACCGGCTGAGCATAGGTCTGACTACACTATCCCTTCATATATGACTTCACAGGTGACCTACTCAACTCTACTTCACCTGCCCAGTGTCCCGCCAAGTCTCAGACAACCTGTTTTTATCGTTTAAAAAAACGATTCCGGCCGAGCATGTCTCTGACCACACTATCCCTTCATATGCTTAGGACAAAGAAACAGATGAACTCTACTTCATCTGCCCTGTATCCCGCCAAGTTCAGATTTATCATTCACTTATAATTTTTTTTTAAACATTGACGTGATATGTCTAGAACCCGTGCCACCCGCATGAAAGTTTTTAATAGATGTTTTTAATAGCAGCAAAATATCTTAAAATATCCTAAATACCAAAGTTTCTAATAAGTTTTTTGTCATTCAAAGTAAATTTGCGCACTTCTGAACAAAAACAAAATAAATGAGTCGTGCAATACTTCCTGTGTTTATAAATTCTATGTGGCTTTCTTTATAAAAAGTACATACATGAAACTAACGAAAGGCTGACAGAGAATTCTCTAGCTCTGCATTGTCACATAGTTGGATGTGTTATAAGCTACACATATGTAGACCCTAGCTTGCTGATACAGTTAAGTCTGGAGGAAAAGTGTTTGTTTAGTGTTTACATGAGAATATTTGCCTACTTATATAAGTTAAAGTATGCATGTGTGCATGAGAATATTTGTCTAGAAGCTCTAGCTACTTGCAAATGAATACTGTATGCAGGAGAATATTTGCCTAGAAGCTCTAGCTACTTGCATGTGTTAAAGTATGAGCGCATACGGGCGGGGAGGGGGGGGGGGGCGGACCGCACCGGGTGACACTAATTGGGAGACGACCAAGACAAAAAATTGCAAAATACATAGAAAAAAATGCTTTTTGCCAGTTCAATTAACGAATAATTAGAGTTAAAAAGTCTTTTAATTTTTAGTTAACGATCCGGAAAGGGGTGGACGCTCTATGACGTAAACCTGCTAACTATCGAGAAAACCATGAAAAGTTGCTTTGTTCCACTTGAAATAAAATGATGTGTTCACAAATTCACGTGATTTGGCAAAATGGGAGAGGGTTGACATCTATTGGCTATATATATATATATATATATATATATATATATATATATATATATATGTATATATATATATATATATATATATATATATATATATATATTTATATATATATATATATATATATATATATATATATATATATATATATATATATATATATATATATATATATATATATATATAGCCTATACTTTTATTATTTGGTGGTGGGGGGGGGGTTGACACCGTGAGGTGCCCACCGACCATGCGACGCCGTTATATGAGTGTATGAAAGCGTTTTACAAAATTGGGTTCTTAACTATTAGGTATAGCGAAATAGGATTGGCAGACAATTGGACTGAAGTGTGTTCAATTGAGTGGTGGACTAAATGTGTTGGACTAAGTGTGTTGGACCAGGTGTGTTGAACCAGGTGTGTTGGACTAAGGGTTGGACTAGGTGTGTTGGACTAAGTGTGTTGGACTAGCTGTGTTGGACAAGGTGTGTTGGACTAGGTGTGTTGGACTAGGCGTGTTGGACTAGGCGTGTTGGACTAAGTGTGTTGGACTAGGTGTTGGACTAGGTGTGTTGGATTAGGTGTGTTGGACTAGGTGTGTTGGACTAGGTGTGTTGGACTAGGTGTGTTGGACTAGGTGTGTTGGACTAAGTGTGTTGGACTAAGTGTGTTGGGCTAAGTGTGTTGGACTAGGTGTGTTGGACTAGGTGTGTTGGACTAGGTGTGTTGGACTAGGTGTGTTGGACTAAGTGTGTTGGACAAGGTGTGTTGGACAAGGTGTGTTGGACTAAGTGTGTTGGACCAAGTGTGTTGGACTAAGTGTGTTGGACTAAGTGTGTTGGACTAAGTGTGTTGGACTAAGTGTGTTGGACTAAGTGTGTTGGACTAAGTGTTGGACTAAGTGTGTTGGACCAGGTGTGTTGGACTAAGTGTGTTGGACCAGGTGTTGGACTAAGTGTGTTGGACTAAGTGTGTTGGACTAAGTGTGTTGGACTAAGTGTGTTGGGCTAAGTGTGTTGGACTAGGTGTGTTGGTCTAAGTGTGTTGGAACAGGTGTGTTGGACCAAGTGTGATGGACTAGGTGTGTCGGACTAGGTGTGTTGGACGAATTGCTGGACTCGTCTGTTTTATTTTTTAGATTGTGTATATTACTACAATTATATAACTTCTTGAGTGATAAGTCAACGAAATGGGTTCGACTAGTTATTTTTGTTGTAAAAAATGGTTTTCCCTACAAATCAATATATCTTGATGTTTCAGAAGTTATTTGCTAATTAGCATTTAAATGGATTAGGTGTGTTGGACTAGGTGTGTTGGACTAGGTGTGTTGGACTAGGTGTGTTGGACTAGGTGTGTTGGACTAGGTGTGTTGGACTAAGTGTGTTGGACTAAGTGTGTTGGACTAAGTGTGTTGGACTAGGTGTGTTGGACTAGGTGTGTTGGACTAGGTGTGTTGGACTAGGTGTGTTGGACTAAGTGTGTTGGACAAGGTGTGTTGGACAAGGTGTGTTGGACTAAGTGTGTTGGACCAAGTGTGTTGGACTAAGTGTGTTGGACTAAGTGTGTTGGACTAAGTGTGTTGGACTAAGTGTGTTGGACCAGGTGTGTTGGACTAAGTGTGTTGGACCAGGTGTTGGACTAAGTGTGTTGGACTAAGTGTGTTGGACTAAGTGTGTTGGACTAAGTGTGTTGGGCTAAGTGTGTTGGACTAGATGTGTTGGTCTAAGTGTGTTGGAACAGGTGTGTTGGACCAAGTGTGATGGACTAGGTGTGTCGGACTAGGTGTGTTGGACGAATTGCTGGACTCGTCTGTTTTATTTTTTAGATTGTGTATATTACTACAATTATATAACTTCTTGAGTGATAAGTCAACGAAATGGGTTCGACTAGTTATTTTTGTTGTAAAAAATGGTTTTCCCTACAAATCAATATATCTTGATGTTTCAGAAGTTATTTGCTAATTAGCATTTAAATCCATTTTAAAATTATTTCCAACATTTAAAGTATTGTCTTCCCTTGACAGGGTACTACAACTAGATGTTTATTCGGAAGCTGTTAACAAATTTTGAATTACATTATTGAGAACAAATCCTGAATTCTAAAATATGCAGACGACGAAATTCAGAACGAAATGATAAAATGTCTGAAGGGCAGAATAGACTCAATGTTGACATTTACAATACACCAGAAGTGAAGCTATCCCATTACGTCTCCATTATTGTCGGGATCTTCATCATTCCGTTGGGGATTCTCTCGAACATTCTGGTCATCTGCGGGATCCTTCTCTACCCTGGGTTCTACAACAGCAGCAACATCATCAAGTTAGCCATCGCTGTGTTTGACGTTCTCATGGCGGCCATGTGTGTGCCTCTCTTCCTCCTTTGCTACACCGACGCCACGATGGACTACATCGCGGAGAACAAACATCTGTGCCTGTGGAAATTAGTCAACGGATTGGTCTGCTATGCTGGTGCTTTATACGGCTTGATGCTCATGTCCATCGACAGATACCTGGCGATCAAATTTCCGTTGAAGTATCACATGTGGATTACTGTTAACCGCACGATCTACGTTACTGTGGGGGTCGTTGCGTATTCCATGGCTACAGCAGCGTTTCCGATGTTTGGCTGGAACAACTACAACGCCACCATAACGAACTTAAACGAGCGTTGCAACTTTTACAACACACTCCCCAAGCCTTTACTGACTTGGTTTTTTATGATACCCAACATCACGGCCATCTTAATCTCTATCGCCGTCAATATTCACATCGCTGTCATAGCCTTTCGCCAGATGAGATCCTTCAAGCATCAAAGTTACCTGTGGACCGATGAGCAGAAGGAAGAGTTTAAGGCTAGGCTAAGCGGTGTTAAAATCACACTTTCGCTGATGTGTCTGTTCATTATCTTCACAATGCCATACATCTGCGTTCTGCCTTTACGGCTGTTTAAAGTCTTCTCAGAACACGTCCTTGAGGTGATCAAGACCTACACGATTATCCTCCTGGCTTTGAACTCCGTTATGAACGGCCCTGTCTATGCCGCGATAACCAAAGAGTACAGACTTGTGTTCTGGGTCATGCTGGTCAACCCCCCTTGGAAATGGAAACGGAGGTTAAGAAAACTGTATCAAGGCACGCATTCCTTAGGTATGGAAGACACAAACACCTTTCAGACTCAAGAAAGAAACAGTCGTTTGTTAGAGAACAACTCAGTTTCAATTTGATATGAAACGTCTCTGTCACTTTATGGCTGTGGGGGTCTATATTGCTTCAGTGTTTTGTGGGTATATATTGCTTCAGTGTTTTGTGGGTCTATATTGCTTCATTGTTTTGTGGGTCTATATTGCTTCAGTGTTTTGTGGGTCTATATTGCTTCAGTGTTTTGTGGGTCGATGTATCGTCAATGCTGTGGGGCTCTATATTGCTTCAGTGTTGTATGGATGGTTTTATCACATTATTTTTCTCAAATACTTTGTTGGCTTACTGTTGTTTTTGTTACAAATAATATTACGCAATTTGTAATAAATGATTCATTTTTTTTATTGTTTTCTTTATGTTTTTTTTTGGGCAACGTGGTCGATGACACAAAATAGTTTGTTATGCTATTGTATTTTGCTTATTTTATAACCATTTAGTTCTCAACTTGATGGCCTGATGTCCCACCCACTAAATATCTCCGGCTCCTATGCAGTGTTTCTTCCAGACTTTTTTCTCCGGGGGGGGGGGGGGGGGGGGCACTTGAAATTTTCGGGGGGGGGCGGTAAACTTTCTTTGGGGGGGGGGGGGGGGGCGGACATTATTAAAAGTATATATTTTCTATATAAATTATATAAATTTCATTTCGTTCGGGGGGGGGGGGGCGGTAAAATTTTTTCGGGGGGGGGGGGGGGGGCAAAGCCCCCCCGAAGAGATGCCTGGAGGAAACTCTGCTCCTATGCAAACTACAATATCAGGTTGTGACCTCCATCTCTCACGAATTCTAAACTTAGTGGTTTTAGATGCTTTCTCTAGGTATATGTGTCTACTACCAACCCCTCACGATACCCAACACCAAGCGATTCTGAGCCATCTCACTGTAGTTCTGACCCCATTCCTCACTGTAGTTCTGACCCCATTCCTCACTGTAGTTCTGACCCCACTTCTCACTGTAGTTCTGACCCCACTTCTCACTGTAGTTCTGACCCCACTTCTCACTGTAGTTCTGACCCCATTCCTCACTGTAGTTCTGACCCCATTCCTCACTGTAGTTCTGACCCCATTCCTCACTGTAGTTCTGACCCCACTTCTCACTGTAGTTCTGACCCCACTTCTCACTGTAGTTCTGACCCCACTTCTCACTGTAGTTCTGACCCCATTCCTCACTGTAGTTCTGACCCCATTCCTCACTGTAGTTCTGACCCCATTCCTCACTGTAGTTCTGACCCCACTTCTCACTGTAGTTCTGACCCCACTTCTCACTGTAGTTCTGACCCCACTTCTCACTGTAGTTCTGACCCCATTCCTCACTGTAGTTCTGAGCCCATTCCTCACTGTAGTTCTGACCCCATTCCTCACTGTAGTTCTGACCCCATTCCTCACTGTAGTTCTGAGCCCATTCCTCACTGTAGTTCTGAGCCCATTCCTCACTGTAGTTCTGACCCCCATTCCTCACTCTAGTTCTGACCCCACTCATCACTGTAGTTCTGACCCCATTCCTCACTCTAGTTCTGACCCCCATTCCTCACTCTAGTTCTGACCCCATTCCTCACTCTAGTTCTGACCCCCATTCCTCACTCTAGTTCTGACCCCATTCCTCACTCTAGTTCTGACCCCATTCCTCACTCTAGTTCTGACCCCCATTCCTCACTGTAGTTCTGACCCCATTCTTCACTGTAGTTCTGACCCCACTCATCACTGTAGTTCTGTGATCTTTGCAATGTCCGTAGGTTTGTGACAAATCTTGCAACCTAATTTTGACCCACTTCTAATGCACCGATTCCTTTCAAACTTTCCAAATACCTACTTCTTCGAGGACAATACAAGGATATCTATTTTAGGATCTAATTAGATATCAGAGTAGTCATTAAAATTAACTTCAAGATTACTATATTCAATAATAAAAGGGGATTTAACTAGCTGAGCTGTAGTTCACACTGAGTGTTGTTTGGTCACAGTTGGTTGCTCGAGTATCGACCACATTGAAAGGGAAGACAACTATCTTTTAGAGATCGGAATCTTCAAGGCGAGTTTTAACAATAGTAAGTACTAAAAGGGGAGATAACAAGATTAAATCACGAAATATGCTCGCTGTAGAGTAGAGGGTGAACTGTTGTCACGTTTGGCTTAATGAGAAGGGGCGGGCTAATGTCTTTTAGACATTGCAAACAAATAATCGGGTTTTAACCCACATGTTTTTAGTCGAAGCTTATAGATATCTAGTGTGAACTTAATTTAGAACGAATTGCGAAAATGTGGAAATTAAAATAAACACAAAAACCTTTTATAATTAGAAGCATTTAAATGCAGTGAAAAAACGAGAATAAATAAAACAAACTTAATAAAAAGCTTTGGTCGCAATAAATGTAAGAGATCTTATGTGCAACCAAAGTTTTTATTTAAAAAAGGTAAGTTTGTTTTAGTTTCTTATTTTCAGCGATAAGTTAGCTACTTAAGAAGATCTTAAGAACATTAAACAAGAAATGGAGTTCACCATAAATACAACGACATCCTCAGCTAACACATCTGCTGCCGTGGCAATAATGTGGCCAACAATGTGTATAGTTTGTGAAAAACATTGTAGTGCAGCCCATTCTTGTGGATCCTGCGACAACTATGTGCATGCTATTCGTGGAATACCCAATGAAGCAGACGAAGGGTACGGAGGAAATATTCCCTGCAGATTGTGTCACTATAAACAAGACTTCGTGGACAACAGGTCAGCAGCTCATACTAGCTTGCAAACTCAATGTGCTAAGATGCTTAAAACATCAAATACAAAATTTAAACAAGCTGAAGTGGATGACAATGTACGCATCCGTATAACAGATGTCGACAGAGGTCGCGGTGATCCCCGAAGCGTCATTGCAGTTGTCATGAGCGTCGAGGGCGCCTTCTACTATTTAGGAACGGAACATAGTGTTCTAAACCAACTGTATGCTAGAAGTGAGTTTTTCAATTCTTCACGAAAAACTGCTCTTATTATCGTCAGTTGGGACTGAGGAAAAATCACCACGAACCATCGCATCTTCACAATCATTGACCGGCGGCCAAGGCTACACTCGCTGCAATTGTAAAAACTGTAAAAATAACAAGCTATTATGTAATTCTAAATGCCATAAAAGTTCAACTTGTTGTAACAAGTGATAATATTGGTTGATTGAGACTATAGTACAATAAAATATTTGAATGTTTCTGTCATTTACTTTAATGAATAATCAATAAAGACTTAATTTCATGATCCTTACGGCATAAAAAAAAAATCTGCTCATGATCTTCAAATTCAGACTTTGGCCGGTCCACCATGGCCAGTCCGCGGACTGGCCGGCCAAAGGCCGAAATCAAGAGCTATTTCAGACTTTGGCTGGTCCACCATGGCCAGTCTGCGGATTGGCCGGCCAAAGGCCGAAATCAAGCAAAGTTTCGGACTTTGACCGACCTATGGTAGGCGATATTGGCCAATGCGCGCATTGGCCGACTTCGGGCTTTGACCGTAACATATATATTAATACGTTTTTTATTGATAGAATAAATACAATTCTGAGGCAAATTGTGAAATATTTCAACCTATACACTTGTAAATGCACTCAATATTTGTGTTCTAATATGCTTATATTGTTCACTCTGCTAGATAAAAAGGAAAACGTGTAATGAATAGTTTGAGAACTACAATAACAGATTACTAAAAAGAAGGATAATCAAACACATAATAGCTGCAATGGAGATATATAAACAAGCCATTTCGAACTATTAAACTCAAGTTTTTAAAAACAAACAGAAGCAATGCCAAATAGTAGATACAAAGAATTTTAGCAAAAATAATGGCTAGAATGATACAGATACAATTGCTTAGTGCTCAATAATTGTGTCTGTAATGCTTTTGAGTCGCGACATAGACGATGCTATGTGAACTAATAGGTGGTCAAACCTTACCTATTTATATTGTTCAAGTTAATTTACATAAAGCTATAACCAGCCTTAATTATTATATACGTCACTATCCTTTAAAAAAAAGAAGTTTTTTTCAAATGCCAGTGCCGATCCTAGCTGGGACCGCTCGGACATAATAAATTTTGCGCACTTTTGGCTACTAACTATGGACCTCTACGCACAAGCATAAATTAGCTCGAGACTTCCTTCCGATGTTTAATGTTGCAAACGATGTAGAATCTAATTCGTTGTAAGTTGTGATATCATATTAAGTAGTATCGATATTTGGAAAGATGTATTTCTAATCATCATTTTCTTTACAATAGATGAGTTTAATTTTTTAAAGTAATTTCCTGATTCGAATTTAAATAAAATAATCGAGTTCAGCTAAACTTGTTTATTTCTCTTTTAACCTTTATCGTCTGTACCATCTTCGTTAATAATTAATTAATCTTCCGGTTGTTAGTACCATCTTTGTTAATATTTAATCTTCCTGTTTTTTGAGTGGCTTGATACTGGTACGTTTTCCTTAGGCTTTGCTGTAGTGTAATTTGAAAAGCAGAATGGCACTAGAATTCACTAGATGAAACGACACAACTATCCCATGTGAAAACGAATGGGTCACTAAATCAAGATCTTTGTGATGTTAAGTATAACGTCACCAGCGGTATAGGTCCTTGGTTCGTCTATGTCTCTGCTGTATTGTATACAATATAACATCACTCAGTCTGAGACCTTGACTAGGTAATAGTGCTTGGTGTAGTAATCTCACATGACAAATGCGGCAAGGCCATGGTGTCGTTGGGAAATAATAAAGTGTGCGGTAAGGCCATGGTGATGTTGGGAAATAACAAAGTGTGAGGTAAGGCGATGGTGTCGTTGGGAAATAACAATAAAGTGTGTGGTAAGGCCATGGTGTCGTTGGGAAATAACAATAAAGTGTGTGGTAAGGCCATGGTGTTGTTGGGAAATAACAATAAAGTGTGTGGTAAGGCCATGGTGTCGTTGGGAAATAACAATAAAGTGTGTGGTAAGGAAATGGTGTCGTTGGGAAATAACAAAGTGTGAGGTAAGGCGATGGTGTCGTTGGGAAATAACAATAAAGTGTGTGGTAAGGCCATGGTGTCGTTGGGAAATAACAATAAAGTGTGTGGTAAGGAAATGGTGTCGTTGGGAAATAACAAAGTGTGAGGTAAGGCCATGGTGTCGTTGGGAAATAACAAAGTGTGAGGTAAGGCCATGGTGTCGTTGGGAAATAACAAAGTGTGTGGTAAGGCCATGGTGTCGTTGGGATACAGCCTTGATTTTTGCAATAATTTTTATCTTTTTTTCACAAACGGAAAATAGAAAAAGTACTGTAATCGTGCAAAATTAGAATTGATTAATTTTTTAAGTGTATGTATGTGTGTAAGGGCTAATTTTTTTTTCCGATTTCTCTATCACCCTTAATAATTTAAAATTCTATATCATCTTTTCAAAAGGTCTTTTCTATGAACTGTTTGCCTGTTGTAATTAAAAAAATACAATAAATAAAACACGTGCAAATTTGTTAAACTCTTCCATTTTTCTTTTGTACTGCCATATCAATCCTAACAGTTTTTTTATTCAAAATATTTCTTCTGCCGAAAATATGCTTTAAAACCGTATAAATAAAAATAAATACAGATTCAGTCGATATTGTTCCGATTATTTTACTTTTTGTTGAAATTTATTCTTTCAGATTTGATGGTATGTGATGTAAACAGAATCCTTCTTTTGTCTGAACTCTATTTATAACGGTGTTTATGTACAGCTGTTGGTCCATCTATCTAGTCTTGACCTTTTAACCGCTGACTATGAGAGAGAATATATTAACCTCTTACAATGACATTAACATCTACGGGTGACGTTTTGTCTTAATAAGGCACAATCTAATTCTAATTTGATCCAGAGAGACACAGACTTCAGAAAAGTGTTTAAATAGTAAGATAAGATGGCAGGATTCGGTGCCATGTTTTGGATACAACATGGTAACAACACGCCCATGACTGACATCATGACCACCCCGGAAGTCGTGCTCTCCCACAATATTTTCATCGTCCTCGCTTCCGTGTTCGTGCCTATAGGGATCGTTGGCAACATCCTCGTCTTTTGTGGCATCCTGCTCTACCCAGGCTTCTACAACAGCAACAACGTCATCATATTAGCCATCGCTGGTTTCGATTTCAGCACGTGTTTCTACACTCTACCCTTTTTTATCGTGTGTTACTCAACCCTGCCTATAAGGGATACTATAGCAAGATACAAATATTTCTGTCTATTAAAGCTATCTTCTGCTATGATGACCAATGATGGTTCTCTCTACTGCCTGATGCTTTTGTCCATTGACCGCTATCTGGCCATCATGTTTCCGTTGAAGTATGCTAACATGGTCACTTTCAAAAGAGCCATTTACGTAACGGCTTCAGTGGTTATTTTCACAATTGTCAAGGCAATGCTTCCGATTTTAGGATGGAACTATTACAATCCCAACATTCCAAATCTGGACAAGAGATGTAATTTCTACGTAACATTACCGAAACCTTTTCTGTTCTGGTTCCTGTTGGTGCCCAATTACTCGGCGATTGTGTTATCTGCCTTCATCAACATTCACATCGCCTTCATCGTGTTTCGTCAGCTGAGGTCGTTCAAGTCACAGAGCTCCGTGTGGACCAGCGAGCAGAGGAAAGCCTTCCGCGCGAAAATAAGCAGCGTGAAGATTACCCTGGCACTCATGTTCCTATTTATAATCCTGGATGCACCCTTCTTGATGGTTTTGCCGTTTAAGATAAAACAAGTCTTGCCTCCACACCTTGTCGAGGCGATGAAAGTCTATGCGACACTTGTGTCTTTTGCGAATACTCTTGTCAACGGCCCTGTTTATGCTGCGATAAGAAATGAGTACCGCAGCGTGTACTATACCATGTTGACCACCGCCCCATGGAAATGGAAGAAGGCTTTGAAAAACTTACATCGCGAGAAGAACACCACCTTCATCTCCTCGTCTATACAGAACCAGTCGGTTACAATGAAAGACGACGTTGAGGAAGAATATGAAGCGCCTTTACCGATAGAACCCGATTTACCAAGTAAAGCGTCGAAAGCTGGCTCGAAAGAGGGCGCTTCGTCTATCGTCAGCACTGTGGTGAAGGCCTATGACGTCGACGGGAATAGGGAAAAAACGACAACATCAGTGGACAACTCTAAACTGTCAAGTCAGGGCAAGGGTTCCGTTTTCAGCCAGGCAGAGAAGCAAAGCTCGGTCGATGGTGGAAGGAAAACTTCTTTTTGACATTTTCAGAGCACGTTATTTAGACGACATTTTTCGGGTAAACAGAACACTTTGTTTTGAGTACATGTTAGACAAAGATAACAATTAGTTTGCGTGGCGTGGTCAGCGTGAGATAACATCAATATCGCCACTAGTTTTTTTTTTTTATAGAATGTATGTCGTACGCTTGGAAGTGCTGTCGAATATCGCAATATCAAAATTATGTATACATTTGTCCTTTACTAAATTAAGACCTTTTGTAGACCTTAAAAATGTGCCAAAGTTTTTGTCATCGGCTAGATATATTGTTATATAAATCTTTATTTATTGCAAACAAAAACAAAAGCCCAACAACCCATGATTACGTCAAAAACACGATGTTAACTAGTTCACTAGTATTAATACGAGACTAGTTTACTTAAATTAATAAACTGTAAATTTTTAAAAAGCATTTCTATTAACTTTTAGCAGTACAAATAGTTTTTGCTTGATTGGATTTTGTTGAAATAATTTTAAAATAACATTTACATTACATTTCTTGTGCATTCAGTTCGAACCAACTTAATATTCTATAGTTTACATTCAAAACCTATATCAAATATGAAAGCTTGATTTTTAAAAAAAAATCTAATTGTTAAAATCTTTAAACAAAAAGTAAGATGACCATAAGTTGATACTTCATAGAATTTTGCTAGGTTTACTGTTTGTGTGCAATCATTGACTTTTACATTTTTTTAAAGCTTAGCTTGTTTTTCACAAGGAAAGCTCTTTCTCCATTTTGGTCATTTTTAAAAAAATCCGTTCGTCTTTCAATAAATTGGGCATGTTATTTTGGATATTTTTCAGAGCTTGTGTTTTTACAAGCTTTTATTTAACTCACTTCCTCTGTCGTCAGTCGTCAGTCGTCAGTCTAGACGGAAACGCAGGAGTGAAAATTCGGACAGTTCTACTTGACCGACACGATTCACAGTTGGCACGTGGGTCAAGACATGAAGACAATGCAATCTGAAACTAAATTTGACTTAATTGGATGCCTAATTGATTTTTTATGAATTAATTAAAATTTGGACCGAATTAGTAGGCATGTCTAGCCAACCACACCACACGCGTCATCAATAGCTGCGCCATCACGACCACGTAATGGCTGCGTTCAAAAACCATTGCGCGCCTACTGAACGTGATATTCAGTAGGCGCGCAATGGTTTTTAGTCATGTAACTCTATTGTAGATAAAACATGTAAAGTACTGAAAAAAAAATTCATAAAAAACGTTTTAATAACAAGCTTTTATGTAATGATGCACTAAAAAGTAGAAAATAAATTATACACTACTATTTAAATTACTATAAAGAAAAGCGTGGGTGTCTTCCTTAACATTAGTAAAGGTATCCAATAGATACTAAAGTGACCCACGCTTTTCTTTATAGTAATTTAAATAGTAGTGTATAATTTATTTTCTACTTTTTAGTGCATCATTACATAAAAGCTTGTTATTAAAACGTTTTTTATGAATTTTTTTTAAAGGTTTTAATTTAGGCTGCTCCGTATATAGGCCTATGTGGGTAGGCCAAATCTTAGAATCTAAATTTAGCCCATTTCCTATTACACGGTTGAGCTGAAATTTGGCGCAGTGGTAGATCTTGAATGACAGTACATGAATATCGAACTTTTATCTGATTGTTTAGACAATTCGGCATTTTAAAATTACTAACTTCAATAATCAAAAGGGAGACAACAAGATTGAAACAAAATACAAGCTATAGCTGGATCAGAGGACTGTTGAGGCTGAACTCGTTTCCTAGACCATGAGGTAATGCGGGGCAGGTAACTCAATTTAAGGGGACGGAGTGGTCTAGCGGTAGAGAGAGGGACTGCTGACCCGAACGTCTCGAGTTGGAATCCGGGTTCAAGTCAGTAGACCATCCCTGAGTCCACCCAACTGACTACACTATCTCTTCACATGTCGAGGTCACATAAACAAGTGAACTCTACTTCAATTGCCCTATAGACACCGTCAAGTTAGAAATGGAACTTTACTGAAACTCAATTTTAGAGATCACACGCTACTAGGCAGATTTTAACGCACACTTTTTAATCTTAGCCTGAATAATCACTAAAAAGTAAAAATAAACCTCACAAAATATTTACAAGGACAACAGCTTTTATTATATTCACCAATAAAAAAAAATCACGTATGAATAAATTGTACTAAGGTGTAAAAAATAATTTCGTTTTGTGTAGCCTTAATTAATCTATATGCATGTATCAGAGGCGTATGCAGGTTTTCGGATTAGGGAGTGCGGCGAGTCGAAAGAAAGGTGTCATATATGTATGTCATTACTTCGCTACGGCGTAAAACACATTTAAAAAAAAACTCTTTGAAGAAAACAAAAGATCAAAACACATTATAGGCCTAAAACACTAACCAATTTATCACATAAAAGTAAATACTTAAACTGTACACACAAAATAAACCGGGAGTGATCTCCCGTAAACTCTCTCGAATACTTTCATATAACACTAGGGGTGATGGCAACTCGGGATATAGACAAGATTTTTTTATTACTTAAACTTTTTTAAAAAAGAATAGAATCTCGTAGAAAAAAAGAACTGCACACCAATTGAACGCCAAACAAAATGTGTACAAAAGTGCGGTATATTATTAGTACTTTATAAATTCATAAGGTTTTTTGAGAAATCGAAAATAGCATAAATTACTACTTCCGGTCAACGGAAATTACTCAAATTTTGAAAGAAGGCAGAAAAGTAAAGTGATCTTTTATTACTTGTAAAATTTCATTTATCTATCTGAAAAGGTACTCAAGCTATAGGCTTTCGAAAAATTGAAAGTAGAATAAGTTCCACTTCCGGTTATCGGAAATAGCTGAAAAGTTGATACGGAGCTACAAAGATGGTACAATACTTATATATGAAATGTCATCGACCTAGCTGAACGGTATTCATTTATCGTGTTCACAGACACACACACACACATATATACCATTGCAAAACTAAGTTTCCGACTCAGTGAGGCATAAAACAGCAACGTGTATGAAAATCTTGATTTGAATTTTTTGTACGATTACAATACTTCCTCTATACTTCGTTAACGAGAAAGTAAAAATTGACAAAATATCCAAAAGTGCAAAAACCCATTATGTCGAAAAATCATGATTTTTCGATTTTTGCTGCACATTACAAGATGCATAACAGTTTTTGCGCACTATTGGCTACTAATTATAGATTGCTCAATGCACGTTCATTATTTAGCACGAGACTTCCTTTCTTTGTTTAATGTTGGAGACGTAAAAAACAAACAACCTTTAAACAAGGATATAGAATTTAATTAGTTGTAAGTTGAGGTGTTAATCAAAATTAATTTAATCTCAGTTTATAAGTAGCATCAATATCTAAAAAGATATAGATCTAGAAGTCTATGTTTTGGAAGTCATTATTTTTCCTATTAGACTAGTTTAAATTTTAAAATAATTACTTCCTCATTAGAAGAGTTAAGCTAAAGTTGTTTATTTCGTTTTAGTTTCAGCCTTTACAAGACCACCAATTATTCTTTGGATAGCTATTGTCCCTCTCCCACTTTCCACTGTCACACATAGATCTAGTCACAAAAAGTCAGACCCCCACATCTAAAAAGACGCCAAACCTCAGCCAATATGTTTTTGTCGTTAATAAAACACCGATTTCGACAGAGCATGTTGCTGACCACACTATCCTTTCATTGACTGACGTGAAAGAAACAGGTGAAGTATACATCATCTGCCCTGTATCCCGCCAGTTCATAGGCAACAGTTTATCTACATAAAAATTGAAGTCACTCATCATCTTACATGTTTTTGTTTTTAAAAACATCGATTTCTTTCTATAATATTTTCTGAGCTCGAACCTCATACATAACAAATGAACAAGTTATTATCACTAACGTAAAACTAATAATAATAAATCAGAACTATTCGCGTGCGTTGTGATTTCCCACTGGTCACTCTCTGAAAATGTTTACATTTTTTTCTCAAACTGGATGTTATTCGTACTGTTGCCTTTTAAATTTGTGGCTAACGAAGTAAAATAAGTAAAATAACGCCAAATATTATTATAATTATATTATATCCTAATTTGACTTATTTCATCGCTAAGAAACAAAGATTTAAATGAAGTATTTGAGTACTGAAATAGTTCAGTTTAAATACGCAAGAATTCATTGTGCTTTTGTACGTTGTTTTTAACTAAGTATATCTGGTTCTAGATCTAGATATAATTTTTATTTAACCTATTTTTATCCAACAAAGCCCAGTTACTAAGTAGCCTTAGCTCTAGATTCTTGTTTCTCCGAAATAAAATCGATATATTCTCGCATTAGAATATCTGTCTAGCGTATTCTATTGAAAATAGATAATAATGTAGACATTTAATAAAAATAACAGACATATAGTTAAAGGTATAGTCGACAGAAAATGTAGTAGCTTTATAATGCATTTCACATTTTTAATGGGCAACATGGTGTTATTTTTCCATAGAAGCCATGTTAAGAAACTGTGTACATAAAGTATTTGTTCTTTATAATTAAAAGCGTTTTTCTACATATGAAAATATCGTGAGCTATATGCTTTGAATGGTTGAATGATTTAAAAGTAAAGTCCTTTTACCACCAGAGTTTCTTCCATGCATCTTTTGACACCCCCCCCCCCCCCGCCCCCGAATAAAGTCTACCGCCACCCCCGAACGAAACGGTATTTAAATAGAAAATATATACTTTTAATAGTGTCCGCACCCAGAGTTTCTTCCAGGCATCTCTTCGGGGGGGGGGGGGGGGGGGGGGCGAAGTGAAATTTATATAATTTATATAGAAAATATATACTTTTAACAGTGTCCGCCCCCCGGAGAAAGTCTATTGCCCCCCCCCCCCCGAAAATTTCAAGTGCCCCCCCCCCCCGGAGAAAAAAGTCTGGAAGAAACACTGTCCGCTCTCCCCTCGGAAATCTTAGTCCCCCCCCCCCCTCCCCCGAAAATTTTAAGTGAAGGAGAAAAAAGTCTGGAAGAAACACTGTTTACCACCAATAGTATTTGATTCATTTGTATTAGCAATCATTTTACTTTCTTGTAAATGGAGTGTAGAGAAAGTATTCAATCAGGCATAAAATCTAAATCAAGATTTTAAAAAATCGTGTATGTATGTTTCTGTATGTGTATGTGTGTTTGTGTGTGTGTGTGTGTGTGTGTGTGTGTGTGTGTGTGTGTGTGTCTGTTTGTACTAATAGATGTGTGTGTGTGTTTGTGTGAGCACGATAAATGCGTACCGTTTTTGTTAGACCGACGGAATTTTGGGCACTTGTAAAGGATCAATTTCTCTGAAATTCGGCACGTTGGTCAAATATGTATTTAATACTTTTAGTAATATTTAAGAAGCGAGCCATACCTTTCTTTATAGTTATTTAAATAGTAGAGTATTATAATATATTGAACGAAAATCATCTATTTTCTCCTTTTTTCTGCATTATTACTTAAAAGCTGCTTGTTATTAAAACACTTTTTTATATCATACTAGCCGTCCCGGCCAGGCCCTGCACTGGCCTCAGTGAAAAACCTATCTGCAAAGGACCACGACATGTGTTTAGTAATCAGCATATACCCAGCATTGCCCACCCTAACCACAACCAACCAAAACTAAAACAAAAGACAAAAAACGCAAACATAACACAAATGCAAACACAACTACAAACAGAAACACAAAGACAAAGGCAAACCCAACCACAAACACAAAGAAAATACAAACACAAACAAAAAAAAGCAAATGAAAACAAATCAAATCCAAACACAAACCCAACCACAAACGCAAACCCAAACCCAACCTTAACCCCAAACACAAAGAAAACACAAACGCAAACGTAAACGTAAACGCAAAGTGATCACAGTCTAGACCGCGGCCCAAAATCGCTCCATTATAAGGCACCGGCGGAACCGCCTGTTTCAGCTTAATAAACGACTATAGTACCCCAGCGTATCCATATGCTATTGCACTCACTTAAACGAACGTAGGCGCCACAGCGAACACCGGAAGCCCGGGGTGCCAAATAGCAGCCTGTCGGGGTGCCGGAGGACGCCTGGATGTGATTCACTTAAAGACTATATTAACCTTTCTTATCCATAGTCTATCGCAATGTTTAAAGCGAAATTATACACCATAGCGCTTACAGGATATGTGACATTTAGGAGCTGGCTTTTTAACTGTTATTGATTTTAAAAAAAAAATAGTAAACAGTACGTTCAGTGTATAGAATAAATAAAGGGCGATATTAAAAATACCTACAACATTGCACTTGATCAATCACCGCTAATTATGTAATTATTTTTTTCCCAACACCAAAACAAAGTAATAAAGAGTAATCTCTTTTCCACCCGATGTGTGTGTTTTTTTTAAAGGGAAGTAGTTGTGTTTTCCTAATTTATCAAGGGAAGTAATGAGTGCTAAAGGACTAAATGTAAATAATTTTCAGACATAATTAGAATTTTTGTAAAAGATGATATTTTTTTAAAACTTTGTTTAATGAATATGCCGACAATTATTATTATCAGTTTGAAAAATGAAAATTGTTTTACAACACTTTCAGTATTAATTTTTTTAAACCATGAATTTAGACGATGAGCACTTTACACATTTAACACCTGATGTCATTGGAGTATATTTTATTAAGACTTTTTAATCCTTGGTTACATGCATACAGAATTGAACTTTATATATTAGATTCTCAAATAGCATACTTGAACTTTATATATTAGATTCTCAAATAGCATACTCTAAGAACTTTTTGCCTCTAAACTTTTTATCGAAAAACACGTTGTTTTCTCTTTATTTCTTTAGCCTGATTATATTAATGTGCCACATCAACCATTTTAATCGATTCAGAAATAACATGTATGAGCAACCTTTAAGATAGTGTTAAAATTATTTTATTTCTTGTTGAAATATTATCTTTCAGATTTGACGGTATGTGCGTCAAACAGAATCCTTCTTTGTCTGAACTCGATTTGTAACGTAGTTTATGAGCAGACGTGGGCCCAGCTGTCTACCTTCAAGTTTTACCGCAGGTTATATACAGAAGTCGACTTCTTATAGTGATCTTCACTTCTTAATTGGTCCAGAGAGAAACAGACATCAGAAAATAAATTAAATATTAAGATAAGATGGCAGGATTCGGTGCCATATTTTGGATACAACATGGTAACAACACGCCCATGACTGACATCATGACCACCCCGGAAGTCGTGCTCTCCCACAATATTTTCATCGTCCTCGCTTCCGTGTTCGTGCCTATAGGGATCGTTGGCAACATCCTCGTCTTTTGTGGCATCCTGCTCTACCCAGGCTTCTACAACAACAACAACGTCATGATATTAGCCATCGCATTCTTTGATTTTGGCACCAGTGCTATGACTCTACCCTTTTTTATCGTGTGTTACTCAACTTTGTCTTTAAGGGATACTATAGGAAGATACAAATATTTCTGTCTATTAAAGCTATCTTCCCCAATGATAACTGCCGATGGTTCTCTCTACTGCCTGATGCTTTTGTCCATTGACCGCTATCTGGCCATCATGTTTCCTTTGAAGTATGCTAACATGGTCACTTTCAAAAGAGCCATTTACGTAACGGTTTCAGTGGTTATTTTGACATTTGTCAAGGCAATGATTCCGATTTTAGGATGGAACTATTACAATCCCAACATTCCAAATCTGGACAAGAGATGTAATTTCTACATGACATTACCGAAACCTTTTCTGTTCTGGTTCCTGTTGGTGCCCAATGACACTGTCATTGTATTAGCCGCCGCCATCAACATTCACATCGCCTTCATCGTGTTTCGTCAGCTGAGGTCGTTCAAGTCACAGAGCTCCGTGTGGACCAGCGAGCAGAGGAAAGCCTTCCGCGCGAAAATAAGCAGCGTGAAGATTACCCTGGCACTCATGTTCCTTTTTATAATCCTGGATGCACCCTTCTTGATGGTTTTGCCGTTTAAGATAAAACAAGTCTTGCCTCCACACCTTGTCGAGGCGATGAAAGTCTATGCGACACTTTTGTCCTTTGGTAACGCTCTTGTCAACGGCCCTGTTTATGCTACGATAAGAAATGAGTACCGCAGCGTGTACTATACCATGTTGACCACCGCCCCATGGAAATGGAAGAAGTCTTTGAAAAACTTACATCGCGAGAAGAACACCACCTTCATCACCTCGTCTGTACAGAACCAGTCGGTTGCAATGCAAGACGACGTTGAGGAAGAATATGAAGCGCCTTTACCGATAGAACCCGATTTACCAAGTAAAGCGTCGAAAGCTGGCTCGAAAGAGGGCGCTTCGTCTATCGTCAGCACTGTGGTGAAGGCCTATGACGTCGACGGGAATAGGGAAAAAACGACAACATCAGTGGACAACTCTAAACTCTCCAGCCTTATGTCAAGCCAGGGCAAGGGCTCCGTTTTCAGCCAGGCCGAGAAGCAAAGCTCGGTCGATGGTGGAAGGAAAACTTCTTTTTGACATTTTCAGAGCACGTTATTAAACGACAGTTTTCAGGTAAAGAGAACCCTTTTTCTAAAGAGATCACTGTTTTAAGGCATTGTTAGACGATGATAGAAATTAGGCTTCTCGCGGTCTCAATAGGATAACAACAACATTGACAGTAGTTTTATAGAACTCATGATAACAACAACATTGACAGTAGTTTTATAGAACTCATGATAACAACATTGACAGTAGTTTTATAGAACTCATGATAACAACAACATTGACAGTAGTTTTATAGAACTCATGATAACAACATTGACAGTAGTTTTATAGAACTCATGATGACAACAACATTGACAGTAGTTTTATAGAACTCATGATGACAACAACATTAGCAGTAGTTTTATAGAATTGATGCCGCATGTAAGACTCTTTAAGGCTTAGCAGCCTGTGCTCACAAAATGCTGTCAAATACCTTCAATATCCAAGTTTGCATGGGTTTGTCCTCTTTTAAATTAAGATCTACTGTAGAGTTGAATCACTTATTTCAATAGAGACTTCTCATTGATGAGTGGGTAAAACATCTGAGTGTAGTTCTCTGATCAGCTATATGCGTATCGGTGCATTGCAACAAATTTGTGCCTAACATATTGGTATAACCAACATATATTGTTCAATACTTTTTTATTGCTAAACAAAAACACATGATTAGGATGTTGAATAGACAATTATAACGATACGATAAAATTATTATACACCACAATGTCATTAGTATCAATACGATACTAATTTAATTTCGATTAATCAATTAAATTTTTCAGAAAATATTTTTATCAACTTAAAAAAATGCAAATTGTTTTCTTTCAATAGGACTTTGATGAAATAATTTAAAATAAAAATTATATTTTTTTTCTTGTAAGTCAATACAATTCTAACTTACATGATATACTATAGGTTTATACATTCAAAATATTTGTGAAATCTGAAAGCTTTCATTTGTGTAAATCTAACTTGTTGCAAAAGTAATTCGTTTAATAATAAAACACGATTTTACTTCACTTTTATCATTTTTTGGAACGTTATTTGCTTAGTAACTGTGAAGAGTGTACTTTGCTGTTTTCTCTTCTTAATTAATTATTCTAGTTTTTTACGTTGACTTTACCGTTGTATTAACAGTTAAACTAACCAGTCTTATTTATGTATCAACGTGAGGAAAACATCGGTAACACTACACGCTGGCGCCCCAGATTCTCACCTGTACTGGGCCAGCCCCACCAGGATCAGAACTGTTGGCTGATGTCCAGCTTCTCACATGGACAAAAACTGAACAAACATTCGGTCGACAGTGATGACGATACACAACTCACTTATCTTATATTCTTCCAAACCACCACAGCCAAATACTTATCTGAATTTAACATTATGCTCATGCTTCCTGTACAATAATAATAAAGTACTAGACTATCCGTTATCTAGTTAGATAACTGTAGGTTTCGAGGGTCATCCATAAATGACATCACGTCTGTCACTTATCATCACAAAAGAACCAGACCCCACATTCAAAAAGGCGTCACACTCACACCTCAGACGTTTTTGCCTTTTAAAAACACTGACTTCGTCTGAGCATGGGTCTGACAACATAATCTCTTCATATGCTAAGGTCACAAAAAACAGGTCAACTCTACTTCACCTGCCCAGTGTCCTCCCAACTCAGACATGTTTTTGTCTTTGAAAACACAGATTTTGGCTGAGCATGGGTCTGACCACACTATCTCTTCATATTCTGACGTCACATGTGAACTTTACACCTATCCAACACTACTTCACCTGCCCAGTGTTCCGCTAAGTCTCAGACAACATGTTTTATCTTTAAAAAAAATATTTCGGCCGAGCATGGTTCTGACCACACTATCCACGTTATATACTGAGGATAAAGAAACAGGTGAACTCTACTTCGCCTGCCCTGTATCCCGCTAAGTTCCAATAGGCAAAGGCAACTTTATCATTCACAAAAAAATATAATTAAAAAAGCAAATTAAAATTGACATGTCTCGAACCAGTGCCACCCGCATGGTAACCTAATGTGCTAACCTCTTAGTTATCTAGACTCGTACTCTGCAGTAGGTAATAACTTATGTTTTACTTTTAGTCTGCGTAAGAATCTACGCGAACCGGCCCTAGAATTAGATCTAAAATTATTTCAAATTCAATTTTATCTTAAATTAGCCAACTGTATAGCTAAACAAACAAAGATTTATATAAAGTAAAATATTAAGGCCTGAAATAGTTTAGATAGAGCTAGACCTAGAATTTAAAGTCTATAATTTTGCAATATAGAAGCCGCGTATGAATCTTACGTTACGCAAATAGGCCCTAGATCGAGCATTTCCAAATTAGCATATTCCATAGCTAAATAAACAAAGATTTATATAAAATAATAAAGGTCTAAAATAGTTTAGTATATAGAAACTCATTATTATCTAAATTTAAATCTAGATAGGGATAGAATTATTTATATTCTAAATCTACGACTGGTTTGCTTAAGTCTAGTTTTTTTTTTTTTTTTTGGATTGTATTTTAACTAATAAATCTTTGGTTTGACCTAGATTCTAGATCTAGAACTATAAATAACTTTCTTGGGCGGATTGTAGAGCTAGAGAAATTTATTGTAAAACTAAATGAAAAAGACAGTTTAAAATTGATATAAGTGTTGGAACGTAATAAAAACAGCAAACGGACGTATCATTAAAGCTATAGCCGACAGAAAATTAGCTTTGCAACGCGTTAAACTTTTGAATGGGCCACAAAGTCTATGATAAAAGCCGCCATATTATTGTACTAAAATGTAAACAAAAATTGTGACGTCACTATTCAGTCAAAGTAAAGCCATTGTTTGAAAAATTTAAAGTTAATGTGGTTAATCTACCGATGAATAAATCAATAAATTAATTAACGTCTTTAAATAAATTTGTAATTAACAGTCTGTCTGAAAACAAAATTTGTTCTCTACCTACATACTATTTTACATCTCTACACATAGTGCAGATTCTCTCCAACAGCTAATCAGACAAACAAACAAATAAATATTCAAACATGTAAACAAACTTGAGTTTTAATAGTATACTACTATTACGCGTTATTTAAGCGGAGGGGGGGGGGGGTAGGCTAAAAAAAGAGGGAAAGGAAGGAAACGTTTAGTTAATAAGCCATTTTTTTAAAATTATGTTTGTGTATAATTCAAGGTATTTATGGGAAAATATTTGCATGCATCAGGAACTCTTCGTAACATATGGTTGCCATGGAAACGGTGGCCATCTTGAAAAATCTACGTTTGTGGTGGTCCCTCGGTTCAAAAACTATTTTATATATTGATCAACAAAAAAACACTCATGAAATTTCTTTTCGAATTTTCAAAAGTTATCATGGCGTAATATCCTTGAATTTAGCATTAATTTCTTTTCAAAATGAACGCCATTCCCATGTCAACCATTCTTTGTGAAGAGTCCATGATGCATGTAAATATTTTCATTTAAGTTCCATAACTTAGAAGTACCTTACTTAGATTCACACAATTTGAATCAGTAAAGCTTATTAGTTAAAAAGTTGGTTTCTTCTGGCGCTTCCCCCCCCCCCCCCCCCCACACATCATTAATTAAGTGTAATTCTATTTAAGATGCATACAAAATTGTGCGCACTTCTAGCTACTATTTATGGACTGCTGTATGTACGAGCATAATTTAGCACTAGACTTCCTTTCGGTTTTTAATTTTGGAAACGTGAAAACAGCCAACATTTAAACAAGGATGTAGAATCAATTCGTATGTAAGTTGCAATATTTTTGTCAAAATCAGAACTGTAGGCCTAATCCTTTTTGTTAAAAAAAATTGTAATAACTTTAATGTTTTATCATGAGTAGTATCAGAAGCTTATGTAGAGATTTATATTTTGGAAGTCATCGTTTCTATTACAATATAGATCTATCAGTCATTCTTAAGTTCTTAATCTTAACCAAGGATATATGTTAGATTGAACCCAAGGGGTTCAGTGAGTCAGGGATTAGTCATTTGTTTCCCAATTGGGTTTTGTCAGCGTGACAGTAGAAGGGTTCTGTGAAGGCGTGTTTATAACGGGTGTTATTCGATATCTCTAAAAAGGTAGACCCACTGCAATAGGTAGATTGTGATTAACTTAATTTTTAAAAAAATGATGTCCTAACTTCAGTTCAGCTAAAATTGTTTATTTCAATTTATAGCCTTTATCGTTGTGCCATCTTCGTTTATACCATCGTTAGTACCATCGTTGTTTATATTTAATCTTCCTATTGTGGAAGACACAACTATGTCTTGTGACAAGTGAAAACGAATGGGTCACTAGATTAAGATCTTTGTGATGTTAAATATAAAGTCACCAGCTGTATAGGTCTTTGTTGGGAAATAACAAAGTGTGAGGTAAGGCCATGGTGTGGTTGGGAAATAACAAAGTGTGAGGTAAGGCCATGGTGTCGTTGGGAAATAACAATAAAGTGTGTGGTAAGGCCATGGTGTCGTTGGGAAATAACAATAAAGTGTGTGGTAAGGCCATGGTGTCGTTGGGAAATAACAATAAAGTGTGTGGTAAGGCCATGGTGTCGTTGGGAAATAAAGTGTGTGGTAAGGCCATGGTGTGGTTGGGAAATAACAATAAAGTGTGTGGTAAGGCCATGGTGTCGTTGGGAAATAACAATAAAGTGTGTGGTAAGGCCATGGTGTGGTTGGTAAATAACAATAAAGTGTGTGGTAAGGCCATGGTGTCGTTGGGAAATAACAATAAAGTGTGTGGTAAGGCCATGGTGTCGTTGGGAAATAACAATAAAGTGTGTGGTAAGGCCATGGTGTCGTTGGGAAATAACAATAAAGTGTGTGGTAAGGCCATGGTGTCGTTGGGAAATAAAGTGTGTGGTAAGGCCATGGTGTGGTTGGGAAATAACAATAAAGTGTGTGGTAAGGCCATGGTGTCGTTGGGAAATAAAGTGTGTGGTAAGGCCATGGTGTGGTTGGGAAATAACAATAAAGTGTGTGGTAAGGCCATGGTGTGGTTGGGAAATAACAATAAAGTGTGAGGTAAGGCCATGGTGTGGTTGGGAAATAACAAAGTGTGAGGTAAGGCCATGGTGTCGTTGGGAAATAACAATAAAGTGTGTGGTAAGGCCATGGTGTCGTTGGGAAATAAAGTGTGTGGTAAAGCCATGGTGTTAGTAGGATACAGCCTTGGCTCAAGCAGTGTGGTGTGGCTTTGTTGCGGTTAAAATATGGCTGAATGGTATAAAAGCCTTGTAGTTTAACCACCAATATAGCTTGATTGATTTTTATTGGCAATAATTTTTACGTTCTCTTAAATGCAGTACGACTATACAGAAAGTATTGTAGTCGTGCAAAAAGTCTAAGTCAAGATTTTAATAAAACTTGTCTGTTTGAGTCTGTGAATGTATTTTTGTGTGTTTGTACTTTGGGAAGTGTGAGTACTTGTGTTTGTACCTATGGATATGTGTGTGTTTTTGTGAACACAATAACTGCATAGAGTTTTAGTTAAATAAGTATTATCGTGGTGAGCAGGTTCCTTTCAACTTTTGAACAATTTCCTATAACCGGAAATATATTTCCGTTTGAATAGATAAAACTTGAGTACCGTTTCGGTTAGGTGTGCGAAATTGTATACATAAATTATTAGCTACTATACGGAAACTTCTTTTAACGTTTGATCGATTACCGGAAAGGGTGTATTATTTCCGATTATTTTATCACCCTTTAGAATTGGATAATTTTATATCTAAGTCTCAAAAAAACATATTCTAAGAATTGTTTCCCGAAAAACCCTCTGATTTATTACAAACTTCTATTTTTTTTTTCATCCCGATTACATTAAAGTGCCATACAGATCTTAACTGGGGTTTTTTCTTGCGCCCAAAATATGCTTTAAATAAAAGTATTCATTCTACTAAAATTTAAATTTATAACAGCTGTGAGAAATAATTATGGTAGTGTTCCAATTACTTCATTTTTTGTTGAAATATTTTCTTTCAGATTTGACGGTATGTGCGTCAAACAGAATCCTTCTTTGTCTGAACTCGATTTGTAAAGGTGTTTATGTGCAGACGCCTGCCTTGACCTTTTACCGCAGGTTATATACAGAGGTCGACTTAACTTCTTATAGTGACCTTCACCTCTACAGATATTTGGTCTTCACAAGGCGCGACTATTGCTAAATTGGTCCAGAGAGACACACACATCAGAAAGCAGCTAAGATAAAATGGCGGCCTGGGGTCAAGGCTACTGGTTCCAGGAGGAGGTCGCCTACAACATGACCAGGACTCAGATCATGGCGACCCCGGAAGTAGTGCTCGCACACAACATTTTCATCCTTTTCGCTTCCATCTATGTGCCTATAGGCATCGTTGGCAACATCCTCATCATCGGCGGCATCCTGCTCTACCCAGGCTTCTACAACAACAACAACATCATCATATTAGCCATCGCTTTTTTTGATTTGGGCACGAGTGCTATGACGCTTCCTTTTTTTATCATTTGTTACTCACATTCGCCGTTAAGAGATACAATAGCGAGATACAAATATTTATGTCTATTAAAGCTAACTTCCCCAATGGTAACTGCCGACGGTGCTCTCTATTGCCTGATGCTTTTGTCCATCGACCGCTATCTGGCCATCATGTTTCCTTTGAAGTACGCAAACTTGGTCACTTTCAAAAGAGCCATCTACATGACGGCAACGGCTGTTATTTTTTGCCTTGGCAAGGTGTGGATTCCTGTTATGGGCTGGAACACGTACAGTCCCAGCATTGCCGATCTGGGCGATCGATGTAGTTTCTACCGAACAATACCGCCAGTTTTTCTCTTTAATTTTGAGCTAATCCCCATGTACTGTTCCGTTTTTCTGTCCGCCTTCATCAACATTCACATCACCATCATCGTGTTTCGTCAACTGAGGTCGTTCAAGTCACAGAGCTCCGTGTGGACTAGCGAGCAGAGGAAAGCCTTCCGCGCGAAAATAAGCAGCGTGAAGATTACCCTGGCACTCATGTTCGTATTTATAATCCTGCATTTGCCTTTGTTGATGGTTTTTCCAATTAAGATATATGACCTCATGGCCCCACATACTTCAGAAGCGTTGGAAGTATATGCGACAGTTATGTCCTTTGGTAACGCTCTTATCAACGGCCCTGTTTATGCTGCGATAAGAAATGAGTACCGCAGCGTGTACTATACCATGTTGACCACCGCCCCATGGAAATGGAAGAAGGCTTTGAAAAACTTACATCGCGAGAAGAACACCACCTTCATCACCTCGTCTGTACAGAACCAGTCGGTGGCAGCTAAAGATGAGGATGAAGATAACGCACCTTTACCGATAGAACCCGAACCACCGAGCAAAGCGTCGAAAGCTGGCTCGAAAGAGGGCGCTTCGTCTATCGTCAGCACCGTGGTGAAGGCCTATGACGTCGACGGGAATAGGGAAAAAACGACAACATCAGTGGACAACTCTAAACTGTCAAGTCAGGGCAAGGGTTCCGTTTTCAGCCAGGCCGAGAAGCAAAGCTCCGTTGGCGGTGAAAAGAACACTTCTGTCTAAGCAGATTTTCAGGTAAAGAGAACTCTTTGTTTAACGACATTTTCAGGTAAAGAGAACACTTTCAAAGGCATTGTTAGACAAATATAACTATTCTGTTTGTATCCCGCGGCCAAAATAGTATAACAGCGACATTATTGTGTACAAGTCGTATACCACTAAACGATTATGAATCACTGCAACATCCAAACTATGCATGGGTTTGTCTTTCGTAGATGGACCTATTGTAGAGTTGTAGGTTTTATTTCAACTGCATGTACAGACGGTAAACTATTGGTGGATGGTAAGCTTTATGTGCATCGATACACCGTTAAAATGTGCATAGAATATTGCCATAAACAAGTTGTTATTCTATTAAATAGTTTAATTGCTAAATAAAAACTACTAATGTACTTTGATAAAATTGTGGTAAATTTATAAATAATAGTTTCATCAACTTATAGCAGTACAAATTACTATCGCTGAATCCAATTTCGCTTAATTAACTACAAATAAAGATTACAAGACAATTTCTTTTACAGTCAATAACAACTGAATTTACTTAAAATACTATAAGTTGATACATTCAAACAATGTATCAAATATGAAAGAAGGACGATCGTAGTTATTTTCTTCATACAAACGTCGGTTCTTTTTTAAAATTTTGATTGTTTTTTTTTTTTTTTTGTTTTTTTTATAAAATGAAGCTATTTTTCAAAGATTGGCTTTTTAATTTCGATAGATATGTGTTTAGCTATTTTTAGAATTTATCTTTTTTTTTCTTTAGTTTGGCATTTTATTTAGCAATTTTTTCTAATGTTCAATTAGTTTTTAAGTAATATGGACATTAATTACACTTATAACGACCATACTTTCAAAAACTATGTGGAAGAGGATTAAATAACTAATATAAATAAAATAAAGATCCAATGTTTCTGTTGTGCGGTGTTTTGAAAGTGTGTGGGTTGAGATATTGAAGGTGTAAGTTCAATAATAAAGTGTTTTTATTTCTTAAGTTTATTATTTTTAATAAAAGCAAAACAAATTTATCTTCCCCTGTGTCTTATTTTTTTAATCGTCGTTTTGCGTTGTAGTGTAGCTACAAAGATTGTTTTTTTGCTGTTATCGTCTAAATAAGTTATCGAATACAGTTTAGTTATTCCTGTAACTCCCATTTTGGTTAAGTGGTTGTGATGATTGTTGTGCAGAGGCGTAGCTAGGGGGGGGCGGGGGGGGGGGGGCGGCCGCCCCGGGCGCCGACCCTATGGGGGCGCCAAAAGGGGTGGGAAAAATTTTTTAAAGCTGATTTTATGCTGCAGTTTTGAATTATAAACTGTCTAAGTTAAGAAATATAATGGCTACACGCATTTACATACTGATTTAACTGTTTTCTATCTTGATTTCTTAATGTAAAACATATACTCTTAAGAAACAGTGACCGGCAAAACCGCTTTGAAGCTTTTCCTAGATGGGGGGGGGGGGGCGCTTTTTCGAGACTTAAAACGGAAGAATTTACACTAGATTGTTGAGTCGATAAACGTTACCACTATTAAAAGAAACCAATTGTATTAAAACGTATTGTACGATTGTTGAACTGTAAAATACGTTAGTGACTTTTATCAAGATGGTGCAGGGGGGCGCTTTTAGGCTAAATAAAATAGCAAAATTACACAGGATTCTGAGTAAACAACCTTTAGCTCTCAGAAAGAAACGAATTGTACTGTGCATTGTATAATTGTGTAACATTTTTTAAAAAAAAGTTAGTTACGTTAAAAACCGCTCTACAAACTTTGTCCAAGATGGTTGTGATGAGTGTGTGTGGGGGTGGGGGGGGGCGCTTTTTTCGCTAACAAAAATCGCAAGTATTTGTACTGGATTGGTGAGTAGATAACTCTCTTAACACTTAGTAAAGAAACCAAGTGTATTAACGCGTAATGTACAATTTCAATAGCCAGTTTTGTTAAAAAAAAAGACGCGACTAGTTCTTTGTAAGATTCTTACGATTCTCTCAACTTCAACGTGAGAGATCAGATACTTTTGATCAGTGTTTCTTCCAGACTTTTTTCTCCGGGGGGGCACTTGAAATCTTCGGGGGGAGGGGGGAGGCGGTAAACTTTCTTCGGGGGGGGGGGGCGGACACTGTTAAAAGTATATATTTTCTATATATAAATTATATAAATTTCATTTCGTTCGGGGGGGCGTAAAAAATTTTCCGGGGGGCTTCGCCCCCCCGAAAAGATGCCTGGAAGAAACTGTGTGCGAGAAGGCAGGGCAAATCTGCGAAATCCAAGACTACGAGCTGTTAACATCCGTTGGATTCCAGTTTGTTTTCTCTAGCTTGTTTTGTCATACCATCAACCAATCAACGAAATACCCATGTCGTATTCCAATGTGAACAATAAATATTTCTGATAACTTCTTCTTGTATGTCACTTGTGTGTCCTTACTCTAACAAACTTCGAATCCAATATGTACCATATCACAACAGAGATCGTTCAAAACTAGAACATAAAAGGCTGGTCTAAACATATTAGCGTTAGCTACAAACTACCCTCTAACACAGATCAGGCTTATTTTTTTTTACTGACATTACTAATCTTTCGCAAAAAAAGTTAAACGCATCTTAATGGGAATTAAATTGTCGTAAAGTTTTAAGGAATGAAAATCATACAATGTAATTATTAAACCTTGTCCGGACTGTAGCATACACGCTTACACACACGCTTACACACACAAATACACTCTTACCCACACACAAGCTTATATATAAACACACTATCACACACACATAATTATACACACACACACACACACACACATATATATATATATATATATATATATATATATATATATATATATATATATATATATATATATATATATATATAAGCGGGGGGGGGGGGCGCCAAATTGAAAGTTCGCCCCGGGCGCCGGGAAGGGTCGCTACGCCTCTGTTGTTGTGGAGTACGTGTCATCAAACAATTTGTTGGTTGTGATGATTGTTGTAGAGTACGTGTCATCAAACTACGTGTAGCCCAGAATGCTTGGCATGACATGACAGGGACTGCGTGGTTGAGTGTTAGAGCACACTACCTTCTACCCAATAACCTAGAGTACGATTTCATGGCTAGGGTTATAAGAACGTTCCAGATGCCATCAAGTTCTGATGGGTATCTTATTGCATCACGTCCTGATTGCTGTTATGGGCACCTGATTTTAGAATGAGTGCACCCTGCTCTTATGGGTACCTGATTTTAGAATGAATCCCCCCTGCTCTTATGTGTACCTGGTTTTAGAATGATTGCACCCTGCTCTTATGGGTACCTGATTTTAGAATGAGTGCACCGTGCTCAAATGGGTGCTTGATTTTAGAATGAATCCCCCCTGCTCTTATGTGTACCTGGTTTTAGAATGAATTCCCCCCCCCTGCTCTTATGGGTACCTGATTTTAGAATGAATCCCCCCCCCTGCTCTTATGTGTACCTGGTTTTAGAATGATTGCACCCTGCTCTTATGGGTACCTGATTTTAGAATGAGTCCCCCCTGCTCTTATGTGTACCTGATTTTAGAATGAGTGCACCGTGCTCAAATGGGTGCTTGATTTTAGAATGAATCCCCCCTGCTCTTATGTGTACCTGGTTTTAGAATGAATCCCCCCTGCTCTTATGTGTACCTGGTTTTAGAATGATTGCACCCTGCTCTTATGGGTACCTGATTTTAGAATGAGTGCACCGTGCTCAAATGGGTGCTTGATTTTAGAATTAATCCCCCCTGCTCTTATGTGTACCTGGTTTTAGAATGATTGCACCCTGCTCTTATGGGTACCTGATTTTAGAATGAGTGCACCGTGCTCAAATGGGTGCTTGATTTTAGAATTAATCCCCCCTGCTCTTATGTGTACCTGGTTTTAGAATGAATCCCCCCCCCCTGCTCTTATGGGTACCTGGTTTTAGAATGAGCTCACCCAGAGGCGCAGCGACCCATTCCGGCGCCCGTAGTGAGCTATCAATTTTGCGCCCAACCCCCCTTAATTTGAAAAGGTTGGTTGCTTATTTGACCAGTCACTGACAGTTTTGATGTCGGTGTCACACAATTGATGTAGAGAACAGCTAAATCCGTCTGTAAAGCCAATATCCCGTCTTCTTTCTTAAGTTCCTGGATAATTCAGTAACGCAGCTCAAAGTGAGCTTTTTTTTCCCCACCCAGTTGGCGCCCCCATTAGAAAACAGTTACATCAATCAGTAAATGCAACTAGTAGAACATTTTCTTAATTTTCCAATGCGGCTAAAAATAGCTGTTTATTTTACTTTCGCTATCCAGTTTGGCGCATCTAAGGGACGGAACCCGAGGCTACCACTAAATGTAGTCGCGTTAAAACGCACCCAGTTATCTGCCCTTATTTGATTCGTGGACGACGCTCAGGCGAGAAATGAACCAACCGTGACAAACATGTCACCATCGACAGATACGTGACAAACATGTCACCATCCGTGACCATGTCACCATCGACAGTTCCGTGACAAACATGTCACCATCGACAGCTCAGTGACAAACATGTCACCATCGACAGCTCCGTGACAAACCGTGACAAACATGTCACTATCGATAGTTCCGTGACAAACATGTCACCATCAACAGTTCCGTGATAGAGAGTAATATTGTTATCTTGTTTAATATCGAAATTATTTAATTTACTTTTTAATTACTAAATTAAATAACTAATTAGATTAAAACTTAGACATTCTTGCATTTTTATCGAAGAAGAAGGTATCTGGAAACTTTGAATAAAATCGCTGAATTTAAAATGGCTCAAAATTATGTCACAGGATCTGCTTAGTCCACAAACTAACAAACAAACGAACAGACGTTGCTAACTAAATAAAAGATGGTAAGAGTAGCATGCATGTCTTGTGAGGAAAGTACCCCTGTAAAAAATATATCACGGACAAAGTAATTCACGGAAATGTCTCAGAATAAAATAATCCGGACAAAATATCTCAGAATTAGGACAAAATATCTCAAAACCAGGACAAAATATCTCAAAATCAGGACAAAATATTTCATGACAAGTTAATGATATCTAAGTTGAGATATCTTGTTACTATGTATTTGTCCCTGAGATATCTTGTTACTATGTATTTGTCCCTGAGACATCTTGTTACTATGTATTTGTCCCTGGGATATCTTGTTGCTATGTATTTGTCCCTGGGATATCTTGTTACTATGTATTTGTCCCTGAGACATCTTGTTGCTATGTATTTGTCCCTGAGATATCTTGTTACTATGTATTTGTCCCTGAGACATCTTGTTGCTATGTATTTGTCCCTGAGATATCTTGTTACTATGTATTTGTCCCTGAGACATCTTGTTACTATGTATTTGTCCCTGGGATATCTTGTTGCTATGTATTTGTCCCTGGGATATCTTGTTACTATGTATTTGTCCCTGAGATATCTTGTTGCTATGTATTTGTCCCTGAGACATCTTGTTGCTATGTATTTGTCCCTGGGATATCTTGTTACTATGTATTTGTCCCTGAGATATCTTGTTGCTATGTATTTGTCCCTGGGATATCTTGTTACTATGTATTTGTCCCTGAGATATCTTGTTGCTATGTATTTGTCCCTGAGACATCTTGTTACTATGTATTTGTCCCTGAGATATCTTGTTACTATGTATTTGTCCCTGAGACATCTTGTTGCTATGTATTTGTCCCTGAGATATCTTGTTACTATGTATTTGTCCCTGAGACATCTTGTTGCTATGTATTTGTCCCTGAGATATCTTGTTACTATGTATTTGTCCCTGAGACATCTTGTTACTATGTATTTGTCCCTGGGATATCTTGTTGCTATGTATTTGTCCCTGGGATATCTTGTTGCTATGTATTTGTCCCTGGGATATGTTGTTACTATGTATTTGTCCCTTAGATACAGAGGCGTATCCAGGTTTTCGTTGTAGGGGGAGCGGAAAGAGCAAAAAAAGGCGCCGAATTTTTAACACGTTCTATATACGTGTATTATATATATATATATATATATATATATATATATATATATATATATATATATATATATATATATATATATATATATATATATATATATAATTACTAGCTGTATGTCATTACTTCGCTATGATGTAAAATAAATTGAAAGTACCACACTGAAGAAATAAGAAAAAACACACAATGTAGGCCGACAAAACAAAAATTGTATCAATCTAAACAAACAAAAAATATACACACACTACAACCAAAAACAATGAACGTAACACAATCTGTTTTGTAATTCTTGTAAAAAAAAATTCTTACATAATAATTCCTGGGAAATTATTTAAGACAAGTGAAATAGGGGAAATAATCACTCTCTTAATATAAATATGTATATATCTACACATTTAATTATCAATGTCAAAACAAATAAATAATTACTTTAGAATATAATGAAATTGTTTTACACTATTCGTGTTTATAAAATGTAATCGTCCTTATAAATGCTAGAGTATTACAATATAATGAAAGTTTTTAAAATCAGAGTTGGTATAAAATCACGCTTTTCGATATAATAGAAAAGCACTCGGAATTACAGTCTACATTTAACTAAATATCGGTTTTTTAGTTCAGATCATATTTTTTAAATTAACTACTGCTTCTTTGTGTTCTTATAAGATCATTTTTAACATAGTGATAGGTATGGGTTAGATCACTATATTGATCACACACCTTTTTTACTGGTAATTGCAAAAACAATATTCACAGAGTTTTACGTTTAAAAAGCTAATTTTCTGGCGGCATGGTACTTTCGTACATCATTACGCGTTTTTCTACATCTACTTAACAGATCAGTTCGGGTGGGTTGGGGGGGGGGGGGGGGGGGGTTGCAACTTCATTCACCACTGTCTGGTCACTTTAGGTCAATTATCCAACCCAGTGTATACCTAGGTGTGACATAAATGTCGCTCTACACAATTGTGGTGGTGAGGTGTGTGTATATGGGGGGGGGGGGGGAGAGAGATAACCAACTCAGAGTGAACATAGCGTCAGTTTTTAGATGACTGTTCTAAACATACATATACATTACACAAATATATATATTACACAAATATATATTACAGAAATAGATTTAAATAAGTAGCAGTGGTATTATGACAATATTTTTTTTTACAGAGGGGTCCATGGGGGAGGGGGGTTGTAACTGTTTTATATAATTTGTAATCGTAATCACTATCGCCCAAACTGTAAGAATACTACTTTTTCATCGTGATGACGTTGTTGGCCTTGTCAAAATTTCCCCACCACTACGCAGTTTGCTCATAAGTAAATTTAAATAGAGGTGCCACGTCAGTTGTATTTGTTTCTGTATTGTAATTTTTTTAAATTAATCACACGATTCAAACTGTATATATAAACTAATTATGTGTGAAGTTTTATGTATAACATTTTCTAATTCAATTATTCGTAAGCAAATACATTATACAGTTGCCTTAAACTTAACACCCCTCTTGCCAAGTGGTACTACCCGTAGAGGTTTTTTAAACATTGCAATGCATCGTAATGGTTATTTTTAGAATGGCAAACTGATGCAGCTGTTAATACGTGTTGTAAACGTATACACTCCTAGACTAGTACAATAATGCTTAATTGCTGCATGAAAAGAAATCTTGTGATTTACATAGATGTGCCGACCAAAAATATTTTTTTAACAAATATCATTGTTTAAAACTTTGAGTTTAAAAAGTTTTAAAAAGGCGCCACTTTGCTGAAAATGGCCAGAGGGGGAGCGGCCGCTCCCCCTGCTCCCCCCCCCCTGCGTACGCTACTGCTTAGATATCTTGTTACTATGTATTTATCCCTGAGATATCTTGTCACTATGTATTTGTCCCTGAGATATATTCTCTGGGATATTATATCGTTTGTCTGAGATATTTTATCCTGGTAAATTTTGTTGTTGTATATTTTGTCTGTCGCCGTTCTTTAACTGTAGAGCAAGGGTCTCCAAACTACGGCCCGCGGGCCAGATGCGGCCCGCGAAGTCCTCTCATCCGGCCCGCGGAGATCGTTTTTGTCCAAGGAAAAAATCATTTGTTGGTGATGGCTGAGGAACTTTGCCCAGAATAATCAAAGACATGCCTGGAAGAAACTGGCCCCCGAACTGAAAATTGATAGTTAATGCGGCCCTCGGACTGAAAAGTTTGGAGACCCCTGCTGTAGAGTATAATCCAAAACACTATTTATTTGCGCACCGCCTCAAACTATAAATAGAATGTAAAATTTCTTTCGCTGCTGTCTATCGATTAGGCCACGTTCTGTCTACATTGAAATAGAAAGCAAAACTTTTCATGTAACATGGATTCCACAAGAACTAGATTCATTTAAATTATGGTATTTGTATTTTTACAGAATTTGTTTTTTCCATTTAAAAATCTGCGTTTTCATTAATATTATGGATATGTATAGCAATGATATAAATTTAAACTTTTTACAAAAATAAGAACAATATCTATCATTCATCTTTTTAATTCGGGAAAGATTTTATTGTTCAGTCAGCTCTTTCGATACTTTGTTACTTCCGGAATGCCAAGATGGCGAATGACTACATACTTAGGTAGTGTGAAGGCGTGGCACATTTTGTATTTTATAAGTTAACATGTATTTAGTTGTTAGCCTTGTCCTGCCAATGAGACATAGGCCTTAGACAAGTCTTCTAGGCCAAGTGGTCGTGGACTAGCGCCTCAGCCTGTCCCTAATGGTAACCAATCTTTCATGTGCCCCTCTCCCTGCCACGTCTGTAGGATTTTTTTCTCATCTATGGCTAGATAGCTCTATAATTCTGGTTTTTTTCTCATCTATGGCTAGATAGCTCTTTAATTCTGGGGTTTTTCTCATCAGAGGCTAGATATCTCTTTAATTCTGGGTTTTTTCTCATCAGAGGCTAGATATCTCTATAATTCTGGGGTTTTTCTCATCAGAGGCTAGATATCTCTTTAATTCTGGGGTTTTTCTCATCTATGGCTAGATAGCTCTATAATTCTGGGGTTTTTCTCATCAGAGGCTAGATAGCTCTATAATTCTGGGGTTTTTCTCATCTATGGCTAGATAGCTCTATAATTCTGGGGTTTTTCTCATCAGAGGCTAGATAGCTCTATAATTCTGGGGTTTTTCTCATCAGAGGCTAGATATCTCTTTAATTCTGGGGTTTTTCTCATCAGAGGCTAGATATCTCTATAATTCTGGGGTTTTTCTCATCAGAGGCTAGATAGCTTTATAATTCTGGGGTTTTCTCATCAGAGGCTAGATATCTCTTTAATTCTGGGGGTTTTCTCATCAGAGGCTAGATAGCTCTATAATTCTGGGGTTTTTCTCATCAGAGGCTAGATATCTGATTATCTCTATAATTCTGGGGTTTTTCTCATCAGAGGCTAGATCTCTTTAATTCTGGGGTTTTCTCATCAGAGGCTAGATATCTCTTTAATTCTGGGGTTTTCATTGGGGTGCCTGTACTGCTATGCTGGTCTACACATTACATACTGCTGTAACATTACCCCTTACCCGACCCTAAACATAAACACTGCAATATAGCTTGAAAGCGAATTGATGAAAGACTGTCAGAGTTCGGTTCAAATTTGTAATGATATTTGTATCCGCGATTTTAAGGGTTAAGGCTAGAGCTAGGTTACGGTTAGAGCTAGGTTTAGACTTAGGAGTGAATCCTGTAAATACGGCGGATAATGTTACACGTGAGTTAATATTTTGGGTTAGCATTGAATGTGATCTACATAGTCTAGTGGAGCACAAATCTACATTAATATCAGGTTAGCATTGAATGTAATGTACATAGTCTAGTAGAGCACAAATTTACATTAACCTTAGGTTAGCATTGAATGTAATCTACATAGTCTAGTAGAGCACAGATTTACATTAATCTCAGGTACCCTCTTTTCTACCACAAGGCCTGAAGTACCAAGATGTCAAAGAAAAACTAGAAATGGCATGACGTCATCAGAAGCGTGGAAGTATGAAGTCATCGTGATAATAAAAGTGACGAGATGGTGCCACACACGTTACGTGACGCAGTCTATTTGGTTTCAGGACCCTGTTACCAAATGTTACACTTCATTATGAGACATCCTAGTATGTGTTGCTGTATGTTTGACTATTACAATGTCCAATTATGAAAATGGCTAACATGATCCCCAACTTTTATTGGTCGACTGTATCTTCAATTTGATTGTGTGATTGTGTCGCGTACTTTGATTGGCTGACTCTGCTGTTGAGCCATGCATTTTCACCACGAGATGATTGCCTTTGAGGACGAAATGGTGGCCGCCATCTACACCTACGAGACACCGGAAGTCAAATTGTCTCAGGTGATTTTCGTCGTGGTGGCCTCGATATACATCCCCCTCGTCATCTTCTCGAACCTTCTCATCTGCTGCAGCATCGTGATGTACCCCGGCTTCTACAACAGCAACAACATGTTCATCCTGATGATAGCCTGTTTCGACTTCCTGCTGGGCGCGTACACCCTTCCCCTGCAGATCCTGTGCTACGTGGAGGAGACGAAGCAGTACATCTCCAGGCGGATGTTCCTGTGTTTGCTGAAGCTGGTCTCGGCCATGGTGTCAGAAGACGGGTCCCTGTATTTCCTGATGCTCCTGTCCGCTGACCGTTGCCTCGCCATAAACTTTCCCGGCAAATACCCCGGGTGGGCCACGCTCAAGCGCGCGACCTTTCTCAGCCTCGTGGTCACATCGTACACCATGACTAAAGCGTCCCTCCCCGCGCTGGGCTGGAACCTCTACAACCACACACAACCCGACGCCAACCTGCAGTGCGATTTCCACCTCACCCTCCCCGGCTCCTTCATCCGATGGTGCCACGCCTTCCCCAACAACGCCGCCATCGTCGTCTCTTCCATTATCAACATCCAAATCGCGTACGTCATTTTTCGAAAAGTTCGCTCTTTTAAAAAGGACAGCTCGTCGTGGACGCGCGAAGAGAGACGAAACTTCCGGTCGCGAATCACGAGCGTGAAGATCCCACTAGCCCTTATGTTCTTCTTCACGGCCCTGCACATCCCATTTCTTCTTCTCCTACCGTTCAAGCTGGCCAACATTTTCCCAAAGCATATAGAAGAAACGTTGAGCATATACTCGACTATACTGGCTTTCGGTAACGCCATCGTTAAAGGTCCCATCTACGCCGTTATACGGACAGAGTACAGGAACGTTTTCCTGGCCTTGTTGACCAACTCCCCGCTCCGGTGGAGGGAGAGTTTGCGGAAGCTCCACCGCCAGAAGAAGTTCAGCTACGTGACGTACGAAGCCGTGCCGTCAGTCGCACACAAGAAGAGCGTCCCCTTTGTGGACGTGTCGGGCGTCGTGGACCGAGACTCGGGCCTCACAGACGGGGTCAGCACCCAGTCCCCCTCCCTGGTGGGGTCGCGGGCCGGGGGTGGCACCAGTTCCAGTGACCCAGCGGGCACGTGTGTGGACGACTCAGACAAGAAACACATGCCCATGTCCTCGTCGGTCGACGGCATTCAGCTGCGTGGGTATAAAAGTAAGGAGGCGCTGGTCAGGAAGACGTCTATACTTAGTGGAAGTGGTTCAAACAAATGACGCAATTATTCACAAAAACTTATTACTGTCATTATCAAAATATTGATCACATGTATTGTAAATGTAATCATAAAATCTTGATCATATACATTGTAAATGTAATCATAAAATCTTGATCATATGCATTGTAAATCTAATCATAAAATAAATTTAAAAAATTGCATATACCGCTGATGATTTGGTTTTAGACATTTCAGTCTGCCTGTAGGCCTATTCTTTTTTTAGTTGTAATGTTTCTATTTGAGAGTATGCGTACAAAAACTTGTAACAAAATGATGTAACTTTACGTAATAGATTTAAAGTAGCCTGTGATGAATCAGAGACATCTTTATAATATCAACTCTTAAGGCAGTCTAGAATAATGGGCAGATAAATGTGTTTTTAGAGACATGTCATAGTTTATTTGGATTGTATCCCTTGAAGGAAATAATTTTCTCCAAGTATTACATACATGACTTAATGTGTTTGAGTGATATTCATGATTGCGGCTTCCTTGGAAAATTTAAATAGCATGACGTCAAACTAAGGTGGTTGGATGACACACCATCACTCAACCGTTAACTGGCCACTCAACCCATACATCACTCCATCAGTCCATCACTAGACCACTCACCTCTCCATCACTCACACTCTCAACCTCCCGGCCCCTCGACCCCCTGGCCCCTCGACCCCTCGGCCACTCGACCCCCCGGCCACTCGACCCCCCGGCCACTCGACCCCCTGGCCCCTCGACCCCTCGGCCACTCGACCCCCCGGCCCCTCGACCCCCCGGCCACTCGACCCCCCGGCCCCTCGACCTCCCGGCCCCTCGACCTCCCGGCCCCTCGACCCCCCCCCCCGGCTCCTCGACACCCCGGCCCCTCAACCTCCAGGCCCCTCGACCCCCCGGCCCCTCAACCTCCAGGCCCCTCGACCCCCCGGCCCCTCAACCTCCCGGCCCCTCGACCCCCCCCCCGACCCCTCGACCCCCCCGGCCCCTCAACCTCCCGGCCCCTCGACCCCCCCCCCCCCGACCCCTCGACCCCCCCGGCCCCTCAACCTCCAGGCCCCTCGACCACTTGACGCCTCGACCCCTTGACCACTCCCAATTCTCGCCGTTCCATAAGACAATGATAATCGTGAATCACACTAAGCTAGTACCCGTGATATTCGCAACGTTTTCAAATCATGCCAGGTTTCATAGCTCATAAATCTGGCCATAAATACCCCATTAAAAACATGTGAAAAAAAAAACTAGGTGGAGGTGATCATAAATCGCCACTTTGCTTACGCCTTTTTTTTTTTATTATCAAAAGGGAAATTACTCCTGCAGAAAAAAAGAATTGTTATAGTTCATTAACCTGCCCCTTATATCTGTTTAAATGATAAACACTGATTAAGCCATGCAGCCAATATCAGGTGGCTGCGGTTACATTAAAATATATCGATAACTATTGATTTTTCTGATGGTATCGATAATTGTATTGGTCTGATTTCGTTGGCTTCATACTCGCTTGAATGGGTGGAGGGACAAGCTGTTGAATCGATTACTGCCGCTAGAGCTGGCTGGCGCATTTCTGTCATTCGGCTTCACCCCCTAGTTAAGGGTTGCATTGTGGGGGGGGGGGTATATGGGGGTGTTATGGGGATATGGTGCTACACTATAAGGGTTAAGGGCTGGGGGAGGGGGGTAACAACGACTCACGTTTTGTGCAACTTACATAGAATATAAAGGCAACTCACGAACAGTAAAAAAAAAATTATTGTCATAATACCACTGTTATTTATTTAAATATATTTCTGAACCAGTATATATGTATAATTGTATATGTATGCTTAGAACAGTCATCTGAAAACTGACGCTATGTTCACTCTGAGTTGGTTCCAGTAGTTCCACCCCTTCCCCCTAACCCTCACCACCTGAAACGGGACAGGCCTTAATTGTGTAGAGCGACATTAATGTCACACCTAGGTATACGCTGGGTAGGATTATAGATCTAAAGTGACCGGACAGTAGTGAATGCAGTTGAACCCACCCCGAACTGATCTGTTAAGTACATTTGGGAAAGCGCGTAATGAGGTACCAAAGTACCATGCCGCCAGAATCATAGCTTTTGAAACAGGTAAAACTGTGTAAATATTGTTTTTGCAATTACCAGTAAAGAGGTGTGTGATCAATACAGTGATCTAACCCATACCTATCATTATGTTAAAAAATGATCTTTGAAGAACACAATAAACAGTAGCTAATTTTAAAAAAAAATGTATGATCTGAACTACAAGACCAATATTTTAGTCATATGTAAGCTATTTGTCAGAATGTTCCACCTATTAGATTTAATTTCTCTATGTGATTGAAAAGCTTGATTTTATGTCAACTCTGATTTCAAAACCTTTCATTCATATTTTAGCATTTATGATGACAATGGAGCTACAACTCACAAAAAGGGAAATAACTTCCACTGACTTTTTTTTTCTTTAATAATATTCCACCAGGAAATGGATCTTCGTAGGGAGAATTATGCAATAAGCACAACTAAAGTAAGATGTGTGACTAACGGGCTGGCTAATACAGTTTTAGGACCACTGGGTGTATAGAGCTGTATGGACTTTGAAACTAGCTGAAAACAGGGTTTCTTTCAGTTTCCTTTAGGTATCTTTTTCTATAACGTTAAAGGGAGGTGGGGGGGGGGGTGGATGTGCTCCGGTGACCCCGGAGAAAGGCCTTAATGAAACAATGGCTTATAACATTATAAACAAATCGATAGACCACTAGACAGTAACATAAACAAATAAATAAAAGAGCTCTGAACTATCAAACCGTCCACATGAGAAGTGTGAACATAAACTTCTTGTGCCTCAGGCACCAGGAGAGCCAAAAGGTGACTCGCCAAAAGGTGACTCGCCGAAAGCTGACTCGCCAAAAGCTGACTCGCCAAAAGCTGACTCGCCAATAGGTGACTCGCCAAAAGTCGACTCGCCAAAAGACGACTCGTCAAAAGACGACTCGCCAAAAGACGACTGGCCAAAAGGTGACTCGCCAAAAGGTGACTCGCCAATAGGTGACTCGCCAAAAAGATGACTCGCCAAAAGCTGACTCGCCAATAGGTGACTCGCCAAAAGGTGACTCGCCAAAAGGTGACTCGCCAAAAGGTGACTCGCCAAAAGGTGACTCGCCAAAAGGTGACTCGCCAAAATTCGACTCGCCAAAAGGTGACTCGCCAAAAGTGACTCGCCAAAAGGTGACTCGCCAAAAGTGACTCGCCAAAAGGTGACTCGCCAAAAGGTGACTCGCCAAAAGGTGACTCGCCAAAAGTCGACTCGCCAAAAGTCGACTCGCCAAAAGTCGACTCGCCAAAAGTCGACTCGCCAAAAGTCGACTCGCCAAAAGGTCACTCGCCAAAAGGTCACTCGCCAAAAGGTGACTCGCCAAAAGTCGACTCGCCAATTGACTCGCCAAAAGCTGACTCGCCAAAAGGTGACTCGCCAATTGATTCGCCAAAAGGTGACTCGCCAATTGACTCGCCAAAAGACGACTCGCCAAAATGTGACTCGCCACTTGATTCGCCAAAAGGTGACTCGCCAATTGACTCGCCAAAAGGTGACTCGCCAAAAGGTGACTCGCCAAAAGGTGACTCGCCAATTGATTTGCCAAAAGCTGACTCGCCAAAAGCTGACTCGCCAAAAGCTGACTCGCCAAAAGCTGACTCGCGCCAAAAGCTGACTCGCCATTCGCCAAAACCTGACTCGCCAAAAGGTGAAAAAGTGTGAATACAACGAGCTAGGGCTTCCGTAACTCCGTCTACCTGTACAGCGAGCGTGTCAAGCTGGTGTCAACGCTTCACCGACCTACCTGTTCGTGTTGGGCGGGGACGAATTTTTTCAACAGGTACACCAGCCCGGCTGGATGTGTTTCGGTGGTTCGTTAGGAATTTCTTCCATATAAAGCCGTGATTGGTTGAGTTTTTAAACGGCTTGGTTTATCAATCTGTTGTTTGATTAGTGGGGATCTATCGATAGCTGGACGCACGTGAGAAAATTCTGTTGGTCACGTTTGACCGTTTGGTACGGAGGTGTGGATCTATAAATAGAAGAGGAGCCTTCATGCCTTAGTTGTCACTATCAGGAACCCAAGTATGTGCATTATTTTTTTCAACTTTTTGTGTGTTGCGTCTATTTTCTACGTCGATCTAGTTTTAGTGGCTGCGCACTTTTTTACTGCGCAGTTGTTTGTTTTTCTCAGAATCACACGGGGGTGTGTTAGCCAAACAACTACAGCCACGAGAATATTTTGCCGCGGTTTGTTTTCGTTGTGTCAGATGGTATTAGAGCCGATACTTACCCCCTCCCCATCTATAAATCTTCACAATATAAGCCAGACATGCTTCCCCACCCCCCCCCCCCCTCTCTAAACAATTTAATATATACTTTATGGCAATATTGTGTTTGTTTATAAGTTTTACTCTCAAGAAATCAAGAAATCTTAGTACAATACTAGGTCACATTTTTATACCACCGCCTCTTGTACGACACCTACCATACTATCTTGAACCTTTACTTTTTGGCAAGCGTTCATCTTAATCCTAGCCCAAATATTAACCTAAACCGAATCCAAGCCTTAAACCTATATATATATATATATATATATATATATATATATATATATATATATATATATATATATATATATATATATATATATATATATATATATATATGTGTGTGTGTGTGTACCCTGTGACAAAAGCTACCTGTATATTCTGTATTATGTGATGTATAAGCCACGCCCTGTGAAGATCAAATGGCTTATCGTCATCTCTACTATCAAGATGGGATTAGTTGTCCACGTTCTATTGTTAGCGGTGAGAGCTCGCATAGTATGTAAGGTGTGGGCGGGTGTGTGGTGTAGAGAGTGGTGTCATGAAAGTTGTGGTGTGGGTGCTTTGAAATGGTTTCACGCAAGTCATATGTGTGGGGTGTTATGAAGTGGTGTTATTAAAGTAGGGGGTGTGGGTGTTTATCAATGGTGTCACTCGAGTACTATGTATGGGGTGTTATGAAGTGGTGTTATTAAAGTAGGGGTGTGGGTGTTTATCAATGGTGTCACTCGAGTACTATGTATGGGAGTGTTATGGATGTTATTAAAGTAGAGGCGTGAGTGTTTAGAATTAAGGTCTTTAAGTCCTATGTGTGTAGTGTTATGTGTGTGGTGTTATGTGAAGTGGTGTTATCATAGTAGGGGTGTGAGTGTTTAGAATTAAGGTCTTAAAGTCCTGTGTAGGGTGTTATGTGTGGGGTGTTATGTGAAGTGGTGTTATCATAGTAGGTGTGTGAGTGTTTAGAAATAAGGTCTTAAATCCTATTAGTGTTATGTGTGTGGTGTTATGTGTGTGGTGTTATGTGTGTGGTGTTATGTGTGTGGTGTTATGTGTGTGGTGTTATGAAGTGTCTCGACTAAACCCTCTCCTTTAGTTCGAATGTCGGGCCAACAATGATACACTCCAATCTCCATCTTTCCTCCTGCCAAAACACCGAACACACCGTCCATTCATTCTGCCCACCCATTGACATTTCAACACGCATGTCCTTTTTTTTTAAAACAAAGATGGCAACCAATCACCTTGACCTTTAGTTGTTTTCCTTTAACTTACGGACTACCAACGTACGCACCGGACCCGGCTTAAACACGAAAATCCGTTTCAAAAACTTGAAAAAAAAAACAAGTTTGCTCTTTTAAGCCATTAAAACTGATTGTATCGGGGCTATGATTGGAAAGATAACTCAGTAATGGTTCATGGTTTGAGGAGTGATGGTTCGTGGTTTAACGGCGTTATCGTTCTTGCTTTGACGGAGTGATTGTTCTTGGTTAGATTAAGTTATGGTTGTTGGAGGGATGGAGTGATTGTTCTTGGTTAGATTAAGTTATGGTTGTTGGTGGGACGAGTGATTGTTCTTGGTTAGACTAAGTTATGGTTGTTGGTGGGACGGAGTCAATGTTCTTGGTTAGACTAAGTTATGGTTGTTGGTGGGACGAGTGATTGTTCTTGGTTAGACTAAGTTATGGTTGTTGGAGGGATGAGTGATTGTTCTTGGTTAGATTAAGTTATGGTTGTTGGTGGGACGAGTGATTGTTCTTGGTTATTAATAGACTAAGTTATGGTTATTGAAGGGACGGAAGGAATTTCTTGGTTACTACAGTAGGAAGATACAAAGTTAGATGTGTATAAGCTAGTGTCACTACAGTAAAGTAAGATACTAAGATAGCCATGTATAAGCTAGCATCACTACAGTAGGAAGATACAAAGATAGCCGTGTATAGCTAGCGTCACTACAGTAAAGTAAGATACAAAGATAGCCGTGTATAAGCTAGCGTCACTACAGTAAAGTAAGATACAAAGATAGCCGTGTATAAGCTAGCGTCACTACAGTAGGAAGATACAAAGATAGCCATGTATAAGCTAGCGTCACTACAGTAAAGTAAGATACAAAGATAGCCGTGTATAAGCTAGCGTCACTACAGTAGGAAGATACAAAGATAGCCGTGTATAAGCTAGCGTCACTACAGTAAAGTAAGATACAAAGATAGCCATGTATAAGCTAGCGTCACTACAGTAGGAAGAATCAAAGATAGCCGTGTATAAACTAGCATCACTACAGTAGGAAGATACAAAGATAGCCGTGTATAAGCTAGCGTCACTACAGTAAAGTAAGATACAAAGATAGCCGTGTATAAGCTAGCGTCACTAGGAAGATACAAAGATAGCCGTGTATAAGCTAGCGTCACTACAGCTGAGAGCGTGCATTATTTAAAGTCCGCTCGACAAAGTCTACGTTTTAAACTGAAATCTTCCCCGTAGCGGCAGGTCACGTGGTCGATCAAAGAGACGATCTGAGGAATGTATTCTCTCCCCCCCCCCCCCTGACAGGCTGTAGATACAGTATTTAGGATGTTGCTATATTTAGACTGGTGTGTAGGTGGTGGGACATTGTGCGGGATACGGTATGGGTCGCTGTATGGGTCGCTGAATGGGTCATTACGTGGGTCACATTGTGCCCCGTCGTGACCCGTCTTGGGTCACAGAACGGGTTTTATTATGGACAATGTCAAATGTTGTGACACAGCACGTGTCATAGTAAGGGTTACAGTACATGTGACATTATAGTTCACATTTTAAAACGCTGTATGAATGTATTATAGGGTTAACATCATCAATCGCATTGAGTTGTTCTTCACCCAGGTATTAAAGGGTTAAAAGCATACGTCGTTGTGGGTTGTTCTTCACCCAGGTATTATAGGGTTAACACCATCCGTCGTTGTGGGTTGTTCTTCACCCAGGTATAATAGGGTTAAAAACATCCGTCGTTGTGGGTTGTTCTTCACCCAGGTATTATAGGGTTAACATCATCCGTAACTACAGCCTACTGTAATGTGTCCATAGCCCCCCCCCCCCAACCTTCCACCACTACAGCCTAGTGTAATGTGTCCATAGCCCCCCCCCCCCAACCTTCCACCACTACAGCCTACTGTAATGTGTCCATAGCCCCACCACTACAACCTACTGTAATGTGTCCATAGCCCCCCCCCCCCAACCTTCCACCACTACAGCCTAGTGTAATGTGTCCATAGCCCCACCACTACAGCCTAGTGTAATGTGTCCATAGCCCCCCCCCCTTCCCCCAACCTTCCACCACTACAGCCTAGTGTAATGTGTCCATAGCCCCACCACTACAGCCTAGTGTAATGTGTCCATAGCCCCCCCCCCTTCCCCCAACCTTCCACCACTACAGCCTAGTGTAATGTGTCCATAGCCCCCCCCCCCCAACCTTCCACCATTACAGCCTAGTGTAATGTGTCCATAGCCCCACCACTACAGCCTAGTGTAATGTGTCCATAGCCCCCCCCCCTTCCCTCAACCTTCCACCACTACAGCCTACTGTAATGTGTCCATAGCCCCACCACTACAGCCTAGTGTAATGTGTCCATAGCCCCCCCCCCTTCCCTCAACCTTCCACCACTACAGCCTACTGTAATGTGTCCATAGCCCCACCACTACAGCCTAGTGTAATGTGTCCATAGCCCCCCCCCCCAACCTTCCACCACTACAGCCTAGTGTAATGTGTCCATAGCCCCACCACTACAGCCTAGTGTAATGTGTCCATAGCCCCACCACTACAGCCTAGTGTAATGTGTCCATAGCCCCCCCCCCTTCTCTCAACCTTCCACCACTACAGCCTACTGTAATGTGTCCATAGCCCCCCCCCCCAACCTTCCACCACTACAGCCTAGTGTAATGTGTCCATAGCCCCACCACTACAGCCTAGTGTAATGTGTCCATAGCCCCACCACTACAGCCTAGTGTAATGTGTCCATAGCCCCCCCCCCCCTTCCCTCAACCTTCCACCACTACAGCCTACTGTAATGTGTCCATAGCCCCACCACTACAGCCTAGTGTAATGTGTCCATAGCCCCCCCCCTCCCCCAACCTTCCACCACTACAGCCTACTGTAATGTGTCCATAGCCCCCACCACTACAGCCTACTGTAATGTGTCCATAGCCCCACTACAGCCTAGTGTAATGTGTCCATATCCCCCAACCCTATATGAATCTAGTAAATCGATCCTGTCTGGTATCAGTGACATCATTGATTGATTGATTTAGCGCCGCTTAAACACAGACAACAGATCAACTTCCACGCAACACAGAACACATTCTTTACACTGAGCCACACAACACAGACCACATTTTTTTACACCAACATGCGGCCTTCACCAGATTCAAACCAGTTCAGTTCTCAAGATATTCAGTGCTAGACTAACATGGCTTCTCAAAATGTGGGTTCGCGACTCCTATATTATAACAAACGAGCTACACTAACTATAACATGGAGTTCAGGATAATTTTAAAAATTCTCCCAATATTACCAAGTTTTGCTTATACTTTTGTATCGCTGGTCCTCCCACCAAAAATAAAACTTCACTATTTATATAGGGTCGGCAGTGAGGCAATATTTTGGGAATCACTGCTATAACATTCTTAAAACAGTAACCAAAGTAAGTGGTAGTTCACCGGCCCCTGGCAAATGTTTGTTTTACCTTTCTTATCTCACGAAACCAACGGTTATCAACAGGTAATAAAAGCGAGAGGAAAAAAAAATTATGATACTTAAATATTGATCTTTTGGGCTGTCGAGTAGAAACGAGTTTTATTTCATTTACTTGGTTTATAAAACTAACTTTTAACAACTTTTGTGGTGGGACTATTTTATCTTATAAAGCGGTTCTGATAAGAGATGTTTTTTGTGTGCTTATTTAAAACACGAAAGGGAAAAGTTGAATTGAAACGAAGGTGTGACGTGGATGTTGCAGGGTGTGTGTGCTGTTGGTGGATGGAGTGTTTGACTTGGTGACACGCTCGTCAAGTTTAATGTCAACACGGGAGTGGTGAGTGGACGCTAGGTGGTGAGGCTGTAGCGGGATGTGGAGGTTTTAGTAGGTTGTTGTAGGTTTCAGTTGCTTGCTGTTGTAGGTTTCAGTTGCTTGTTGTTACAGGTTTTAGTAGATTGCGGTAGGTTTTTAGATATATTGTGTAAGTGAGGGGATTACAAGTGGGGGAAGGGAGATTTTTTTAGTAGGCAGGGCAGTTGAGTATTGGTACGTTGTAGAGACCAATTGTATATGTATAGGTCTGTTGTTTAAGGTCAGTTATAGAGTTCATTTATAAAGCACTGTAGCAAAGGTCAATTATAGAGGTCATTTGTAAAGGTCAGTTGTAGAGGTCAGCGTTTGTTGGATGTTTGTGACCTAGCGATGGTTATAGAAGGAAACCGTTGTCGTAGGCTGTTGTGTGCCAATCCGTTGGTGTTTGATGGTGTTGGTGTTTGATGGTGTTGGTGTTTGATGGTGTTGGTGTTTGATGGTGTTGGTGTTTGATGGTGTTGGTGTTTGATGGTGTTGGTGTTTGATGGTGTTGGTGTTTGATGGTGTTGGTGTTTGATGGTGTTGGTGTTTGATGGTGTTGGTGTTTGATGGTGTTGGTGTTTGATGGTGTTGGTGTTTGATGGTGTTGGTGTTTGATGGTGTTGGTGTTTGATGGTGTTGGTGTTTGATGGTGTTGGTGTTTGATGGTGTTGGTGTTTGATGGTGTTGGTGTTTGATGGTGTTGGTGTTTGATGGTGTTGGTGTTTGATGGTGTTGGTGTTAGTTATTGTCTTTGGTTTGTTAAATATGATCAAATATTTAAATGTGTGTGAGATTTAAATGTATCATGTCGTTATGTGTCATGTCTGCAGGTGTGTCAGGTTTGCATGTATGTCAGGTCAGCAGGTGTGTCAGATCATCAGGTATGTCAGGTCGGCAGGTGTGGCAGGTATGCAGGTGTGTCATGTATGCAAGTGTGTCAGGTCTGCAAGTGTGTCAGGTTTGCAAGTGTATCAGGTCGACAGGTGTGTCAAGTCGACAGGTGTGTCAGGTCAGCAGGTGTGTCAGGTCAGCAGGCGTGTCAGGTCAGCATGTGTGTCAGGTCGACAGGTGTGTCAGGTCGACAGGTGTGTCAGGTCGACAGGTGTGTCAGGTCTGCAGGTGTGTCAGGTCTGCAGGTGTGTCAGGTCTGCAGGTGTGTCAGGTCTGCAGGTGTGTCAGGTCTGCAGGTATGTCAGGTCGGCAGGTGTGTCAGGTGTGTCAGGTCGACAGGTGTGTCAGGTCAGCAGGTAAATGAAATTTATCTCCCATTTACCTCAATATCCCCATGTACATCAATCTATCATCTTGAGCCGGGAATCTTGACGAAATAAAACCGCGACAACATCTTGTTATATCTACAATAAACTGTTCTTGCCTGCTTTAAAATTTAAGGGCCCCCTACCCCAGCCCTATCAGCCTACCTTTTTAATCCGCCACTGAATTTCATCTAACAACCTCAACCCAACCAACGTTGAAGGACATGCTTTGTTACTGTAACCACTGAGGACAAACTTCCTCCTTTCTTCAGCTGATCTACGTTTGAGAATCTAGCATACAGTAACGCTACATCAATCTCTTTGACTGTTTTCAACTAGGAATAATTTTTTAAAATTTATTTTATGCTTTTATCATGTGATAACCTGAGTATTATTTAAATTCTGAAGCAAACCTAAAGGCTATACAAATGTTTTTTTTTTTTTAAGTGGCTTACACAATAGTGAATTCAAAAGTTTTGAGGCGGGGAAACCCTGAAATTATAAGAGACAGGTTGTTTTGTTTGAATGCTGATATTATCCCGACACTCGTTCAACCATGTAGCCGGCCTATAGTGATAGATGAACGGGTTCGCTTCTTCAATGCAACTTTTCTTTAAATTTCTAAGACGACTTCCATTCCTCTGATGTAATAGATAGAGTAGGACTTTTCTAAGAAACATCCACCACCCACCACACACCCCCACTTCACCAGGTTTTAATTGTCTCCAAAACAGAGGTTTTTTTTTTTAAGAATGACGTTATTTTATAGAAAATCTCGTGTTGTATTTTCGTTGAAATCATTTCTTATGTTGGCCACTTTTGTCACCATTTTTATCCTAAATAGCAGAGCTTGCATAATGAAGGATGCCTAAAATGTCAGGCAGTGGTATATAAAATTACTCTATAAGGTCCTAGGACCTTTGACCACAGGTGCTTTGACCATAGGGGGTTTGACCATAGGGGGTTTGACCACAGCGGAGCTTTGACCATAGCGGTGCTTTGACCATAGCGGTGCTTTGACCATAGCGGTGCTTTGACCATAGGGGGTTTGATCATAGGGGGTTTGACCATAGGGGGTTTGACCACAGGTGTTTTCTCAGCAGAGGGTCTTTGATCGCAGGTGGTCTATCAACTGGTGTTTTCAATAAAGTTAAAGCCAGTTTTTATATAATACTACTCTATATCACTCCTAAAGACAGAGGTATATATTATCCCATACCACTCCCACCCAATAAAACATAACAAGAAGATAAAACCTCCCCTAAGCCCCTTGTGTTCTACATATTACTTGCAGGTTCCTCTGTCGTTAAAACCTGTTTTGTACAAAACCTTTCTGCGAAAAAGATAAAATTTGGGATCTTTGTCTGACAAAATATAAAAATAAATGGGGCTGTCAACTGGAACATCTATCATTCAACAATATATATATATATATACCTGAATGTCTAGACTATACGTTTTATAAAAATAAAAATAAACTTTTTTAATCAAATTGAATGAAATCAATTATACGCCTTTACTTGGCAAAAATGTCATTTCAAACACTGCTTGTCGCTCCACCCACAAAATTCTTGTCCAGTTTTAAACACTGCGTTGTTGTCACGACTTAAAATATGCTTGTATGTTATTTCTTTTAATAATTCGTCTGATTATTTTTTTTTATTCGACTTCTTATTTTTTATCTGATTTTTCATCTTTTTTTTTTTTTAAATTTTTTTAATGCCATCGTATTCTCCAATGTGTATATTAGCACATACATTGTAACTGATATTTCATCATATAATTCTACTTATACGTCTTTATACATTTACGCAATTTTTACATTCGATGCTTCATCTAAGAATTCATCTCGTAATTAATCTTACACATCTTAAATGTAATCTTATATTTTTTACACATACTATTTCATCTAATAATTCATCTAATAATTCATCTGATAATTCATCTAATAATTCATCCGATAATTCATCTTACACGTCAACCTAATCTTCTATGTTTACGTCTACCGTTTCATCCAATCATTCTCTCTATCCCGTTTCATCCAATCATTCTCTCGTATCCCATCCAATCATTCTCTCGTATCCCATCCAATCATTCTCTCGTATCCCATCCAATCATTCTCTCGTATCCCGTTTGATCCACTAATTCTCTCGTATCCCGTTTGATCCACTAATTCTCTCGTATCCCGTTTGATCCACTAATTCTCTCGTATCCCGTTTCATCCAATCATTCTCTCTATCCCGTTTCATCCACTAATTCTCTCGTGTCCCGTTTCATCCAATCATTCTCTCTATCCCGTCCCCAGACCAAGATGGTGATCCAACGAGGGACGTCACAACCTTTGACCAAAGACGTCCTGTACATCGGCAGTGCCGTCCCCCTCGTGACGTCAGAGGGCCTGGAGGCCATCCAGCAGCCTCTCAGCTCCCGGTACCCCGTGGAGAACGATGACCACATCGAGGGGATCAAATCCTCCCTGGCCATCCTACCCTCGGGGATCCAGCTGCAGTATAAAAACGACCCCAGCAACGTCGTGCTCTTTCCGTTCTCCGCGCTCACAATGTGCGCGGCTGTCAGGTGCGTGCGGACCAGCAACGCCGCCACCAACGAGACGCATGCGCGGTTCGTCTCCCTGAGCTCCCCGGAAGCCGGCGGCCTCAACAGCGACCGCCCGGCCATCTTCACCGCCATCACGAGACGAACCAAGGGCAGGCAAGTCCTGGAGTGTCACGGGTTCATCACCATGACGCCGAAAGACGCGATGGACCTAGTGCAGTACACCTCTATCATGGACAAACGCAGCAAGCAGCCCGGGTTTTCCTCAGAGGTCAGCGGGGTCAACTCCTCCACGTACGAGGTCAGTAAAGGCGACATCTCCTTCCAGGCCGAGACCGCCTCGCTGCCAGAGTTTCCCATCCAACTCGTCCCCGGGGAGCCAATGGCCCAGAACACATCGCCAGCCTTCTACAAGGAGCCGCCAGCCAGCGGTTATTTCTACTCGACCAAGAACGCGCAGGTCAAGAAATACTCCCTGCACAGGTACGCCAACGGCGGCGGGGACGACGCCAGCAGCATCGCTCCTCCAGTGATGGAGACGCTTGACCGGCGGTCCGGCTATGCCGGCTCCCACTACTCGACCGGCGCGGCTCCCATGCGCCGCCCCATTATGGTCCCAGTTCGACCCATGTTCGCACCTCCACCTCCTACTTTCATGCGACCTGTTCTTCTACCTCCACCCCGACCCGCCTCAATGTACGCCTACCCCCGCCCTCGCTTCTTCTCCCCGCCCCCTCCCCCGGTAGTCCGCCCCCTCCCCGTGTTCGTCCCTCCCCCAGTCTACTACGACAACAACTTCCGGTCCTCCCATCGCCACCACAGCTTCTCCTCACGGTCCTCCTCATCCTCCCCAGAGACCTCACACATCAGCGGCCACGCCCCCAGGAGGCACCGGGACCACTCGAGCGACTCGGGGTCGCGACCCCAAACCCCGCCCACAGATTACGACTCGCCTCGGGGTCCCCGCGTCAGCCGACGCGAGGAATTTGTCCAACGTCAAAACGGCCACATCCCGGTCCCCATGCACTCCCAAAGCTTCTACATGGTCCCGCCGTACGGCTACTACGGTGCTGTACAGACCCTGGATCGAAACCGCTCCGCTCCGCCGTACAACGACAAAACCGGCACCAAAAAGAAAGACAAAAAATCCAAAAAGAACAAAAAAGAGAAGAAAACCAAGTCCAAGAAACGCGGCACCAACGGCGTCAACGACGTGTCCACGGACAGCCTGGCCGGATCGGAGGCCGGAGCCGAGAACCGGCAACCTCGGGACTTCCGCCGGCTGGAGAACCAGTTCAAGCACGAGCGGGCGTTCTCCAAGTCTCTGACGGAGGAGACCCGGAAGTCAGTCCGCGGGGACGCCGCCCATGACGCCTACACCCTCAACACCACCGGCGTGGACAATGAGTTCCCCATGTACTAGGTACAGTCAGTCATATTTTGTGAGAAAGTCAGCTTCTTATATGCAAGTCAACTTCTCATGTGAAAGTCAACTTCTTATATGCAAGTCAACTTCTTATATGCAAGTCAACTTCTCATATGCAAGTCAACTTCTTATATGCAAGTCAACTTCTTATATGCAAGTCAACTTCTCATATGAACGTCAACTTTTTATATGAAAGTCAACTTCTCTTACGAACGTCAACTTCTTATATGAAAGTCAAATTCGTATAAAATGTAAGGAACAATACAAAGACTTGAAGTGGAGTTGAACATGTAGGACATTGTTGAGCACGCAGAACATTATAGGACACTGCAGGACCTTGTAGGAAACTGCAGGACATTGTAGGATACTTTAGGACACTGCATGACATTGTATACCACTGAAGGACACTACAGGATACTGCAGAACATTGAGGATACTGTAGGACACTTCAGGACATTGAAGTACTGAACGTAAAGCAACTGTATAACGTAAAGCAACTGTATAACTCACGTTCAAAACTGAAGACAAGAGCGAAGGTAGACATAGGTTTTCCAGGGTATGAATCAACTGTTTAGTAGTAGTAGTGATCAAGATTTATAAGAATATCTCTAAGAATTAACAGTTAATTTTAGAAGTCACCATTTGACATCATATGAAGTCACCACCATACACTAGAAGTCACGATCTAACATCATATGGTTCACTATCTAACACAGTAGGTGTCACCACCACACTAGCAGTCACCATTTAATACAGGTGTCATCATCATACGTCACTTACCTTTTTCCATTTAGACTTTAGGATTCGAACCCGAACCCTATGCTAGAAAGATCCCCATCTATTCCCATGTGTCGCCCTGTTGTTCAATGACAGTGTATTTGTCTGGAATCTCTGAAGTTCTTTGTGCTTTCATGTGTTATCATTCCAAAATGCTGACCACCCACGACGACACATACGTTATTTCGTTTGTTTCCATTGTGAGACATCATTTAATTGTAGCCAACATTTAACGTGTAACTATGTTTATCATTCATCGCAGTCCCCGTGCATTGTGGCGTCACAAGGTTTGTGTGTTGTTGTTGTTATGAGCTTTCACCTTTGACCGATGAACTATTCTGAGTATGGTTGTTCGTGTCAGCGCGGAACACGCAAGCAGCCTCAACACAGAGCACACTCCAACATGCTATACACACTCTCATTCAGCACACATACCAGGAGACATGTGTTCTATACACGCGTGACTTTTGTGACCCGTAATCTTTGTGACTCAAGATCTTTGTGACCCGAGATATTTGTGACACAATATCTTTGTGATATGTGATTTTTGTGACACGTGATTTTTGTGACACAAGATCTTTGTGACACAAGAACTTTGTGACACGATATCTCTTTTACCTAAGATCTCTGTGTCACCCAAAGCTTTTGTCTCAAGTTATCGAGGTTTACAAAAAAAATTTGTTACCACGTGAACTTTGTTTTGTAACTTACATGTAAAATCACAGTGTGGTTGGGCTCAAGGGGACACAATGGCAAAGTTAATTAACAATAGATTTTTTATTCAGCTAGAAATAAATACCTCACTATGAACAAAGGAGAAGATATTTTGTAAAGGGTTTCAACTGGGGGGGGGGGGGGGGAGGTTACAGGCCTAGAATATCGGGGGGGGGGGGGGGGGGAGACCAACAGGTTTAGCATATACGCTCTTTCATGATTTTACACTATTCTTTTATCTTTACTTATCCATGGGGAATGGGTGGATGTTATATGTGACAACACTGGTAGAGTAGATCTTGGGGAAACACGGTTATAGCAAGTGCTATTGTTATTTTATAATTAGATGGGTGACATTAAGTATCCATCAGTGTCATTAGACGTGTGAAATTAAAGGTCAAATTAATTGCAGATTCGCATCTATGCAGGTTAATCAGAGGAGCAGTCAGACAGGGGTTTTATTACAGGGGTGAGTCACACCGCCTATCACAACACCGATTCCTGGCACAACCAAGGTGTCATCTAGCTCAACATGTCATCTCACGTGTCATCTCACATGTCATGTCTGTTCTATTGTTCGCAGATTACGCAACACGCACATCCCCCTGACATTTTTTTCCCAATGTTGTGGTTCGGCCTACTGCCGGCAGGGCGAGTTATGGGCCCTTATCTCTGGCCTACAAAAACCCGCCCAACCTGAATGGTCTGACGTCATTGGGTGTGTAAACAAATGATGTGTAGTTCGTCACGTGACCATGTATACCTACACTACATCGGGCTATGTGTAGCCGAAGATGCTTATAATAATACGACAATGTCATTTACTTCTATTCAATGTATGTAAATAATGATTGTATGTCTTACCTCCAATGTTTAGGTCGGCACAAAGTAACGAATACAAAACATATCGATATTTGGAAATTATTTTATAACCAATGTGATCTTCGTTCTATTATTCTTTAATATACTTGTATCAATGTGTTCTATACTATATATGACGAGAAATATGACAATATTTATTCACTACCATAATTAATATCGGACATAATAAATCACGATACGCCTCATATCGACTTTAAAGAGGTATCGATCCTAACAAGGTGCAAACTTATCTCAATAACCCATCATGTGCAACATAAATGGCCAAAGATTATAGTAGCATAGTTAAACTTAATTAGCCGATAATTATTTCCATCTGGCGCCATACTAATTGCCAACAACTAGTAGTTAGCTAGGATATTTTATTCTCAAATGGACTTTATCCCCCTGTCATTTTCTATTTATTGATATATATATATATATATATATATATATATATATATATATATATATAATATATATATATATATATATATATATATATATATATATATATATATATATATATATATATATATATATATATATATATATATATATATGAATGTGCATATTTTATATAATAAAAGAAGTTTCCTTTCGCCCAACCTTTATTTTGTATAACGTTATAATATTTCCATAGACCACAAACGTGTATGATTATATAACATCTGTAACATTTCAGCAGCCTTCCTATTCCCCCCCCCCCCCCCCACACACACACACTCCAAACCTCCTCTCAAATCACGACACATTTTTAAACTACTGCAGTTTCGTGAATTTTAAAGTAACCATTGGAATCACATCATTTTAGCGAAACACGCTTCATAAAAATGAACAGGTGTAACACCGTAGCACATCTGTATCCCACCCCCCCCCCCCCCCCCCCGTCAAGAAGAAATACAAAAAAATATACTTTACATAGAAAATGTATACTTAACATGCCCCCCTTGAACATTTTAGTGTGCCTCGCCCTCCCCCCCCCCCCTTCTTTAGCTTGTTTTAAATACTCCCCATTTCCCATTACAAAAATGCTTGAAATAAACCCTGTTTATAAACACAAAAATTAAATTTCTCTATTTCTCTACAATTTGACGTTCCATACATCACGTATAAGCTTACAGTAGGTCTATTCAAGGAGTTATTTTTAGCCCACCCCACTCTCTAACACACACGACAGTCGACATTCCACCGTTTTAAAAACGGCTGCATGTGAAACTTGAAATATTTACCCAGAATACTTTCGTTTCAGCAGCCCCACCGACCTATCCCTCCGCCTACAAAACTTACCTGCAAATGCGTGTTTTTTTTATTTTTTATTATTTAACTTCATGATTAACGTGAATGTCTAAAACCTATATTGAATTTTCGTTTTAAATTTTGATGTTAAACTTGCAGGCTAAACTTTAAGGTTAAACATTCAAGTTAACCTGATACGTTAAACATTACTCTGCAGTCTCACCGAAAAGAAAAATTAATTTTGTTGCGGCTCTCGAGTAATTAATTCAGATTAAGATTAATTACCAGTCACCTTTGGTTTGTGTTCCTCATTCAGATGATGTTGTTGTTTTTATATTTTCACATCATATAATTACAGTTATAAATTACAAAGACAGCTATTTATTCTTCATACATCATTGTTTTCTTTTAGTATCTTTATCATACAATATTCAAAGAAAATAAATTCAAATGTACTAAACTTATACAGTTTTATTTGTCTGATTATTGTGGTCTGATCATTGCCATCTTATTGTGGTTTTATCGGAGTCAATGTTTTTTGTTAATCTGTTTATTTAGACATATTTCCTTGTGAATTAATTCGAGCAGTATCCCATGCCCTGTAAAGCACTTACCTAGTATGGCTTAAATAGTGCTAACCCTAAACTTGACTCGATGAGTGGATGGGTTATTTGTATAGTGGATTGTTTGCCACCAATCGTTTGTTTAGGGGATGTAGTGGGGGGGGGGGGTGGTGTTTGGAGTGAAGAGTTTAAAGGCCATGCTTATAATGGCATATTAAGATCGGGTGATTAGAGCCAGAGGCGTCGCGCGGCGGAGGCGGGGGTGCGGACCGCACCGGGTGACACCATGGCGAAAAATTGCAAAATATATAGAAGAAAAATGGTTGTTTTTCTAACTCTCGCATATCTTTGAAATATTTTTGAATCTTGCCTAACTTTGCGTCATCACATGTGTTTAGTGGGTGTATAGAGATAATGTTTAAAAGACATATTTAGATAGTGGGGCTCAAAGAAGGCACTAAATGGAATTCTAAGTGATCTATGAAGGTGTGTTTTGTGATATTTAATATATACAGGGAATTTTGTGCTGAATGTTATTTACCCAGAGTTCAATGTGCCTTATGCAATATTTAATATCGCAATTACATCGTACTAGTGCTGGGAAGTCTTGAATACATCAAAGCTGCCTATTACATACATGTGTTTGCCTACAACGATACGGTTACTTGAAGGCATAAAGAAAGCTAGAAGACCGTAAACTCGGCTATCTTCAGACACAAGCTCCTTTCAAAGTGTGGTGAAAATAAATTTTTCTGGGGCAAGTAATTTCTTTTGAAAGTGCATCGAAACTCAACATAGTCTAATGTTCCCATGCACCCCCCCCCCCCCTTTCCACACCATCTTGAAGCTTTTAACAGAATATTTAAATCACGTTTTTTTTAGACTTTCTTTCTCTGGGGGAGGGCAATCGAAATGAAACTTCACGGGGAGGAGGGTGGGGGCATGGCACTTGTTTAAGTATCTATGTTCTATATATTATTTCTTTCATTTCGGCAGGGAGGGGGATGCGGGGAATTTGCTCTTTAGTGTCTAAAATAAACTCTGGTCTCTCTCCCAGCCTCTCTAGCCATTTCTCTCTGGTCTCTCTCCCAGCCTCTCTAGCCATTTCTCTCTGGTCTCTCTCCCAGCCTCTCTAGCCATTTCCCTCTGGTCTATCTCCCAGCCTCTCTAGCCATTTCTCTCTGCTCTCTCCCAGCCTCTCTAGCCATTTCTCTCTGGTCTCTCTCCCAGCCTCTCTAGCCATTTCTCTCTGGTCTCTCTCCCAGACTCTCTAGCCATTTCTCTCTGGTCTCTCTCCCAGCCTCTCTAGCCATTTCTCTCTGGTCTCTCTCCCAGCCTCTCTAGCCATTTCCTTCTGGTCTCTCTCCCAGCCTCTCTAGCCATTTCCATATGGTCTCTCTCCCAGCCTCTCTAGCCTCTCTAGCCATTTCCATCTGGTCTCTCTCCCAGCCTCTCTAGCCTCTCTAGCCATTTCCATCTGGTCTCTCTCCCAGCCTCTCTAGCCTCTCTAGCCATTTCCCTCTGGTCTCTCTCCCAGCCTCTCTAGCCATTTCCCTCTGGTCTATCTCCCAGCCTCTCTAGCCATTTCTCTCTGGTCTCTCTCTCAGCCTCTCTAGCCATTTCTCTCTGGTCTCTCTCCCAGCCTCTCTAGCCATTTCCTCTGGTCTCTCTCTCTCAGCCTCTCTAGCCATTTCTCTCTGGTCTCTCTCCCAGCCTCTCTAGCCATTTCCCTCTGGTCTCTCTCCCAGCCTCTAGCCATTTCCATCTGGTCTCTCTCCCAGCCTCTCTAGCCTCTCTAGCCATTTCCATCTGGTCTCTCTCCCAGCCTCTCTAGCCTCTCTAGCCATTTCCCTCTGGTCTCTCTCCCAGCCTCTCTAGCCTCTCTAGCCATTTCCCTCTGGTCTCTCTCCCAGCCTCTCTAGCCATTTCCCTCTGGTCTCTCTCCCAGTCTCTCTAGCCATTTCCCTCTGGTCTCTCCCAGCCTCTCTAGCCATTTCCCTCTGGTCTATCTCCCAGCCTCTCTGGGTATTTCCCTCCTTCCTTCTTGTCCCTGTGGTTTTGTATCCTCTTTCATTGCAGTACAAAATAAAGATCCTATTTGTGAAGTCTCTAGGCCGTGATACACAAGATATATATTCTACCTACTTGCCTGTATCATACAAAGATCATCTTTGTGAAGTGAATTCTCTAGACCAGAGTACGCAAGATATATCTCCTACCTACTTTTGTAAAGAAGAAGAACGGCGTTTAATTCGCGTAAGGGAAGAAGACGTCATACCGACCGCTGGGTGGGGGGGGGGGGGGCGTAGATGTCGCCACTAGTCTTTGTAATCTGCTGGGATCTGCAGAAATACGGCGACCAACGAAGTGTGTAAAAATAAACCGTTCCACTTGAAGAGTTATGTAAGAAGCCAAGGTTAAATTATGTGGAGTTTTATTTTGTGACAGCAATTACTAAGTGTCCTCGTTGGTCGATATTTCGACCTTATATCGTCGTGAGGTTAGCAAATTTAAAAACAATTTTTAAAGTGCTTACATCTTTTGTTCAGCTTTTATTTCCACGAAACCAGGTGATTGAAGGAACGGTGATTAAGAAATACCAGATCAGACAATGGAGGATTGGTGGAGCAACTTCCTGGTTATAGCTCTGTGTGGCTGTTTGACGGGGGGGGGGGGGTGATCTCCTGTGGTTGTCTAATTGTGTGCTAAATGTGGGTTCTTGCGTGGTTGTCTGGGTGCTAATTGTGGGTTCTTGTGTGGTTGTCTGGGTGCTAATTGTGGGTTCTTGTGTGGTTGTCTGGGTGCTAATTGTGGGTTCTTGTGTGGTTGTCTGGGTGCTAATTGTGGATTCTTGTGTGGTTGTCTGGGTGCTAATTGTGGGTTCTTGTGTGGTTGTTTGGATGCTAATTGTCTGGCTCGGTTGTGGGTTATTGTATGATTGTCTAGGGGTCGGCGTGGTCGAGTCGGTAGAGCTCATGGCTGCTTAATCGAAAAGTCTCGAGTTCGAACCCTCAAGCAGGTGAGGCTTGACACCTGGGGACTGCAACTCTTCTAGGAGAGACAACGGTGGGCTACTGTGTGGTTGTGGGACTGTGTGGTTATGAGACTGTGTGGTTGTGGGACTGTGTGGTTGTGATACTGTGTGGTCGTAAGTTTTATTCACTGTCCATGTAAAAATATATCGCCAATACAACCTGTGAGCAATACAACCTGTGGCCAGTACAACCTGTGGCCAGTACTACATGTGAGCAGTACAATGCAGCTGTCCTACAATACAACCTGTGAGCAATACAACCTGTGGCCAGTGCGACCTGTGGCCAGTACTACATGTGAGCAGTACAATGCAGCTGTCCTACAATACAACCTACACCAGGTCCCATGGACCGGAAATTGCTTGGACTTAACAGATGACGACGAACGTTTGAACACGGAATATTGCCTCTAGCCCCGCCATTTTCCTGCCTGTAACGGCCCCACTTTACCAGTTCAATCGCACAAAAAATGTTCCCGATCAGAACCAATCAATATATTTAGTACGTTCTAGCAATGATCGATCGTAAAATCCCCTTTCCAACATTTTTTTAGTGTCCTCCATTTATAAGTATGAATAAATAAACGGAAAATAATTAATATTTATGTGTAAATGATTTATTATCAAAGAAAAAAACCCTATATAAAACATTCCTGAAATATAAAAAAAACATTAGCGTTTGTGGATTTAAAAAGACATTTGAATAACAAAATGTATTTTTTACGACTGTGTGGTGACATGTGTGTGTGTGTGTATGTGTATATGAGTGTTGTGGTGTGGGCAATGCACTTTCGGCTGACTGTATGTGTGAATAAGTCAGGTGGTGATTTAGAATTTTTTTGTGTCGCACATTTTTCTTAGCTGCACATTTTGAAACATCTCTGTACTTCTATCTTGCAATGAAAGATGTGCGTGTAAAATCTTTAGATCTGTAGGCATGACCTTTTGTGTTTTACTTTTATATGAAAACGTGGATGAGTCGTCCGGTATGACGTCACTACTTGTGGATCCAGGGTAGATCGTGGTAGCTCTTTTCGGCGACATTCTTAGACGAGCCGCTCTTCTTGTCCAACATTGACTTGACCACGATGTCCCGAGCCTCCTCGTGGGTGAGCAGGCCGACGTTTTTCACCTCCTCCACGTCCTCTTTATCTTTTCTAGAACAACAGCAGCACGTAATTTAACGTTAACACCTCATTCAAATCTAGAACAACAGCAGCACATAATTTAACGTTAACACCTCATTCACATCTAGAACAACAGCAGCACATGGTTTAACGTTAACACATCATTTAAACCTAGAACAACAGCAGCACATGATTTAACGTTAATGCCTCATACAAATCTAGAACAACACACACATAATTTAACGTTAACACCTCATTCAAATCTAGAACAACAACAGCACATAATTTAACGTTAACACATCATTCAAATCTAGAACAACAACACACACATAATTTAACGTTAACACCACATTCAAATCTAGAACAACAGCAGCACATGGTTTAACGTTAACACCACATTCAAATCTAGAACAACAGCAGCACATCATTTAACGTTAACGCCTCATTCAAATCTAGAACAACAGCAGCACATGGTTTAACGTTAACACCTCATACAAATCTAGAACAACAACAGCACATAATTTAACGTTAACACATCATTCAAATCTAGAACAACAACACACACATAATTTAACGTTAACACCACATTCAAATCTAGAACAACAGCAGCACATGGTTTAACGTTAACACCACATTCAAATCTAGAACAACAGCAGCACATCATTTAACGTTAACACCACATTCAAATCTAGAACAACAGAACAACAGCATCACAAATATAACATTAACACCTCATTCAAATCTAGAACAACAGAACAACAGCAGTACATAATTTAACGTTAACACCACATTCAAATCTAGATCTAGAACAACAACAGCACATAATTTAACGTTAACACCTCATTCAAATCTAGAACAACAGCAGCACATAATTTAACATTAACACCACATTCAAATCTAGAACAACAGCAGCACATAATTTAACGTTAACACCTCATTCAAATCTAGAACAACAGAACAACAGCAGCACATAATTTAACATTAACACCACATTCAAATCTAGAACAACAGCAGCACATAATTTAACGTTAACATCTCATTCAAATCTAGAACAACAGCAGCACATAATTTAACATTAACATCTCATTCAAATCTAGAACAACAGAACAACAGCAGCACATAATTTAACGTTAACATCTCATTCAAATCTAGAACAACAGCAGCACATAATTTAACGTTAACATCTCATTCAAATCTAGAACAACAGCAGCACATAATTTAACATTAACACCTCATTCAAATCTAGAACAACAGCAGCACATAATTTAACGTTAACACCTCATTCAAATCTAGAACAACAGCAGCACATAATTTAACATTAACACCACATTCAAATCTAGAACAACAGCAGCACAAATTTAACGTTAACACCTCATTCAAATCTAGAACAACAGCAGCACATAATTTAACGTTAACATCTCATTCAAATCTAGAACAACAGCAGCACATAATTTCACGTTAACACCTCATTCAAATCTAGAACAACAGCAACAACACACACATAATTTAACGTAAACACCTCATTCAAATCTAGAACAACAGCAGCACATAATTTAACGTTAACACCTCATTCAAATCTAGAACAACAGCACACACATAATTTAACATTAACACCACATTCAAATCTAGAACAACAGCAGCACATAATTTAACGTTAACACAACATTCAAATCTAGAACAACAGCAGCACATAATTTAACGTTAACACCACATTCAAATCTAGAACAACAGCAGCATATAATTTAACGTTAACACCTCATTCAGATCTAGAACAACAGCAGCACATAATTTAACAGTAACACTACATTCAAATCTAGAACAACAACACACACATAATTTAACATTAACACATCATTCAAATCTAGAACAACAAAACAACACACACACAATTTAACATTAACATATCATTTAAACTCTAAAGACACCATAGGTATATAGTGAAGATACAGTGACACATTTGGAGATAATAGGTTCTTCCCCTTTACACCATACTACGTTTAATTTTAATTATTTACTAAAAAAAATGTATTGAAGCCGAGGACTAGACTGTGCTGTTAATTGTGTTAACACAGTGAACGAACAGATTCGAGAGTTTAACATTTTTCAAAAACAATTTACATGTTTGTTACTTTGGTAATTAAAAGATAATTATGCCAATCAATTCCGTTGAATACTAGCTCTGTATAGTTCTTAGTGTAAGGGGGTTGTTCTAAATGTCGAAAAGGTCGATAACGTTACTGAAAAGCGGCTTAAAAAATTTAAATAATTAAAATAATTAAAATTTAAAAGTACGACTGAAAACCTCGCCCCTAGTTTACCTAAGTTTATTTCTCAAAATCCCAGTTTTTACACGTAAACTCAGCTTAAATAAATAAACAATAGCATAATAATACTTTTCACTTTAATGTTTTAAAATATTTCTATATGATTAAAAAGAATAATCATATATAAATTCCTCAAACTAGACATATTGTATAGGCCGAAATCTTGCTTCGTAAATAATTTCCACTTAAACAAACAATTTAAATGGAAGATAGGTGTGCAAGAAAAATATACCTCGAGAGAAGAAACTGCTTACTGTGGATAATGCGAGATAACTAAGTTTAAAGTACAACTGTATCATCACCACGGCGCGAGGTATCTAAGCACACGATACTTACATGAGGTTCGATGGGATGATTCTGGGCGGGGCGTGGGGCCCTATACGGAATGATGGGATGCGTGTAATCATCTTTTCATCCGGTGTGACGTCAGGCTTACCCCTGATGACCGCCCTTGTCTGGTTAGAGAGAAAGCAAGAGTTACGTAACTTTGACATCAATGACGATAATGCGAATCTGTATTATGTGTTTGTGTGTGCGTAAACTCTGATATATATATATATATATATATATATATATATATATATATATATATATATATATATATATATATATATATATATATATATATATATATATATATATATATATGTATATATACCATAATACAACCACTTCCATCAACTTTCCACCCACTCCACCAAGTTAACACAAACTCAACTTACCGACAACTCCACCATATAATAATCCTTCATTTGGTCAGCAAGTTCCTTTTCAATAGCTGTCATGACACCAAGCAGGTTCCTGTCTTTGATGGAGCCATCTTTCTCAATGTAGTCACCCAATGCCACCTTCTCCAACTTGATCATACTGCACACAACACAGCATCCATTTTTTTTTATCTAAAGCTCGTAAGTCATCGACCATTCAACACATTCACTCATATACCTCCATCACCCAATAGACCGTAGAAAAAACAGAATTGAACTAAAGCCTTTGTGTCGTCACCCAATCTATTCGTATTTTTTAAAATCAATAATTCTAATAAAGTTGACGCTGTTTCCCCTTTAAAAGTTATGTCGTGTATGTTATTGTTATGGTTATTGATCTCTGTCATTAGATATATAACAAAAATAGCATACGCATTGCAGATTTTTAGATCACTACAGCACTATATGAAAGAACAATAGTCTTAAGCAATAAGCCTGACAGAGATGTGTAGATCACTACCGAACTATGTGAAAGAACAATAGTCAGATGCTAATAATGAAAGATTTTGAGAGTATAAATTAAAGGTCATTATCAAATAGAGGTCGTTAGGTCATTAGCAAACAAAGGTCATGTGGTTGATCGCACCAAGGTCAGCATGTGAACGTACTTGATAATATTCTGAATGTAGCCCGTAAACTCATCCACCGTTTTACTCTGGTCGGCTAGACGTTTCTGACACGCCTCACTCTTCAGTTTGTAGGACTCAATCCGGGCCTGGGGGGTGAGAGGTGGGTGAAATGAGGGGTAGGGGTGTCTGTGACGGCTGGGGGTGAGAGGTGGGTGAAATGAGGGGTAGGGGTGTCTGTGTCGGTGAGGGTGTACGGTGTGTGCGTGTGTATGTTTGTCTGAGCGTGTATGTGTGGGTGTGTATGTGAATATAGGTGTGGTTCTGCATGTGTGTGTTTGTGTCATTGTGTGTCTGTGTGAGCGTGTGTGTATGGGTGTGTATGTGTATATAGGTGTGGCACTGCATGTGTGTGTTTGTGTCATTGTGTGTCTGTGTGAGCGTGTGTGTATGGGTGTGTATGTGTATATAGGTGTGGCACTGCATGTGTGTGTTTGTGTCATTGTGTGTCAAGCTAAGTATCTTTGTATGTGGGTCTGTGTGCGGCCTTTGTGTATGTGTGTGTTTGTTTGTAACAGGGGGTATTTGTGTGTGGATGTGTGTGTGTGTGTTTCTGTCTTATTGTATGTTCAGAGTGCATATACACATTCGTACGTTTACAGTGACATACACATACACATACCAGCCCTCCCCCCCCCCCCCCCCACTGTCACACCTGTAGTTACCTGTGTCTCCAGGTTGTTGACCGCCGTGTCTGCCAAAGTTTCCAGATTGTTCTCCTCCATGCTAACATTTTCGTTTCGTAAATCGCGAATTTTCGATCGGAGGCGTTCGTTCTCATCAAGGATCTCTCCTAAAATCATCAAGGTCACAACAGTCATTAATAAGGTCATCAAGGTCACAACAGTCATTAATAAAGTCATCAAGGTCACAACAGTCATTAATAAAGTCATCAATACTAACATCTATACCGTCATTAATAGTGTCATCAGCATCGACATCTATAATGACATCAATATTGTTATCGATATTCACAAGTATAATTACATTAATAATGAAATAAAAATGATATTTGAAATAATATTATAACGATATCAACAACGTCATCAATAATTTCATCAACAACGTCATCAATAATTTCATCAACAACGTCATCAATAATTTCATCAACAACGTCATCAATAATTTCATCAACAATGTCATCAATAATTGCATCAATAATGTCATCAATAATTGCATCAATAATATCACCATTAATTGTAAGCCTAACAATGCTGACATAAATAACGATAACAGCCACCCTAGAACATGCTGATATCGTAGAGCATTGTGAAAGAAATAAACATGTCGTAACTTTGAATCGACGACAGTGTAGCGAAGACCCAGATTTGACACGGTGACATCAAAATAAAATCACATGACCTACTTATTCAGCTCGTGATAACGAACAACCAAAATTATTTAAAATTAAATTGTTTCTTTAAAAAAACAGTTTAAGATTTGTGTTTTAAACAAATAGAGAATGAACTTTTTAAAGTTCAAAGGTTAAGACAACTGGTTCTTCGCCACACACCACCGTAGACCTAGACTGGAAGTTCAAGGACACAACACATCACACAACAAAGGGTCAGTGGCGTAGCGAGGTAGGGTGTCACCCGGTGCGGCACTTAATGGTGTCACCCCCTCAAATGTTTGATTTGCACCCCCCCCCCTCAAGTTTTCGATTTGCACCCCCCCCCCCCTAAAGTTTTTTTCTATATATTTTACTATTTTTTGCCTTGGTGTCCCCCACTAAATGGCGTCACCCGGTGCGGTCCGCACCCCCCGCCCCCCCCCCCTCGCTACGCCTCTGCAAAGGGTCAAGGTCAGCGACTGACCTATCCCGAGGAAGGTGCTGAAGTTGTCCTCCTCCGCCTCGATGAAATCCTCCACGATCTGGTTGATGTCGTCCTTCCCCGTCGCCTCCTTGATGGTGTCGAAGGCCTGGGTGAAGTTGTCTTTCTTGCTCAACATTTCCGTCACTGCGGGGGTCGGTTAGATGACGTCAGCGGCCTGTCTACACGTTACGTCACGCACAGGCAGGCAGCTGACGTGCGATAATTACAGATCAGACCGGAGCCCCCTCACCCTCTCGCATACAAAAGAGTTATGGGTGGTGCTGAAAGGGCGCAGCGATCACAAAATTATCAGTGGTTGCTGTAGGGGCGTGCTGACCACATACAAGAGAGTTATGGATGGTGCTATTTGGGCGTGCTAATCACATACAAGAGAGTTAAGGGTGGTGGTGTATGTGCGTGCTTATCACATACATGAGTTATGGGTGGTACTGTATGTGCGTGCTGACCACATACATGAGTTATGGGTGGTGCTGTATGTGCCTGCTAATCACATACAAGAGAGTTATGTGTGGTGCTGTATGTGCGTGCTAATCACATACAAGTGAGTTATGTGTAGTGCTATTTGGGCGTGCTAATCACATACATGAGTTATGGGTGGTGCTGTAATTGCGTGCTAATCACATACATGAGTTATGGGTGGTGCTGTATGTGCGTGCTGACCACATACAAGAGTTATGTGTGGTGCTGTATGTGCGTGCTGACCACATACAAGAGAGTTATGTGTGGTTCTATATGGGCGTGCTAATCACATACAAGAGAGTTATGTGTGGTTCTATATGGGCGTGCTGATCACATACAAGAGAGTTATGTGTGGTGTGCACAAAGGAGTAGTGCTGGGTGTTGACGAATGGTCTGTCCATACACTTATACAGTAATTGTTACATTAAATTTCACAAGCGATTGTTACAGTATCAAGTCACGGTATGCAGTCAGCCTATACCTCTTACAATATATTGTCACATTATATTATCACAGTATATAGTTAATGTATATAGTTAAAGGATAGTCACAAGTGACAAGATATTGTTACGGGATAGTCACCGAGGGATATTGTTAGGGAGACTGTTACGGGAGATTGTTACAAACCATCTTTCAACTCCTTCTCTCGCTTCATGTGCAGGTATTTCGTGATGTCTTTGTGCTTGGTCCTCATGAAGTTCTCCATTTTCTTGTCGTCATTGATCGACAGGCTAATGTTCAACAGCTCGCGCTCGTATTGATCCTTGACCTTTGCCAGGTGCTCCCTGACCTTGATCTTCGTGCCTTCCGCACGGTCTCTGAAAAAGTCCTGATGCATACAATTTTAATTGTTTACAAATTCCTTTTTAGAATGATATAGTGTAATGAACCGTTTCACGAAAATTCCTGATGCATACAATATTATTAACAAATATATTTTAAAACAAGGAAATATACTCTGCTAAAAATTATTCTGATTCATATAACCAGTTGTTTTTTTTTTTACTTTTTTTATCCTTAAGTTACACTATTCAAGGGAATGTAGCCATTGACTAAAGCTCATTTTTAAAATTTTATAGCGTTATCTCCCCTGTAAACGAAAGGTCCGTTACATAATCTTATATTCTGTAGCCGGTTTATGTGTGGCCTTCATAGCTCAGTGGCTAGAGCACTGGTCTTGTAAACCAGGGGTCGTGAGTTCAATCCTCACTGGAGGCTCTTTGAATTTTTGTTTGTCATATTTTGAAAAAAAAAAAACAACTTTATAAAACCCTGGTGTAGATCTATATTTCAACGTATGAAATCCGAATTATTGTCTTGTTATTAGTTAAAAACAGCCTTCTCTAAGTGAAAGTGTTTAATTTTATTTTCATGTTACGCCACTGCTGATTTTTTTTTTTTTTACATTGTGTTCAGTGTCTAATGCTTTGAAAACACCCGGACAATATAACTGTACTTATGTCTTAGAATTTAAAAATCAGCGATAAACACGGACTATCCAACTGGCCATTGGTCATTAGAATTTAAAACCAGCAAAAACCTCAAATAACCCACCTGTCCATTGGTCATTAGAATTTAAAACCAGCAAAAACCTCAAATAACCCACCTGTCCATCGGTCATTTGAATTTAAAATCAGCGAAAAGCCCGGATAACCCAACTGACCTCTGCTCATAAATCTCGGCCGTCTCGTTCATGGTGGTCGTGACGGCTTTGTTGAGTTCCTCCAGTTTCTTGACCAGCTTCGTCTCCTCGTTCATGAACTTGTCCCGTAGGAAAATGGCGCTGTCTATCTTATCCTGCAGTTCCTTGTTCTTGTACAGCTGGCTGTGGTACTTGCCGCTTGCCTGGGGATGTGTTGGTTTATTTCATCCATGGGGGTTTGTGGGGGGAGGGGGGACGGGGAAGTTGATAGAAACAAACAACAATTAGTGTGGGGATGACTTGACCTGATGATGTCTCACTGTGAAAGGACCTGATGATGTCTCACTATGACCTGATGTGATGATATCTCACTATGAAATGACCTGATGATGTCTCACTGTGACCTGATGATGCCTCACTACGAAACGATGTGCTCCTTCACTCACCCACTCAATCCTTCTCTCCATCTTCATTTTGTCCGGCAGCCTGAACTTGGAGTTCTCTATGGCGTTCTGTGTCACCGCCTTCTTCTGCTCCCATTTGTTGGCGTCCAACTGGCGGACCTGGACAGAAATAATGAGTTGGTGTACATAGATGGACAGGTTTAACAATTGGTGTACATAGATGGACAGGTTTAACAATTGGTGTACAAAGATGGACAGGTTTAACAATTGGTGTACATAGATGAGACTGGTCTCACAGTTGGTGTACGTAGGTGAGGGTGGTCCCACAATTGGTGTACATAGGTGAGGGTGGTCCCACAATTGGTGTACACAGGTGAGGGTGGTCCCCCAATTGGTGTACATAGGTGAGGGTGGTCCCACAATTGGTGTACATAGGTGAGGGTGGTCCCACAATTGGTGTACATAGCTGAGGGTGTTCCCACAATTGGTGTACATAGATGGACAGGTTTAACATTAGGTGTACATAGATGGACAGGTTTAACAATTGGTGTACATAGGTGAGGGTGGTCCCACAATTGGTGTACATAGGTGAGACTGGTCTAACAGTTGGTGTGGCCTACATAGGTACGAGGGGACGGAGTGGTCTAGCGGTAGAGACCTGGACTGCTAACCCGTAAATCTCGAGTTCGAATCCGGGTTCAAGTCAGTAGACAGTCCCTGAGTCCACCCAACTCTGATGGGTACCCAACACATGTTAGGGAAAAACATAGTGCTGACCAAACTATCTCTTCACGTGCCGAGGTCACAGAAATAAGTGAACTCTACTTCACTTGCCTTATAGACCGTCAGGTTTGAAAAAGGGAACTTAACTTTTTTTTACATAGGTACGGCTGGTGTCCATTTGTGTACACAGGAAATGTGAATTGTACAACCATGCTTGTCCACTTGACCAAAGCCCGACCCCCTGCGTACCTTACCTCTCCCACCATGTCCTGACCCAGACCTACCTCGGTATCTAGAACGTTCGTGCTTTCAATCTCTTTAGCGAGCAGACGCCTCACATCGTCTGTGGTGCTAACCAGGTCCCGCACGACGCACTCCTCCTTCTTGTACTTGTTCTCTATGGCCTCGGACTGCGTGGCGATGTAGTTGTCCAGCTCCACGTCACGCTCCAGTTCCAGAATTTGCAGCGAGCGCCTGAAACAGGTAAGGTGTTTACTTCTTCATGTCTTTAAATTTAGCCTAACCGATGTTAGATACATTGAGGACTCCTAGACCCATGGTCTGATGTAAAGGTTCACACTTTGACCGAACAAATTCAAACAGTTCACATCTCAATCCGTCACCGTGCTCAAAACTACCAGAAATCAAACGTGTACTTTTCTATTTATTATCGGAATTGTGAAAAACGTATGTTATTTGTAAGTACTATGTACACCTTCTAAATTTGAATTTTAAAAATATCTATTAAATTAAATTAAATCCTTTGAAGAGCGAAAAATTTCTCTACTTTGAATTTAAATGTCACAAATTTTTTTTAGACTAAAATAAGCAGCATCCCTCACAATCAACACGATAAAAATAGCAACCGTCAAAAAAAAAAAAAAAAAAAAAAAAATCATCACTAGCAGCACAAAACAAACAGCAACCCTCACAATAAACACAAAAAATCGCCACAATCAGCAAAGAAACAAACAGCAATCACTAGCAGCACAAAACAAACAGCAACCCCCCACAATCAGCAAAAACAAACAGCAACCCTCACAATCAACACGAAACAAACAGCAACCCCAACAATCAACACAAAACAAACAGCAACCCCCACAATCAACACAAAACAAACAGCAACCCCCACAATCAACACAAAACAACCAGCAACCCCCACAATCAGCAGTGTGGCTGACGATTGACCCCTGACCTCTGCTTGCTAATCTCGTATCTCGTCCTCCTGGTGTACATGGACTTCTCCTTGTTGAAGATACGGATCTGACGCCGCATCTTAGCCTTGAGTTTCTCCTCCACTGCCATCTGCTCGCGCTGTTTCTGGAGCTCTATCAGCTCCGCCAGGTCAATCTCTTTAGACATGTCCTTGGCTTGAGACATTCCAATTGGCTAAACTGATCTTCGGCTCTGAAACGAGGCAAATAGTTATTAGCCGTTGTTACGGTGGGTTTTTACAGAATTTTTTTGGCGTTTTGGGAATGGGACATTTTGGTTTTCTGAGAATGTGGTTTGAAATATTATTTTTGGTTTGCTGTTAATAAAATTAAACAGGGTGAAATGTGGTGGGGGTGTTATTTAATAGATTAAAAGGTGTGATTATCTCAAACAAACAAAGAACTACCTAATCTTTTAAAAATTTAAGGATGGGGTGTGTGTGTGTGGAGGGGGGGGGGGTAGGGATCGTAAATGCTGAAAGAGAAAGGCAGCATAGGCATAGGCCCTGATTAATAGACGTCTTTACCTTCAAAAAGAAATGATATCGAATCTGTACGTAAATGATACGTAGTACGTATCTGCAGTGTACGGGTAATGGTCAAGGTGGGAGAGTCGGTCGATGACAACTTGTTATCTTATTTATAGCCTATATATATATATATATATATATATATATATATATATATATATATATATATATATATATATATATATATATATATATATATATATATATATATATATATATATATTATATATACAAATATATATTTATGTATATATATATATATATATATATATATATATATATATATATATATATATATATATATATATATATATATTATATATTATATATACAAATATATATTTATGTATATATATATATATATATATATATATATATATATATATATATATATATATATATATATATATATATATATATATATATATATATATATATATATATATATATATATATGTATATATAGAGAGAGATAGATCTATATATGTATAGGCTATATTTTATTTATTTATTTATTATAGCTTTATAGGTCTATATATAATGTATCTATTTTTATAAAATACTATTAATATTGGCATATTATATTGCCCTACCAACATTTTTATTCGAGCCTACTTAGAATGTTATTATACCACAATTATACCAATAACCGTAAAAGTATTAGATTTTAAAAATATGTACTTTTTTAAAGTTGTATCCACAGTACGGATTCAACAAACTGACACTGCTACTTGGTGGGGACCTTTAGTAGTAGGACACACGAAGAGGTCAAACGCGCTTGCAGTCTTGGCCAGCTATCATAACTCTCAAGTCGAGACAAATGGGCACTTCCGGTTCTCAGCATTTAGCCTGGGTGTTGTGTGGTGCGGCTGCTATAGTGTGCCCTTGTGTACGGAGTGTATGTAGACAGACACTTAGATTCTCTAGGTTTAATCAAGCATCTCAAACAAACGTAACTTAATAGTACCAGATCTATAAGCTTGACTTGAAATGTTTTCAGATGGTTGATGAAAAAAAGCTTCATTTCGCTGGAATTATAATTCTGTTCATTTGTTAGTTCTAAAGTCCCTTTCGAAATTTACTTTTCATGGGGCAGATGAAGAAGAGTTCACAGTTTCTGTAACCACTGTGATTAGCACTTTGCCCAGCCGCCTTTACTTTCCCTGAGTCAGGTACCCATGAGAGCTGGGTAGACTCAAGGTCGTCTCACAAACTCGAACCAGGAAATTACTTTGTTTCTTGTAGTTCTGGTAAATAGTTGAATGTTACTATTTCTTCTATTGATAGACAGTGTAAATGACAGTGGGGTACAGAAAAATGCAAGGTTTTTTTAAAGGGTGAAATCAGTATAAACCTTTGACGACGAAATTATTACATTGAAAGGCAATCAACAGGACTGACCAACTGCTGCTTAGCCGTAACTTTTGTAGGCTCATAGGGTGAGGTGTAGATCACTGTATGTGTAGTTAATATGTATGTTTATGTATTTATAGTTACAGATAAGATGCATTAGATATAAATAGATAGGTTGGAAGATAGATTATGCCACATAACTGATAACATAAAATTTTGGATTTATGACTGATGGCTACATTATTTCCTGATACTTGATATAACAACCTAAAATTAATGAAGCAACCTATTTCAGAATACACAAGGCAACAACTAAAATGGTAAAAACCAAAATTGAAATGCTTTACAAAATAATGTCTTTATTGGATTCTTACTTTCAGACATTCATGCAGAATACAGCACCACAACAAATTTACTAAATCCATTATTAGAGCTAATACAATAGAATAAATTACTATGAACACAAAGTCATTACAATTTTCAAAACTATAATCAAAACTTTCATAAGGTTTACAAGGGGGTCGGCGTGGTCGAGTCGGTAAAGCTCATGGTTGCTAAACCGAAAAGTCTCGAGTTCGAACCCTCGGGCAGATGAGGCTCGTTAGCTGGGGACAGCCACTCTTCTAGGAGAGACAACTCCAAAATTAAACAACTGCTGCCTTGTAGATTGTTCTTGGTTGGACAAAGGCTATGGAAGCAAATCCAAAAAAGAAAAGCAGGCTGAAATCGGAGTCAATGGCCTCAATGGCGCATAACCAGTTGACACGTAACGCTTAATTGTGTTGGAGGCGTGGTCGAGTCGGCAAAAAGCTCATGGTTGGTAAATTCGAACAAAGTCTCGAGTTCAAACCCACTGGCAGATAAATCTCGATCCCCTTCAACACTAATAATTAAGAACGAAGAAGATGAAGAAAATAAGGTTTACAAAACTGTAACACTACATTCATAATACAACAACTAACAAAACTACAACAATCATAATTTCCTTACAAGTTACAACTCTACAAAAATACCATCTGTACAGTTTACAAAACTAGCCATGTAAATATGGTCATGCTACAACCCTAATGCCCTGTATGTGAAGCACTACAAACACACTACTCTCTACTACAGCTGAAGTGTTAGAGCCTACCCTGATGAACAGTTGGCTATGACAAATCAATAAATATAATGACCTAATATTTACAATTTGTTTTGTTCTCTGGGTGAACTAAACTCACGATTTTATAGACATGTTAAACATAGAATAATTGGGGTCATAAGTCACTTCCTTTTCAACTTGAAGAAAATCTGGCAATGCTAGCTGTTTTCTTTCTGTTGTGAAAACCTCTAATATCAACAAGCCCATACACCTGAGGAAACAAATCAAAGGTCAGAGGTTCATTATAATATCAGCTGTTCAAATATATCATGGATGATGTCATAAGTTAATCACAACAGCTGCTCAAAACAAATTATGGCAGTGGTCATAAGCTTATTACATCAGCTGTTCTAAACAAATACAGGTAATCTGAACAATTATCTAAAATGTGTTTCAACAAGAAAAGTAAAAACATAATTATTTTTTAAATATTTCCCATTCTAATTTAATTTATTTTTTAATAAACAGCATAGAATGCAGACAAGCAAAAATATTGCATTCTATACCTAGGGGAGCTGGGCTGTTTTACACTTTCGGATATGGGGAGCCTTACCTTGGGGGAGCTGGTAAACCTAACCACAGGGAAGTGGTGGAGGGTGGGAGTTGGGGAGCCTTACTTTGGGGGAGTTGGGGAGCCTTACTTTGGGGGAGCTGGGCTGTTTTACAATTGGGGGATCTGGGGTGCCTTACTTTGGGGGAACTGGTAAACCTAACCACAGGGAAGTGGTGGGAGTTGGGGAGCCTTACTTTGGGGGAGTTGGGGAGCCTTACTTTGGGGGAGCTGGGCTGTTTTACAATTGGGGAGCTGGGGAGCCTTACCTTGGGGGAGATGGGGAGCCTTACCTTGGGGGAGATGGGGAGCCTTACCTTGGGGGAGATGGGGAGCCTTACCTTGGGGGAGCTGGGGAGCCTTACCTTGGGGGAGCTGGGGAGCCTTACCTTGGGGGAGCTGGGGAGCCTTACCTTGGGGGAGCAGGCTCCTTATATATGTCCAGCTGGTAGTAGTTATTGTTCCACAGGAAGCAGCGCCGGGTCTTGTAAATGGTGTAGTGATGGTCATCACGCTGGGCCATGAGGATCTGTGGAGAGGTTCAAGGTCAGGGTTAACATTCAACCCACATATTTAGCCACCAAAAAACCTAAAATCAGAACAAGTGGCATAGCTGTGCTGGGGCAGGGGTGGTTGTCTGCCAAGGGAGCCAGTTTGTAAATACAATCAGAAATATACAAATCAATTAATTAAAATCAGAAATATACAAATTCATTAATTAAAATCAGAAATATACAAATTAATTAATTAAAATCAGAAATATATAAATTAATTAACAACTTAATGTGTGAAGGGTGTACATGTCAGCAATCTTTTTTTACAATCCTATTTTATCATTCCATAATTTGTTTGACACAAACCTGATAGTCTTTCTCTGAGATGGGCATACGTAACTCAACACTCTGATCATTGATTTCAGGACGACGTATCGTATGTGAGTAGGTCCAGTTGTCTAGAACAAAAAAAAGCATTGTATCAAAATGAAGTTCAGAACATGTAGGTATAAAATCAGATGTAACAGAATGAAGAAAAGAAAGCTCTACTGAAATGTACTGCAGTTTTTGTTAATAACATGTTCAAATAAGAGCTCATTTTAATTTAAGTCGGGGGGAAAAAAATCACAAATGCCAAAATAAGAAAACTTAGTTGGTATGGGCATGTGACAAGATCAAACTTTCTATCTAAAGCAATAATGAAAGGCACAGTGCCAGGGGAGAGAAGAAGGGGAAGGGAATGACGTCACTGGATGGGTGAAAAGTTAATTGGACAAAAATCTTGTCTCAGGGCTGGTCAGTGTTGAATTATTTTGAAAATTTAGACCTACTGGCCTGGCCACGTTTCCGAAGTCTGGCTTGCATCTTTCTGCTGGGGGTAACTAGATAATCATGGATGACATCAAACTCCTGGTAGTGGGGGAACTCCTGGAATAGAATTATCATGTAGCTGGATGAGATTAGATTACGTTACATATAGCTAGATGAGATTAAACGTTACATGTAGCTAGATGAGATTAGACAATATCAATGGGAGAAGTGACATGTAGCTAGATGAGATTAGACAACATTACATATAGCTAGATGAGATAAGACAATATCAATGGTAGAAGTGACATATAGCTAGATGAGATTAGACAACATTACATATAGCTAGATGAGATTAGGCGTTACATGTAGCTAGATAAACATGGATAAATCAATGAGATAAAAATGATCAATAAGAAAACTTGTGAGTGAAAAAGAAAATATATTTGGTGGAAGCCATTACTATGAAACTAAATAAAAGACACAAGCCCAATCTACAAATTAAATTCTATCAAATTGACACACAAATATACCCGTTTGTAAAGCCGATAGATTTTTTAACAAAATGTATACTATTTTTTTTTTCATTTTAATTTTAGCCCACAAGCCAGCCGTTATGCTAACAAAAACAAGGTGAAACAAAGCCTTAAACATTTGAGATGTAAGTAGCCAGTTACCTCATCAGTAGGCAGACATGAGACCAAAAACTTTCTCTTGATGCTGTTGGGTGCCAGTCTGTCTTGGGCATCAATTCCAACCCTGGCACACACTGCCTGCAGAGATTAGAGCACATCACATTTGTGTCTCAACATCACATCACATTTATGTCTCAACATTAGAGCACATCACATTTGTGAGTCAACATTAGAACACATCACATTTGTGTCTCAACATCACATCACATTTGTGTCTCAACATTAGAGCACATCACATTTGTGAGTCAACATTAGAACACATCACATTTGTGTCTCAACATTACATCACATTTGTGTCTCAACATTAGAACACATCACATTTGTGTCTCAACATTAGAATACATCACATGTGTGTCTCAACATTAGAACACGTCACATGTGTGTCTCAACATTAGAACACATCACATTTGTGTCTCAACATTAGAACACATCACATTTGTGTCTCAACATTAGAGCACATCACATTTGTGTCTCAACATTAGAATACATCACATGTGTGTCTCAACACTAGAGCACATCACATTTGTGTCTCAAGACTAGAACACATCACATTTGTGTCTCAACATTAGAGCACATCACATTTGTGTCACAACATCACATTTGTGTCTCAACATTAGAACACATCACATGTGTGTCTCAACATTAGAGCACATCACATTTGTGTCTCAACATTAGAACACATCACATTTGTGTCTCAACATTAGAATACATCACATTTGATTTGTGTCTCAACATTAGTCTAATGTTGAGACACAAATCAAATGTGATGTATTCTAATTTAGAATACATCACATGTGTCTCAACATTAGAAAACATCACATTTGTGTCTCAACATTACATCACATGTGTCTCAACATTAGAATACATCACATGTGTGTCTCAACATTAGAATACATCACATTTGTGTCTCAATATTACACATGTGTATCATTGTTTGTTTGTTTAAACATTATCTTATTAAACAAATCTTATTTTTTAAATATGTTGCTATGAACAAGAAGTTTTAAATAATCTAGTATATTAATTATTGAACAACCTGGTGCAACAAAGAGTGAGAATGTAATCTACTTACAGCAATCATTCTGGAAATTTTAGTGTCAAAGTCAGTGGAGTTGTCAATCACATCATAATAGGGGTGGCCTACCCAGGCCTGTGGGGGTGGAGGAATTATGTCAGATCAAATAGAACATCAATGTTTTAACAAAAAGAAAATACAACACTGTTGTAAGTATAGTTGAACTGTGCTAACACTGCTGTAAGTACAGTTGAACTGTGCCAACACTATGGTCAGTACAGTTGAACTATGCCAACACTATGGTCAGTACAGTTGAACTTTGCCAACACAGTGGTCAGTACAGTTGAACTGTGCCAACACTGGTCAGTACAGTTGAACTGTGCCAACACTATGGTCAGTACAGTTAAACTGTGCCAACACTGTGGTCAGTACAGTTGAACTGTGCCAACACTATGGTCAGTACAGTTGAACTATGCCAACACTATGGTCAGTACAGTTGAACTGTGCCAACACTATGGTCAGTACAGTTGAACTTTGCCAACACAGTGGTCAGTACAGTTGAACTGTGCCAACACTATGGTCAGTACAGTTGAAATGTGCCAACACAGTGGTCAGTACAGTTGAACTGTGCCAACACTATGGTCAGTACAGTTGAACTGTGCCAACACAGTGGTCAGTACAGTTGATCACTATGGTCAGACAGACAAACAAACCATCCACTCACGTCAGCTGTGACAGAGTCCAGCTGTCTGGCATCCTCTAGGTCCTCGTGTCTGGTCATGTGACCATCAGTGGAGTAGAAAGCCTCCGCCCCTTTGGATGAGGACACCATATGAATAACCTGCAGTTAGAGGACCAGAAACAGCTTTAGCCCACACGTAAGTGAGAGATCTACCAGCAGTACTAATGTACTGAACAGTTTTTGATGTTCACACACAGAAGTTGCACGATATAACAGAAGAATTAGGGGAACTATATGGAACAAAATTTATACTTAATAAAGAGAACATGTCTTGTTAAATAAGGTTGTCATTTTTTTTTAGTTACACAGGAGGGGTCAAAGTTTATGCACAGTTGAGATAAGGATTGACTAAAAATGAACAGCACCATACCTGGTCATAGCGTTTATCTCTCAGGTTCACCTCATTCCAGCCATTTAGTTCTTTCATCTTGCCCCAATCACCGGGTTGCAGGTCTAGTGAAGTAGAGAGGAAGGAAACATATTATTAACAGATTATTACTAGAATATATTCATTAATAAATATTATTAACAGATTATTACTAGAATATATTCATTAATAAACAATAAATCTGCTATTAGTGTAGACTATCATTGTAAATAGGTGGTCTCTTTCATCCATTTTATACATACTCAACTGTTCAGCATACTATTTTGATACACTGCCTCATTATCAAAATCTTGTACAAACCAATACAAGATGAAAGAAAATCTATGGTCATATCCAGTGTTTCATTCAGACATTGTACTCAGTGGATGGGGAGATTTTTAATTTTTCACAGAGGAGGGAAGGACAGTGGGTGTGTTTGGATGGGGGGGGGGGGGCGGACTCAGTGCCACCCTGAAGAGATGCCCAAAAGAAACTCTGGTCATATCAACAAACACACAACTAAACACGTTGACCTCTGACCTACATGCTGAGCCATCCATGACGCCCCTATCACAGATCAACAAGACATTCTTCTGTCTGACTGCTGCCAGATGGTGGAATGTATCTTCTATAACCATCATGGTCTTTATGATGTCTTCTTGGAACTTGAAAGCTGAAATGTTGGGTAAAGGGATGTATAGATTAGGACAGGACCATCATGGTCTTTATGATGTCTTCTTGGAACTTGAAAGCTGAAATGTTGGGTAAAGGGATGTATAGATTAGGACAGGACCATCATGGTCTTTATGATGTCTTCTTGGAACTTGAAAGCTGAAATGTGGGGTAAAGGGATGTATAGATTAGGACAGGACCATCATGGTCTTTATGATGTCTTCTTGAAACTTGAAAGCTGAAATGTTGGGTAAAGAGATTATATGGATTAGGACTGGATTATCAATGTCTTTTTGATGTCTTCTTGAAACTTGAAATATTGGATACAGAGATATATGGATTAGGACTAGATTATCAATGTCTATATGATACCTTCTTGAAACTTGAAATATTGGTTAAAGAGATATAGATAAGAACTGGATTATCAATTTCTATTTGATATCTTCTTGAAACTTGAAATGTCAGTTAAGGTAACGCAAGGACAAGGTGTTAGGGAAGTTACATGCATGAATAAAGCTAGTAAAACAGAGTGAGCTGAGATACCACAGAAACAATGTATAATGTTGTTCTATAACACACCTGTTATTATGATTGGACACAACTATGTGTATAATAATACAAATAGCACTGCCATAACCTACCTTGTTCTCTGTTTAACTCCTGAAACCTGACTCCTCCACTGAAAGTAGAATAGACTAGTTTTAACATACATCATAACATAAGAAGTATACACTACAATTTTACCCCCATTCAAATCTAACTTTACATAAAAAGCTTTTAAAAACTCACCTCAGGTAGGCCAAAGCTGATTCTGGGGAGCGATATACCTGAAATAACAGTTTGAAATGACTGACAATTTGATTTCATTGCTCTTTGTGTTTTGAAGTATGGATGAACGAAAATTTTTGGAAACCAGTCATTCAAGTAAACTGCATTTTCTTTGAAAAAAATCTGAAATAATGCTACCTTCCATCCTAATGAAATAATGCTACCTTCCATCCTAATGAAATAATGCTACCTTCCATCCTAATGAAATAATGCTACCTTCCATCCTAATGAAATAATGCTACCTTCCATCCTAATGAAATAATGCTACCTTCCATCCTAATGAAATAATGCTACCTTCCATCCTAATGAAATAATGCTACCTTCCATCCTAATGAAATAATGCTACCTTCCATCCTAATGAAATAATGCTACCTTCCATCCTAATGAAATAATGCTACCGTCCATCCTAATGAAATAATGCTACCTTCCATCCTAATGAAATAATGCTACCTTCCATCCTAATGAAATAATGCTACCTTCCATCCTAATGAAATAATGCTACCTTCCATCCTAATGAAATAATGCTACCGTCCATCCTAATGAAATAATGCTACCTTCCATCCTAATGAAATAATGCTACCTTCCATCCTAATGAAATAATGCTACCTTCCATCCTAATGAAACAATGCTACCTTCCATCCTAATGAACTAATGCTACCTTCCATCCTAATGAACTAATGCTACCTTCCATCCTAATGAACTAATGCTACCTTCCATCCTAATGAAATAATGCTACCTTCCATCCTAATGAAATAATGCTACCTTCCATCCTAATGAAATAATGCTACCTTCCATCCTAATGAAATAATGCTACCTTCCATCCTAATGAAATAATGCTACCTTCCATCCTAAGTTTTCAAAAAACGTTCCAAGCCTGATCTGACCTGTAGTTTTACCCCCACATGGACCTGCATTAAAAATAATTTTAAATCAGAATTAAAAAACCAAAATATTGATAATGCTTTGTTTGCTATTCAATTTCAGTTAGATAAAACAAATTGGTCAGAGTCAAAAACATGCAACCACATATAATGGCTTTTATTTTTCCCTTTATTTATGGCCTTATGGTAGAAATTCACTTCTATAACATATTTAATTTTAACACCTGGTTAACTGAAATAATAACAGATGATGGGACGGTCTGGTTGAGTGGTAAAGCGCTAGACAGCTAACCTGAAAGTCATCAGTTTGGATCTCAAACTCGAGTCTGTTCATTATTTATACCTGGTCTACTAGCTCTTGACTAACGTTGGGGAAAGTAAAGGTGGCTAGGCAGAATGGTGACCACACCATCCCTTCATTTGCAGGGAATCTTATGAGATGCAAAACGGCGAGGTGATGATGATGTCACACCTCAGCCTAAAATCCCCTTCTCAAACTTGCAGTTTTATTATTTTAAGCATCAATTTTTTTTCTTAAATATTTACTCAGCTCAGTCAACATAGAGTATATTGTATATTTAATTAATCCATTTCAAATACAATTTACAAAGATTTCTAAAACATGAATTAACAGCTAAAAATTCAGCTTCTAAGATTAATTTAAAAAACTGCAATAGTGTGATGTCACACTTTCTAAACCCCCTTCCCCTCATCATAAAATTTCCGAATCCCCACTCCCCCCTATGGCTGTGACATCATTTATGGATGACCTCTTAACCATAATAAAATTCTACAGGTAATGTCACATATTTTTTTCTCGTATTTTCCTCCTGCACTGTATTTAACGCCAATATCATTTTATCACCACCAAAAAATAGTTTGTCCTTAGAAGTCTAGATCTAGTATAATTTAGAATCTAGATCTAGTAAGAACTAAAAATTCATTAGAGATGAGCATTAGACTAGTGCATAAAGTTTAAGTAGGCCTAGGGCCTATGCCTAAATTACTTACATAAATAAATAGTATTACTTAATTAGGGATTTAATAATAATTATTGTTAACTTAAAGGCCTAAATATTAAAATAAATCATTGCTGTTATAGTTAAGGGGTCATCCATAAATGACGTCACGCTTTTTAAAAACATTTTTTACCTCCCCCCCTTTCCTCCTTCACATATCACAAAAAGCCAGACCCCCCTCTAAAATGATGTCACAACTCAGCCTACAACCCCCTCCCCTCAAAACTGCAGTTGAAGTTGAAGTTTTGTTAAAACATCGATATTTTTCAAAAATCTTGTCTGAACTATGTCAATATAGAATATAGAGTATTTTGATCAATTCCTATAGGCCTAACAGTTTATTAAAACAGTTTTCTAAAATGCGAAATAATGGCTAAAATTCATTTTCTAACATTGCTTTTTTATAATGCAAAAGTGTGACGTCACACCATCTAAACCCCCACCTTCCTCCTCATCACATACTGATACTGTCACAAAATTATGGACCCCCCTACTAAGAGTGTGGCGTCATTTATGGACTACCCCTAATCTGCCTAATGGCTAATATGTTAAAATAACTTAAAATGGGGTCGTCCATAAATGACGTCACACTCGTAGGGGGGAGGGGGGTCCGCAATTTTGTGACGGTGTGTGATGAGGGGGGGGGGGGGGGGGTTCAGATTGTGCAATGTCACACTTTTGCATTATAAAAAAGCAATGTTAGAAAACGAATTTTAGACATTTTGCATTTTAGAAAACTGTTTTAATAAATTGTAGGACCTAATAACAATTGATTAAAATACTCTATTTTGACTGAGTTCAGACAAGATTTTGGAAAAATATAGCTGTTTAAAAAAATTCAACTGTAATTTTGAGGGGGGTTGTAGGCTGAGGTGTGATGTCATTTTAGGGGGGGGGGGGGGGAATCTGGCTTTTTGTGACGATGTGTGACAGAGGGGAGGGAGGTAAAAATCGTCAAAAAAAGCGTGACATCATTTAATTTAATCACATTTATGATTTATGGATGACCTCAATATTCATTAAAATTTTAATACTTTAATTTAATAAAAAATGAATGGTACTTACTGAGGTAACTCATTATTCAATATTGCATTTAGTGCCATTAATTAGGATGCTAGTACTAGTTATTTAGATCTAGTTGAGTTGTTACTGTTGTTAGACGTAAGGGTCTTAGTAATAGTATTCTAGATCTAGGCCCTAACTTTTAACTTAGTAACTAGATCTAGATCTATTACTAGAATCTAAGTACTAAGAAGTAGTAAGTAGAATCTAGAATCTAAGATCTAGATCTAGTACTAGTTAGTTAGTAGAAGGTCTAGTTTACTTAGCAGCCTCTCTATTATGGAAGGCAACACTCAAGAAAATCTAGATTAAGTCTAGAATCTAGCGACTGGTGTCACGAAAACGAAAAAGCCAGAAGTCGAAACAAAAAAGTCAAATAAAAAATGTTATTCTTTTTCTTAAGCTTACCCCCAGTCAATACGACTTTATAGAATTTTTTATTTTGATTTTCACTAACGTTTTGAGACATGTCAATAACTGTTGCAGATTGTTTCGATGAGGTAGAATAATCATTATAAAATAGCCTTGAATATGACAACGCTGCTATTTTAAATTTAATAAAGCAATCGAAATCTGTAGATCTACATGGAAGACGAGAGAATAAAATGCGAAATTTCTCCATTCAACATAATTTGAGGTTACATAAAAACTATGAATGTTGTTTGGGTCACAACCTGCTGATGCAATAAATGAAACAATTCACCCGAAAGTAGGGCCTGTTGGCCTACTAACTTTTTAAATTTTTAATGCCAACGAGTGCATTTTATTTATACATAGGCGTAGGCGGGAGGATTCATGGGCGGTGGCATCTCCCCCCCCTCTATTTCGCGTTTTAGAAAACTGTTTTTATAAATTGTAATAGGAATTGATCAAAATACTCTATGTTGACGGAGTTCAGACAAGATTTTTTGAAAAATATTGATGTTTTAAGAAAAATTCAACAGCAATTTTGAAGGGGGGTGGGGAAGGGGGGTTGTAGGCTGAGGTGTGACGTCATTTTAGGGGGGGGGCTGGCTTTTTGTGACGACATGTGACGGAGGGGGGGGGGGAGGTAAAGATCGTCCAAAAAAGCTTGACGTCATTTATGGATGACCCCTAATATCTCAATATTTTGGCAGGTAATCATTAATTGTATTGGAGGAAATTACCGTCCAACATTACAATTAAGAACGACAAAGTAAGAAAGAACATTCCCACACAACTTCCATTACGTTATATATGTGTCAAGATTCTCAGCACGTGCAGATGTCTTTACTACAGTTTTTTGTATAACAACGAAATATAAAAATTATATTAAAATGGGTCGGGAAAAGGAGTCTGCTTAAAACATCAGGTACATGTTCTGGTAAAACAATTTTAAAAAATAGGGAGGAAAAGCGACCCTTCCCGGCGCCCGGGGACAAACTTTTCGATTTGCACCCCCCCCCTCGAGATTTCGATTTGCAACCCCCTCCCCCTCAAACTTTCGATTTGCACCCCCCCTCCACGAGATTTCGATTTCCACCCCCCCCCCCCCCCCCCCCCCCCACCTCGAGATTTCGATTTGCACCCCCCTCAAACTTTCGATTTGCAGCCCCCTCAACCTTTCAATTTATTTTTCCAACCCATTTTGGCGCTCCCTAAGGTCGGCGCCCGGGGACATATGTCCCGTCCCCGTCCCCCCCCCCCCCCGCCACCCCCCCCCCCCCCCCCCTCGCTACTCTACTGATGCAGGCCTATCATCAAAGTGCAGAAAAAGAACAAAAACAAGTTTTTTTGTTTTTTTAATTTTCTTTTTTTTTTTTTTTTTGCAATCACAATCTACAGCTTTTGTAACAATTGACGTTATCTGAAAATTGTTTTTTTTTTAAATTATCAGGTGATGGGTGATCAAGCCCAAATGTTATAAAACAAAATGTATTTCTTAAGAACGCAATTATCAGTCGCCAATATAAACAACATAATCAGAGGGGGGGGGGGGGAAGAGCGTCTACTGGCCACTCCCCCAAACGAAACGGAGAAAAAGTCCGAAAGAAACACTGAACACAATGTTTTGAAAAGCTTATAAAAGTTAGTATGTCGTTGTAACACTTGGAGAAGGGCGGTTTATTTCGTAATTTTCCAGTATCTAAACCGTGCGCAATTATAGGCCTAATTAATACTAATTATAGTTTTTAGTTAATCGTTTTTTAATACCTTTTCAATTTTTATTAATTTGCTATTTTATTTTACATTTTAAAACATTTATTAACTGTACGTAGTGTAATTAAATAATTAAATATGTGTATAATTAAATAAGTTTTAGTATAATTAAACATGTGTACTCTGTATTGAACAGAGTAATTTCCCCTGCGGTTGCTCGCTGCTTACCTTTACTGTTTACTTTTTAGTTGTTTTTTTTTTAATTATTTAAAATTACTTTCACTGAAATTAAAAATATGTGTGGTCATCTTTATGATGATTTTAGTATTGCTGCGCGTTTATTGATGTTTTCTGCAAACAACAATCTAGCTAGAAAACAAATACAAGAAGCTTTAATATTTTTTGTCAAGTAGGCAAGTTGTGTTGCATGAATTAATATAATCAGCAACATCTTTTATAGTACACATCGCTTGTCTGAACAAATTGAACGTGAGACATAAAATCATGTTGAAACTCAAGTCCTTCGATCCTATAAATTGTATATCACTAATAAAACGAATACTTCAGATTATAAAGACGTGAGATGCCCAATATAATGATGACGTCCTTATTAAATCAACATAGTCGCGCAGAAATTTCTTCTCGACAATGCAAGGGCCCAGAGCTTCAGATCATTCAGCTAGTGGGTACGGCTGAAATCAAGGAAGATGATGAATCTAGTCACATGAGCGTGACGTGGCCAATTAAAGGTGATTGATTGATTTGTAATGAGATTTGTTGAGATGGGCTATAAAAAAGACAAATCTCCCATGGGCAGGGTTTTCACTGCACGTCGCATCAAGCATCAAGGTAGGTAACCATCGTTACTTAAAAGTGATTGGATAAATTCTGGTGCTCAGTTAACATAGTATGTACTGAAGAGTGTTGTAGATTGATTGTGTCAAGCAAAAAGAGATGTATGGTTTTGAATAAGAATTGACTCAATGAGCAAAATTTGAAAGAGTTGCTTTTTTTAAGTGTAGAAAAATTCTGATTTTTGTTTGTTTGTGTTTTTGTCGACAATAAATGTATTCCTAATTTAAATACTTAACAAAGAACTAAGTCTCGTTAAGTTGTAGTTGAAATACAGTTTTATAAAAATTTCAATTGAAAAAAAAAATAATTAATTTCAGGCTTAAAAGTAGTTACTATTTTTTTGTTTTTTAAAAGACTATATTTTTTATTCTTTTTAAAAACAAAAGCTAGACATAGCGAATTAGAACGATTGATTGCTGATAAACATACAAAGTGACTTGACGTTTATCAAAATTCTACTTTGTTATTTTAGAAGAAGTAATTTTTTAGATGTATTGCACTTGAGGAAAAATTTGCCTTTTTTTAAAAAAAAATTTAAATGAAAATTAATTAAAATTCTTACTTCATTACACTGCATGATGTATAGTTTGCAGTGTGTGCGATAAAAAGTAAGTTGTAATATACGAGATGTCATTTGTGGTGTGTAGCTTGTGATGTGTGTGTTATGATGTTGATCTGTGATGTGCGTGTTACGATGTGTGATTTGTGATGTGCGAGTTATGATGTGTAACTAGTGATGTGCGTGTTATGATGTGCGACTTGTGATGTGCATGTTGCGGTGTGTGATTTGTGATGTTTGAGCTGTGTTTCCCACCACCCCCTCTGTATATCCTGCCCCTCCACTTCCAGATGAAGACTGCAGTTTCTACACTCATCGTCTGCCTGCTGGTGGCCTTGACCTCGGCCAGGCCTCATCTGTTCAAACGTGACGTCAGTAAGTCGAGATGAATGTGACGAGTTTCTGTTTGTGTGAAAGTTCTGTGACTGATGCTAATTATAGACCAAAGTGACTGCTTTGGCTAATTTCCCCATAGTCACATGTAAAAAGTACCCTAAGTCTTATCTCGCATTATCTTGCACACACCTTCCAAGCTAGTAGCATCACAATTCGGAGGGTAACTCCAAGTCACAAGATGGCGAAATTGGCAAAATGCATACCCTGAAGTTATTAACTGATTAGTTAGCCGTATCATTCGCCACAGACGGGCACTAGTCGACATAGGAAGAGATGGAGTGACACCAGGACGACATAACAAATTCAGCAGATCAAAGTTAAATGCAAAGTCCGACAGAATATGAATCAAGAGTTTACTCCAGTTTACATGTCATTCAATGTATAGCTGTAATAGTTAGTTAAAAAGTTATTTCTGTTAAATTCCTTTTTAAATACGTGGCTAAAATGGAAGAGCAACCGATACACAAAATTGAAAACAATATTATTATGGGCAGATGATGCTCGATAGCTGGGGACAGAAATTCTTCTACGATAGACAACTCCAAAATCAAACAACTGTTGCCTTGCACTCAGTTTGGTTGAACAAATGCTATGGAAGCAAATGCAAAAAGAAAAGTAGGCTGAAATCGGAGTCAACGGCCTATATGGCGCATAACATGTTGACACGTAATACTTAATTGTGTTGGAGGGAATCCCTTCCAAAATTACAATTAAGAACGAAGAAGAAAATTGAAATAATTTTTATGTTGTATATATGAATACTTCCCCCCTCTCTCACAACTCCGGTCCTCGCACCTCAAACTTAAAGCCATACAGTACACCCACCCTCCCCGCCTCCATTAAAGTAGTATTTATTTTTTAATGTGTCTTAATTTCTTCTGATAATTAATTTCAATAAATATTTACATTTCTAAGATCTTTAAGTTGTGTCTCCGATATCTCTGATGTCTTAGATCATAAGACATTTGATGCTAAAATCTTTAAACATTATCTTCGAGATAATAAAATGTTATCGCTGATATCTTAGATCAATATATCTTTAGAGATGAGCACTTTAAACATATTCTCCGAGATCTTCTAAAGATATGAGATTTCTTAGAGCCTAGCAAAAAGTATGAGATTTCTTAGAACCTAGCAAAAAATATGAGATTTTGTAGAGCCTAGCAAAAAATATGAGATTTTTTAGAGCCTAGCAAAAAGTATGATATTTCTTAGAGCCTAACAAAAATATGAGATTTCCTAGAGCCTAGCAAAAAGTATGAGATTTCTTATAGCGTAGCAAAAATATGAGATTTCTTAGAGCCTAGCAAAAAGTATGAGATTTCTTAGAGCGTAGCAAAAATATGAGTGTTCTTAGATCGTAGCAAAAGATATAAAATTTCCCAGAGAGATCAAGATTGCTAACTCCAAAAGTGCCGAGTTCGGACCCATGGGCAGATGAAGCCCGTTAGTTGGGGACCGCAACCCATTCAAGAGAGAGAACTCCTAAATAAAACAACTGCTACAATGCAGATTGATCTTGCGTGGGCGGAGGTTATTGAAGCAAAACCAAAAAGAAAAGCAGGCTGAAATCAGAGTCAGTGCCATTTGGCGTATATATTGACACACAATACTCAACTCTTGGGGGAAATTATTACAAATAAGAACAAGGAAGAAGAAAGGTTGAAGATTTCGTTCAAGTAAAATCTCAAAGATCTTTCAAGCTCAGAAATATTGAGATCTTTCCGTTTTTCAATTTTCAGAAATCCCAGACTTTTATAAATGGATGTCGATTTATTTAAAATTATTAAAAAAAAACAAGAATGTTTCATCGCATGTAAATCTATAAGTAGGGCCTACATCACAATGTCGAAATATGTAGCCTAAACTTGACTGCTAAAAATAAACCGTGTAGGCAGTCCGATTGGTTAGTGATTGGTCCGTACACCCGCCGCAGGAGATTCGCGTTCTGACACAGAAAATAATCCGCCGATTGATCACTGGCCAGGTAGATCAACTTCCTGTTTTCTCATGTATTCCTTCGTCTCTCGGTGGCTGAACTGTTGTTGTTTTTTTAATGTCGTTTTTAAACCTTCGAGTTACCAGAGCCAGAAAAGCTGTTAGAATTTGTTGTCATGACATCATGACAGTGACATTTTGTTATTAATGTTGGATTAGTTTGTAGCAATAAATCTGTCGTAGATGGTTACACTTCTAATATCATCGGTGTATAAAAAATTTAATTAGTAATCTAAGACAGGACTGGGAAGCCTAAGGGGATTAAATTGTTTACAAGTGGTGTAACTCAAGGAGTGGTAGGGTGGGGTGGGGGCTGCGTGTACCCCTGGGGGCGCACACATGGTTCGGTCTCTTGATGCCCCTGGGTAACAGCAAGTAGCGAGGGTTTGGTGTTTTAATCTGGATGTGGATTACTGTATCGCTATTACCTTGTGCGAGCTGTTTATCTAGACTTACCTGTAAAAAAAAATTTTAAAAAGGGGGGTGGGGGGGTAGACTTAACTATTTAGGAGACTATTATTTATGTCGCCCTTTATATTTGTGACATGTTAATCCTAAACACTTCCCCCGCCACTCTCCCTCATTATAACATAGTATTCAGACATGATGAGTAAACATTAACACAACACCACAAGAATAGATGGAGGACCACACCAACTTTGTACGGGTCACAACGGAACATTCCTACTAGCTGTCGGGGCATATGTGGTGGGGCCAGTTTCCCTCTTCGACCAGAGCGTGGGGCTAATACACACTATAGCTGGGTGGACAGTGACGTCGTATTGATTCCATTCCGTGCAACGAACGGGGGGTTCGGTGTGGTGGCCGTGTGTCCTAGTGCGCCGCTCGTAGTATTGGTGTGGGGTTCCCTTTTACGTACAGGACCAGATTATGAATCATTAACACTCGGACAGGCCTGCACCGAGTCGTGTCTATCAGTAGTCCTATCCCACCCAGTAGACAGCCGTTGCCGGTTTATGCCGTGTCATAGAGACGAGCCTAGTTGTGCATCATCTAATACACTTCTAACTTGATAAAAATGTACATACAATAAAATAGCAATAAATCTGGGCACGTACAATCATCTCGGGGCTAAAAGACATGTGATTGTTTAACTGTCCACTAATCTGTCAGCTATGAAGACCGGAGTGCTCATGACAGAACTGGACTCCGCCATCTTTGACTCTTCACTTTTAACCTCATCGCTAACAAATTTGCTTCTTGAGTTTCCGTGATTTAACTCCTGGGTAACAAAATCTAAATCCTTGTAGCTGAGAAAGTATCATAACCTGGGAGATCTTGAGAAGTGTGAAATATTCAGGCTCTACCACCTTCCAACACGACTTCAGGAGTTTTGTCCCGAAAATTATTCCATTTATGGAAAATGATACTGTGGGTGTCATGACATGCTACATAAAAATTCATCTCCATCGCTCAAGTATTTTGCAAATTATGACATGTGTACACAAATGTACAACATGTCACAATAGAGTAAAATGTCAGCAACACCTTATTGATCACATGCATCAGGGAAACACTGGGTGGTTTGACACAAAATCAGAAGAATGTTTGACGTTTTTAACGATCTTGAATGTTAGCTTAACTGAACTTTCCTGTTGTTTAAACTCATGTCCTATTCGTCCACTTTTTGTTCCAGGCAATGCCATTGACTTTTCGACTCCACAGAAACTGGGTAAGTAAACATTAAAGTCTACAAATGAATAGATCCTATGACTTGGCTGCCACTCAACGATAACAAATGATTTTACTGTCACACAACGATAACTTTTACTGTCACACAACGATAACTTATGATTTTACTGTCATACAACCCTAACTTATTATTGTTTTGCCACACAACCCTAACTTATAATTGTACTGTCACACAACGATAACTTTTACTGTCACACAACGATAACTTATGATTTTACTGTCATACAACCCTAACTTATTATTGTAATGCCACACAACCCTAACTTATGATTATACTGTCACACAACGATAACGTATGATTGTACTGTCACACAACGATAACGTATGATTGTACTGTCACACAACGATAACTTATGATTGTACTGTCACACAACGATAACTTTTACTGTCACACAAAGATAACTTTTACAGTCACACAACGATAACTTATGATTGTACTGTCACACAACGATAACTTATGATTGTACTGTCACACAACGATAACTTATGATTGTACTGTCACACAACGATAACCTATGATTGTACTGTCACACAACGATAACCTATGATTGTAATGTCACACAACGATAACTTTTACTGTTACACAACGATAACTTATGATTGTACTGTCACACAACGATAACTTATGATTGTACTGTCACACAACGAAAACTTATGATTGTACTGTCACACAACGATAACTTATTAGTGTAATGCCACACAACCCTAACTTATGATTGTACTGTCACACAACGATAACTTATGATTGTACTGTCACACAACCCTATCTTATGATTGTACAGTCACACAACGATAACTTTTACTGTCACACAACCCTAACTTATGATTGTAATGCCACACAACGATAACTTATGAGTGTAATGTCACACAACGATAACGTATGATTGTACTGTCACACAACGATAGCTTATGATTGTACTGTCACACAACGATAACTTATGATTGTAATGATAATTCTACAGCCAGGCCATCACCTGCAGCGCCAGAAGCAAAAAGCAGTCTTTCACAAGCCAGTGGAGCCACAGGTAGGTTATGTCAACATGTTGGTCAGTTGTTGGTCAGTTGTTGGTCAATGGACGGTCAGTAACTGGTCAGTTGTTGGTTGGTTGCTGGTTAGTTGTTGGTCAGTTGTTGGTCAATGGACGGTCAGTAACTGGTCAGTTGTTGGTCGGTTGCTGGTTAGTTGTTGGTCAGTTGTTGGTCAGTAAATGGTTAGTTGTTGGTTAGTTACTGGTCAATGGACGGTCAGTAACTGGTCAGTTGTTGGTCAGTTGTTGGTCAGTTGTTGGTCAGTTGTTGGTCAGTTGCGGGTTAGTTGTTGGTCAGTAAATGGTCAGTTGTTGGTTAGTTACTGGTCAGTTACTGGTTAGTTGTTGGTCAGTCGTTTGTCAATGGACGGTCAGTGGTTGGCCAGTAACAGGTCAGTTGTTGGTAATTTGCTGGTCAGTATCGGATCAGTTGTTGGTCAGTTGCTGGTCAATTACTGGTTATTGGTCATTAGCTGGTTCAAAATGTCCGAGGTCGAATAATTTTGAGGCAGAAATTCCAGGGCTCCTGTGATGTACTAATAAACCGGGAGTGATCTCCCCTAAACTTTCTCGAATACTCTTATATAAAACAACAGGGGATTGGAACTCTGGATATAGTTATGATTTTTAATCCATTTTAAATACTTAAACTTTTTAAAATAGAATAGAATCTCATAGAAAAAAGAATTGCGCACCAAGCGAACGCTAAAACAAAATGTGCATAATAGTGCGGAATATTATTAGTACTTTATAAATTTACAAGCGTTTTTTGAAACATCGGAAATAGCGAAAATTACTAATTCCGGTCAACGGAAATTACTCAAAATTTGATAGAAGGTAGAGGATTAGATCTTTTACTTACGTGTGAAATTTCATTTATCTATCTGAAAAAGTACTCAAGTTATAGGCTTTTGAATAATTCAAAGTGAAAAAAGTACCACTTCCGGTTATCGGAAATCGCTCAAAAGTTGAAACGGATCGACGATTTTGATAAAATACTTATATATGAAATTTCATTAACCTAGCTTTAACGGTATTCAAGTTATCGTGTTCATACACACACAGACACACAGACATACGGACAAGATTGCAAAATTATTTTTTTCCGTATCAGTGAGGTGTAAAACGTCGAGATTTGTAAAAATCTCGATTTTTTTTGCACGATTACAATACTTTCTTTTATACTTCGTATATACGAGAAAGTAAAAAATGCTGAGGCTATGGTACATTTTTGTGACAAGTCTGTTTCTTGCATGCACACTTTGAATCCTGGGGCCATTTTTCCACTATGGTGAGTCAGATGCCCAGCAGAGCCTGGTGAATCCGGGGGGAGGGGGCTGCAAATAATGTAATACTAATACATGAAATTTAGCCCACCTAACTAACACAGTAGGCTACTCTAGTTAAGGGCTTGTCGATTGTTCAGATGAAATTGAATTAAAAAATCTCTCAAGGTCCTAGTGAGGTTTCTGCTCAGCAAGGTCCAACTAGGGAACAGTACCAACAGATGATGTTGGCCCAACAACAGGCAATGATGGCCCAACAACAACAACAGCAAGTACCAACTAGGGAACAATACCAACAGATGTTGGCCCAGAGGCAAGCAATGCTGGCCCAACAACAACAACAACAGCAAGTCCCAACAAGGGAACAATACCAACAGATGTTGGCCCAACAACAGGCAATGATGGCCCAACAACAAGCAATGATGGCCCAACAACAACAACAACAACAGCAAGTCCCAACAAGGGAACAATACCAACAGATGTTGGCCCAACAACAACCAATGATGGCCCAACAACAACAACAGCCTCAACAGCAAGTTTCAACTAGGGAACAATACCAACAGATGATGACCCGACAACAAGCAATGATGGCCCAACAACAACAACAACAGCAAGTCCCAACAAGAGAGCAATACCAACAGATGTTGGCCCAACAACAAGCAATGATGGCCCAACAACAACAACAGCCTCAACAGCAAGTGCCAACAAGAGAGCAATACCAACAGATGTTGGCCCAACAACAAGCAATGATGGCCCAACAACAACAACAACAGCAAGTCCCAACAAGGGAGCAATACCAACAGATGTTGGCCCAACAACAAGCAATTATGGCCCAACAACAACAGCAGCAGCAAGTGCCAACAAGGGAGCAATACCAACAGATGTTGGCCCAACAACAAGCAATGATGGCCCAACAACAACAACAGCCTCAACAGCAAGTGCCTACAAGGGAGCAATACCAACAGATGTTGGCCCAACAACAAGCAATGATGGCCCAACAACAACAACAGCCTCAACAGCAAGTGCCAACAAGGGAGCAATACCAACAGATGTTGGCCCAACAACAAGCAATGATGGCCCAACAACAACAGCAGCAGCAAGTGCCAACAAGAGAGCAATACCAACAGATGTTGGCCCAACAGCAAGCAATAATGGCCCAGCAACAACAACAAGTTTCGACCAGAGAACAATACCAACAGTTGATGTTGGCCCAACAACAGGCAATGAATCAACAATCACAACTTCATCAGGCACTAACAAAGGAACAGTATCAACAGATGCTTTTAGCCCAGCAACAACAACAACAAGTACCAACTACGGAACAATACCAACAGATGTTGGCCCAACAACAAGCAATGATGGCTCAGCAACAACAACAACAGCAAGCCATAACTAGAGAACAATACCAACAGATGTTGGCCCAACAACAAGCAATGATGGCTCAGCAACAACAACAACAGCAAGCCATAACTAGAGAACAATACCAACAGATGTTGGCCCAACAGCAAGCAATGATGGCCCAACAACAACAACAACAACAAACACCAACACGAGAACAGTATGAGCAAATGATGAGTGAACAAACGAACCAACAAAGTACCGAATCTGTCAGCTCTTATTTACAGAGGGTCAAGGGGCACAACCCAACTAACTCACAACAGGAACCGGACACAGAAGGTAAGAATTCGTGTTACTGTTCTGAACCAATAGGGCTTGTAAGTAGGTCACAAGTGTCTCGTTTATCTCTTGCCAGATAGTATTTTTAAAACAAATGTGAATATTTTAATTTTTTTTTTTTAATTTGAAGAGTTCAAAACAATTTAATTTAGTTCGAAAATTTATATCTCGCCCTGGCTAACGTGAACTATGAATTTTAAGCGAGAGAGAACGAGACTTACAAGCCCTATTGCTCATACTACAACTACTTTTGCCACCAAATTTTAGAAAATATTAAAATCCAACTTATAAAAATAATTTATGACAATAAAATGTTGACTTATTTCGTGTTTTTTATATTTTTTATATTTGTATCATAAACATTCATTATTTTGACGTGCTTTTTATTGCATTCAAACGTGTATTTTAAATTTATTTCTGTTTAGCCACCCCTGAACCAACGGCCAGATTCCAGTACTTTAACATCAGTCAACAAGAACTGGCCAGTAAGTTATTTCAATGGGATTTACTTCTTCATTTCTGCTGCTCTCCGTAGCCTTATTCTAGCCTTCGGAAATATTTTCTTTAAACACACTTATATTGCTCTCTGTAGTTTTATTGTACTAATCGGAAATATTTTACTTATACACACCTCTACTGCTCTCCATAGCTTTATTCTAGCCATCGGAAATATTTTACTTATACACACCTCTACTGCTCTCCATAGCCTTATTCTAGCCATCGGAAATATTTTCTTTAAACACACTTATATTGCTCTCTGTAGTTTTATTGTACTAATCGGAAATATTTTTTACCCTGTACAGCTTTCCCTATGCCCAACCTCGGAAGTGCAATGATGACAGAGTCCAGACTTCAGGAAGCCAGAGGAAACATCATCAAAGGCTTTTACATGGACCTCATTAAATTGTAAGTAGAGCTAGCATAGAGTCGTGTAAAAAAAACTGTGCAGAATTTAGAATAAGCTACTTGGCAAAGCGAATCAAGTATAAAGTCTAAATTCTAAATCCAAGAAGCACATAGTCTAGTGCAAGTTTAAATCCAATAAACAAACGTATGGTCGAGTGCAAAATGTAAATCCGAGAACCAAATATTCACAACCTACAGAATGCCAAAATCTTTTGGATAATGTACAAATAACGTCAAAGCCCTAAAATTAACAAATGGAGATTACATATTCCAATTACAATTTTGATCTTCATGATGACAGAGCAATTGTAATGAAAATCATTTCATATTTACTTATTTTTCTTTAAAAAAAACTGTGTTTCTTTCAGACTTTTTTCTCCGGGGAGGGGGGGGGGGGCTTGAAATTTTCAGGGTGGGGGGCGTACTAAAATTTCCGGAGGGCGGACACTGTTAAAATTGTCTATATTTTCTGTATAAATTCCATTTCATTCGGGGGGGGGGGGGGGCTGTAGACTTTCTTCGTGGAAGGGTGGGGGCGGAGCCTGGAAGAAACTCTACTAACAACAGAAGTTATTCGTGAATAGATTTTTAATTTTTTTAAAATCTCCAAATAAAATTTCAGCCAAGAGCTCGGCCAATTCTTCCGTAGCCAATTGAGCGCCAAACTGTCCATGTTGCAACAGATCGAGATGCAGCTGGCGCCCATGAGAGGGATGTTAGCCAAGATGGTGACAAGTCCTATCGCTGGCGTCAGCCCCCCAATGGGCGAGCAGCAATCGGCAACTATCGTCACCAAACTTCGAGGGGAGGGCTTTGATACGTCTAAAATTGAAGAGTGAATTTTAATGTAAATGATTTTTTTTTGTTTTGTTTAATAAACAAAACAGATCAACGACTTAAAACTATTATTTTGAAATTTTTGAGTCTGTACGTTTCGTGTTTGATAAACTGTAAAAAATATAACATTATTTTCCTATTAGAAGCCTACGACAACCTCACCTGAAACCTTTAATAGTAGTTTAGATTACAGAATAATCTCTTCTGTAAATACACAGTAAGAGTAGTATAATTAATATTCATTAAAAAATAAAATTTGAACAAATGAATAATTGTTTCGCTTTTTTAACTTTTTAAATTGTTCGCTTAGGTTCCTTAAAAAGCACAATTTACGTGAAAGGTTGCTTCCCTTGATTTAATGTTAGCTTATTTTTTTTTAAATATACATTAACGAGACTTGCTAATTAACCCTCCCCCCGCCCCCCTAAAAAACGTATTTTTACAAAAATTCTGTATAAATATATTGTGTGTAACGAGTTAAATCAGTTATTAGATTTAAAGTTTCTTTCTCGTTAGATGTGGTGTGGTATATCATTTCCTGTGTTGTAGAAGTGCTGTAAGCCTCACTTGTTATCAAACCTTCCTGTGTTGTAGAAGTGCTGTAAGCCTCACTTGTTATCAAACCTTCCTCTGTTGTAGAAGTGCTGTAAGCCTCACTTGTTATCAAACCTTCCTCTGTTGTAGAAGTGCTGTAAGCTTCACTTGTTATCAAACCTTCCTCTGTTGTAGAAGTGCTGTAAGCCTCACTTGTTATCAAACCTTCCTCTGTTGTAGAAGTACTGTAAGCCTCACTTGTTATCAAACCTTCCTGTTGTAGAAGTGCTGTAAGCTTCACTTGTTATCAAACCTTCCTCTGTTGTAGAAGTGCTGTAAGCCTCACTTGTTATCAAACCTTCCTCTGTTGTAGAAGTGCTGTAAGCCTCACTTGTTATCAAACCTTCCTGTTGTAGAAGTGCTGTAAGACTCACTTGTTATCTAACCTTCCTGTTGTAGAAGTGCTGTAAGCCTCACTTGTTATCAAACCTTCCTGTTGTAGAAGTGCTGTAAGCCTCACTTGTTATCAAACCTTCCTCTGTTGTAGAAGTGCTGTAAGCCTCACTTGTTATCAAACCTTCCTCTGTTGTAGAAGTGCTGTAAGCCTCACTTGTTATCAAACCTTCCTGTTGTAGAAGTGCTGTAAGCATCACTTGTTATCAAACCTTCCTCTGTTGTAGAAGTGCTGTAAGCCTCACTTGTTATCAAACCTTCCTCTGTTGTAGAAGTGCTGTAAGCCTCACTTGTTATCAAACCTTCCTCTGTTGTAGAAGTGCTGTAAGCATCACTTGTTATCAAACCTTCCTCTGTTGTAGAAGTGCTGTAAGCCTCACTTGTTATCAAACCTTCCTCTGTTGTAGAAGTGCTGTAAGCCTCACTTGTTATCAAACCTTCCTGTTGTAGAAGTGCTGTAAGCCTCACTTGTTATCAAACCTTCCTGTTGTAGAAGTGCTGTAAGCATCACTTGTTATCAAACCTTCCTCTGTTGTAGAAGTGCTGTAAGCCTCACTTGTTATCAAACCTTCCTGTGTTGTAGAAGTGCTGTAAGCTTCACTTGTTATCAAACCTTCATCTGTTGTAGAAGTGCTGTAAGCCTCACTCCCATTCATGTCAGCTTTAAGGCAGATTACACTTGTACAATACATGTTGAAACCACCATAATTATGTGAAAGTATTATTGCCTTCAATGGTCACTATAATATAAAACAGCACAAGGTCAAAAAAAGTGCTATTTACAACCCAATAAATGTGGTACACAAATATCAATGGAAATGGTTTTATTTAAATATTTACATAAAACAAGCCATACACACACAAATACATCTGTATAAAATGTAGATATCTTTAGGTTAGCTTTTTTTGTTCTAAATATACATGTGTATATATATATTTTTTTAATTTATAGATGTAAATATATATCTTTTGAATGATATAGAAGTTTTAAAGAAGACCTATTCCAAATAGTCTTTTCTAGGAAGTTTTTGTTTTAATGTGCACACAACCCAGGCTACCAGCGCCCTATACACACTAACAGAAACAATGGAATGTTTATACATTCTTCTGCTTGCATTATACCATGGGGCAACACACACACACACTTACAGAAACAATGGAATGTTGATGTGTTTTGCTGCTTACATTATAACATGGGGCAACACACATACAATAACAGAAACAATGGAATGTTGTGTTTTTATGCTAGCAGCAACCAAATAAATAATTAAAACTTTCTCTAGCCTTCATAAAAGACACAGTAGTCTGATGCTGTAAATTATTCTCAATTTATGATTAGCCATATGTTTTTTCAAAAACTGCCAAAGTTACTCAGAGCCTGAACTTTTCTCTAGGTTAGGAAAATCTGATAATGAAGAGATATTTCTTAAAATGAAAGTTGGATAAAAAGTAATAAGAAAGTCACAAACCAAGGTGAAGGTCGTCATGTTGTGAGCCACTGAAATCAGTGAAATCAGACCAACACAGAAGGAGAAGATCATTATCAATATCAGCTACGGCAACTCAAGCCACTGACAGATGACAAGTCATATTCATTCTCAGTTGGCAATGACATTAGACATGCCATTTCAAATGTCATGAAAATAAATAAATAACTGAAGGAATAGAGTACCCTCTAAACGAGCACAGATTTCCCCTTTCACATTATCAAACTTTCAAAAAAATATGCATGCTTCAATATATGCACAACCTAGCTTTTAGCACAAATCCTAGAACATAACACAAGGAGCTATGCTGAATAACATCATAAATTATCTGAAATCACTGCATGTTATCTTAAATCATTCAATTCGCAACATGATATCCTGTATCACAACACCTTATCCTAGAAGAGTTCAACACATTATCCACACTTAGCACAAAAATTATCCTAAATTATTCATAGCACAAGCTCCCTAAGATAAAAGAGTACAGAAATTCACAGAAGAACATAAACATTCTTGTCTCGCACTGACGTTTTTTTTGTCAACTTTTTCAAGTTTCTTAACAACAAAAAATTATTAAAAGCTTATAAATTAATCCATTAAAGTAGTGTACAAAATTGGTGTTAGAGATGACTATGGTCACATATAGATTGCACTGTTTAGTTCATTATGCAACCCGCTGTTATTATCTAAAGCCACTCTACAAAACAATAGACACTTAAGTAAACAGTTTGAAGAAAGAAAATTTTTGGAAGCGCAGGGTGTAAATACATGAAACAAGGTTACAAATCAGCCTGGTTGATTACTTTAGAACATTTGATAAAAATAGGTTGATAAATAAAACAAGTAGACAACAAGAAAATAAAATTAATGACACAAACCTAAGACATGTCCACAATAGTTCTGGTGGTAAGTACAGGGAGTTTTCTAACTAGACAGAGGCTGTCCTTTAAATACAGTTAACATCACAACTTTTTAAAATGTTTTTCTGGTTAGTGTTAAAAATACAAAAAAAATAGGTATTTGAAATTTAAGTTTAAACTTTTTTGAGTTTGGATTGCAATTAAATATCAAATTAAGGTCAAGACTTTTAGTTAAAAATCCAATATAAATAAATTAATAAAACTTTTTTGATTTCAGATAACAATGAAATTCTGCTACATCAAGGCATATCATTAATTTTATTTCTGGGACATGCTCCCGTTCACTCCTGTCTTCCTAACATAAAATCTTATTTACAATTTTTACAATTCCTCATTTGCGTGATCAAAGATTTCATACAAATGCCAAAGCACACACGCACATACACACCAGCATGCCCAAACATAACCTTCATGACACAGACACATTTTCTAAACTGTTATCCACCACAACCTTCCCACCCCACTTGATCTTGTATCTCCGGTTCCTCCACACCACATGGTCCTTTAAGTGACCCATGAGAATGATGTAAGGGGAGAGGAACTCACGCAGAAGCCACGCCACCACGTACTCAAACTTTGAGAAAGGCATGGGACCATTCTAAAACAAACAAAAAAGAAAAAATATTAGCAAAATAAACCTACTTTTTTTAAAATAAAAAATGACCTTATTCAATGCAATGTCAACTATTTTAACACTATGTGCAATGCTGCACACAGCAGCTAAAAAAAACCTCCTAGTAAATTGCAACCACTTTACAACCTCTTCAGCTAAAATGTCCTTATTAACAACAAGCCCTGACATTGGTAAAAAAAAAAAACCCTTTTAAAGGGGACAACTAAACCAATAAATCAATAGGACATCAATAAATTACTTTAAACATGTGCAATGTTCAACTGCATTAATAATATCTAATCCCCTTTTGAACCGGTTCATATAGCCAGTCAAGCGTAGAGGAAATGTCTGCTGGCAAAAATCTGGCAACAATCCAAGCAGGTCAACACAATGTTTATGGTAACAAGGGTGGCTAGCAACCTTCCTGTTACACATGATTGATTTCTGGCCCACATCACAGTAGTGGGTGTGTGCTTCATGTGAAAAGGTTCCAACTGCCTCTCCCCCCCCCCCCCCCCAACAATAACACAATGAAGGCTCTGATTACAATTAGAGACACCAAATTATGATCATTACTCAACTTTTCTTTGAATGTGCCAGAACTTTTACTCTGTTACATGTTAACACAAAATCAATGACATGTCACTGGAGTGTCAGAAAACTAAAACTAAACTTTTGCTACACTGCTAAAAAAATTATATGAGGTAAAAATAGATTTTTTTGAATGTGGATTCTGGTTAAATTTTTTTTTTAACCAGGCGTATGTTGACAAATAAAAGAATGAATAAAAGTACTGATAAGATTACAAAACACACTATGGTGAACTTAGCAAGATTTTTTTTTATCAGAACAGTTATCACTAAAATCTGCCCACCAAAAAGATATTTCCTGTGGGCATCACATCCACACAATTAGATAAACTGACTAGTCAATTGTTAAGAAAGGTAGCAGCAGAGTTTGGGCCAAGTGTGATAATATGAACCATTAAAAAGTAGAAAAAGACCATAGAACTGTGTTAACTATATCTCTGTAGACAGATAAAAAATTTTTTATCTGCATACAACTATTACTTCAAGATAAGTTTAGGTTTATTAGCTGTTGTTGTTGCCCATTTATATTTTCCCATCAACATTATTAAAGATGGCAAATAATTTTTAAAAAAAAGTCTATACATTTTACTCATTAGACATAACTTTAAAATTGAACAGTGGCTAGTCTTTAAAACCAACACTATCGTTTTTTAATACTTCTCATGAACAGTTTAAACAAGATTATTATAATACTAAAATGTGAACAATACTTCTTGGGACCTTTTGCAACACAAGTTTTGTGTACTATAGTTATGTTGATAGATTTATACTCAATTAGTTGTGTTTTTAAAACTATTATAAACTGAGACAGAGGTAGTCAGAGAAAAAAAATGGAGAAAGTAGTCACAGAAAGGAAATGGAGAAAGTAGACACAAAAAATAATGGAGAAAGTAGTCACAGAAAATAATGGAGAAAGTAGTCACAGAAAGGAAATGAAGAAAGTAGTCAAAGTAATGGAGAAAGTAGTCACAGAAAGGAAATGGAGAAAGTAGTCAAAGTAATGGAGAAAGTAGTCACAGAAAGGAAATGGAGAAAGTAGTCACAGAAAGGAAATGGAGAAAGTAGTCACAGAAAATAATGGAGAAAGTAGTCACAGAAAAAAAATGGAGAAAGTAGTCACAGAAAGGAAATGAAGAAAGTAGTCAAAGTAATGGAGAAAGTAGTCACAGAAAGGAAATGGAGAAAGTAGTCACAGAAAGGAAATGGAGAGTCAGAAAGAGTTAGTAACTAAAAGGAGTGAGAGAGGAAGTAGTAAGAGAGAGAGAGAATAATGCCAATTCCTCTCGTCCTCAACTGTAAAGAAAAGTGGATGGAAACTGTGACTGAAAACATCTATTCTTTGTACACTACGTCTACCATTAATAAGATGAAGAGAGAAAATGACAGATAGAGAGTGATTACTTCTGTTTAAATAATAAACTTACCTCCACAATTCTGAAGAGAATATAATCACTGAGAAACCACAGTAAAAAGTGTCCTAAAAAGAATGCCAATGGAGAAATATCAAAAATGAAATTGGCTGCCAAAGCTGTGAAAGTCCCTAACACAACACTCTCTCCTAGAGGTTCAAGGAATATTAAAGTTGGCACCATCGTCATTCGAAGTTGGGCCCACCTAGAGAGAAAAATTAAAACAAGTTTTCTTAATTTAACTCTAAATTCAAGAATAAAAACAACAGTAAAATTTGTATAAGATTTTAAACCTAATATTTCTATTAAGTTTGTTTACTAAATGTTTACTTTTTTATTTAAAATGATCTCTACTTAACTGAAAAAAAATGTCACAAAGTCCCCATACCTCCATACAAAAATTAAAATATCCTGCTATAAATGTTCAGGACTAAATTTTAAAAAGTATAACATAGACTAGCAACTGATGAACAGTATGAGCAACCTACCTAACTAATCTATTGTGGAATTCAGATATAGAACAATTCCCTGAGTTCTGTAGAGCTGGTGTTGTTGCCAGAACAACTTTATAGTTTCTGGAACAACATACATAAAAATATCATAATATGAAAATGGAATGTATAGCTAAAGATAATTACAATGCAATCACATCAAAACTACAACTTAATTTAATTAAACTCAGCTTGTTAAATTTTCCTTAATTATTGTGAAGATTATGTAAAAATAATTCCAGAAAGTTGGTAATCTACTCACTGAGCTCTGATGGCCTCTGCCATGAAATGGTCCTCTGCAAGATACTTCCCAAACTCAGCCAGGCCTCCGGCTTTGTCCAGGACATCTCGTCGCAGTAAACTAGACATGCCAGTAGAACAGTTGATGCCAACTGCATTGGCACTCAAACAGTTTCTGGCCTGCATAGTTCCAAAGTAAACCTAAATAGAAATCAAGGAATTTTAAGAAGTTGTTAGAGTATGTTTGCACATACAGCACATAAAACCACAAGGCCATATATAACAAAACATAAAGGCTTATTGACAAAGTGAAATCTTTTAAAATTCAATGTAAACATGTCAAGAAGATGTACAAACCTGCTGGTAAACTGCACCAAACCCTTTTCTTGTGGCACAGTAAGGCATCTGGATAACTAATCCTACATCAGGCTTCAGAAGGTGGTACATTTCATACAGGGTTGTGGGTGTCACTTTAAAAAAAAAAATCATAACGGTTGTGGGCATCACTAAATACTTTTACAACAGTTTACAGAAATCATTTTGACACTAAATGATTGAATCAGGATACATTTTTTTTTTTAATACAGAAAGGTTACTTCTTATGTGAAGTCAAAACTGAGAAACTACAGAGACAACTTGATACTTAATATTGCTCTATTTTTGAGCTATCAGGAAAGTACTCATTACAAAACTGTCTTCAAAAGCAAATTGAGAGTGAAAACTTACTTTTAATCCCAGTGTCAGAAATAACAATGTTATCATATTGAGCTGCTTCATATGGCCTAACCATGTTGTTAATTTTCCCATTTGGTCCGACATTTTTTAAACCTGGCAAACAGACAAATATTTTTGGTTTAATAACTTGGAACAATTAGTTAAGACAAAGCAAGAGCCAAAAGGTATAGAGAATATTTAATAGTTAACTAAATGAAATTAAAATAGTTGCTATTAATAAAACAAACTTGTTTAGTAGTTAGAAAGCTTACCAATAAAAAGTTTGGCATCTACTTTAGGGTAACTATCAATCAAACTTTTAACTACAAGGATTGCTGGATCATTGTCATCCTGAACACTAAACAACAATTCATACTGTGGAATACAACATGCAGTCTGTGTAAAAGTAGATGACATTAACAGATGCTAAAAAGCAGATCACATTTAACAAGAACTTCACAAAAAATCCAAATAAGTTTAGATTAGTAAATTACATGGAAATTGTAGCATAAGAGAAATTATACAAGCAGATCAAATAAAAGAAGTGTAGTTTTGACTAAGTCAGGGTTTATTGTCACCCCCCCCCCCCTGGACCGTGTCACAATGTGATGTCTGCAACCCTAACCCAGCCTTAGGGCATTACTGTGTGAGCTCAAATTTCTGTTTAAAGTTAGGTTTTATGTTTTAATCCGCCACATGCAAAAAAATATACTTACAACAGGATAAGTCTGTGTGAAAAATGTTTCCAAGTTACTTTTCAAATTAATGTCAACACCTGTCAGTGGCTTGATAATAGAAATCCCTGGTAGTTTTTCTTTCGGGATGACTGGTTCTAACTTCTTATAAAGATGACAAAGGCTGCCGGAAAAGAAAATTAATTATAAGTTTCACAGATATAGAAAACATCTGAATTCATTTCATGTGTTATGTTTATAAGGTTGACATAATCGCATTAACAAACATTTTTTGTTCACAGTTTTTTAACAATAAGGCTTACTGCTGTTGAATATTTTAATTAACCTACTCTTGTAGTTTTGATTATCTAGGCCCCTATATATTTTATAACAACAATGACCAAAAAATGTCTGTGTAGTTCCACTAAACTACAAATTGAGTAGCCTACATAATATAGGCCAACATATTCATAATACTAGATCTAATACATATTATTATTAGACTACATATTTTATTAATAATTATTTCTTAGTTGTTTAATGTTAAGAGTGGCATTATCCTTCTACATAGGCTACACTACACACCACACATATATCACACAATGACCCTTTACTAAAGTTTTGGGGGTCTACTACTATACATCATCTAGTAGTACATAACCTGAAATGTCCTCATTCATTAAAAATAAAAACGGTATGATTTAAACACCAAAGTCCAAAATGGTGTGTTGACTGCTGGCAAGAGCAGATAACTACATATTGTAGGCCACTTGATTTAACAGGACAACAATCTTTAAATTTATATTGGAATGAAAGACTCACCCGAAACAAATAGAAACAATGTGAATGGCCCATTGGCACAGCCATCCTATTAAAAAGGCAGAAGCTATGACCGTAGCCCCAATGGCAAAATAATCAACACTCATAGCTTCATCGTGGGCTGGGCTAGTTTCTTGAGGGCCGACTAGATCTAGGCGTCTATCAGGAAAGTGTAAAGAATGACTCAGTGACGTATATCATCAATGATTGCCAGGTAAGCAAAAACATTTTAAATTCAAAACGTTATGTTTTTAATTGATATTTTCCAAAATTAAGTTAAATTTATACAAACAATGATAAATAGATGTTTAACTAACAAAGAGTTAATGTAATTCAAAGTGAGGTGGTTGATTTGGATACATACCTGTGGACCGAATTCGAAATGTCACAGCTGCGAACTACCTGGCTAGACTACCTGGGAATTCAGAGTAGCCTACATTCACTATGGTAGCTAGGCCTATGCTTTTGTTTGGTTTACGTTGGCGCAGTGTATTATGAATGTGCTGCGTGTTGTGACAATTGGGTCAATCGACTTGCTTGTGACGTCTCCACGTAAAACTACGGCAAAGTTCTCAACTTGTTTTTAAAGATTTTTTTTCCTTTTTACATATAGATCTAATTGATTTTTTTTATAGATTGAACTGATCAAATGTCCCGTTGACCTTTATAGGGGCCACAGACGTCATTCTAAAATGCTGTAATTGATTTTGTCCTCAGAGAAAGCTATGTTTTTTGACCGAGCTGTGTGCCGAGTCCCTATATATGCGGCCAATATCTTTTAAAAACATTTTTGTTCGTTTCTGTTTTCAAATATATTAGCCTAAAAGCTGTTTTACTAGATCTAGTAACTTTAAATGCCGACTTTTTTCTCTCATTTTTATCGATTACCCGCGTGCCCACATTTCTAATCGTATTACGCCAATCGGAGATTACAATGCTTTAACTCAACAATTGGGGTTAGAGTTGGGTTTACATTAGGATAGATTAAATTGTTTTTACTGTTGAATTTAGCCTACCATCTGATTAGGCCGAGGTTGTATAGAGCTTTTGGATTTATTCTTCCTGGATAATCGCGTGGGTATGGGGAAGTTGTTGGTTCAAGGATGTTACACCTAAAGGCTATGTCTGAGAGGGGGGGGGGGGGGTAAGGGGGTCGATGATTTCGTCACTTCAGATGTTCTGTCGTCCAAGTTTGACATCCCAATAAAGACGGTTTAAGAGAAATCACTTTCACAGAAAGGGGAAACCCACACAGGTGCCAACAGAGTTTCTTCCCCCGAAAAAATTCTACCGCCCCCCCCCCTCCCCCCGAACGAAATGAAATTTATATAATTTATATAGAAAATATATACTTTTAACAGTGTCCGCCCCCCCCCCCCCCCGAAAATTTCAAGTGCCCCCCACGGAGAAGAAAGTCTGGAAGAATTATTGGGTGCCAAGATGTTATTTATACATTCATATATGTATGTATATATATATATATATATATATATATATATATATATATATATATATATATATATATATATATATATATATATATATATATATATATATATATCCGATAGAATTTACATCTTGACCTTGTCGATGACTTGTTTGCATTGGTACTTGGTTACTGCGTGTTGGGATTTATTTTTTTAACATTAAACTCTTATATTGTTGAGACATCGCATTGTTCAAACTTTGGTATGTACAATAGAGGTAGATAAAATTCTTACAACTTTTACATAGCGTCAACTGTTTAAAAAAAACTATTATTATTGATTATAAATACAAGTTATTAACTCTCTACCAGCCTGATAATTCATGGTCACGAGGCGGATTTGCGTTGTCTTTAGAAGTTCAAGTGTATATTTAAATTGGCATGTTGATCATTACCTGATATTTAATCGCAGTTTTTATAGAGATACACAAGCCGGCCATCTTGACTAGTATAAATGCCTTAATAGTCGTATATGTTATTGTCGGCCAATTAGTCGGATACATTTTTTCTTAACTTTGAATAACATTTATAAATATCAAATAGGAATGTGCATCTGCACTAACAGTTTAGACCTTGCACTGGCCGCACCAAACCGCCAAACATCATTTGTATTGAAGGTGATTTTTTTTTATAGTCATATTTCATGTACAAGTGTTTTATCTGTACATCTGGTCATTTTTAGCACAATTACAAAATTCTGACTATTGCGATTATTAATTCGTTATTTCTGGATGGATGGATGGATGGATGTGTGTCCGCAGCTTTAAGTCGTATCTCCTCCTCTACGAAGCAATATCGAGGACTAGTTCCAAAGCAAATATGTTAAGCAAGTTCCGAGGATGATTGTGGGCCAAAAAAATTCCTGGAATTCCTTCCTGGATTTCCCGGAAAAGCCAAAAAACCTCGAAAAAGTGCAGTTTTTTGCCCATATCTCGGCAGCCAGACCACTTAGCGACTTGAAACATTTACCAATCGATTCCTGCCATAATTTAGAACAATATTGCCGAAGAACGTTTTCAAAAATGTCCTTTCGTTCGGTCACAAAAAATTTGCTGAATATATGATTTATCTCGATTTAAAATTGTTATGGATAACATAAGGAAATTGCGCTTAAATTGTCACTAGACTTTTTATTAACTTGTTTTGTTTATCTCCAGCAATGCTCGATTTATGAAAACAAATGCCCATGCGCATTTTTTTTTTGTGCGCAGTTTTCAATTGCGCATCTTTCCGGACACCAAATATATATATATATATATATATATATATATATATATATATATATATATATATATATATATATATATATATATATATATATATATATATACAGGGGCGTAGCGAGGGGGGTGCGGGGGTGCGGACCGCACCGGGTGACACCATTTAGGGGGGTGACACCAAGGCAAAAAATAGCAAAATATATAGAGAAAAACTTGAGGGGGGGGTGCAAATCGAAAGTTTGAGGGGGGGGGGGGGTGCAAATCAAAAACTTGAGGGGGGGGGGTGCAAATCGAAAACTTGAAAGTTTGTCCCCGGGAAGGGTCGCAACGCCTCTGGGGGGGGGGGTGACACCATTAAGTGCCGCACCGGGTGACACCCGACCTCGCTACGCCACTGTATATATATATATATATATATATATATATATATATATATATATATATATATATATATATATATAAACATGTATGTGTTAATATGTAAATAGCTTAATGAACTAAATGACCTGCGTTAATGATTTTCAAATCAATGCTGTTGTGTGACGTCAAATGTTTGGACAAACGTCAGTTTGTTTGTGGAGACATTGGCAGTAAATCTGTGAGACATTTCCTACGTCTAATGGCAAACCGCCAGCCACAAAGGTACAATGAGAATTTTTTTGACGTCTCTAGACCCACGGCCAAGTTCAAGTGGTGATCGAAGAATAAGTAAGCCAAGTCTTAGAGCAGCCTTTGGTGTCTGTGGTCTTAGCACGGGGATCGATAGCAAATAAGGCGGGAAACAGGTTCATCTAGTGTTCTTATAAATTGTATTTTTTAAATTATTTTGAGGGGAATCCGATCAAATCCGCCTCTTGGCGATATTTGAGAACTCCCTTTTTTTAGGGTCACCGCTGTATATTTAGAAGGCAATCTATAATAAGTAGATTAAGCAATCAAATACCTAAACTAATTGGTTTAGAAAATGATTTTAGATTTATTATTCATAACCTACACATGGGTGCTATTATCCTGTCATTCTATCTTTATATATATATATATATATATATATATATATATATATATATATATATATATATATATATATATTGGCGAGCAGGAATTTACCTCCTGTCAATTACCCTTGGTCATTACCCCCGTTCAGCCGTCTATACCATCCGACCCCTAGATCAATCACCCCTTGCCCAAGTAGGAGTATTACACTCCCCCCCCCCCCACCAGTATATGACTAATTTACCCTATTGGCAATATATAATAGGAAAAAGGTTTACGTTAGGGATACATTTATGATAAGTTGAGGAAAATAAAGGAATACATTTAGAAGGATATGGATAGTTACAAATAATGTTTTTTCAATCGGGGGGGGGTATTTACCCGGGAGTAATGTATTAGGCTATATATATATATATATATATATATATGTATATATATATATATATATATATATATATATATATATATATATATATATATATATATATATATATATATATATGTGTGTGTGTGTGTGTGTATAGTATGTGTGTGTGTATACGTGTGCAGTAACAGCGAGGAAAAAAACATATGTGTAAACCGATTATATATAAGGTTCTATGGTTGACCTTAACATGAAACGTCAATAGTCTTGAATGTCATCGCCTCCAAACGGATTTCGTGGAATACATGAAAGAACAACCGATCGCTGTTTAAAGAAACGTAATTAAATAATGGCAGGCAAGCTGCATACACATGAACGGTGCCGGTCTTTGGCACCTCCAAAGAGTCGTCCATAAACCATGTCCATCGTCAAACGAAGTCACAAAAGTCCGAACCACCCTCCAACCTAAAAGTATTACGTCATTTCAGGACGATCATTTAATATTCATTTGGCAGACATGTTAAACGATTATTTTATAAGGACATGACCAGTTAATTTGTGTAGGTCCAGAGGCGTAGCGAAGGGGGGGGGGTGGGTACATATGCCCCCGGGCGCCGACCCTAGGGGCGCCAAAATGGGTTGGAAAAAAATTAAAAGCTCATTTTGACTGCAGTTTTGAGTTATAAACATAAAAAATATAGAGGGGAGAGCGTCAAGTTGAAAGTTTGTCCCCGGGCGCCGGGAGGGATCGCTACGCCTCTGTGTAGATCATAGATTTCCGTGTATCGACACCGGCGTCCCTCAGTCGTAAAAGACAATGGAGATGAACATAGTAAGTGACCTTTGAAAGCCCCATTGTTGATGGGACGGGGAATCGATTTGTGTGTACATTTTCCCTCAGCGTTTCTGGAACTACTTTCTGTGTATTTGGTTATTGGGTTACATATTTATGCGCCATGTGAGTTGACATTTATTATTTTAACAAATGGCCCAAACACTTAATTCACTTTACAATCATATTAAGGGATCAAATTTAAAAAAAAAACTGACAGAGAATCAAATGCACAGAGTTTCTCCTGAATGCTAAAGCAAGTCCGCCGCCCTAACAAAATAGAAATAGTAATTTTTAATAGAAATTATATAGTCCTACTTAACCAGTGTCGTCCCCCCCCCCCCCCCCCGAAAATATAAATCCGCCCCACAACCCCATGAAAATTTCAAGTGCCGACAAATATTTTATGGGAGTTGCTGGGTTAATGTAATGTTGAATGGAAGTGAATGTAGTGTTGCATGCTATTATTTCCTTGCATTTTCGATATCTGTTTTTAGAGTACCATAGATTATATTAACTGTGCTATTGTGTTCTTTATAGTGCATTGTTATCCATGAAAGTTTGTGGTGTAAATATTTTAGATATGAAACCTTTATCTTGAGTTAACGAAACTTTTGTTTAATAATCTCTAGTGTGTGTGTTGTTTTGTTTCGTGTTTGTCGTTGTTTTATCTGTTTGTTCTAGGTAGTGCTGCACATTTAATTGTGGGCCCGCGCGTTCACAATATGTACATCTTGAGGCATAGGAGAACATCAGGAGGGGGGTGAAATACACATCGACACATTCTTTTGACGATTTTTACCTCCCCTGTCACCTATCGACACGCATGCTCACAAAACGTCAGACCCTCTACACACAAAAATGACGTCACACTTCGGTGTGAATTGCAATATTTATCTTATAACCACGTTAATTATATATAACGTTTAATTTACACCAAAGTCTGTATAAATGCGAAATAGCTGTAAACATATAGTTTAAAAATAGCTTTTTAAAATAAAAATAAAGTTTGACGTCACAGTTTCTGAACACCCCCTCCCACACCTTGTCACAAAAATCAGACCCACCCCCGGGGAGTGTTCCATAATTTACCAGCATTGGAACACAGAAGAAATACTTGTAAAGACCGGCCACGATATTTCCACTAGAATCTGATATCCGAAAGCTACGTTGGAACCTTTTAAAATAGCGTCTCTCGTCACAGCAGGTCCTATAGCATTTCGTTGCCTAAAATAACTGTGTAGGCGGCGATAGACTTCGTGTCCTATTTGGCTGACGGAATTTGTGGTAACTACGTCATTTCTCTATAGATATGTGAAATGGAAGGAGGAAGATTGGGGTAGTGGCCGGTCTAAAATATTTTAAACTAAGGGGGTAGGGGGCGGTCTAAAATATTTTAAACTAATGCTGTAAAACAACACAGATAGCTTAATTAAGTATATAATTCGCAGAACAAAGAACGACACAATTATTATGAGAAAAATGTATTGTCAAATACGGCTGGTATTGCGTAGCGAGTGTAATTTGTATAGAGGGTGTCACTCGAGAATTCAATTGACAGCCGCTATTAAACTTCGGGCTTTTATTGTCGGGATTTTCAATGTCATGACCAGCGGTTGAAAGGGTACCGGGGATCAATGTTCTGTCGATCAATAAATCTACTTATCGAAATAGAAATACTTTGGTTCAAGTATAATACAGTTAAATATTATTAAGGCTACCATTTAAAACCCGGCAGTCGTAATGGTTGTGAAAGATAGATAATAATTTAAAAAAAAACCGGGTTAGAAACTGAGACAAATATTTTTTTAAAAACTCTATTGTGGATCGACATGCTCTGAACACCCAACACTGTTAATGAAACAGTAAAATTGATGGTTTATTTTGTCACTCTATTGACAACCTGAAGAGATAAAACTTTGAACAACAACACATCTGACGTTAAATATATTTTAAAATGGAAGTATGCTTACGAAAAGGTTGTAATATGCAGCGTTTCTTTCAGATTTTTTTTTCAGGGAGCAGGGAGGTACTTGATATTTTCGGGGGCCGGCGGACTCTGGTAAAAGTATATATCTTTTATATTAGTTCGCTTCCCTAACGATATAAAGTTGTTTTTATAACATTCAAAATCTAGAAATTTTTAGATAAATAATAAAGGCCTATATTATATACGATAGGAAATCCCGAACCCCCCTCCCCCCAAGAATTCCTCCCTTTTGCACATTATAGCGCTAGTCTTGAAACTGCTGGTGTCGGTGGTGTCGCTAATTGTTTAAACGGCCGCATGTTGTCACTAGACACATCATGTGACTTGAGCAGAACAATCCCGGCTAGTCCATTTTTTTGGAAAGCTATTTTTACTTTCTGTTCTGTTTCTAATGTATTTTGGTTCACATTATCTCGTTCTATGCTGCTGAATACAGTCACGTGACTACCTTCAATGCAGAATGTAGGCCAGTCGCTTTTAGCAGGGGAAATACTTCCACGGTGTCACATGACACCCAAGTTACCTGTCGTTATGTTGAACAACCGCGGCTCTAGTAACACTTTACGTCATGTCAGCAGAAATGTTTACCTCATGAATCCATAGGATGGAAACCAACACGTTAGCTTATCAAGGCATGGCCGCTCGTTTAGCCAGTTGAAGCCGAAGTCGGGCTAGTTAAGATCAAAGTTTCTTACAACCACCGCCCCCTCCCGACCGAAATAGAGAAAAAAAATATACTTAAAACAGTGTCAGCCACCACCCCCGCTGAGAAGAAACTGGTTACGATTAGGTTTACACGCTGTCGAATTTACAGGTGGGTGAATCACAGCCAGTGTTTCTTCCAGACTTTTTTTTCACGGGGGGGGGGGGGGCACTGTTAAAAATATATATTTTCTATATAAATTTCATTTCGTTCGGGGGGGGGGGGCGGTAGAAGATGCCTGGAAGAAACTCTGATCACAGCGAGAAATGTCCTTAAGTTAGAGCTGTCGTTAACAAACGGGTGGGAGGACCCATAAAGCGACAGCTGTTGGTGACGGCCTGCCAAAACCCCCACAATTTTCCCTTTCTTTTTTACCCCTACTTTAAAATGACAGTATTTTATGAATAGCTACCTCAACAGCTCTTTACTTTAGCTCACCTTTAGACTGTAAAAACCTTTACAAATGATAAGACAACAAGAAATCTTCACTTTTTATTGAAACACAAAATGTCTAACAGACAAGAAATGTTCATTTATACCCCCCTACCCTTCTTAAATAACAATTTAAAATGAGGTTACATAACTCAGTTTTATGCTACAAATATTGCACCTGAAAAAAAAAAAGACCAATAAATTCAAGATTATCACAGCAGCAACCAAAAAAAATCTTTAAATGAACACAACATCAAATCTACTTCAACTACTTAGCTACAACAGTCATGCATAAGTATACCATCAACAGTTAACTGTTTTAAACATGCAAATGCTGGTAATGACATCAAAAGAGAAAGCATATAGCACCAATACATAGGTCTACATCAAAGAGATTCTTATTTACATATTTTGTTTCAGCTATTTTTTTTTCCAAATCATATTTTTTAATCAAGATGGCAGCTTTGTAGCTAGTTAAAAAGTATCACCTAATTAACAGCCAACAATAAATAACATGTAATTTTTGTAATTAGATAATTTAAAACCTAAATTAGAACATCAAAATTTTAAAATGTGTGATAAAATATTCATTAAAAGTAAATCTCAGAACTTAAATAATTTTCTTTATAAAGAAATTACATAAAATGAAATTGGTCTCAATATTTCAGCTTTTAATCGGTAAAAGAGTTTTGAAAATTTTCTTAACTGGCTGTCACATACAATCACAGCTGTACAAAAGTCAGAGGGCCATACTTGAAACATGGGGACCACAATAAACATTGCTCAAGATCTTTAACTTGATATAAATAAGTATCACAACTTTTACAAGGACCTTTTAAATTTTATATCACTGTAACAGTATAGATATCCTGGTAAATTTGTGCTTAAATAAAAGATAAATTTGATGTATAATTATAATCAATTCAGTACCAACATTTCTTTAAAGAAAAATGTGTAAAATGATAAATAAAATAGCTCAGTGCATTGATGTCGATGGTGGGACCAAAACATTATGGTACAAATATAGGAAGTCTCTGAAAGACAGGTTTTATGTACATCATGTGACCAAAAAAGTTGTCCAGTACATGGGGAGTAAATATGTAAGACAAGTTAGTGTAAAAAGGGGTGCATTAAAACAACTGGACTCATTTCATTTAAGTAGCTAAAGATGACTATATTATAAAATATAGCTTGATAGAGTAAACTAAAGGGGTTTTCAAATTTTTCCTGACTTAATCTAAAAGGTAACTTCCAAATCTTTCACTAGACGATACAAGATTAGATGTTTACTGCTGTACACAACTATATAGCAGAAGCCAATAAACAAGATGGGAGATATAGGGATATAGACAACCCTGCTAATACTGATAGGGCTTAAAGCTGGAGGCCATCAAGGGCAGATAACTTTTTCAAACCGGTTAGCCCTGTAGGCTGTCTTGACTTGCTCTCTTAAGAAAGAAATGAATCCATCCTTCTTTAGGTCCACTGTGATCACCTGCAACATATGTTGATTGGTTAGAAAATACTTTGGACAATGTATCAATGAAGGTGAGAAAAAAATCAAAGAATAAATGTAGATTATTTCAATTAATTTATTGGCCTGGACTAGCTTATGTTGGCATTCAATAAATTAATTACATGACATAAAAGAAGGTTGAGAGAATGTTCTAGCTTATGTTAACATTTAACAGGTTCACATTTAGCAAATGTGGTCTGACTAGCCTAAAAATTTAGCATACAGTGGGGGGCCAGATTCCCCCAGTTTAGGTTAGAAGAAATAATTACCTGTCCTCCCCGTGTGATGGCCAGAATACCCTGTGAGTTTGTGTTGAGCGCAGCAGCAAAGATGACATCTACAGCCACACGTGTGCAGCACAGACACATGGCCGTCTCCATGTCACACATGTACAGGTAGCCGTACTTGGTCACAACAAACAAAAGCCCATAGTCAACAGATATCTAGAGAAACAAAAAGCCATTAGTCAACAGATATCTAGAGAAACAAAAAGCCATTAGTCAACAGATATCTAGAGAAACAAAAGCCAATGGTCAACAGATATCTAGAGAAACAAAAGCCTATAGTCAACAGATATCTAGAGAAACAAAAGCCCATAGTCAACAGATATCTAGAGAAACAAAAGCCCATAGTCAACAGATATCTAGAGAAACAAAAGCCCATAGTCAACAGATATCTAGAGAAACAAAAGCCTATAGTCAACAGATATCTAGAGAAACAAAAGCCTATAGTCAACAGATATCTAGAGAAACAAAAGCCTATAGTCAACAGAGATCTAGAGAAACAAAAGCCCATAGTCAACAGATATCTAGAGAAACAAAAGCCCATAGTCAACAGATATCTAGAGAAACAAAAGCCTATAGTCAACAGATATCTAGAGAAACAAAAGCCCATAGTCAACAGATATCTAGAGAAACAAAAGCCCATAGTCAACAGATATCTAGAGAAACAAAAGCCCATAGTCAACAGATATCTAGAGAAACAAAAGCCTATAGTCAACAGATATCTAGAGAAACAAAAGCCTATAGTCAACAGATATCTAGAGAAACAAAAGCCTATAGTCAACAGAGATCTAGAGAAACAAAAGCCCATAGTCAACAGATATCTAGAGAAACAAAAGCCCATAGTCAACAGATATCTAGAGAAACAAAAGCCTATAGTCAACAGATATCTAGAGAAACAAAAGCCCATAGTCAACAGATATCTATAGAAACAAAAGCCAATGGTCAACAGATGTCTAGAGAAACAAAAGCCCATAGTCAACAGATATCTAGAGAAACAAAAGCCCATAGTCAACAGATATCCAGAGAAACACAAGTTAAGTGGATCTTTAGAGAATTAACATTACTTACACAAAATTAAATTTGAAGATTACAAAAACAATACAAAAAAGTAACTTAAAGGACAATAAAAAAATGTAAAGATTATTTCTAATAAAAATAGTAGCCTTCAACTTGCAGGTGTTGCCAACAAAGCTAAATCAATTTTCATTCCAGAATAGCAAAGGTATAGTAAGTTAGACTTAAGTAACATGTAATTTAATTTTTTTTTACCTGCAAAGAAATGGGGAAGTCATAGCGCTCAAGGTCATCCAAGAAATGAAGGTGATCATAAGAATTTCTCGGGGCGAAGTTGCCAGTTTTGTAGGGCCCAAGCTCAATAACATGCACCTTTGAGGAAAATCAAATTGAATAGATAGAAGTAGAAACATTATTTTCACCCCTATCTTCAACTTAAGCATGTAGCAACAATGGCAGATGTTCCAATACTATCCATCATGTAGCAACAACTACCTTCCCTAGCATGTAGCAACAAAATTAGGTGTCCCTACCTTCCCTAACATGTAGCAACAAGACCAGGTGGTTCCTACCTTCCCTAGCATGTAGCAACAAGACCAGGTGTCCCTACCTTCCCATGATCCTGAGCCTCTCTAGAGCTGACACACATGACAGTAGAGGGGTAGGGGTTGCCAGGAAAGTGATAGGTAGAGAAGCAGACGGCGTGGGCGGTGATACACTGGGTGATGTCCTCATCTCTGTTGTACAGCTGGGTCACTCCTGATATTCTTTCATCCTTAATGAGGCAATAAGAAAATATTAGAACTTTGTTTCATTATACAAAATTTCTATTTTTTTGTTTTTAGGATTTAGTAAAAAACAAATTTGGTATAGCAGCATTTACAGAACAAATACATTTTTTATTTAATAGATGCAAAAGTTAGAAAAGTTGTTAAGGAAACTAAACAAAAATATTTTGAGAAACATGGCATCCTTTATGCTTAAGATTAGCACTATTACAGTAGGGAAAAATCTACCTACAAACAAGCCATAGTAATCGGAGTCCTATACTTTTTTATTAGAATTCATAAAACTTTAAATAAAACATAAAATGAAACTTTAAAAAACCCAACTTTAAAATGCTTTTTGAAAAAAAAAAACTAATGAAATTAAATATTCACCAACTCTTTTAGTAGAAGGTTTTGTTGAAAAAATAATCTGCAATTTTATAATAAGCTTAAATCAGATAATAAAGTGTTAGCAAAATATAAGCTTTATATTAACTTTTTTGCTACAGTGAACTTGAAAATAACCTGTTTGATAATTCTAAAAATGACCCATTAATTCAATATACCTCAGATGTAAGTCTAAAATAACCTGTTTAATCCTACATACAAGTCTAAAAATGACCCATTAATACAACATACCTCAGATGTAAGTCTAAAATAACCTGTTTAATCCTACATACAAGTCTAAAAATGACCCATTAATACAACATACCTCAGATGTAAGTCTAAAATAACCTGTTTAATCCTACATACAAGTCTAAAAATGACCCATTAATACAACATACCTCAGATGTAAGTCTAAAATAACCTGTTTAATCCTACATACAAGTCTAAAAATGACCCATTAATACAACATACCTCAGATGTAAGTCTAAAATAACCTGTTTAATCCTACATACAAGTCTAAAAATGACCCATTAATACAACATACCTCAGATGTAAGTCTAAAATAACCTGTTTAATCCTACATACAAGTCTAAAAATGACCCATTAATACAACATACCTCAGATGTAAGTCTAAAATAACCTGTTTAATCCTACATACAAGTCTAAAAATGACCCATTGATACAGCATACCTCAGGTGTATGTCTTAAAAAACCTGTTTGATCCAGCAAATAAGTCTAAAACATACCTCAGGTGTAAGTCCTGTTAGGGCCAGCCACCTAAGACTTGGGTCACCTTTGTAGCCAACAATTTCTGTAAATGCCAGTCTGTTGTGGCGGACAAAAATCTGCTCTGGGGTTGTGGCAGCTGGGGATGAAAAACAAAAGACTTCTGCACATGTGTCTGTGATCATCACTTACAGCTGTTCCATACTGCTGTCATGTGGTGCAGTGATGTGGTGCAGGGATGTGATGCAGTGATATGATGCAGTGATGTGATGTGATGCAGTGATGTGGAACAGTGATGCAGTGATGTGATGCAGTGATGTGGCACAGTGATGCGGCGCAGTGATGTGATGCAGTGATGTGGTGTAGTGATGTGGTGCAGTGATGTGGTGCAGTCTTCTTCTTCGTTCTTAATTGAGAATATGGTGGAGGATTTAGACAACAAGTCCAACTTGAATAAACCAGACTGTGGTCTCCAGATCAGCAGGTGCCCCATGTAATATTTCCCTGAGTGGGGTGAGCAGGGGCCAGTGTCTGACTTGAGCCTGATGTGGTGCAGTGATGTGGTGCAGTGATGTGGTGCAATGATGTGATGCAGTGACGTGGTGCAGGGATTTGGTACAGTGATGTGGTGCAGAGATGTGATGCAGTGATGTGGTGCAGTGATGTGATGCAGTGATGTGGTGCAGTGATGTGATGCAGTGATGTGGTGCAGTGATGTGGTGCAGTGATTTGGTACAGTGATGTTGTGCAGTGATGTGGTGCAGTGATGTGGTGCAGTGATTTGGTGATTCACCAGTTGAGACCTGTAAACTATTCTGGGAAAAGATAAAAACCCACACTCTCACTTGAAACTACAGAAAGTTAATTTATATAAATTAAGTTGACAAATAATAATAATATTTAAGTTTAGTCAATCCGTTTTTATTAATGACAGTAAAGTATTTAAATATTTATAGTAACTTTGTTTATTTTAAAGAGATATTTTGATTTCTATATTAATCAGTTCTGATGTTTTAGTGAAATTATGAATTGATGTGAGTAAATGATTGAAAATATTATTCACTGTAAATATAAAGCAAAATATAATCTATAAAATATATTTTAAAAATGTTATTGGGGCCAGTAAATATTCTGATTAGCTCAGGTAAAATCAAGACTATCTAACAATATATGGGATATTTGTGGTGATGGAAATGGAAGAGTTATCCATGAGCTAAAAAGTAACCAATTAAAGGTCAAAGGGGGATAAATAGGATGGGAACATACTCAACATAATTTAACAAAATATTTGGGTTTCTTTCAGATATTTTTCTATACGGGGGGGGGGGGGGGGGGGGGGGGGAGTACTTTAAACTTTCAGGGGCTGTGACAATAAAAGAAACACTGAAACTATTCTTTATGTGTTTAGAAAAAAATTAAACTTAAAATCTGACTTCACTCTATAACCTCACTTAGAATACAAACTGACCTTCTCTTTCATTGATACTCCAATGGTACACAGCAGAGTCTGTTACCATGGCGATGACATCAGCTGTTAACCATGTCCAGAAGATCACAGGCTCATGAAACTTGACTTTGTTGACCAGCTCTTTTGTGTCCAAGTTAAAAACTTCAAATCTTAGACCAGCTGTGAAAGACAAGATGTTGAATTACATGAGAAGCTTTTCTAACAGACAGGCAAGATAAGTGGCTTATCAAACCTGAACGTAGGGACTGAAATTTAGAGTAGAGTTAATCTGAATCTGTGATTAGTGGTAAATCACATGATGGAGGGACAGAGTAGCAGCTGTTTTATGACTAGAAATGCAATGACTTTAAGGCAGCCAGCAGCCTAAATCCAGAGAGTCATGTAAACAATCACAACCTCTTAACTGTACCATACTCATCTGATTTGCACAATATTAATCATGTATGCCCCTCCACTAACTACACTGCTAACCTTTTAAAGCAATCCTGGGATAGACAGGGTTCATCAGCACTGAGTCAGCACTAGTAGAGCCTGCATAGGATATTGTGCCTTCTATTGGACTTAACACGGTCACCTGCAGCAAAGATTTAAAACATAGTTTTATTTCACAAGAAATAAACACTTTCAAAACCCAATTGCAGATTGAGTAGATCACTAGACTCATATTAATTGTGTGACTAGTACAAAAGTATGCAGACCCAGTTAAGCCACTTATTATTAAACATATAGTCTGCATGTAAAAGCCATAATAAAATTGAAAATAAACTAACCACTGCTCTTTTGGCTGAAAAGTCTGAACGACTATCATGACGAACTGCAATCCATTTATCTGAGGTCATGGTCACTCTAGACCAGGTGACCTGGTCAATAGGGATTCCAATATGGGCAAGCTGAAAAAAGTCACATTATCCCCTTTATGGTTCAATATGACATGAGTATTAGTACATTTAAAAAAAAAATCTTATTCAAATCAAATACAGTTCTAACATCTATCAGTGTTAAATTTTGTAATTTCAACATGAACATCAAAAAATTTTAATTTTGAAATAATTTTAAAAGAAGTTTTAAAATAGACTTAAATAGTTAAGTAGTCTTAATTACATTTTTTATGCAAAACAAAGAATTGTTATTTTAAAACTGGGTTTTCTATACCTGTACAAGTTCATTGATAGTGATAGGAGGCCCTCTACCAGAATCATCAGAACCAACAGATGAACACACTAACTCTAAAGGTGGACCTTCCATGCTTTGAGTTTTACATCAGTCCAGTGCTACAGCAGCAGAGAGAGATAAAATATTGAGTTTTAGTTTTTATTGTTAGATCTGTATCAACACCGAAAAAAATTAAAAAAAATAATTTAGCTCCTTTTCAATGTTCAATATTGAATATAGATCTAGCCTACTGTCGTAAATGTGCTACTTTTACTTAATCATTCTTATTGTCAACTATCATAGACTACTACTAGATCTAGATCTACTACTTAGTACTACTATTTTTAGGCGCCTTAATTATATATTAAGTAAGTCTAGTTTATTTAAACCTAGATTCTAGATCTAAGTTTAAAAAGTTTAAATAGTTTAAATGTTAAAGTTAGTGTTTGAGAGAAAGTTTAAGATTGACTTAAGGCCTTAGCCTTATTAGATTAGGCCTTATTGATTAAGTTTGATTCTACTTCTTTTTTATTTAGGGCCTAGAATCCCTAGATCTAGATCTACTCCTCTAACTAATCTTAGCCAGTCTAACCTAAATCTTAGCCGACTTTTAGCTTACGTCACTTCTTCTTACTTTTAATTATTGATTACTTTAACAGTTAATTTTAAATTTAACTTAACTTTTACTTTAGGTCTTCTTACTTAACAGTGTCAGTACACTTAACACAACTAACTAACCAGTAACAACAGCCCTACACAATAACACATTACTTCTACTTCTACTACTTCTTCGTCTTCTTGTCTTAGTCTTACTAGATCTATTACACACTATTCTTAAAATGTCTTAAATAAATCTTAGTCTTACTCAGTCAGTTACTGTTAGATCTACAAAGTTACAGTACAGTTACAAAGTTACACACTCAACAGTCAACACTGTTACTAGTGTTACTGTTACAGTTACACAGTCGTCCTCTTATGATGAGCCACTACTCTAGGCCCTAGGCCAGGCTAACTTAACTAACTAGATCTAGATCTAGAATCTAGATCAATACTACCAATTGCTAATACTTTAAATACTAGGGTAGGTCCTAGATTTAGACCTAGATCTAGATCTAGGGATAGATCTATTTACTGTATTTAGATTCTAGATCTAGAAAATCTAGTCTAGATCTAGAATCTAAGAATAGATTTTTACTAATTTTCTTTTGTTGTGTATTTTTTTTAAAACTGAACTAACGACCGAAAAGTTAACTGCGTCATAAATACTACCAACAAACATTTTTGGAAGTCTCAACCTATGTTAGGCTATTCCTTTAATTCATTCGCTTTATTAATGACGTTGAGGTTCTCTGAATATTAAAAAAAATATGATCCAGACTTCCAATTAAAAATCCGAGATAATGAAATTTAAAAACGACGTAGGCCTACATCTGTTGTGACATTATCAACTCAAATAACAAAATAACTTTAAAAAATATTGTCATAGAAATGTAGTCTGGATGTTTTTTTCAATGCCAAAAGTAGACATAGGTATACTACAGAGGCGTAGCTAGGGGGGGGCGGGGGGGGCGGCCGCCCCAGGCGCCGACCCTATGGGGGCGCCAAAAGGGGTGGGAAAAATTTTTTAAAGCTGATTTTATGCTGCAGTTTTGAATTATAAACTGTCTAAGTTAAGAAATATAATGGCTACACGCATTTACATACTGATTTAACTGTTTTCTATCTTGATTTCTTAATGTAAAACATATACTCTTAAGAAACAGTGACCGGCAAAACCGCTTTGAAGCTTTTCCTAGATGGGGGGGGGGGGCGCTTTTTCGAGACTTAAAACGGAAGAATTTACACTAGATTGTTGAGTCGATAAACGTTACCACTATTAAAAGAAACCAATTGTATTAAAACGTATTGTACGATTGTTGAACTGTAAAATACGTTAGTGACTTTTATCAAGATGGTGCAGGGGGGCGCTTTTAGGCTAAATAAAATAGCAAAATTACACAGGATTCTGAGTAAACAACCTTTAGCTCTCAGAAAGAAACGAATTGTACTGTGCATTGTATAATTGTGTAACATTTTTTTAAAAAAAAGTTAGTTACGTTAAAAACCGCTCTACAAACTTTGTCCAAGATGGTTGTGATGAGTGTGTGTGGGGGTGGGGGGGGGGGGCGCTTTTTTCGCTAACAAAAATCGCAAGTATTTGTACTGGATTGGTGAGTAGATAACTCTCTTAACACTTAGTAAAGAAACCAAGTGTATTAACGCGTAATGTACAATTTCAATAGCCAGTTTTGTTAAAAAAAAAAGACGCGACTAGTTCTTTGTAAGATTCTTACGATTCTCTCAACTTCAACGTGAGAGATCAGATACTTTTGATCAGTGTTTCTTCCAGACTTTTTTCTCCGGGGGGGCACTTGAAATCTTCGGGGGGAGGGGGGAGGCGGTAAACTTTCTTCGGGGGGGGGGGCGGACACTGTTAAAAGTATATATTTTCTATATATAAATTATATAAATTTCATTTCGTTCGGGGGGGCGTAAAAATTTTTCCGGGGGGCTTCGCCCCCCCGAAAAGATGCCTGGAAGAAACTGTGTGCGAGAAGGCAGGGCAAATCTGCGAAATCCAAGACTACGAGCTGTTAACATCCGTTGGATTCCAGTTTGTTTTCTCTAGCTTGTTTTGTCATACCATCAACCAATCAACGAAATACCCATGTCGTATTCCAATGTGAACAATAAATATTTCTGATAACTTCTTCTTGTATGTCACTTGTGTGTCCTTACTCTAACAAACTTCGAATCCAATATGTACCATATCACAACAGAGATCGTTCAAAACTAGAACATAAAAGGCTGGTCTAAACATATTAGCGTTAGCTACAAACTACCCTCTAACACAGATCAGGCTTATTTTTTTTTACTGACATTACTAATCTTTCGCAAAAAAAGTTAAACGCATCTTAATGGGAATTAAATTGTCGTAAAGTTTTAAGGAATGAAAATCATACAATGTAATTATTAAACCTTGTCCGGACTGTAGCATACACGCTTACACACACGCTTACACACACAAATACACTCTTACCCACACACAAGCTTATATATAAACACACTATCACACACACATAATTATACACACACACACACACACACACATATATATATATATATATATATATATATATATATATATATATATATATATATATATAAGCGGGGGGGGGGGGGGCGCCAAATTGAAAGTTCGCCCCGGGCGCCGGGAAGGGTCGCTACGCCTCTGGTATACTATAGAGCAGGGGTCTCCAAACTTTTCAGCCCGAGGGCCGCATTAACTATAAATTATCAATTCGGGGGCCAGAGCTTCTTCCGTGCATCTCTTTGGGGTGGCGGAGTCCCCCGCTACCCCTCCCAAAATAAATAAATAAAATGTATGTAGAAATATATATACACATTTAAAATGCTCCCCCCCCCCCCCTCCCCAGGAGAAAAATTCTGAAAGAAACACTGTCGGGGGCCGACAACACACTCGAGGTCCAAGTTTGTTCTCCTTGGGCTAACACAAAAACCCACCCGCCATTTTTTGAACTTGTCTCTAAGGAGGTCATTTGCTTGCAATTCAATGACCTCCATTTGCAGTTCATCTGGGCAACTGGTTACATTGGCTTCAATTGGGGTTTGAAACAGTCTCACTTCTTCTGCCTTTGAATTCTAGCTAGAAAGCGGCTACTGAAACTGCAGCTGGAGGTCTTTGATGATCTCGCATGTAAATTATGTGGGGAACACAGCTGTTGCTTCGCCCATGAAGACCTTGCACAGCTGAAAGTGCGTCAAGTTGTTGCCCTGTACTTGTTCCAAAAACATGGAACAACTGTCCAGCGACTCGTCCATTGCAATTGAAAAATTGCGAAACTTGTCACAATGTTTTCATCAATGTCAGCAAAACGGAGGGCAATGGTATTTGCGCCCAAAGCTAACATATTCAAATTGTTTTACATTTTCTGGGCAAAGTTCCTCATCCACCTCTAACAAACATTTTTTTCCGCGAACAAAAAGATCTCCGCAGGCCGGAAGAGAGGACCTCGAGGGCCGCATCCGGCCGGCGGGCCGTAGTTTGGAGACCCCTGCTATAGAGTATAGTCTCAGACAATATTATTGTGTTACTAAGCAATATATTAACTATATTACTTTTATTAGGGAAAGACACATTTGTTGTGCGTATTGGAAATGAAAAAAAAAAAGAATTGATTAAAGAAACTTAAAAGAATTCCAGGCCTTTTGTTGATATTTTGTGTTTAATTGTGTACGCTCTGCTAGATAAAAGAAAAATTGCAATGGAGATGTTGGTGGCAGGTAGGCTACTAGGGTGAAGTGTGACGTCACTTTGAGGAGGCTAACTTTTCAAGGCAATGTGTGTAGGGAAGGGGTGGTGGTAAAAATTGTGAAAAGTTTGAAGTAATTTGTGGCCGATGTCTGGAGAAAATTAATCAATATACTAAAACATTGAATCACAACACTGATTTAAAAAAAAAATTAGTACCAAAAGGGGAGCTAACAAGATTAAATAAATACTTGTGATTATGTGATCGTGTCAACAGGCTTTCGGTCATGGATGGCTGATTTCTTGCATGACAGTTGACAATGGACACATTTTTTTTATTATTGGGTACGCTGGACACATAACCGTATTTTAAAAAAAATAAAAGTCAACTATTACATAATGATATGTTTTTATTTTCCCACGTTTTCTTTAACTTGCTTTCTCTGTTTGTGTGTTTGTCTTTCCAATCAAATCTTGCGATCGAAATTTCTGGCACTTCCCAGTTAGCTAGCGCGCTGAAATTTTCAGGGAAGCTTTCTTTTGGATGACCATTGAATATTCAATTGTTATTATTACTAAATTGATCAATGGAAACATTTTATTGAGCATTTTAGACCGCTATATAATCTATATATATAATTCTCCTCTGCTAGCCATTACAAAAAAAACCAGCGACGCGTACCTCGCGCGCAGTGAAGCGAACGATCACATGTCGCCACAGGCTTAGGGGCAGAGAATTTAGCTTGAACCGAGTTTAAACTTACAGGAGGTAGGCCAGTTTGGGGGAGACGATATGGTCGAGTGGTTGGGCACACGATTGCTATCCCACTCGACACGGGTTCAAATCTATGTGTTCTAGTCAGTAACGTATTCAAACAACGTGTTTTTTACGAGTTGTCTTTTTACGAGTTGTCTTTTTACGAGTTGTCTTCGTTTACCCAAAAAAAGTGAAAAGATAAAATCGATAGCAAGATTTTAATGCAAACAAACAGACAAAGACTAAAAAGTAGAAAATAATAATCATTAAAAAAGTTTTAAAAAACCCACGTTTTCTGATTGAACTAAAAAGTAGAAAATAAACGCTATACATCACAATAATGCAAGCGATCACTCTACTATAAGCGATGAAAAACGTGGGGCGCCGAAGTAAAAGTTATATTACTATTGATTAGATAATACTATTGACTTTTATTAGGGAGCTTGTAGAGAGTCAACAGTTTTAGAAACTGTAAGAAAATCACGGCGCCCCACGTTTTTGATCGCTTATAGTAGAGTGATCGCTTGCATTATTGTGATGTATAGCGTTTATTTTCTACTTTTTAGTTCAATCAGAAAACGTGGGTTTTTTAAAACTTTTTTAATGATTATTATTTTTTCCTAATAGTAATAAATATTTTTAAAATCTAACTATCACAGACATTTTATTTCAACTTGAAGTGACTTGGTACTTTTATTTTGAAAACATTTAAATAAATCACACAGTCAGTGAAACAGCGATTGTAATTGTACACACCAAATATAATATCCACTTTTTAATTGAAACTACTCACAATTTCATAGATATGGCTAGAAACATGAATATCGGGGTGGCTGAAATTTACATTGGTGCCCTTTTGTATAATGAAAAACACTAACATTAACAAAGATCATAAAATGAGATCACAGGCAAAATTAATTTTCATAGGTACAGAAGTAAAAAGATCATACAAGTAATAATAATGGTAACACATTTCCTTTTCATGCAACCAAAACAACATAAATGGTTCAATACTTCATCAATTAAATAATTTAAAGGAAACTGGTTGGAAAGTGAAACAGTCATCAAAATTGAAACTATTACGGAGTATTACTTACAATCTAAATGAAATACTATTGCTTTTCTAATCCCACTGTAAAATTATTTGGTTTTTAAAATGCTTAGCTGGTTATAAAATCTACAAGGCATGGCTTAAAACTTCTTAAAACTTGATATTGATATTATTGATTGTTGATGATCATGTCTATAAATACTTAAAATAGTAACAATCACAACAACCAAATTCACCTGTGTCAATCAAAGATAATGGACACTTTAAAAATAAATTTGTGACAGCTTTGGCCAAAATATTTACATTTTTTCTTTCCTTCATGAGGCCTCAAGTTGTAGCCTTCTTCTATCAAGTCGTTCTCCAGACATCGGATTAAAGTGTCCTCATCAGCAGGTGCTTCCCATGGCCCAACAGTCACATGAGCTGTTTCTACTATGCATCCATGTTTTTGATTTAATGCAGAGAATTTAGACTTGAGTTCTTTACGAAATGCATAAATATATACATCACCCATGCGAGCAATGGAGGCACGGCTCATGGCTGCTTTAATTACTTGTTCTTTTACAATTTCATACTCTGGAAACTGTGCTCTTTGTGCCTGTTTCACTGCAAGGGATGCAATCTCGGGTTTAAGTTGCAGCTTCTCAACCAAGTCATGCAATCCATAATAATTAGCATCTCGAAATATTAGGTATGTCATTTTATCATTAGGTGGCAATGTCCCATAGCGGAGGTATTCTAAGATATACTCAAACACAATACCGTTGCTGTCCAGGAAAAAATTTCCATCTTTATCTTTATCTATTTTATGACGCCCGCTAAACATGGCAGCGAGCATAGAATCAGGAAATTTGAGTAGTGTTGAAAGTCTGGTCATGTAGAGATGTCCACCAACATTAAGAGGAATTATTGGGGGAAATAAAGACTGTGGTGATAGTTCTGGCTGAAGAAAGATACAGAAAATAAACATGTTAAAAAAATTAGCAAATGCACATCTCAAACATTATAACAGATGTTTATAATTGATATTAACATTCATTATCATGTATTCTGACACAACAATTTACCCCATTTTCTTTTGTTTTGAAGAGTATGCCATCATGGCTTTGTTTTGTCCAGTCTCCTAATATATAGTGCTGATTCTGGAATGCTTGTAGTCTAGGTGTTGGTATTGGTCGAACTGTAATAATTTCTTCCATTTGGTCAGACTCTTCATCATTACTGTTACTCTGGTTATCTTCCATGGTTACTATTAATTAGAGAAAATGCAAGTCAAACATCTCCTATATAGTCAATATAGATCATAAATATGTTTTCTATTTAAATTCCAGGTAATCTATCGTTTTAAGTGTGTAAAATCGGCCGAGACTTGTAATGTGAGAAAAACTTGCCTCATTGTTAAGCTTTAATTAACTTTATATTTAATAGAAGTATATTGTAATAAATTTGTGTCAAATATAATAGATAACTGAATAATAAACCAAAATCAATATCTAAATATATCAATATAGACCAGAAATTAACTTAAAAAAGCAGTGTTTGCGAGCAAGATTTGCTATATAAACAGCGGCCATTAGAGTGGTTTCTACTGAATCTCAAACTATAATTTTACCAAAAAAACTTGAACAAGATGGCTGCAGAGGCGTATCCAGGTTTTCGTTGTAGGGGGAGCGAAAAGAGCAAAAAAAGGCGCCGAATTTTTAGCACGTTCTATATACGTGTATTATATATATATATATATATATATATATATATATATATATATATATATATATACATACATATATATAATTACTAGCTGTATGTCATTACTTCGCTATGATGTAAAATAAATTGAAAGTAGCACTCTGAAGAAATAAGAAAAAAAACACAATGTAGGCCGACAAAACAAAAATTGTATCAATCTAAACAAAACAAAATATATATACACACACTACAACTAAAAACAATGAACGTAACACAATCTGTTTTGTAATTCTTGTAAAAACAAATTCATAATAGTTCCTGGGAAATTATTTAAGACAAGTGAAATAGGTGAAATAATCACTCTCTTAATATAAATATGTATATATCTACACATTTAATTATAAATGTCAAAATGAATAAATAATTACTTTAGAATATAATGAAATTGTTTAACACTATTCATGTTTACAAAATGTTTTTGTCTATAATCAGAATTTAATATATCGTCATCATAAATGCTAAAGTAATACAGCATAATGAAAGTTTTTAAAATCTGAGTTGGTATAAAACCACGCTTTTCGATACAATAGAAAAACATTCGGAATAACAGCCTACATTTAACTAAATATCGGTCTTATAGTTCAGATCATATATTTATTTAACTACTGTTTCGTTGTGTTCTTTGAAGATTATTATATAACATAGTGATAGTGATGGGTTGGATCACTGTATTGATCAAACACCTTTTTACTGGTAATTGCAAAAACAATATTCACAGAGTTTTACGTTTAAAAAGCTAATTTTCTGGCGGCATGTTACATTGGTACATCATTACGCGTTTTTCTACATGTACTTAACAGATCAGTTCGGGGTGGGTTGGGGGTGGGGGTTGGTTCAACTTCATTCACCACTGTCGGTTCACTTTAGGTCAATTATCCAACCCAGTGTATACCTAGGTGTGACATTAATGTCGCTCTACACAATTGTGGTGGTGAGGTGTGGGGGGTTACCAACTCAGAGTGAACATAGCGTCAGTTTTTAGATGACTGTTCTAAACATACATATATATTACACAATTATATATTAAACAAATATATATTACAGAAATAGATTTAAATAAGTAGCAGTGGTATTATGACAATATTTTTTTTACAGAAGGGTCCATGGGGGAGGGGGGCTTTTAACTGTTTCAAATAATTTGTAATCGTAATCAATATCGCCCAAACTGTAAGAATACTACTACTTCATCGTGATAACGTTGTTGAACTTGTCAAAATTTCCCCACCACTAAGCAGTTTGCTCATAAGTAAATTTAAATAGAGGTGCCACATTAGTTATATTTGTTTCTGTATTGTAATTTTTTCAAAAATTAATCACACTATTCAAACTGTATATATAAAGTATATATAAAGTAATTACGTGTGAAGTTTTATGTATAACATTTTCTAATTCAATTATTCGTAAGCACATACATTATACAGTTGCCCTAAACTTAACACCCCTCTTGCCAAGTGGTACTACCGTAGAGGTTTTTTAAACATTGCAATGCATCGTAATGGTTATTTTTAGAATGGCAAACTGATGCAGCTGTTAATACGTGTTGTAAACGTAGAAACTACTAGACTAGTACAATAATGCTTAATTGCTGCATGAAAAGAAATCTTGTGATTTACATAGATGTGCCGACCAAAAATATTTTTTTAACGAATATCATTGTTTAAATCTTTGCGTTTAAAAAGTTTCCAAAAAGGCGCCACTTTGATGAAAATGGCCAGAGGGGGAGCGGCCGCTCCCCCTGCCCCCCCCCCTGCGTACGCTACTGGATGGCTGCTAATGTAAATGAGCATAGTTGCATCTGATGAAAACATCACTAATCTATTTATTACTGAAATGTTTTAATCCAATTCTTTAAAAACAGGTACATTAATGGAACTTTAAAACATTTTTGTACTTTCAAAAGGTAAAATCTTCCTAAATTGTGAAATAATTACTAAAATTTAATGTCACCTTTTTTTCACATTAGGGGTCGTCCATAAATGACGTCACACTCGTAGGGAGGAGGGGGGGGGGGGTTAGTAATTTTGTGACGGTGTGTGACGAGGGAGAGGGGGGTTCAGATGGTGTGACGTCACTTTTTTGCATTATAAAAAAGCAAAGTTAGAAAATTAGTTTTAGTAGTTATTTTGCGTTTTAGAAAACGGTTTTAATAAATTGTAATAGGAATTGATCAAAATACTCTATGTTGACAGAATTCTGACAATATTTTGGAAAAATATCGATGTTTTAAGAAAAATTCAACAGCAATTTTGAGGGGGGTTGTAGGCTGAGGTGTGACGTCAATTTTAATTAGGGGGGGGGGGGTCTGGCTTTTTGTGACGACGTGTGACGGAGGGGGGAGGTAAAAATTGTCACAAAAAAAACGTGACGTCATTTATGGATGACCCCTTACTAGTCTCTGCCATTTTACGTACCTAAAACGATAGATTACCAAATTCCATTTAGTTTTCTTTCAGTGGGGGGGGGGGGGGGGGCGTCCCCCCTGCCTGGAAGAAACTGAGACTGAGAGCAAGTACTATATTCTAGATCTAGAATCTAGTACTGTACTACTAGATCTACTAACTACTAGATCTAGTAACTAGATTTAAAATTTAAGTAGATTAGAGTTACTTACTATCTAGTTACTAGGTCTAGACTCTAGTGGTTTAGAGTTTAGAGAATAGCCTACTAGATCTAGATCTAGATCCTAGCTAGATCTAGATTCTAGACTAAGAAATGGCAATCTAGATTCTAGCTAGATTCTAATCAATCATTCCTTATCATTAATTTAATAATTTGATTAATCATAATCATTAGCTTTTACTAGGGCTAGGGCCTTATCAATTCTAATCTGACTTAGGTATATTTAAATTTTGGTAATCTATCGTTTTAGGTACGTAAAATCGCCCGCGACTAGATCTAGTAATGTGAAAAACAGGTGACTCATTAAATTTTAATAATTATTTAACATTTTGAGGAGGATTTGTGTTTTGAAAAATACAAAAATGTTTCCTTGTTTCATTTATGTACCTGTTTTTAAACAATTGAATTAAAACTTTTCAGTAATAAATGAACACCAGCGATGTTTCCAACAGATGCAACCATGCTCATTTACTATAGCAGCCATCTTGTTAAAGTTTTATTTTTATAGACTTATAGCGCGAGATTCAGGCGGAAGTCACTCTATTTTACAAATGGCTGCTGTTTATATAGAATATATAGCAAATCTTGCTTGCAGACACTGCTGTTTAAAGTTAATTTCTGGCCTATATAATTGCTATATTTTAATTATTTAGCCATTGATTTAGGTTTATTATTCATTTATCTATAATATTTGACACAAACATATCACAATATACTTCTATTACAGCCTTGACAATGAGGTAACGTTTTCGTACATTAATACTGCCGCGGGCGATTTTACGTACCCAAAACGATAGATTACCTTAATTTAAATAATTTTATATAGTCTACATATTTTTTATTATAGATGAAGATATTACACTAGAATGAGTAGATTGACTAGATACTTGTACATTAAAATTAAATTGCTTGTGACAATCCAATTAATGATTTACTTTTAACAACTACGTTTGCTTTAGCTTACAAGATTTGTTATTAAAAACAATACAATGTATATTGTATAACAGAGGCCATCGCAAGAGTGGATTCCCTTTAAAATTGTCTCGTCTACAGAAGCACTTTTTAAAGAAAAAATAAAGCGGGAGTAGCCTCCCCTAGCCTTAACTTTCTTGTACAATTTTATTATTTAAAAGGCTACCATGGGGAGATGGCACTTTTAAACTTTTAACTATTAGTAACATCGGCTTATAGCAGGGCTGTATTTTTTTTGTAAATCCAGACTACGCGAATGAAATGATGCTGTGTTTAACCTTCGACCTATGACTTAGCTATAAAAATGTTTTTATTAATTCATTTAATAGGCCTACTTATTTTTTTAGTAGAAAAAGAGAATTGCCCAACAAAACGAACGAGAGCGGAAAATTAGTAAAAAAAATAAGGGAAACATTGATTATTAAAAAAAAAAATAAACATCTAATTAATTCATACTTTATGGCACAGGTCAGGTAGAAGGGCAAACCCCAAAAGAAAAGCAGGCTAAATCGTAGTCAACGGTTTTGACACCGCAGGCCTATCTATATATAATATAATTCTCTTCTGGGATCTATATATATGATTCTCTTCTGGGAGACGCTAGAAAACAAGCTGTAAACGCGCTCCCTACCACCCCCACCCCTACATGGTCTGGTGAGCTGTGGTTCACTCTAAATGTTTACAAACAGAGCCAGGTTTAGTGACGACTATTAGGGGCAGATAATTTAGTTTGAAACGATTTTAAACGTAGCGGGGGGGGGGGGGGGGGGGGGTAACAAAGTGGAGTTTACTTTAATACAGTACCATTTTCGGATATCGGAGGTTACTAGAGAGTAATCAAACTGTAAGATTTTATAATTATACATGCAATTTCGTCTGCCTAATTGAAACGGAACTCGTGTTATCGGGTTTCCACGGAAACATAGTAAATTGCGTCCACCCATAATTTAAACGGTATTAACGTTACAGGCTTTTAACAAACCGAAAGTGGAATAAGTACCACTTCCGTTTACTGGAAATCGCTCAAGCTTCAGGAGGTTGAAAAACGTCAAAATTTGTCAAAATCTCAATTTAGATTTTTGGCACGATTACAATATATTTTTTATATTATGTATACGATAAAGTAGGGATCTATAATTATAAAACGGTGAAAACTCAAAATATCTGTTAGTTATTCTGCACGAATACCAATACTGCCTCTATACTCTGTATACTAGAAAGTAAAAATAATTATTAAAAAAAAAATAACATCGTGTGCGATATTAAATGGTATTAGTTACTAAAACAGATGTAAACTCTAGTTATTGATTGTGAAATTTAATAATTTTTTGGTATGCTTTTTAAAAGATTGGACATAGATCTAGCTAGATTCTAGATCTAGATCTATTTGATTTTTTACATTTTATTCTAGAATCTACGTCCACTCGCCACTGAAGAAAATATGACTTTAATTAAAGCTTAAAATAAGATTGCATTATTAAACATATTATAATTATATCAAAGCAGTTCAAATAACATATACAATGATTATTGTATATTTAAGATAATAATTAATGATGGTTATCAGTAGACGTAGTTATTATTGATGAAACTGTACTTCAAGTTTGTTTGCGGTATCGGGTATTTGGAAGAACCAGATCGAACGCAATGGAGTCAACAAACACAACACCTCCGTCCGATCCATCTTTAGATTCTTCAAGCAGTATTATGAAAATAGACTCTTTGCCAAATCTAAGAATTTTATGCAAGCGACCTACCAGCTCTACCACCAACCCGCTAGTAATAAACACAGCTGCTGTTTACAGATCGTCCAAACCGGATAAAATTATATCTGCCCATTTGGACGAATTTCGAAAACTAGGCATCAAATGCATTATTGATTTTAGATCTAAAGATGAGTATTTTAGTTCAGAAGGACACCGTCTTTTAGACAAAGAATATTCTCTTTTTAAAGTTTGCCTTCCCAAGGAAAATTACAAACCCGGTCAATCTATCCAGGCGAAAGAAATACCGATTCCAGATGATTTAATTGTGAAATCAGAACCATCAACTAAAGATGTAAAAGATAGTATTTCTGAAACCACTCCAGAAGGAACCAAAAACTTGAAACAGCATTACTTGATTGACTTTTTTTCAATGAAATACATATTATCAGTTTTTAATAGATTGCCATGGCACCTTTGGTGTGTTGGAATTCTTTATTATCTTTATGATTTTATAACCCGAAACAAGTTTAAGAATTTCACAAAATTCTTTGTCTCAAATGCTGTCAACAGATTTGGTATTTACGGCCAGTACAAAGATATTGTAAATTTCAGCCAGCCAGCAATATGTTCAGGTTAGTTTTGTTCATGGAATAATTGAATATTATTTATTAGGCTAATTAAAATGTCAAAGTAACTTTAGTAACTAAATCAGTCTTTAGATGTTTTGGGAATTCTGTTCCTTGGCTTATAAAACCTCTAAGCCTTATTACTAACTAGATTAGATGATAAGGTCTATTTACGATTATTTAATGGAGCTGCCTACAATATAGGACTGCATATTTAACTGAATAATTTTATTCATAATTATAGCCTAATTACATAAGCCCCTAAGAGGCTATGAATATGGAATATCAAAGTAGTTATATTAGGCCTAATTGTTATATTTTTTAAAATCTCATCTAGCACTTAAACTTATTGCGGATCCTGAAAACCATCCGGTTTTGATTAACTGTGCCTATGGAAAAGATAGAACAGGAATTGTGTCGGCTCTAATTTTGACTTGTTTGGGCTTATCCAAGGAAGAAGTTGCTGAAGAATATGCTTTATCATCTGTAAATATCTTTTTCATTTACTAACTTAGGTAATGTGAGTTGTGTGATTATTTTACTATACAAAAGAGCATTTAAGTATTTATAATGTATGTTCCCTATCAGAACCTAACAGCACTAGCATTTTAAGAAAAAAAAATATTTTAACTTATTGAATATTGTAAATGAATGTTTTTTTAGGATGGACTAGAACCAATCAAGCATCTTCTATATAAAGATTTAGTTGAGAAATACAACTTCAAAGAGGAGTTCTGCAGAGCTGAAACTGAGACAATGATAGCACTTCTCACTTATATTGAGAGAGAGTTAGTATAACTATTCTATTTTGTTAAGACAACTGTTATATTACTTTCTTTTGTAAATAAAATGCAGTTTTTGCTCTTATCAGTGAAAATTCTTATCCTCAATTAAGCATTTAATTTTTAATTGTTTCTTGTCACTGATTAAAATAGTTGTTTTGATACCATTCATGTTTTGGTGTCTTTTACAGGTACTCATCCATTGAGAATTATATGTTACATATTGGTTTTGGTCTTGAGGAGCAAAAAGTATTAAAGGAGCAGTTAGAGCCTAAGTATACACGTTCATCAATGCAAGACAAGTCACAAGAAACAATGAGTAATATCAATCAATCTAGCAATTTTTTGGAGGGAACTGTTAAGCAAAGATCTGTAAAATCTACACATTAATGTATGCTGTTATTTTCTAATCTGTCAAGAAAAGTACTACTATTGTTAAGAAAGAAAGATATTTGTAAAAATATATTTGATGTTGTTACAAGTTGTAGGTCAATACCCACTAGTCATTGTAAAGATTTTTTTTTATTGCATCAGTATAAGCTTATGGTTCTGGGTTTTCTTTTAGCCTGAAGTTAAACATTGGTACAATTGGCCATCATTGATCTATACTTTGCTTGCTATTGTGCACCTCTTCAGTCAACTCACTGTTTTAAAATTTTTTTTCTTTGACCAGACTACCATAACTTTTGTAACTCACACTCACATATGCCTACGGGTTACAAAAATATATGTTCTTGTTGTCTTATTCTACACAGATAAGATTATTTTTGAGTTTTACAAATATCACAGTCATTTTTTTTTATTTTATCAATTTTTTGTAGAATTCATATTATGTAGTATTTTACATATATCCTTTTAAAGAATGCTCTTGAATTTTCAATATACTGGTAAGTGATATTCTATTCAAAATGCAATCAAAACTAAAATTATGTTTACAAAACCTTTTTCTCTTCATGTATATTCTGATTAAATTATTTATTTAAATTGATGATAAACCTACTTTATGAAATTTACTACAATCTACTTCTACACTGAAAAAAAAAAGAAGTAAAATGTTGGTCACAATAAAATAAGTTTTTTTTTTTCAAAGTATTTTAGAGAAGTAGATGAAAAACTAAGAAAAGCTATTTTTTTTCTAGAAATAATAGCTATGATAGTTGTGTTACTTTAATTTCTTGTATAATATGATGAATTTTCTAGTTATATTAAAAAACTGAATTGACACTTTAAAAATATGAGGTTTTTTATCAAATTTTGTTTGAATATTGTTTAATCATGAAAGATCTCACTTGTTAAAAATAATTTTATAATTAGTTGAACACACAAATTATAAAAACATAACCCTAAATTTAACCCATTACGTAACCTCTCTCTAAGCTTAACACAATGGCCAGCTTTATATTTATAGACAAGAACTATCTTTTGTTTCAGTGTGATTCTAAATTTTATTAAATTTTATTATACCTTAAACCCTAACCCAAACATTGCAAGATAAGTGTAAATAATAAAAAATAGTTCACAATTACATTAAATATTTGTTATTTACATTTTTTTAAAGTGTCAAAATATGAGCACTTATACCCATATCAATGTTGTAAAAGGATTGTATGTTAATGTTTCTGGTGGGAGTTAGCCAGATAAAATTTGGTTGTAAGTTTTAGTTTAATTTAAAGGAATTTTTTTTGTAACCACCTTTCTTTTTAATACACAATTGTAATATTTTTATATTAAAAACCAGTTTAACATAGTTTGGAACTGTTTTGTTAATGTAACATTAACAATTTTAAAATTAATAAAATGTTACAATCAACCTGATGTAGTTTGTCTTAATCTAATTTTTTTAAACTCACATACCGATCATAAGCACTGATTATATAATTCATATTTAAATAACAAGTTTTCTTTTAGAAATTGTACTTATTCTCTTCTTGTTGGAAGGCTGAAATGCTACAACTTTGCAATAAACAAACAATGTATATCTTTAATCAATCTAGAGAAATTTTACGTTGTTGAATAAAACTAAAACTAAACAAAAATGTTTACCAGAAATATTAAAAAGCAGGCACAAAAATTTGTTTCATTAGTTTTATTAAATGGTCATCAAATAAATTATACATTTTTTTTTACCAACAATCTACCTGAAAATAATAACATAGAGGTATGTTGTTATAGTGTTATATAATAAAACTTAATGAAAATAAAAATTACAAAATTCTGCAATTCTTATATACCTAAGACAATACAGATTTATTTATTAATTGAAAATGCCAGATCTGTATGGTTGATGTTAACTATGATAGACAGCTAGATTCTACCACCTTGTACATTTCATTTAATGTAAATATTTTTTAAGTCTTACAATATCTTGAAAGTGTACAGTGAAAGATAGGTCATATAAAAATGGAGGTGAAGCAATTCAAAGAGCTGTATATCACCTGGCAGAAAACTATACGTGTGTATACATGTTCCATGATGTGCCAGTGACAGCCAACTGACCAGGACAAAAAAAAAAACCTTGTCTAGTCACATGACCTGGTCAAACTATAAATTGTCTAACATGACCAGGACAAAATATACCTTTTGTAGTCACATGACCAAGTCAAAATATACCTTGTCTAGTCACATGACCTGGTCTAAGTGCACCTTGTATAGTCATAACTAAAATTTTAAAAGATTAATATTTTTATTTAGATAAGTGAAATATTTGAGTAAAAAATTATTAAATACAATTATAAATATGGTATATGTGAGACAGCTAGTTAAACCTACATTAATAGTTATGTTTACAAAAATTTAAGTTTATGAATACGTATTGCCACAATGCCTACTTTTAAAAAAGTTTTTTCAATTTCTTTTGAAAGCAAAACACAGAAAAACATGGGAGATAATGAAAAATTTGTCATAAAGGGATACAATCCATTTATTATACTTTGAGAGAGAGAGCAAGAAATATGATAATTAAAATGCACATTTCTATAAAAACAATAATTTAATATGCATTAAATTACAGAAAAAAATCAATGCAGAAAAAAATCATTGTCTCGAAGTATTTGAGCAAATATATAAAACACCAGTCGTCACTGATAAATAGTCAATTTAAATGGTATATACAGTAAAAAAAGGGGCCATTCATAAATTTCAATAACGTCAACAATGTCATCTTTAGTTGAAGGGTGAGGGGCAGGTACACATAGCTATAAGTGGACTCCTTAACTATCACGCGGTCCTGCCATCGTGGAACGCATAGACAAACGCAAAAATAGATAGGTTCAATACATACAAACAAGCATGCTCTAAAAAATGCAATTTAACCAATGCTAAACCAAAAAGTACCTGATTTCGTAAAGTGCCAGATTTCGGGAAGTCGAGACCCAATAGCTTTCAGTATATTACTAATATTACATCGCATACTATAATATGACACACGGTGACAGAGGCGTAGCTAGGGGAGGGCGGGGAGGGCGGCCGCCCCGGGCGCCGACCCTAAGGGGGCGCCAAAAGGGGTAGAAACAAATATTTACAAGCTCATTTTAAGCTGCAGTTTTTAATTATAAACAGTCAAAGTAAAGAAATTTAACGGCTGAGAGCCTTTTCATACTGATTTAACTGTTTTCTACCTTGATTGAGTAACTGTTAAAGGTATATCCTTAAGAAACAGTGACCGGAAAACTGCTTTTTCGAAGCCTAAAATCGGAAAAATTAAGGAATAAATAACCCTTATCACTCAGAAAAGAACCCATGGAACTAAAGCGATTGTGTAACATAAAAACAAGAGTTAGTGACGTTTAAAATCCGCTCTACCAGTTTTGTCCAAGATGGTGGGGAGGGGGGGGGGGCTTTTTCACCCACAAAAATCGCAGGATTTGTACTGGATCGGTTACTAGATAACTCTTTTAACACTTAGAAAAGAATTTTTTTTCCTCTAGCTTGTTTCATTATACAATCAACCGGTCAACGAAATACCCATATGGTATTCCAATGTGAACAATAATTTGCTATTGTATGTCAATTGTATGACCTTAATCTAACAAACTTATAACCCAAATATGTACTATATCATAACAGAGACTGTTCCAAAGACAAAACATAAAAAGACTGTCCTAAACGAATTAGCACCGCTACAATATTTTTTTTTCTGACATTACTAATCATCATCTTTAAAGGATAATGCATCTTAAGAGGAATTTAATTGGCGTTGAGTTAAGTTTTAGGGAACGACAATCATACAGCGTAACTATTAATTTTTTTCAAGACTGTCGCACACACACACATACACACACACACGCACGCACACACACACACACACACACATATATATATATGACGGGGCGCCAAACTGAATGTTCGCCCCGGGCGCCGGGAGGGGTCGCTACGCCTCTGCACGGTGATACCAAATATCATTTAAAGTATAGAACCTAGGCCTATCTGTTGTGTGATGATTACATGTGGACATAAAGTAACCGATATGTTTATTAATTTACACACTGAAAGAACTTTTGAGTCGCAAAACGTCATACCCCACACATTCACAAAAATCATGTAAGTTATCGTTTTAATTGAGGCCAATACAATTTCTGGATTTTCAAATGTCAAATAAAATGTAAGTGCGGATATTATGATACGAATGAATCGGTAAACAAAATAAACAATTTGGTATGTTCACATTCCAACAAATCAGGTCCCAGCGCAGTGGCGGAACTAGAAAAAAAAAGGCTCCCCCGCAAAGAAAAGATTAGGGCCCCCTATATATATATATATAAATATATATATATATATATATATATATATATATATATATATATATATATATATATATATATATATATATATATATATATATATATATATATATATATATATATATATATATATATATATATATATATATATATATATATATATATATATATATATTCATTTATTTATTTATTTATTTATTTATAAATATATCCTAACTGAGTAATTTAGTCTACTTCATTGCAATAAATAACCATTCTGAGAGATCAAACCAGAAAAAATTTAGTCCAAACTCATCTAGCTGTACGAAACACTCATTTAAATGCTGGTCAAAAATATATAAAGACGTTAGCTTGATTCGTGAATGGTTTCTCGCGTTATGTTTATTTTTTTCATTTTTGGCTTTTATAATATCAATTTTGAAAACATTGATTTTTATATCTATATTATTGTATAGTACGTCATATTTAAGTAGCAATTCAGAGAATCAATTGCTTTTTAATATACATAGTACAAAACTATTTAAATGAGCTTCGTGGGCATCCCTATTTTAAAGAAGGGCAGTAAGTCATGGAAGTAGTGTGAATGTTTACCTACCTTTCAAACTATAGCTCTTGTAGATTTTAAAATATTTTTCTACGCAACAATCTCTGCTATAGTAGATCTGTTGTTTTTTTTTTACAAAACCACTTTCAAGATGCATGAAAAACATAATTTTTGAAAAAAAAATTCAATGTTTTTTGGTAGGAACTGGGCCCCTAAACGTCCTGGCCCCCCCCCGCATTGCGGGGTCTGGCGGTATGGTAGTTCCGCCCCTGTCCCAGCGCCATCTTGAGAGCCAGACGTCTCAACTGCTGATGATGTACTCTCTCTGGCTGACTTCTGCTGGCTGAACGTTTGTTGATTTCATCGCCTGCTGAACTTCTCGTCCGCCAATCTGTGTCAAGGCCGCCCCAGCAGCGTGCCGGACTTGGGGTATGACGTCATTATGCCTGGGGAAGATTTGGATTGGACAGCTTTGAACGTGTGATCATTATAGCAATTTAATGTAGCCTTGCGTAGTCGGACAAGGGAGCATCGGATGCTAAGTGCTAACTCAGAAAGTGTAGAGTTAAGACCCCGGGTAGAGGCGGTTTTTTTTGCTGTGGTCAGCAACGTTTTTACAATTATTACATATACATTTTTTTTAAAAATTCTTGTACTTAAAAAGCGTGTTAAGATGGAGGAAAAAAACCCGATTGTTTTATTAATTCATTAACAATCTATTTTGCACCACCTCCCCAAGTATTTCGCCAAAAAGAGGAAATGTATATTTGCCATAGGAGTGTGAAAACTGACCACAAAAGCAGGAGTTTCTCAACGGCTTCCTGGCTTTTAAGGCAAGCCACCGCTTTACAGGCCTCCAGTCGTACCACGTGATCCCCGTCATCTAGCGAGTCGACAAGAGCCTTGACCGAGACGTGGTCAGTGGCCTGGATGCAGGTGGCCAGGGTGGACACACTGGCAGACCGGATGCTGGGGTCAGCGTCAGCCATGAGTGACCTCAGACACGTCAGGATTGTCGAGCTGAGGAACTTGCCTGCGTGAAAATCAAAATTCATATAAGTTTTCTTTGTCAACATTCACGAAACAAAATATTGTTTATTAAACAAGTTAGATTTGTGTGTGTGTTGCATTTAGATATGCAGTTTTTCAAAAAGTGTAGTATAAATTTAATTTAATCAATATTAACAAAAATATACAACAAATAATCCAGCCTGCTTCATTTTAATAATTCAATATGTTTCGTGTTTATTTGTGTGTCCAAAAGTAGCCAATGACAACGAAAATGCCAACCAATTTTTTTATTTTACCTTTCGCGTGAAAAAGTCGAATTACATGCTTTGTAAAATATTTAATTATATTGTATTGGTAAACTGAGTTTAAAAAGAAAACAAAAAACTATCCCTCAAATATTATTTCCAACAAAAACACATAGGTCTACTTATTTTCTTACAAACAAAATATTGACCCCACTCAATGAAAGTGAAAGGCAAGTAAAATATGAACACGCTATGTTGGACTATTAATGCTATGCTCTCTATTCTAAAGAGACAGAATCTGGGGGTTTTACCGATATTGTTAATAGCCACTGCCCTCACAGTAGAATTGGAATCGAAGACGTCACGCATGGCCTGCGTTACCATGGCAACAGAGTGAACCACTTCCCAAACATCTCTGTCTGTTCCCAAATCCTTGCAAAATTCTGGGAAAAAACAGTTAAAAATGTACATTGTTTTGTAACCCTAAATACTTGTACGACATACACATAAAAACAGCTAAAGGCGTTGAGGATTGTTTGTGGCTGGGCATACAACTGACCACACTATTCATTCATATGCAGAGGCCACATACACAGATGAGTTATACTTTATATGCCCCATGGACCGCTATGTTTAAAAAGATAACTTCACTAATATTTTTTTTTTTAATTCAATATTTTTATCTCAAACGTATTATCATTTTTGCATCTAATTTTTTTTATTAGAGTGGAACAAATATTTTTTAAAGCTTAACACATTCGTTACCCCGATCAAATTATCTCCCCCCCCCCCCCCCTCAGCCCCCCCCCCCCCCCGTGTAGCCCGGGTCACTGGTCAAGTGTAAAGGTTGAGATGCCCTCACCTATGAAGTTCTCCTTGCGTACCGTCCCGTCAAAGGTGAGTTCACTGCGCAGGACGTGGTCCAGGTGGGCGTGGCAGGACTTAGGGATGCTGCAGTTGATCAACTCACGGTACGCCTGCCGCAGGTCTTGCAGGAACCTGCGCAGTCGTGGGTTTTAATTAGCAGTCGGATTTGACGATTTGCTTTAAGTATTTTTATGTACAATTAAAAAAAAAAAAAAAAAAAAAAAACACATGAAAACCAACCGTAAAAAAAAATCAGTGTATTCAAAGAAAGCATAGTTTTGAGTCGGGTTAAAGGTAAAGGTTACCGGATAGGGCAAGAGTTGGTATGAGGATTATGGTTAGCGTGAGTCTGAGCGCACAAACGTTATATACGTCCTGTCAACGTTGTAGGAGGCACCCTTATAAGTTGATTAAATTCACGTCGTTTTTATCAAGGATATGACTTGTGTGATTTTATATAGATTTTTTCCCCAGGTCGTTGTAAAAAGGTCAACCTTGGCCACACATATTTAATCGAGATCAACATTGACCATTCATTACATCGACAATAGTTTCATCTGGTCTTTTATAAGCTTAACCAAGTGTCCCTGGGGCGTGAGCTAGTTTAATGTCTATTTTTGAGATCTTAATCTACATAAAAAAATAAAAATAAAACAGCCGTTACCTATCCCACGTGACCTTGGGGCCAAGGTCACCATAGTGTGTGTCCCAGAAGTGCGCAGCGGTCACGTGATTGCCCAGGTACAACATCCGCTTCAGTTTGTGTTGGCGCGAGATTTTCTCGCTTCTCGGCTTAGAGCTGACTTGACCAAAGTCCTGCCAGTAAGTAAACAAATGATTCGAAAATCGTAGAGTAGGCCTACCTAAAATAAAGTTTCTAACTTATGTCTTCGTCAGAACAAGCCTTATTTATAGCAACAGTAAACCAATGTAATAACTTTTGGCTTTCTTTCTTGTTTCAGCACAACAATACCCTAACCATTTCTAGCCATAGCAGTGGCGTAGCGAGGTCGGGTGTCACCCGGTGCGGCACTTAATGGTGTCACCCCCCAGAGGCGTAGCGACCCTTCCCGTGGACAAACTTTCAAATTTTCGATTTGCACCCCCCCCCCTCAAACTTTCGATTTGCACCCCCCTCAAGTTTTTCTCTATATATTATGCTATTTTTTGCCTTGGTGTCACCCGGTGCGGTCCGCACCCCCGACCCCCTCGCTACGCCGACCATTCTAGAACATCTAACTTGACAGATCACATGGCTTACAATCCCTAAAATTAGAACGTACCTCGTCAATGACGTCATATCCACCTATTACGCTAATTTCCTCCTTGACGTGGCGCACCATCTGTAGAATGGACAGGTCCAGCGTGTTCTTGACAGAGAGCTCAAACCACTTGTAGGACCCGAGTTGCAGCTTGCTGTGGAAGGGGAGGGGGTGGGGTAAGTTCGTGCGATTGTTAATTATTTAATTGTTGGTACTGTTGGCAGTGCCAGGTTATTTAGCGCCCTAGGCAAAACTTATTAAAACGCCCCCTTTCACACAATTAATTACTAAAACATCTGTATAAGAAAACAATTAATTAAAAGTGACATATTAATTTATTATCAATTGCATGCACGTTATAAGTAGACATCAAAATCACATTTCACTTCCCTCCATCGTCGCAAACGTTTGTACTAATTCCTTCAGTTCCAGTTTGCAAGCGTAATCACATTTTATTGAAATTGTTGCTAAGTCCACGAGTTTACTTTGTACGTTACTACATAGCCCCCCCCCCCCCTTTTAGAAAATTTTCAAGTGCCCCCCCCCCCCCCCCCCCCCCCCCCACGGGAGAAAAAGTCTGGGAAAAAAAACACTGGGAAGAAAACACAGTTCTTGTAGTGTAGGCTCTATGCAGACCTCCCAATGTGAGTTCTAGAACGAAACTTACCTGTTTTAGGCCTGACTGTCTTAAGTTATAATTGTAAAATGTCTATATTGTCTATATGAACCCTTAAGGAAGGATGAAACATATGAAAAAGACATTAATTAATTAGTTAATTAATTTGCGTCTAAGATGAATTTAGACGCATTAGTTGCACTATCTTATACTGTATGTCTAATAGTATTAACTATTGCAATCTACAACGGCTGCTGTTTTTGTTTTTCAACCTGATAATGCTAAAAAAAACCTTCCAAACTATTTTGTTTAGAACTTCTGCTCTATATAATATTAACAATAGCAAATAATAACTTAAAGTATTTATAAGAAAGCGGTCAACCAAAGTGCAGGAATTTGAAATGAATGTAAAGTTAAGCAACGAATTATCTCACATTTGGGCAGAGGCGTAGCGAGGGGGGGGGGGGGGCGGGGGGACGACATATGTCCCCCGGGCCAGAGGCGTAGCGACCCTTCCCGGCGCCCGGGTACAAACTTTCAATTTAGAGCCCCCTTCTCAAACTTTCGATTTGCAACCCCCCCTTAAACTTTCGATTTGCACCCCCCTCAAACTTTCGATTTGCACCCCCCCCCCTCAAACTATTTATCATTGAAAAATGCAGTTAAAATAACATTTTAATTTGGGTTTACAACCAATTTTGGCGCCCCCTAAGGACGGCGCCCGGGGACATATGTACCCCCCAGCCCCCACATCGCTACGCCTCTGCCCCGGGCGCCGACCTTAGGGGGCGCCGACCTTAGGGGGCGATTAAATGGGTTTGAAAAAAAATTGAAAGGTTGAGGGGGGGTGCAAATCGAAAGTTTGTTCCCGGGCGCCGTAAAGGGTCGCTACACCTGTGCATTTGCGGTCATCCATAAATGACGTCACGCTTTTTTTGACGATTGTTACCCCCTCCCCTCCGTCACACATTGTCACAAAAAGCCAGACCCCCCCCCCCTAAAATGACGCCACTCCTCAGCCTACAACCCCCTCAAAATTGCAGCTGAATTTTTTTTTAAACACCGATATTTACCCAAATTCTTGTCTGAACTCTGTCAAAATAGAGTATTTTGATCAATTCTTATTACAATTTATGAAAACCGTTTTCTAAAACGCGAAATAACGTCTAAAATTCGTTTTCCTACATTGCTTTTTTTAAAATGCTAAAGTGTGACGTCGCACAATCTGAACCCCACCCCCCACCCCCTCATCACGCACCGTCACACAATTACGGACCCCCCCTCCCCTACGAGTGTGACGTCATTTATGGACGACCCCTTTGGAACACTGTTTCTTCCAGAATTTTTTCTCCGGGGGGGGGGGGGGCACTTGAGATTATCGGGGAGGGGGGGTCAACATTTTTCGGGGGGGGGGGGCGGACACTAGTAAAAGTGTATGTTTACTATATAAATTCCACCCCCCCCCCCCCCCGAACTTCCAGAAGTTCGGCCATCTCCATTACCACAAAAATTAGGATATTTAACTCTAATGTCAAGGCAGTTCTGCTGTATGGAGCAGAGACATGGATAGTCTCCAAGGCAAGCACAGCAAAGATTCAGACCTTCATGAATAGATGCCTTAGACAGATACTGAAACTGAGATGGCAGGTCAAAGTGACGAACTTGGAACTATGGAGGAAAGCTAGGCAGGAGCCTATAGGTGTGCAAATAAGAAGGAGGAAGTGGCGCTGGGTGGGTCACACACTGCGAAAGGCTCACACAAATGTTACACGCCAAGCGCTTGAGTGGATCCCCAGGGAAAGCGGAAGAGAGGGCGCCCAAGACAGACCTGGAGGCGGAGTCTTCTTGAAGAACTGAAGCCAACAGGGATGTCTTGGGAGATGTCAAAATTAATAGCCGAGGATAGGAAGAAATGGAAAAATGGAAGGAAATGGTGGAGGCCCTATGCTCCATAAGGAGCAAAGAGGACTAACAAAAAATAACCCCCCCCCCCCCCGAAGAGATGCCTGGAAGAAACTGCTTTGGAAATACTGATACCAAAATTGTATTCAAGGGAAATAACTTTCACAAAAATAGCTAAAATAACCCAGTGTTACTAAGACATGCTTGAAAAACACAATGAAACGCTCTAAATTTCATTATATCATTATTATAAGATATCTTTTATATTAAATATGTAACCGTGTCAAAAAAATATTTTACTATTTGACTACTAAATTATAGGTTTTGTTTGAAAGTCTAAAAAATGGTAGCTTTATTATAACACACTTTTAGCCAATTTTAATGATATACATTCCCTAATTATGATTGGACTTCAAAATCTGAATAGTTACAATTTTGGATCCCCCAAAATAAAGGGACATCTTTCACAAAAATAAATACGTAAAGTATTTCTAAAATTATTGATTGAATATTTTTAAAAATTATAATTTGAAAAAAAAAAACAACAACCAAGTTTACGAATAGTTACAGATTCCAGCCAATATATTATATATTAAAACTTTAAGAGCAGTAATATAGATTCCTAAAAAACTAAGATTTTTCAGCTAGAAAACGCATACATTTATTTATAGTATGTTCCGTCCGTACTAGATTCACAACACATATCAAACGTTGATTCCTAAACATAACTAGGCTTGATGCTCCAGAACTACGACACCAACTCCCTTAACTTCACCATGCTCTACAAACGATACTCCAAATCAACAACGATTTCACTGGACCTACTACTACACGCTAACAGCCAACACATTTCGATACCTTAATACCACAAGAATCAATACTCCCGAACTCCAGAACTCCGATACTTCATCACCTGCATTCTCATTTCTCTACTACCAATCTGATTCCACTAGACCAAACTACACGACAACAGCCAAATAAAAAATACGACACTTAGACACTTATTACTTTATACCTTCCACCGTTACTCCCAAATCTAAACGATTCATCAAAACTTACCAAACAAGTGATAATACTTTGAAAAAACCCCGTCATTACAAAACTCTATACACCAGAACAGATTTTTAATTCAGTCAGAGAAAACCAGATTTTTACAAGCCTTATTAAAACACAAAAGGTGCACGTGTTTTTGAACGCCTCGTTATACGCTGGAGCGATCACTAAATCAACATTAAAATTAGATAACCGTTTGAAATGTTCCAAATTTAAATTACGAACGTATTTAATCGTTTTCTACATCAATTATGTGACACCAAACTAAAAAGGCAGAGTGACTGGTAAAAAGCGCCCCGACCTTTCCAAATTAGGGAGGTGGGGTTGGATTTTCACCTTCGCGAATAAATATAGGTCTATATAGAACTAATTTTGGGGTGAGGGTGCATAATAGATAGTTCGTCCTGGGCGCCGAAACAGATCGCTATTCTTTTCTATATTACCATCCATAGATTGTAAAAGATAATCAAAGTTGTTAATTATTAGGTACTTTTTGATAATAGCGATTAAACCTTTTTTGCGCCCCCCCCCCCCCCCCCACTAAGGATGGCGCCCTGGGCGACCGCCTAGTTCGCCTGTTGGGCTACCGGGAAAGAACCGGAAAATGTTCTGCTGATGAGGAAATCATGAAGAGAAGATGGGACTGAACAGAGTACACCATACGCACTCAGCCTAACCTAGGCAATCATTTAGATGGAACCCGCGAGGAAAGCATAGGAAGAGGTCGACACCTTGATGCCGACACCACAAAAATGGGCTACACTGGGAATCAAATTGAGAAGTTGGAGCAGGACAGCGCACTCTGGGAATCTTTGGTTGGTGGCGGCGTTGATGATACTTGTCAGTTTCGTAGAGTCAGCGTTTCGTGATATAAGTTACCATTAGGGCTTGGCTTATGCATACGCGTCACAAGGTTGGGGTTGTGGGATTGGGTGGGGGGGGGGGGGGGTGAGACTGGGTACTACACCAGTTGATATGTGTAGTGATGTAAGCGACGATTACACGTCAACCACGAATTTACCATGAATTACATGAAGACACATACCCCCAATCCACTTTTAACACATCGGTAAATACTTCAAATAGCCTACATGCACACACATATACCATACGGATTTTTGAGATGATAAAAAAAATTAATGGGGGGGGGGGGGAGGGGCATTGGGGATACTAATAGTAACAGATTCTGTTTTACATTCTTAACTATGAGATCAAGAAAATTAAAACAAATTTAAAAATACTTCACACTCAACACTAATATCTCTTTAGTTTTTACAACACATTTCAACCAATGATAGTGTAATTATCATGTAACTTACATGCCCATCTCCATCGTGGTGATGACGTCAAGCGGCAGGTCAACCGAGACGGGAAAGATGACCTTGTCGCAGATCTGAGCCAATGAGACTTGGTCTCTCAACGGTCGAAGATTGACCGTGTCCGACTTTAGAAGGACCACCAGCATCTAGAAAACAGATTTTAACAAAAGTTGGGGATGTTAGACTAACCGTGTCCAGATTTAGCACAACTACAAGCACCCAGAAAAATGGATTCCAGATTTTATTTAAAACGGGCAATAGCTTTATATGCGTAATACAGAAACATAAAATTAATTAGAAATTAATATTTAGTTAGAAATACATCAGGGTGAACTATAGCTTATATTACTTATAAAATAAGAGCATTAATTAATTAACGCTAAAACTAGTTTATTTTAATTAATTACATTATTAAATCGTGGCTAATTGGTTTTAGACGTATTCTGTTAAATATTTTTTCTTCTTAATCTAGGGCAGACACGACTTTAGAGGATCAATCATCAATCAATAAAAAAAATATTTAAATAATGTTCTTCAAGTTTGATCCTCGACTTGAACAATCAAGCACGAGTCTAATGACACAGTCCAGGTTTGGAATCTTCGGGATGACGCCGCGTCATCTGGTGCCTCACCTGGCTGTGGAGATCTACGGGTAGACTCCAGCAAGGGGGGGGGGAGGATCTTCACCTCCAGCGTTAAACAAGCCATCGTAAGTTTGACAAAAACACTTTATTTTACAGTTGACGATAAAATCTTCCTTCGTAGCTTTGACAAAAACACTATTTTATAGTTGACGATAAAATCTTCCTTAAAGTTTGACAGGAAATCTCCCAATGAAATCTTTCTGTTTACGTTTGTAATAAAATCTCACCTTACAGTTGACCACAGCTTGAGCGGCCAACTGAAAATCTTCCTCAGTGGTGATGGATTTGATTCTAGACAGCCAGACGGTCAGACCTGCAGACTCCATCGATTCTGTAACAGTGTGTACCGGCATAAGTTGTGTTTACATAAATAACAGTCTGTAACAGTGGCTACCGGCATAAATTTGCGTTTACATAAATAACAGTCTGTAACAGTGGGTACCGGCGTAAGTTTGTGTTTACAGAAATAACAGTTTGTAACAGTGGGTACGGGCATAAGTTTGTGTTTACATAAATAACAGGATTTCGTTTAAAAAAATTACTGTCATAATCTAGTGTTTTAATACACATAACTTATAGTTGTAGCGCTGCGGTAAAACATTATGACACAGTGCCTGTATGCAATCTCACTTGACATATGACATTGTTGCATGTTGTAAAGAACATCTCAACAAACGTGAAACTTCACTTGTCGCTTTCATGTTTTTATTTAGTTATTTATTTTATTTTTATTTTTTTGGTGGGGGGGGGGGGTGTCTATTTTTAGTATCTAGGCTAAAAAACTTGAAATTTAAAAAATCATTAAATATTTTTTTTCTTCAATAAATACATATTTTAAAATGATAATTAATGACGGCCTGGCATAGCGGTAGAGCGCTAGACTGCTAATCCGAACTCGAGTCCGGGTTCAAGTCAGTAGAGCTTCATTGAGTCCACCCAGCTTTGATGGGTACCTAACTCACGTTAGGGAGAATAAAGAAGGCTGAGCATAGTGCTGTCCACACAAACCCTTTATATGCCGAGGTCACAGAAAAAGGTGAACGCTACTTCAAGTTCGCCATGGACCGTCAGATTCGGAAAAGGCACTTTACTCTCAATACACTGCGTTGTTCCATGCTTGACTCTGGCTACAAATAAATCCTCAACACAGATAAAGTAGGGTAGGCTACTTTGATATAATAAAAACTGGGAATGATTGTTTTTTCAATGTCAGCTATGGAGATGCGATGTGATGAATCAAAGGACCGACTAAAGGGTTAAATACATGGACATATTTTTGACTTTTGTGACGTAGATGCAATTTGATGAACCAAAGGGCCGACTTAAGGCTAAAATACATGGACATACTTTTGACTTTTGTGACTTAGATGCAATTTGATGAACCAAAGGGCCGACTTAAGGGTTAAATACATGGACATACTTTTGACTTTTGTGACGGTATCATCCAAAGCGCCGTAACACAGCACGACATCTTTGGGCGGCAGTTTTCTCGCCATCTTGGTGACCGTGTCGGAGCTCTTCACCAGACTGCTGGGGGGAGGCGAGAAAGGTTCGTCTATGAACAGCTGGAACACCTGCGAGGTCGTCTGCACCACCTCTGGCTCGTCGTGGTTCGATGACGCGCTCGATTTGACGTCATCTTCGGGGGGTGGTGGGGGCGGGTCTTGTATGTAGGTGATGTAAGTGCTACCCCTCTTGCCGGATGTTTCTTTTGAGGCTGGGACTTGCTGCCAAGCATAAAGATTCGTTTTAGAAACACATTTTGATAAAGTTACCCAGAGGCGTAGCGACCCTTCCCGGCGCCCGGGGACAAACTTTCAATTTGGCGCCCAGCTCGGGAGCAAATTTTCAATGTGCACCACCCCCCCCCTCAAATTTTCGATTTGCACCCCCCTCAAACTATTTATATTGCAAAAATGCCAGTTTAATTTGTTTTTACAACCCATTTAGGCGCCCCCTAAGGTCGGCGCCCGGGGACATATGTACCCCCCTGCCCCCCCCCCCCCCCCCCATCGCTACGCCTCTGAAGTTACCGAGTCAAAAAGAGAGATAACTTTGATTCACAGACTGGTTCTGCTTCAAAGAATTTCGCCAGTACAAAAAATGATCTGAGGCGTGTCTTGTAGAATCATTATGTAACATCCTTGTCACTAGGCTAACCGTGTACCTTGCCGCGTAGCCTTGCAACTACAACAGATAAATACAAGCCACAGGTAGATTCGTGATTACCTATGTGAACGGGTTATCTTACAAACTTTATACACCCGGCCAGCGGGTTGGAGAAACTTGACAGTTTGTTATTGTTCAAAGATTTATGCTTAGGGGACGCCCATAAAAGATCTGATTCAAGCTAGTTTTTATACTCCACCCTCCCTGAATTGTCACACATATTCACAAAAATCAGACACACCCTCCCTTAATTCGACGCCACTAAGTTCAAAACCTCCTCTGGATTTGAACAAAAATGATTGTATCTCAAATTTTCTATCATATACATTATATAAAATAAATCCTAATTAACACTTTCTTACACCCCAGTTTACTCATAATATTTCGTCACAAATATTTAAACAACCCAGTCTCCCAGTTCAAACCTGTGCGCCCCCCAGTTCGAATCTCCATCCCTGTAGAGTGTAATGTCTTAAGAGACTTCATTTAGGGACGCCCTCACTCACTCGCTCGCCTCAACTCTGCTCACACACAGTGTTTATACTCCGATACAGTGGCGAAGGCCGGGGGTGTTAAGTAGGGGGGGAGTGTCACAGCCCCCACACACCATGACCAACCCCCGACTACGCCACTGCCCAGACTCACCTGCGCGTCCCTCCCGTTGATGCTCAGGGAGACGGGGGCCGTGCTGCTCGCTAGGATGACCTGGGTCCCCCTTTTGATGACGTCATCTTGTGGGTTCGGGAAGGTTTTGATGACGGTTGACTGGCGATTCTTGGTGTCCTTCGGTTTATCCCTGTGTGCGACACCATTTGTTTGGTGTTTGACACCATTTGCTGGACGGGTGACACCATTGGTAAAATGGGGGACAGCATTCGGCGGGAGGACTGGTGATGGAAGTAACAACGTTAAAAATTAACATAAAATCAAAATCACACAAGAATTTTTTGTTTTAAATTACCAAGTATGTGACGGTACGAAAAAAAAATTAAGACAAATATTTGCAGCTTTATATACGCCATCACAGCAAGCATCAGCAAAGACAGTTTTTCGCATCCGACGTATCAGAAATTATTTTATACAGTCTAGACTTAAAGCGTCTTTTCCAACACAAGAATACCAAATGTTTTATTGCACTTGTTTGTTTCCATGACAACAGCTTCTGGAAGATTGTTCTGGACATGTTTGTGTACAAGCCCAGACAAATACCTCCCACTCGTCCACCGTGACTCACTAATCAACACGAGTAAATCGTATGGTTGATTAACATATAGGCCTACTTCGTTGGTAGTCGAGGTAAAAGTAGCCTATATTATTTTCTTAAGGACAGTTTATCGACCATTTAATCCAGCGAGGTTTCTTAATTTAAAACTACGGTCGTCAGACTTTTAAGAAGAATTTTTGTTCACCCAGCTCTGATTAGTACCTGCCTCTCGTAAGGAAAAGTACAGGCGGCTGGGCATAGTGCTTACCACACTATCCTTTCATATGCCGAGATCACAGGAACTGGTAAACTCTACTTCACTTTCCCAATGGACTGTCAAGTTTCAAAGGGAATTTTACTGCATTTTAAAACTAAAAAAACATCGTTTTTCCACATAGAAAAGCAAAACCCACCTCCATATTGTCCCCTAAATTGCACCTGCTCGTAATATTGTTTAGCTGACCATTCATCGTAGCTCAGCGAGTGGCGGTCCTCAAACTGGGGGTACGGTGACGTGACCGGGTAGGCCGAGAGTCTGCCGGCCGGATACTCGGGCTGCCCGGCAAACTTGCTGTGCCGCACGTACCCGGGGTAGAGGGTGTACGGCTGGTAGAGGCTGCTGGGTCGGGCTGGATCTGGCAGAAAGTGGAGTTTGTGTGACACATGGGGTGTGTGGTCATTGGGGCGTCTGACACATGGGGTGTGTGGTCATTGGGGGGGGGTCTGACACATGGGGTGTGTGGTCATTGGGGGGTCTGACAAAATAAAGGGGCGTCTGACAAACTGGGGTGGGCGTCTGACAAACTGGGGTGGGCGTCTGACAAACTGGGGTGGGCGTCTGACAAACTGGAGTGGGCGTCTGACAAATAAAGGGGCGTCTGACAAATAAAAAGGGCGTCTGACAAAATAAAAGGGCGTCTGACAAAATAAAGGGGCTTCTGACAAAATAAAGGGTCGTCTGACAAACTGGGGAGGGCGTCTGAAAAATAAAGGGGCGTCTGACAAATAAAAAGGGCGTCTGACAAAATAAAAGGGCGTCTGACAAATAAAGGGGCGTCTGACAAAATAAAGGGGCGTCTGACAAAATAAAGGGGCGTCTGACAAATAAAGGGGCGTCTGACAAATAAAGGGGCGTCTGACAAATAAAAAGGGCGTCTGACAAAATAAAAGGGCGTCTGACAAACTGGGGAGGGCGTCTGAAAAATAAAGGGGCGTCTGACAAATAAAAAGGGCGTCTGACAAACTGGGGTGGGCGTCTGACGAAATGAAGGGGGCGTCTGACGAACTGGGGTGGGCGTCTGACAAAATGAAGGGGGCATCTGACAAATCAAATGGGCGTCTAGAAAGTTTTTGCATGACCAAAAAAAAGGGCGTCTGATAAACGAATTGACGTCTGACAAAATGTGAGGATGTCCCTCGTGAAAATTCAGAACGCCCCACATTCAGCAGATGTACATTGCTGCAGTGTGTCTGCTCACACAGACGATGCTACACGTGAGGTTTTACTCACCAGCATATCTGCGTCTTTCCACAGGTGGCGCTGGAGTGTCCAGGCAGTTCCCCATGGTCACAGCTCTCTAGTGACGTCACGTTCTTCTCTTCATCTTAATATGGCGCCCTGCACATTTATTTTCAGCTGGGGCGCTGGAAATAGAGCAAAACCGAACCACGATATATACATACACATAAATATATGCCTGTGTGTCTGTGTATCCTTGTATTGCGCAAGTAGCTCTTTCTATTGAGGAGGACAATCCAGAAAACTCTGAAAGAACTTGAAGGTGGGCGGGGGTGGGGTCTAATTTGCACGAAGTATGTACCTGTTATCTCATACGTTCAATAAAGTTGCAACAACTGCACGAATTAACATACACGTACACATCCCTATGCTAACATAAACACTTTTACGTAAATATATACATACGGCAATACATACATACCCGAACATACCCTTCCTGCTCCCATAAGTCCTATGTGTCACATATTGTAAATAACTTAGGAAACCAAGGCCTACTTCTAGAACTCTACACTTACATAGCCTGGCATCTGAAGGTCTCACTGAGAGCCTGCGACACCCGGAAGCTTGAATGCCTTACTGGCTATTCAAGTGCGGTGTTCCAGGTGACTGGGTCACACAAGTAAAACGGTCGCAGAGATAACCATCACGTGACAAGCAGTTCCCGCCAAGGCTGTCCCGTTATACGATCTCACGTCCCATATAACGACATACAAGGCTGTCCCGTTTTACGATCTCACGTCCCGTATAACGACAGACAAGACGTCTCTCCGACACGATCTAATTAATGCCTCGTATAGCGACAGACAAATTAGTTCAGTGAAATTATCTCACGACTCGTACAACGACAGACAATATAGTTCCGTGATACTATCTAATGCCTCGTATAGCGACAGGCAAATTAGTTCCGTGATACTATCTAATGTCTCGTATAGCGACAGACAAATTAGTTATATACGATGTCATGATGTTATGCTTCATACAGCAATCGACCAGTCAATCTCGTAACACGATCTCATGCCCCGTACAACGACATACAGCAACTTGTGTAACTGGTTTCAAGTGAATAGACTTGTAGGCTTACAAGTAAGTTTTTAAAGATGATCAATTTACTGTCAGTCATAAAAAAAACCTCTTTTCGCTAGGCATGGGTATGCAACAATCAACTTTTAATACTTAACATACAAAATTGACCCTCGAAATGAACGTTATGTTACAGCCCCTAGTGATGGTGCCCTCGAGTCGCATTATGTTAACGATATATATATATATATATATATATATATATATATATATATATATATATATATATATATATATATATATATATATATATATATATATATATATATATATATATATATACATATATATATATATCCAAACGAGGACGTATAAAGCTATTTATTTCTCAGATTATATGAGATTTATAAATTATTATTTTTAATCGTAAAGTGATGTTGTATCGAAGTGTAACAGTATATATGCGCGGAAATGGTGGTGGGTTGGTGGAGATGGGGTGATACCCGGAAATGCAATTTAATATGAGCAGTGGTGGTCTATATAAGTGTTATAAAAGCATATGGTGGATCGTAAACTTCAAATTGTCGATTTTATACAGTGTGTAATGCCATGTCGAAGCTGCTAGACAACAGCACTTATCGTTATATTTATCTTCATGTTCATCGTTATCTCAGCGGTGTGATAGCCCATGGGTTACAACTTAGGTTAAAGTTTCATTGCGTAATCCACTCGCATAAAACTAGACTGTATACAATCAACATAATTAATTACCGTAAAAAATAAACCGGGAGTGATCTCCCCTAAACTTTCTCGAATATTCTTATATAAAATAACAGGGGATGGGAACTCGGGCTATAGACATGATTTTTAATCCATTTTAAATACTTAAAGTTTTAAAAATAGAATAAAATCTCGTAGACAAATTAATTGCACACCAAGTGAACGCGAATAAAAAAGCGCATAATAGTGCGCAATATTATTAGTACTTTTAAAATTTACATTAGTTTTTTGAGAAATCGGAAGTAGCGTAAATAAGTACTTCCGGTCAACGAAAAATTCTCAAAATTTGACAGAAGGTAGAGAATTAGATCTTTTACTTACATATCAAATTTCATTTATCTATCTGAAATAGTACTCAAGTTATAGGCTTTTGAAAAATTCAAAGTAGAAAAAGTACCACTTCCGGTTATCCGAAATCGCTCAAAAGTTGATACGGATCTACGATTTTGATAAAATACTTATATATGAAATTTCATCAACCTAGCTGTAACGGTACTCAAGTTATCGTGTTTACACACGGACACACACACACACAGACACACAGACATACGGACAGAATTGCAAAGCCCAGTTTTTCAGACTGGAATACGCATAAAACCTTTTAATTTTGATAAATCTGGATTGATAATTTTTGCCCGATTAAAATAAGTCCTCTATACTTCGGATGTGATGAAGGACTGAGGTGTAATACGGTGAAAATAGTTAAAATTTCAAGTGATTTTTGTGCACGATTACAATACTTTCTCTATACTTCGTATATACGAGAAAGTAAAAAACGATAGCTATAGCAATACTTGTAACTGCTAACACCAAAAGTCCTTAGTTCTGACCCCCCCCCCCCCTACTTCTAGAAAAGGGGTAGTTTGCTCGGAAACAGCAACCCCAGCAACCCAACAAGGAGAGAAAACTCCAAAAATCAAAGAAGTGCCGGTATTACATGCAAAACCCTGTACATTTATTAGTAGGCGCCTACTCAACAACTGACGTTTTATAGATATAAACACATCTTCAACACCCCCCCCCCCCACACGCATGCACGCACACACACACACACACACAAACACACACTTGGCAATACTGTCAACATTCCGCATACTTGCCAATACTCAACACGTTCGTAACAAAAAAATCTCACTTGTCAAGTGTTGAGATCTAAACTTTAAAACTACCTGATCTAATTTCTTACCTGTTGCATGCACCTGTATGGGCTTCTGTTTTCTCTAAAACGTAATATCCTTATAACAGAAACAGAGTCACTTTTATTTTATCCACATGCATAGATACTAACATTTTATTATCCTGTCATCGCTGAGAGTGCTAACGGGATTGTAAGAATTCCTGGTGTATAAAAACAACTTAACACACTAGTAACATACGACAAGTAAGATATTCCCCAAATATCGAGTAGTAATAGCGTTGGTGTGTCAGTAAACATATTACTGCTACACGCTGGGACGTCTTTTGACTTCCACAAAGCAGCGTGAACCGCCGTTCTACATCAGAATTTAGCTTTACCCAGTTGTAACGAAATCTTAAGGCAACACCTCCCCACTGTACACTCACACTCACACACTCACGCACTTACACACACACTTTTTCTCTCTAAGTTGAACAGCTGTAGTAGTTGCTTTCTATAGCTAATTGATATAAGTTTATGAAAAAAACATGACATTTGATGGCACTTTCATATGTAATATTGCTTTATGGAAATGCAGTATTTAAGGTTTTGCCACCTGGACTTATTGTATAGGGCAGCGGTCAGCAGGTTCCAAGTTTTAGAAATATTAGAAACATTTGGAACCAGCTTTTTCAACCTGCGCTTTTTCTTTAAACGTAAATAAACAGTGGTCAATTACATTTCAAGTAAATATTTTCTTTTCCTTTTTCGCTTGACTTAAGAAAACAAATACTTTCCTTGCGGAAATTAGATAAATAATAGAGTCAATTGACCTTACTCGCGGAGTTGCCCTTAGATTTAAAGTTCCCTTTGGGTACCTTGCTCATTGACCTGTAAATCTACCCGTGGAGTAAAGTTACCTCTGAATTAATCCTTAGATTTACCCTAGGTAAGCATACAGGTCTACACGCGGAGATAACCATTGAGTTATATGACATTAACAGTATAGTATCCCGTGAATTTACCGAGTTTTACGCTGGCATAGAGCAGTATCACCAGTCCCAAGATTGACACAGTTGCGTGACTCTGTCCTCTATGAAGAAACATTGAACATTAAACTTGTGTTTGTTCAGATCCAGTTTGGTTGGCGTGCCGTTTAGCTCCGCTAGATCAAGGAATGTACCAACCCGCTTATCTGGGGTTAAAAATAACTTGCCTTCAGGTACACATGAACACCTTTTCATCAAAAGAAAATATCACATAATTGGATGGGGTAATTTTTTTAAATAACTATCTTGACAAGGGCGTAGCTGGGGTGTGTCGAACCCTTGACACTGAGCGAAAAACACGGCAGACCGACATTAAAAAACAAATAACGGCTACTCAACGCATTCACATACAGTAACGTATTATCTCTAGTGCTAACTTAAGCCTTAATCCAGTGGTAATGTTAACGATTTAATCCAAAGCAATATTAAAACCATTTTTACCGTAGCAAGCGATTAAGTCAGTAGGCAACTTCCCCATCAACAGTAAAAAAAAAACTTTTCGCCAAGGTTAAACCTTAACCTAAAATCTAAACAAAAACATCGATACCAGCTAGCAAAAATTATCAGTACTGATTGTCAAAATTTCGATACCGGCTGACAAAATATCAATATCGTTGATAACTGATGACAAAACAGCGATACCAGCTGGCAAAACATCGATACCGACTGGCATTACAGCGATACCAGCTGGCAAAACATCGATACGATACTGATTGTTTAGCTGGTGTTTCAATTAGAACCGAGTATGAAATAACATCACAAGTACACCATTCTGATGGTGCAGGTTCGAATCCCGGTTCAGCTAGATCCTAGCCAGGGTTTGGTTCTGGGCCACACGGTTTGAGGTGGGGGGTGTACAGCCGGGTTGTCAGTAATATAAATCTTGCACACAAGTCGATATATTAAACAAAATCAATAGCATTCACAAATCGATAGGCGACGATACGCGTATTTCAGCGTATCCTGGTTTGATACGTTCAGTACTGTCGACCATCGCCGTGTGTAAGTAGTGTCGTGTAGAGTGAATTACTAGGTTACAATGTCTAATACTCTAATGGTGCATGCTGGGATGTATGTGATGGTGTGTCATTGGTATTCTTAATGTAAAAATTAAATCTATTTTAACACGATTTTACGAATATTAAACCAATTTGAAAACAAATTTATAGTGTAAATTTAATTTTTTTTTCTATGTGTACGCGCCTTTGCATGTGTGTTGTGCGTATGGAGTGTGTATTATTGCGTATGTGTATGCATGCCTGTGTGTATGTGTATGTCAACGTGCATTAGTTTCCATTCATTGTTCACCCCAAAATCAGAGTTTCTTTCAGGCATCTATCTATTGGGGGGGGGGGGCACATCAAAATCGTCACTCCCCGAACTAAACAGAATTTACATTTAAAAATGTATACTTTTACTAATGCCTCCACCTCCCTTGAAAATTTAGCCCCCCCCCTACCCCGATAAAGTTTTACATGCCCCCCCCCCCCCACCTCGGAGAAAAAAAGACTGAAAGAAACACTGCCGAAAATGAATTTAAATCAGCCAGTTTGTGAAAGCACGCGAAGACTGAGTGACGTGCTGTCCTGATTGCGAAAACTCCATTGAGCGACAGAGGGCGCCTCTCTTGAGTGCTACCCACAACCATTGAATGGTATACTGCTTACGCTGTGTTTACCCGTCAAATTAGTCAACGACACACCAGTAGGTCTACACACCGGAAATAGAAACAATTTTTACAGAAAATGGAAGACCCAACATCGTGTTTGACGCCTCTTGAAGCAACACAAATCAACTTTCTCAAATCGGTCTTGATGCAGTTTAAGCCACTGAGAAAGAAATGATACTTTTAACAGTAGTGTTACTTTCAGACATCTCTCACCTCGGCCCCCCCCCCCTCCTTGGACAAAATATAATTTACATAGAAAATATATACCCACCCCCTCGAAACATTTACCCCCCCCCCCCCACACACACACAAGTTTCAAGTGCCCCCATCCTCCAAAGAAAAAAGTATGAAAGAAACACTGTTTAACAGACAGCTTTGTGAAGGAGGTTAGCAGCTAGATTTAATTTGTAAAGTAAAAGTAAGCTCCCCTTCCAAGCAAGTGAAGTAGAGTTCACCTGTTTCTGTGACCTCGGCATACGAAGGGATAGTGTACTTAGCACTTTGTCCAGCCGCCTTTGTTTTCCCTAACGTGAGTTAGGTACCTATCAGAGCTGGGTGGACTACTGACTTGAAACCGATTCGAACTCGAGACATTTTAAATTCCACCAGCTTCTGCAGTTATTAAATCAGATTAAAGTTGTCATACAGCTAGTATCGTAACTAGAGATGACGCTACGTTACAGGGAACCAAGCTATGCCCGATTTTTTTTTATAAATAACAGCCAAACTTAGATTTAATATTCAGCATAAAAAATTAAACACATAACGAAATAATTTTTTAAATAAATATTTTATTATATAAATTAAAAAAAAAACGACATAGATATCTAATGCTGAAGTAAGATGGTCAGATATCACACAAATCGAACTACTACCACCATGGCCAATAACCAGAACACCGACAAACATTTGGCCAACCCTGCGCTGTCTCCTTGGCCATCAAATGTCACTCCTGTCTTCACAATCAGGCCAGCGGCCTCCAGGTTTTGCTGGTAATGATTAGAAATGGGAGGTTAAACTGTGGGAGGTTGAACTGGGGAGGTTGAACTGGGGAGGTTAAACTGTGGGAGGTTGAACTGGGGAGGTTGAACTGTGGGAGGTTAAACTGTGGGAGGTTAAACTGGAAAGGTTGAACTTGGGAGGTTAAACTGGGGAGGTTGAACTAAAGTGGGGAGATTAAACTGTATGCAGTTTTAAAGTTTGGAAAAGTTAAATGTGGCAGGTTAAGTGTGGAAGGTTAAATTGGTGTGTGTGTGGGGGGGGGGGGGGGAGGGGGGAAGCGAGTTATATTGGGGTGGGTTGATTTATAGGGAAGTTTTGTATATGGGTTTTGGGGAATTTGCATACACATGCTAAATCTATTTTTACCCCCATAAAAACAAAATATTAATTTATTTAGGTGAGTACTAAAATATTTTTTGTAATATTTTTTTTTCTGGTGATTTTCATGAAATAAATGATGTTATTTCTGTGTGTCTTGTTGTACATATTATCGCGCCCACTTACCACATTGAAGAAGTCCATGAACTCCTGCTTTGTTACGGTGTTGTCGTCTGCAACGGTGAAAAACATAATTATCTCCCTTTATAAATATTCAACATTTTACAATAAATGGGCGTTCATGTTTATTTGTTGGCACAAAAATGAAAATAATGGAATGAAATAAATGCGACCACTTTTAGTTTTTGCATACAATTTATAAAAAAAAAACAATTCCATTTCAAATGGACAATAAACGTTTTTCCAAATATGCAAAATCTCTCATCCAGCCTTAATAACAACGATTTGCAACACACTATAATTGACGTATCTTGCAACAAGCTTATGTAAAAAATATATGTATCAGGTAAATGATATTGATTTTCTTCTAAGTAAGTTAATTCAAGTTAAGCGAAACTTACTGTTGTCGTCTGCCAACTTCAGCAGGAAGTCCGAGTCTACGTCTGCCCACGTGATGTCACGATACGCAAACACCACGTCATACAATTTGTTCGCCGTCACGGAATGCTGGCTGTATGACGTCATGTGATTGACGAAGTAACACCGCCTGACGCCGTAGTCGTCTAAAAATAGAATAAGTTTTTGAAATATGTTAATTATACGTTGGGTGAATTTCCTGCCAAAGTAAATGTAGTTTTTTTTTTTTTTAAATGCAATAGTTTATAATTATGAAATAAAAAACGCAGAACAATTAACAAATTACAGCAAGTTTGATTTTGGGAAAATATATCTAATAGCTGACTAAGCAGTTATTGTTAAAATATTTTATGGATTTACGTTTTTCGATAAGAAAGTCAGGTAACTGTTTGAGGGTCATTTATAAATGACCTCACACTTTAAAGGGGTATGAATTTTGTGACAATGGTGAGCGGGTTAACATTTTTTTTAATTTAAAAAAAGACTATTTTTGTAAATTGTTTTCAAAATCGATTAAGGGGTCAAATATTGATTCGTATTTGATACAATCAGTTAATACTTTTGAAAAAAAACTTTTTAGCTTGGTTATTTCTCCTTACAGATATAACACAAATAAGGTCCTATTTTAGAGTGGAGGTAGTGTGACGTCATTGTAGGGGGCCTGACTTTTAGTGACAGTGGGGTGGGGAATGGTCCAAAAGGCATGGCGTCGCTCATCGACGATTTTTAATTTTTTTTTGTACATGTCTTATTACGTCATACACACAATACGATGCAGAAACTGGACCTTACAATGTTTATCCATTTTTCTCATTGCAGACGACACCTCCAGACGATCGATGACGTCATTTCCGTCAGCGTTAAAGTATTTGACCAGATTTTCCAGTTGAAAGTCGGTGTACTTGTACCAGTGGGGCCTGTTAGAGGAGATTAATTCAGCAGGACTGAGCACAGAACGAATACAAAAACAACACAGTCAAGTTTTTGTGACCACATCTCTTTTAATAACACTGTCCAGTGATTTTTGAATATTCAAACTACCAAAACGCCGAGACATCTTAAGTATCAACGAGATAACCCACATGTCAAACCCACAACCTAAATATCAACTCCACTATTAAAACATCAACGAGAGAGTCACAAGCTTGTATAGACGACAAAAAACAAAAACAAAAAAACCCACCCAAAAATAAAAAGATCTATTGAACGCTTACTTGTTTGTGTACTTGTAAGGGGCTGCTAAAACCAGGTCAACTTGACCCTCCAGCTAAAAATAGAAGGATGTGATCACATGATTCATCCACAAGACTTGGTTGTAACACATCAACAAAAACCGTATTTAGTCCAGTCCAAGGCATTTCTATAAATAATTTTATCTACGAAATAGATGTACTTTTTAATAACGCGGTATGTTCGTTGCCTTACAATTCCTCACAAAATTATTAGTTTATATCAATACACGTAGAGCCTACATGACACTGTAATGATTATTCAAGATGTGTAAGTTTTCCCTTACCTCCGATATCTTGTTCCTTACATCTGCAACAGTGCCACCTACAAATAAAAATGTTGTTTAAACTTAGTGGCGAAACTAAAAACAGCAGCATGTAAACATTCCCTTCAAACACTCCTGATTTTAGTCGATTTTATTTCAGTTAGACGAGCTTAATTGGTGTGATGATGGCTAGATAACATGAGAACCACTGACATTAAATCCAAACATACCCAAAATTTGAGATCTATTGAATAAAGGGAACAATATTTTCTTCGCTTGGTGTGTGTGAGGGAAAGATGGATGGGGGGTAAGTGTTGAAACTAAACAGGTTGGTGATGGTGGGGGTGTAGCTGTGGGGGTGGGGCGGGGCTCACCTTGTAAGGCTGATGTCCACTGGGAGGTGGGGGGTGTGGCTGTGAGGGGTGGGGCGGGGCTCACCTTGTAAGGCTGATGTCCACTAGGAGGAGGGGGTGTAGCTGTAAGGGGTGGGGCGGGGCTCACCTTGTAAGGCTGATGTCCACTGGCAGGTGGGGGTGTGGCTGTGAGGGGCGGGGCTCACCTTGTAAGGCTGATGTCCACTGGGAGGTGGGGGGTGTAGCTGTGGGATGGGGCGGGGCTCACCTTGTAAGGCTGATGTCAACTGGGAGGTGGGGGTGTAGCTGTGGGATGGGGCGGGGCTCACCTTGTAAGGCTGATGTCAACTGGGAGGTGGGGGGTGTAGCTGTGGGATGGGGCGGGGCTCACCTTGTAAGGCTGATGTCAACTGGGAGGTGGGGGGTGTAGCTGTGGGATGGGGCGGGGCTCACCTTGTAAGGCTGATGTCCACTGGGAGGTGGGGGGTGTAGCTGTGGGATGGGGCGGGGCTCACCTTGTAAGGCTGATGTCCACTGGGAGGTGGGGGGTGTAGCTGTGGGATGGGGCGGGGCTCACCTTGTAAGGCTGATGTCAACTGGGAGGTGGGGGGTGTAGCTGTGGGATGGGGCGGGGCTCACCTTGTAAGGCTGATGTCCACTGGGAGGTGGGGGGTGTAGCTGTGGGATGGGGCGGGGCTCACCTTGTAAGTCTGATGTCCACTGGGAGGTGGGGGTGTGGCTGTGGGATGGGGCGGGGCTCACATTGTAAGGCTGATGTCCACTGGGAGGTGGGGGTGTGACTGTGAGGGGTGGGGCGGGGCTCACCTTGTAAGGCTGATGTCCACTGGCAGGTGGGGGTGTAGCTGTGGGATGGGGCGGGGCTCACATTGTAAGGCTGATGTCCACTGGCAGGTGGGGGTGTGGCTGTGGGGGCGGGGCTCACCTTGTAAGGCTGATGTCCACTGGCAGGTGGGGGTGTGGCTGTGGGATGGGGCGGGGCTCACCTTGTAAGGCTGATGTCCACTGGCAGGTGGGGGTGTGGCTGTGAGGGGCGGGGCTCACCTTGTAAGGCTGATGTCCACTGGGAGGTGGGGGTGTGGCTGTGAGGGGCGGGACTCACCTTGTAAGGCTGATGTCCACTGGCAGGTGGGGGTGTAGCTGTGGGATGGGGCGGGGCTCACATTGTAAGGCTGATGTCCACTGGCAGGTGGGGGTGTGGCTGTGGGGGCGGGGCTCACCTTGTAAGGCTGATGTCCACTGGGAGGTGGGGGTGTGGCTGTGGGATGGGGCGGGGCTCACATTGTAAGGCTGATGTCCACTGGGAGGTGGGGGTGTGACTGTGAGGGGTGGGGCGGGGCTCACCTTGTAAGGCTGATGTCCACTGGCAGGTGGGGGTGTAGCTGTGGGATGGGGCGGGGCTCACATTGTAAGGCTGATGTCCACTGGCAGGTGGGGGTGTGGCTGTGGGGGCGGGGCTCACCTTGTAAGGCTGATGTCCACTGGCAGGTGGGGGTGTGGCTGTGGGATGGGGCGGGGCTCACCTTGTAAGGCTGATGTCCACTGGCAGGTGGGGGTGTGGCTGTGAGGGGCGGGGCTCACCTTGTAAGGCTGATGTCCACTGGGAGGTGGGGGTGTGGCTGTGAGGGGCGGGGCTCACCTTGTAAGGCTGATGTCCACTGGCAGGTGGGGGTGTAGCTGTGGGATGGGGCGGGGCTCACATTGTAAGGCTGATGTCCACTGGCAGGTGGGGGTGTGGCTGTGGGGGCGGGGCTCACCTTGTAAGGCTGATGTCCACTGGCAGGTGGGGGTGTGGCTGTGGGGGCGGGGCTCACCTTGTAAGGCTGATGTCTACTGGCAGGTGGGGGTGTGGCTGTGGGGGTGGGGCGGGGCTCACCTTGTAAGCCTGATGTCCACTCGGGTGTATAGCTGTGAGGAGTGGGGCGGAGCGGGTCTCACCTTGTAAGGCTGATGTCCACTCGGGTGTATAGCTGTGAGGGGTGGGGCGGGGCGGGGCTCACCTTGTAAGGCTGATGTCCACTGGGAGGTGGGGTGTGTTGCTGTGAGGGGCGGGGCTCATCTTGTAAGGCTGATGTCCACTGGGAGGGGTGGGGCGGGGCTCACCTTGTAAGGCTGATGTCCACTAGGAGGAGGGGGTGTAGCTGTAAGGGGTGGGGCGGGGCTCACCTTGTAAGGCTGATGTCCACTAGGAGGAGGGGGTGTAGCTGTAAGGGGTGGGGCGGGGCTCACCTTGTAAGGCTGATGTCCACTAGGAGGAGGGGGTGTAGCTGTAAGGGGTGGGGCGGGGCTCACCTTGTAAGGCTGATGTCCACTAGGAGGAGGGGGTGTAGCTGTAAGGGGTGGGGCGGGGCTCACCTTGTAAGGCTGATGTCCACTAGGAGGAGGGGGTGTAGCTGTAAGGGGTGGGGCGGGGCTCACCTTGTAAGGCTGATGTCCACTGAGGGGGTGTAGCTGTGAGGGGCGGGGCTCACCTTGTAAGGCTGACGTCCACTCAGACTTTGCCAGACTGTCACCGTCAGCTTGCTGCATGACGTCAAACAGCACGGACACACGGGTGGCGTTTCCAGCGTACTGGCTGACCATCTGGTCGATGAACTCACACCTGCTCACGTTCTCTTGACCTAGACGAGGGTCAAGGACGTTTATAAGTCGTCAGTCTGATGATTTGATACACTAGCCCATTCAAAGACTGACGCCCTAGATCTCTCTACACCTAACCACCCCAGACCTACCCCCCCCCCCCCCCAGACATTACCACCCCGAGACTACACCACCTCCAAACCTCAAAATCCATACCTCACCACACCCGACCTCACCTCACCCATACCTCACCACCCCCACACGTCTACCCACAGCCCACCCCCACACCTCGCACCTTACCTGAGATCTTCAAGAAGAAGTTGTCCAGTTCTGCAGACGTGATGACGGTGCCATTTCTGTCTGAGTTTATGGCACTGAGAAGTCTGTCTGTGTTAAATGTCTGGCACCAACAGGAGCTAGTGGAGAGGAACACATCTATGTTACATGTACACAGCATTGAGGCATCAATGTTACATGTTTACAGGCAGTTAGACATCAATGTTACATGTACACAGGCATTGGGGCATCAATGTTACATGTATACAGGCATTATGGCATCTATGTTACATGTACACAGGCATTGGGGCATCAATGTTACATGTATACAGGCATTATGGCATCTATGTTACATGTACACAGGTATTGGGGCATCAATGTTACATGTATACAGGCATTATGGCATCTATGTTACATGTACACAGGCATTGGGGCATCAATGTTACATGTATACAGGCATTATGGCATCTATGTTACATGTACACAGGCATTGGGGCATCAATGTTACATGTATACAGTATTAGGGCATCAACACTGTTACATATTCACATCAAGGTACAATCACATGAATAACACTGTTACATATTCACATCAAGGTACAATCACATATACAACACTGTTACATATCCACATCAAGGTACAATCACATATACAACACTGTTATATATTCATATCAAGGTACAAGCACCTGTACAACACTGTTATATATTCATATCAAGGTACAACCACATGTACAACACTGTTACATATCCACATCAAGGTACAATCACATATACAACACTGTTATATATTCATTTCAAGGCACAATCACATGTACAACACTGTTACATATCCACATCAAGGTACAATCACATATACAACACTGTTATATATTCATATCAAGGTACAAGCACCTGTACAACACTGTTATATATTCATATCAAGGTACAACCACATGTACAACACTGTTATATATTCATATCAAGGTACAAGCACCTGTACAACACTGTTATATATTCATATCAAGGTACAACCACCTGTACAACACTGTTATATATTCATATCAAGGTACAATCACATGTACAACACTGTTACATCAATGCTCTCCTCCATACAGCCATGAGGTGTCCCAACATCAATGTCATTCATGTACAGCCATCTTTACATAAAAGCTACAACTAGACATCAGTGTTCAAATAAAGATAGGCGTTATATAGTAGACCGTGAGTACACGTTTACATGACAAAGACAGCTGGACATAGTGATGACCAAACTATCCCCACATATGCCGTCAGAGAAACAGATAAGCTCTACTTCAACTGCCCGATGGACCGTCTTGGTCTGGAATCCTGGAAATATTGTGACTTTCAGGCACTACCAGCTAGCAATTTTACAACATAGTTTTAACCACCACCACTTCCCCACTCAAGAAATAACAATTTAAAATCACACACACACATACACACACACCTACCTCCATACGCTTACGCACCTAAACACGCAAAGACACAAAAATATTAGGCCCTTGTCTTAAAGGGTTGAGAAAAATTTACAGTAACAAAAATTTGGTAGTAGTTGTAATTTTTTGCGTAGTTTAATCAGACGGAATTTCTGGTTAGACAGAGCGTTTGACAAAAAATAATTAGTTACTAAAGCTAATTAAAATTGTAAAAAATGTAGTTAAAGACTAGGCACACCAGACTATTCCAATGAACTAGTGAAAATCTGATAATTATTTCATTTTTTAAATCCTTCCTCAAAGAATAAAACTGTAATGAATCACTCAAGAATCATCTATGTCGTGTTGCACATTAAAAATAGAATCCTGCCAATTCTAGATTGATAAAATATGAGATGACCTTTTTATAGACAAATCTGACTTAAGAATATTTCTTGAAACCTCAAGATTTGTGTCCAGATTTAGTGTCATTATTGTCAAAGATTTGTGTCCAGATTTAGTGTCATTATTGTCAAAGATTTGTGTCCAGATTTAGTGTTGTTATAGTCTAAGATTTATGTCCAGATTTAGTGTCGTTATTGTCTAAGATTTGTGTCCAGATTTAGTGTCAGTGTTGTCTAAGATTTGTGTCCAGATTTAGTGTCAGTGTTGTCTAAGATTTGTGTCCAGATTTACCTGATGTAAGCTGTAAAAATAACTGCCACTGTGTAAAGTTGCCAGATCATTTTCTAACGTTCAACTCGTTTGGCTGCCTTCTAATAATAACTGTCAGAAAGTTAAATTTTTGTATATGAACTGCATGAAACAAATCATAAACTAAATAATGCAACAGCTTAAAAATCATCACAGGAACTAATTCCTCCCACCCTACGTCATCATAACCTTCTGTAGTGACCCCACCCACCCCCCCCCACACACACACCTACTCCTGCCCTCTCCCCACAAACCACACAACCTACACACGCCACACCTTGATACGGTACCCGTCTTACCTGTCAATCGGGTACCTGGTATATTGACACAGATTACGTCAATAACACCGAGATCCCATTAACACCGAATCTCATTTCACAGCAGCACTTTCAACCTAACTTGTCTAAAGCAGGGTTTCTTTCAGACATTGGGGGGGGGGGTGTGGTTAAAGTCTATATTTTCTATGTAAAATATCCCCGCCCTACCCCACCCATGTAAGATGCCTGCTAGAAACAGTTCAGACATTCTCAAATATTTTCAGTTTCAGACTTTTAAGCTGTTCCGCTTTTTCAAAATTAAATATATATATATATATATATATATATATATTCTTAAAAATATTATACATATATTTAAGTTCCCCCGATAGTTTAAAAGATCACCCCGGTGATTAAAAATGTTCATTCAGGCGTTTGAATTATGTTTTTGATGTGTTAAAACCACCAGAACTCACAATTTAAACGTCTTCTACTTTAACCCATGTGTTAAAAACGAAACCCCAAATTGCTATTTTTAATGAAACATTACTTACATTTTCTTAGTATCCCCTCACAAAGTAAACGAATTCTTTAAAATTACAAATGAACCAAATTTGTCTTAAAGAATCCCACGAATTCAGCCATTCTAGAGGAAACTAACCTGCCGCACACAAAGTAAAAGTTGTCTAGCCTCGATTATAGCTTTCTTTTACTGATCCAATAAACAGCTATTGAATTCTCCAGTTCAATGGCTTTTCAATGGGCAGATAAAAATAGAAAACGAGTAATGCGCATGGGCGTGAAGTGTTAGCACGTTTATTTCAAAGACGTTTTCATTGAGTTCTTTCACTTATCTAGCCGTGCATGATTGCAAGTGTTAGTGCCCGTTTTGCATGTCTGATTATGTGTCTGTCTGCGTGTGTCTGTCTGTATGTCTGTCTTTCTCTTTATCCATGTGTTTCTCTGTACTTGTGTATCTGCGTCTATGTCTGTTCTTGTATACGTCTGTGTCTCTGCGTGTTTGTGTTTGTCTTTCTATGTGTCTTCTGTATTTGTGTGTCTGCGTCTCTGTCTGTTTTAGTCTGTTCTTGTATAAGTTTGTGTCTCTGTGTGTATGCGTCTGTCTTTCTATGTGTCTCTCTTTTTGTCTGCCTCTGTCTCTCTGTCTGTAATCCCAGAAAATATATTCTCTTCCTATACTCAATGATCAATATGTCCCAAACAGGTTTAAGCTACTAACTCACCTGTGCTTAATGAAATCTTGATGTAAATATATTCTAATACAAGCATATCCTAATGTAAGCATATCCATATATAAGCGTATCCTAATGTACGCAGACCCTAAAGTAAGCACATCATTATTTAGCATTCCCAAATCAAAATTCAGAAAAAACAACACTTTGAATAAATCTATTTAAAAACCTTCAACATACTGACAAATTACTGTTCTTGCACATAAAAAAATCATATGTAACAATATTTACATATTTACCAGAAGACGAGTTTCTTTGAGATTAAGACACTATACATGCCCACATACAGTGATAAAAATTGGACACAAGAACATACACATGTAAGTGTGGACACGCCTAAATGAACACACATAAAACAGTGGACACACCTACACACATATAACAGTGGACACAGCTAAATGAAGACACATGTAACAGTGGACACACTTAAATGAACACACATAAAACAGTGGACACACCTACACACATATAACAGTGGACACAGCTAAATGAAGACACATGTAACAGTGGACACACCTAAATGAACACTCATATAACAGCGGACACACCTACACACATATAACAGTAGACACACCTAAATGAACACGCTACTTTATGCTAATTCGTCTCCCTAACGCAGAAAGCCAATGGTGTACTTGACATGTGACATGTTTTGGTGCACGGGTGCACTAATGCACCTTACGATGAAAAGAATCCCCCCTTACGCCCTACCCACCCCTCGTGTTTACACTTCTCCATTCTGTGGCCGGCGTAAAGGGACGGGCCAGGGGGCCCCCACTGCACACAAGGTAAACTAACGAATTTTTCATATTGATTTATTGACGCAAAGTAAAGCTCTACTCTATAGAGTTTGGTGAATGATCGGGTGTTGCGTTGTAGTGAATGTTTTTATTATTATTATTTTTGTTACAGTAGAACTCAAATGTTGCTGGTGAAATCGAGATTTTCGCAAATCTCGAGGTTTTACACCTTCCTGAGTAGGAAAAACAGTTTTTCAATTTTGTTCGTATGTCTGTGTGTATGTGTATGTCTGTGGACCCGTTAACTTGAGTACCGTTATAGCTAGGTTAATGAGATTTTATGTATAAGTAATATATCAAATTTTTAGTTCTGTATCAACTTTTCAGTAATTTCCGGTAACCGGAAGTGAAATTTATTCTACTTTCAATTTTCAAAAGCTTATAACTCGAGTACTATTTTTCATAGATAAATAAAATTTCACACGTAAGAAACAGATATCATTCTCTGCATTTTATCAAATTTTTAGTAATTTTCGTTGACTGGAAGTAATAATTTACGCTATTTCCGATTTGTCAAAACCGAATATGAATTTATAAAGTACTAATATTCCGCACTTCTCTACAGAAAGTTTAGGGGAGATCACTACCGCTTTATTTCTTCATATTTTCCGCCGTGTTGTTCACATTTTCCCCCATTCACTAGATCGAGTGAAAAACTATCTTTCTGATTCTGTTCAAGTGTTAGAACTGTCATCCTATGTCTGCCTGCTAACGGTGAGTGTATCAAACCGGTTTTATAAATTAACATATTAGCATTCGCTTATGTCACTTCGTGTCAACGACCAGAAGTAACATGACACCATTCATAAGGGAGTTTTATAAAACAGTCACATGGATATATATATATATATATATATATATATATATATATATATATATATATATATATATATATATATATATATATATAGTGCCTGGATTTATAGGATACTACATACTTTGTATATCCATCTTAAAAATAATAGAAAAATGTTGTCAGTTGCGTCACAAGGTCGAGTGTTACCCTACAAGTTAACCAAAGGTGTCACCCGATCGCCCTTTCGGTGGGGTGTCACCCCTCTCTGACTTATCTTTTATTATATTTGCTGGATATAACACAGTTTTGACAGTAAATTTTACAATGCTTTGTCATGATGTCATCCGATGAGGACCGCACATCTTCCCCCACTTTGTAACGCTACTGTGTTTGGTTACGTAAAAAAAAAAGTGTAAGCTTGTAACATTTTACAAAACTACGGGGTAGTATGCCAACATAATAACATAGTAGAAATACATAATCAGGGTGTATAAAATACATAATGTACATAATATTTATATTTTTGAAAACCCTCCATCTTAAATAACATTTGATTCCTTCGTTTAACTCCATTGTAGCCTTACAGCTGACGGAGGGGCCCATTGATAATTTTTGCATATGTGCCCGAAAATCCTAGCTACGCCACTGTCTGGTGTATACAGTTTGCTAATGACGGGGTTTTCAAAGTATTGTACTTGTTTGGTAAGTTTTGACGAATCTGTCACTGTTACGCTTTCGTTAGTATAAACTATCGAAGTGTTAAAAGTGTCGTCCTTTTTTTGGCTGTTCTGTAGTTGTAGGTTTAGTGGAATCTGATTGGTTGTAGAGAAATGAGAATGTAGATGATGAGGTATCGTAGTTCTGGAGTTCGGGAATATTAATTCTTGTGGTATTAAGGTATTGAATTGTGTTGACTGTTAACGTGTAGTAGTAGGTCCAGTGAAATCGTTTGTAAAGCTTGGTGAAGTTAAGCGAGTTGGTGTCGTAGTTCTAGAGCATCGAGTGTAGTTATATTTAGGTATCGAATACTGTGAATTTAGTAGAGTATATCGAGTAGTTGAGTTTATCGTAAGTTAGATGATTTCAATTCAGGACGGAACACACTACAAAGAAATGTAGGCGTTTTCTACTGAAAAATCTTTAGATTTTTTAGGACTCTATATTACCACTATAATATTATATAGGTTGGAATTTATAACTAACCGTAAACTTTGTTTTTTTTTTCAAATTATAATTTTTTGTACATTTAATCAATAATTATAGCAATGTATTAGACTAGACAGTTGCCCGAATTTGATACTTTTGGAAACTGTCCCTTTGTTTAAGGGATCCAAAATTTATTAATAACATATTTTTGCAAACTACAATTAATTATGTGGATGTCATCAAATTTTACTAGAAGTATGTTATAATAAAGCTACCGTGTTCAGATTTTCAAACTAAACCTACAGTTAAGTTGTCAATTGATAAAATATATTCTTTTGCCACGGTTACATTGCTAATATAAAAGATTTTATAATTATTATTTAATGAAATTTAGATAATTTAATTATGTTTTTCAAGTATGTCTTAGTTACACTTGGTTAATTTAGCTATTTTTAAAAACGTTATATCCCTTGAAAAGATTTTGGTACTTAAATTTCCAAATGGGAGATAATTCATCCATTTCAAATTCCTGCACCTTAGGTTGACAACTTACATATAAATACAACTTTAAGTTACTATTTACTATTGTAACAATTATATAGAGCAGAAGTTCTAAACAAAATAGTTTGTTAGTTATTTTTTTTTAGCATTATCCAGTTGAAAAACAAATACATCAGTAGGCGTTTTAGGTTGCAATAATTAATGTTAGTATGAAATAGTACAACAAATGCGTCTAAAATCGTCTTAGTCGCATACTAATCATCGAATTGATTGTCTTTTAATTTTTTTCTACCTCTCCTAAAGGATTTATATATAACATTTGTAGGCTGGAATCTATAACATTTTTAACCTTTTTATTTTCCAAAAACAAAAACAAATCGTTACACAATCTCACTATATAGACATTTTACAATTATAACTAAAGACAGTCAAGCGTAAAACAGGTAAGTTCCGTTCTGGAACTCACCTTGGGAGGTCTGCAGAGAGCCCAACACTACAAGAATTGTTTTTTTTCCAGTGTTTTTTCCCCAGACTTTTTCTCCCGGGAGGGGGGGGGGGAAGGAGAAACATTTGAAATTTCCTATGGGGGGGGGGGGGGCTATGTCTGTAAGTACAAAGTAGACTCGTGGACAATTTCAATAGAATGTGATTACGCTTGCAAACTGGAATTGAAGGAATTAGTGCAAACTTTTGCGACGAAGGAGGCAAGAATAATTTGATTTTGATGTCTACTTATAGCGTTTATGCAATTGATAATAAAATGATATGTCACTTTTAATAAATTGTTTTTTTTCTTATACCTATGTTTTATTAATAAATCTGCGTGAAAGGGGGCGTTTTAATAAGTTTTGCCTAGGTCGCTTAATAACCTGGTGCCGGCACTGCCCACGCTTTTCTATATAGTTATTTAAATGGTAGAGCATTTTAATATATTTAAAGAAAATCGTTTATTTTCTCCTTTTTAGTTCATTATTACATACAAGCTTGTTATTAAAACGTTTTTTACAAGCTTTTATTTAATTTGCTTCCTCTGTCTGTCGACAGTCTACTGTCGATGGTCTGCTGTCGTCAGTTTGTCTAGATCGAAGCGCTCGAGCGAAATTTCGAGTACTTCTAACTGACATATTCTTTTCAAAGTTGGCTCGTGGTTCAAGACATGAAGACGATGCAATCTGATATTAAATTTGACTCAGTTGAATGCCTAATTAATTTTATGAATTAATTAAAATTTTGTCCAAATTAGTAGGCTGTCTTATCCAACTATTCCGCATTATTATACGCGCGTTCATTAGGTGCGCAATGGTTTTTAGTCATGCAGCTCCATAGTACTCCCTCTTCCTAAATATTAGTAAAGGTATCTAAAATAGTATAAAGTGACCCACGCTTTTCTTTATAGTTATTTAAATGGTAGTGTATTATTAAATATTTAAAGAAAATAATTTATTTTCTACTTTTTAGTGCATTATTACGTAAAAGCTTGTTATTAAAACGTTTTTTTTAATGAATTTTTAAAATGCAATAAATATTTTTATTTACAACAGAGTTGCATAAATTAAATAAAAGCTATTGCGCACCAAATGAACATGAAAATGCGCATATAATAGTGCGGCAAGAGTAGTACGTGACTTCTTGCTAATTTTAGAAAATTTTAATTTATTCATACAAAATTAATCAGTCATCTAATTAAATTAAGTCAAATTTTATGTCGTATTGCGCATTGTCTTTTAGTCTTGACCCACGTGCCAACTTTGAAACGAATCTGTCAGTTAGAATTGCCTGAAATATCGCTCGCTCGATCGAAAACGACAGACTGTCGACAGAGGAAACACGTTAAATAAAACCTTGTAAAAACATCATAAAGTTTCAAGAGAATGGTCAATTTTTATCCAAAATTCTAAAAAAAAAATAATATTAAAACAAAAACAAAAAACTAAAAAAAAAACCAGACATATTTCATGATCTTTTGTTTTATTTACTTTTAGTCTAAGCTTTGTAGCTATCGTAACCAGATCTAGCTACAAATCTCTTCTTTCGTCCAAACTTTTCCGCTCCACATTTTGTGTTACCCGCTGGCCACGTCATATGCGAGGTGAGAGCAGATGCAGGCGACGGGCAGAGTCTCCGAGGTCATGTAGTACTCGATCTTGTTGTTGGCGTTACATCTCTTCCTGACGACGGTGTAGATGTGGTACAGGGGCTTGCAGACGTGCTGCTGGTAGTAGTGTATGGCGCCCGGGGGTGGGCACCGCCCACAGTTGCATCGCGCGTAATGCATGGCGATGGGGTACCTGTATATCAGACAAGGGTAGAGCTGCGGGCTTGTGTATAACATCTCACCTGTGTTTAATATCTCACCTGTGTATAACATCTTACCTGTGTTTAATATCTCACCTGTGTATAACATCTTACCTGTGTTTAATATCTCACCTGTGTATAACATCGTACCTGTGTTTAATATCTCACCTGTGTATAACATATTACCTGCGAATGACATCTTACCTGTGTGTAATATCTTACCTGTGTATAACATCTCACCTGCGAATGACATCTTACCTGTGTGTAATATCTTACCTGTGTATAACATCTCACCTGCGAATGACATCTTACCTGTGTGTAATATCTTACCTGTGTATAACATCTCACCTGCGAATGACATCTTACCTGTGTGTAATATCTTACCTGTGTATAACATCTCACCTGCGAATGACATCTTACCTGTGTGTAATATCTTACCTGTGTGTAATATCTCACCTGTGTATAAAACACCAACATAACCTGCGTATAACATCTTACCTGTTTATTACATGTGTATAGCATCAACCTATTACCTAACAACTCTCCTGTGTATATTATCTCACTTATGTAGAGCATCAACCTAACATGTGTATAACACCATGGTCAAAACTTCTCCTGGACTATTGTTTGACTCCCCTGACCCCTGAAATGTTGTCTGGCTCCCCTAGATTGTTGTCTGACTCCCCTGGACTGTTGTCTGACTCCCCTGGAATGGTGTCTGACTCTCCTGGAATGTTGCTTGACTCCCCTGGACTATTGTCTGATTCCCCTGACTCCCCTGGATTGTTGTCTGATTACCCTGGACTATCATCTGACTCCACTGACTCCCTTGGACTATTGTCTGACTCCCCTGACTCCCCTGGACTGTTACCTGACTCCCCTGTTATGTCGCTTGACTCCCCTGACTCACCTGGAATGGTGTCTGACTCCCCTGACTCACCTGTTATAGTCATAGCTGATCTGGTATGTCCACGGACACAGAGACCGGCCCTGTTGACTTCTGCCAGAGCTGAGTTCTGGGCAGGTCGAGGTCAGGTCGTGGCCGAAATAGTTGTCCTCTGGGGAGTCACAAGTTTTACTCTTAAAGGGGGATTATAAGAATCAGATCAGCAGTTAAAGGGGGACTATCAGAATCAGATCAGCAGTTAAAGGGGGACTAACAGAATCAGATCAGCAGTTAAAGGGGGACTACCAGAATCAGATCAGCAGTTAAAGGGGGACTACCAGAATCAGATTAGCAGTTAAAGGGGGGGCTACCAGAATTAGATTAGCAGTTAAAGGGGGACTATCAGAATCAGTACACAATTAAAGGGGGACTATCAGAATCAGATCAGCAGTTAAAGGGGGACTATCATAATCAGATTAGCAGTTAAAGGGGGAAGTTTTGAATCATGTACACAATTAAAAAGGGACGATCTAAATTTAAAAAAAAATTAAATCTTGTAAACTATAACTTTGAGTGACTCGTGATTACTGCCCAGCACCCCTGCTGGGGTATGGGCCGCCAACCAAGGATCTCCAGTCCTCTGTCCTGCTGGGGTATGGGCCGCCAATCAAAGATCTCCAGAGTCCTCTGTCCTGCTGGGGTATGGGCCGCCAACCAAAGATCTCCAGTCCTCTGTCCTGCTGGGATATGGGCCGCCAACCAAAGATCAGAGTCCTCTGTCCTGCTGGAGTATGGGCCGCCAAACAAAGATCACCAGAGTTCTCTGTCCTGCTGGGGTATGGGTCGCCAACCTGTGTCATTTTCTCAACCTGACTCCAGGTTTAAACCATATTTGTTGTTTCCGCTTCAAGGTCTCGTCGCCAAGTGCTCGAACTTTTTTGTGCGTTCCTAGTGGGTTCCAACTCAATCCCTGTCTGGTGATGTTGTTGGCGTAGTATGCTTTGTGGGCCCTATTCATCTTTTTTTCCTTATTTCTCGTGTCGTTTCCCGTAGGTAAATGTTGTTAACGATGTAGGGTCAGCGGATTCTGAGTATTTGTGTAAGACAGCTGTTTATAAAGGTCGGGACTACCAAAGTTGGTCTTCGTCGTCCTCCATGTCACAGCCCCATACAGCAGCATTGATTTTACACGAAGTTAAAAAGAGCACCTTGGTGGTCAAAGAAAGCGTAATGGAAACCCGGATCTAAGGGACTGAATTTTGTTGATAATTTAATGGAAACAAAGTTGTTTATCAAATAAATAGAACTTGGTGTGATTAAAATGTTTATGAATGTTCTAGTTCTGTTTGGTTACTTGCTTAATTGAACTCGGAGCTGAAGGTTATTTATATCAGTGTTTAAGTGGGGGGAAAGTTTATTGTGTGAAAGTTTCCTTGTGTGTGTTTACCTATATGAGTGTTTACTTGTGCGTGTGCTTATTTATATGAGTTGTTAATTATGTGCTTACTTAATTGTGTGAGTGGTTACTGATGTGAGTGTTAACTTGTGTGAGTGTTTACTTAATAGCGTAGTGTTTACTTGTGTATTTACTTGTGACAATCATCGTTACTAATCAGTCGGTCTAACAAGTTAACTCACGCGGTATATGAGGTATAACTCAGTATGTGAGGTATAACTCACCCTGTATGTGGGGCTTAACTTACCAGGAATTGTAAGATTGACAGCGTAGTTCAGATTGTTGGTGAAGTTGATCCACAATCTTACACTTTCGTCATTTTCTGTGCACTGTAGATATGCTGTGACGTGGCACATGTAGTGCGTCATCACCGCCAGGGTAAACAGGCAGCACAACTGACAAGTGAGAATAACAACATCAATAGAACAAACAACACAACTGGCAAGTGAGAATAACAAAAACATCAATAGAACAACACAACTGACAAGTGAGAATAACAACAACATCAATAGAACAAACAGCACAACTGACGAGTGAGAATAACAACAACATCAATAGAACAAACAGCACACCTGACAAGTGAGAATAACAACAACATCAATACAACAAAAAGCACAACTGACGAGTGAGAATAACAACAACATCAATAGAACAAACAGCACACCTGACAAGTGAGAATAACAACAACATCAATACAACAAACAGCACAACTGACAAGTGAGAATAACAACAACATCAATAGAACAGCACAACTGACAAGTGAGAACAACAACATCAATAGAACAAACAGCACAACTGACAAGTGAGAATAACAACAACATCAATAGAACAAACTGCACAACTGACAAGTGAGAATAACAACATCAATAGAACAAACAGAACAACTAACAAGTGAGAATAACAACATCAATAGAACAAACAGCACAACTGACAAGTGAGAATAACAACAACATCAATAGAACAAACAGCACAACTGACAAGTGAGAACAACAACATCAATAGAACAACACAACTGACAAGTGAGAATAACAACAACATCAATAGAACAAACAGCACAACTGACAAGTGAGAATAACAACAACATCAATAGAACAAACAGCACAACTGACAAGTGAGAATAACAACATCAATAGAACAACACAACTGACAAGTGAGAATAACAACATCAATAGAACAAACAGCACAACGGACAAGTGAGAATAACAACAACATCAATAGAACAAACAGCACAACTGGCAAGTGAGAATAACAACAACATTAATAGAACAAGCAGCACAACTGGCAAGTGAGAATAACAACATCAATAGAACAAACAGCACAACTGACAAGTTAGAATAACAACATCAATAGAACAATCCGCACAAATGACAAGTGAGAATAACAACAACATCAATAGAACAAACAGCACAACTGACAAGTTAGAATAACAACATCAATATAACAAGCAGCACAACTGACAAGTGAGAATAACAACATCAATAGAACAACACAACTGACAAGTGAGAATAACAACAACATCAATAGAACAAACAGCACAACTGACAAGTGAGAATAACAACAACATCAATAAAACAAACAGCACAACTGACAAGTGAGAATAACAACAACATCAATAGAACAAACAGCACAACTGACAAGTGAGAATAGCAACAACATCAATAGAACAAACAGCACAACTGACAAGTGAGAATAACAACATCAATATAACAAGCAGCACAACTGACAAGTGAGAATAACAACATCAATAGAACAACACAACTGACAAGTGAGAATAACAACATCAATAGAACAAACAGCACAACTGACAAGTGAGAATAACAAGAACATCAATAGAACAACACAACTGACAAGTGAGAATAACAACAACATCAATATAACAAGCAGCACAACTGACAAGTGAGAATAACAACATCAATAGAACAACACAACTGACAAGTGAGAATAACAACAACATCAATAGAACAAACAGCACAACTGACAAGTGAGAATAACAACATCAATATAACAAGCAGCACAACTGACAAGTGAGAATAACAACAACATCAATAGAAAAAACAGCACAACTGACAAGTGAGAATAACAACAACATTAATAGAACAAGCAGCACAACTGGCAAGTGAGAATAACAACATCAATAGAACAAACAGCACAACTGACAAGTGAGAATAACAACATCATCAATAGAACAACACAACTGACAAGTGAGAATAACAACAACATCAATAGAACAAACAGCACAACTGACAAGTGAGAACAACAACATCAATAGAACAACACAACTGACAAGAGAGAATAACAACATCAATAGAACAATCCGCACAACTGACGAGTGAGAATAACAACAACATCAATAGAACAAACAGCACAACTGACAAGTTAGAATAACAACATCAATAGAACAAACAGAACAACTGACAAGTTAGAATAACAACATCAATAGAACAAACAGAACAACTGACAAGTGAGAATAACAACAACATCAATAGAACAAACAGCACAACTGACAAGTGAGAATAACAACAACATCAATAGAACAAACAGCACAACTGACAAGTGAGAATAACAACAACATCAATAGAACAAACAGCAGAACTGATAAGTTAGAATAACAACATCAATAGAACAAACTGCACAACTGACAAGTGAGAATAACAACATCATCAATAGAACAAACTGCACAACTGACAAGTGAGAATAACAACAACATCAATAGAACAGGCAGCACTTACGGTCCATGTTGAATAACATCAACATCAACAAAATTAAAAACAAAAGAATTGGTGGTCTTGAAAAAATAGTGTGTTTTAAATTTTAAAGCTTCAGTTATTGCGTCACTGACGTTACATCGAGGTTATTGCGTCAGTGACGTAGCATGGAAGTTATTGCGTCAGTGACGTAGCATGGAAGTTATTGCGTCAGTGACGTAGCATGAAAGTTATTGCGTCAGTGACGTAGCATGGAAGTTATTGCGTCAGTGACGTAGCATGGAAGTTATTGCGTCAGTGACGTAGCATGGAGGTTATTGCGTCAGTGACGTAGCATGGAAGTTATTGCGTCAGTGACGTAGCATGGAGGTTATTGCGTCAGTGACGTAGCATGGAGGTTATTGCGTCAGTGACGTAGCATGGAGGTTATTGCGTCAGTGACGTAGCATGGAGGTTATTGCGTCAGTGACGTAGCATGGAGGTTATTGCGTCAGTGACGTAGCATGAAGGTTATTGTGTCAGTGACGTAGCATGGAGGTTATTGCGTCAGTGACGTAGCATGGAAGTTATTGCGTCAGTGACGTAGCATGGAGGTTATTGTGTCAGTGACGTAGCATGGAGGTTATTGCGTCAGTGACGTAGCATGAGGTAAACAACTTACAACAGCTTACAACTGCTAACCCGAACGTTTCGAGTTCGGATTCAAGGCACGAGTCTGTACGATGTCATTGAGTCCACCCAGCTGTAATGGGTGCCTGACTAACGGGGAAAAAAGGCGGCTGGGTATAATGTTGACAACACTATCTCCTCATAAGCTGAGGTTATTAAAACAGATGAAATCTACTTCATCTGTCCCATGTCTTGGGCAAGAACGGGAAAAGACGATAATGATGATGACGACGATGATGATGATGATGATGATGATGATGATGAAGATGATGATGATGATGATGATGATGATGATGATGATGATGATGATGATGATGATGATGATGATGATGATTATCATGATGATGATATCTGTTACGCGCCGGTGCTACCAACCCTTTGCACCCCGGTGCAACACAGTGCAGTTAGCCTATAGAGTGTACATCTCGTATCTTTTCTTCAGTAACTTACAAGAAAATTAAAAACCTTACCGAAGTTAAAGTCGCCATGAGTCGTGTTTCTGTCCTTCTTCACTAGCTAGTTATAAATTTTATCCCAAAAACCTCAACACATTTAATTAATTTTACTGATTAATCTAACTAATCCAAATGACAGATGTTTCAAAACAAAATGTAAAAAAAAATTAATATTAGATTGATTTCGACTAGTTAGATTAGAAATGTTCTAAACCTAACTGTAGTGAAGACATGTTGGGCTAGACTTTTATAAGGGTGTTTTAAAAGAGAAGGTTGAAATAGCCAGTGTATTTTTCGCTTGTCACGTGATACAATAAAACAACCGGAAACGCTGCTCTTTTTACCGGCAGACCCCAGGCCTCAAGATGGCCGCCTGGTTAGTCGATAACATCATCACTAAAATTATCTGCCGTTATTTTAGGTACTAAGCTCAGTAGTCTGCCCAAGTTGGACAAAATGCAGTCTACCACGTCCCATGTTTTGGGCTTTTGATAGATCGCGAAAAATTATAATTACCATGAAAATTAGACCTTCGGGTTGTCATAACATACACTCTCCATACCCATACACACACTGACACTTTCAAACGTACATTTTTGAAAATGATTAGGGATGGAATGAAAATTTCTTGCCCAGCAAACATAAACAACAAACGAAGATTTCTTTCATAGAACTTACTCGAACTCAAATATAGTTCCGTGGGGTAAGACATATGAAAAGTTGGCAGATTTAAATTAATGGGATCAAACATTTTACAGCTGGAAAATAAAGATGTGGATAAACATTATCGATAGAATTGTGGTGATGGAGTAAGAAGCAGGGGACGGTAAACTTAGGGACGTCCTGAACTAAATAATAAGGGACGACGCATGATATGCTGGAGTGTTCATTCTACATCAAAAGAAGGGGCGCAGGGTAGGACTTCATTTTTAACAGGTGTTGTGTCCATAACAGAATGATGTACTACAGACGATTTGGGTTTTCCCACGCCTTTATTTTTGGCTCTTCGCAAGCTTACCCATTTAAAAATAATCCTGCAACTCTAACCCTCTCGAAAATAAACATGTTCCTAATGGTCCTTTCTGGAAGCCAAATTCGGCATTTCGTAGGCAGCGTCTGGGTGATTCATGACGAAAAAGTGTTTCGGTAAGTGGACACTACCTGTACAAAAATAGTCGGTGCTGGCTGGTTTAGTAGCAGACAATCAGACACCAAACATCCTACACAAAATGGATGTTTCGAGAAATTTTACACTTTGCCGTAAAAAAAAAAAAAATTTCGTGGACTATTTAAGTAAAAGAAAAGTTTAAAATCAGTCTGAAAATTTTAAGCTGGCGTTCACCCTTTAAACATATTTACAAAGGTGGTCTTAAACAATGCTAATTTAGCCACTAATGGCTAGATGGTCTGTTTTTATCTGCTGATATCAACAGCAGTGGGGGAGGCGCACGCATGCACGCACACAAACATACACCGATCACACATAATTTTTTTTTTAAATCTGTGTTTCTTTCAGGCATCAGTCCGGGTGCACTGCCCCCCCCCCCCACCCTTCCCAGTTACCCATACTAACAATGGCAGCAAGATTAACCCTAACCCAAACCCCACACTATAACTGGAAGCAAGATTAACCCTAACCCAAACCTCACACCAACACTTGCAGCAAGATTAACCCTAACCCAAACCTAACATCAACACTTGCAGCAAGATTAACCCTAACCCAAACCCCACACTAACACTTGCAACAAGATTAACCCTAACCCACGCCACTGTTTCGCCTTCGCGCCCTCTCGATTGCCACGTCAGAAGAATGGACCAATGATCTTGCAGACACGACTGAGTTCACGTGACCACAAACGTGTGAGCAATAAACTTTGTTTACCCACATCCGGTCATACCCGCCGCTCTGTAGGTGATTCGTTATTGCAAAGTAATAACATCTGACCACACGGCAAGTTTATTGAACTGTGAGGAAAAACTCTGCACACGTGAGTGTTATATATTTTGTTAGGCAGTGGCGTAGGCAAGGGGGGGGGGGGTTATAACCCCTCACATGCACTCACATCCCTATATATATATATATATATATATATATATATATATATATATATATATATATATATATATATATATATATATATAATTATATTCATATGGAAAAATATTTGAACCCCTCCCATGACCAATTCCTGGCTACGCCACTGTTGTTAGCTATGGCCAGATCACAGCAGCAGACTTGATGTAATAATAATCTCGTCTTGTACGGGAGAGACACACGTGGACCGTGTTTCATTGGCTCGGGGATTTTAATCCAAGTTTTTAAATTATCACCATTAGGGGATCAGCCGCGTAGATCAATATATTTATAATTAAAATATTTATTTGTTCTCTACTGAGCGCGGCCCCCCCCCCCTTCTTCCCCGTGGGGTATCTGATGATGAGGGGTGGGGGGACTGATATTCAGTATATTGACCTTGCAATGACCCGACTACACCCAACCTCTTTATCGTTCAGCAGAATGTGACATCTTTCTTCTGCATCTTTACGGCGAAGGTCTAAAGCAAGTAGTGTTTCTTTCAGACATTTTTCTTCTGGGGGAAGGGGGTGCATTTGAAATTTTAGGAGGGGTGGGGGAACGGACGGACACTAGTTAAAGAATATATTTATTTTGGTTCGGGAGACATGCCCATAGCGTCTTGATTTTCTTGTTTTGCACGGTGCTCTTTCCACTATCAAAGGGATAAGTGGCATTTTTTCTCTTGCAGTTCCGTGGATCAACAATGACCAAACAATGTACAGTTCTAGCACTTATTCATTCAGTACAGATAAAAAATGATGAGAAAAAATAAAAGACGAAACTGATTTCGGTCTTGCCCAGCGAGTGGCGGACGCTTTTATTTGACAGACAGAACTAGTACACAGACGGTGGGGATCAACGATACAACTCTAGGTACAACAGGATATCAACACTACTACACAAGGTGGAAGTAACAAACCCGGCACAAGCATTGACTACATTTCGTCACGTGACCGTCACGTGAACGCCTGAATTTCGTCACCACGTGACTGAATATCTTATTCTCGCAATCTGTTGTGTAACTGTATAAGTATTAGTTACATTAAATCAACATTTTAGACTTACAGTTTAATATAATGATATAATTAGATACACATATGTATTCATTCAATTAAATGATATGATAACATTTTATAAATAGCATACATATATATATATATATACATATATATATATATATATATATATATATAGCCTATATATATATATATATGTAGGCCCTATATATATTTATATATATATATATATATATATATATATATATATATATATATATATATATATATATGGGCATATATATACATACATACATATACATACATACATATATGTAGGCCCAATATATTTTCATAAATATATGGGCATATATATATATATATATATATATATATATATATATATATATATATATATATATATATATATCCATATTTATATACAGACACTTTTGCATTAAGAACATACAAATTGTACATAGCTACACTAACTAGACTATCATCAACCAAACAATGTGGAAATGGAATGGGTTGAAGAATATGACCAATGTAAATACAGTCCCACACAGGGAAAATGTGATGTTTTGGGGGATGTGAAATTCCTTTAAACAAACAAACAACCATCTAGTGTTGTTATCACATACAGGTATTCTGAATTTCACATCATTAAAAAACAATGAACTTCTCCATGAATTACCAGTACTTCTCATTATCTTAATTAATTTGATTGCTTTACACTTATAACACTAAATCAGCTTTAAAAAAAAAATCAAATCTTTGAGTCAATGAACTAACCAGTCTGCAGCAGTAACAAAATTGTGGTTGAAACGTCTTCCATGGCAGTCTCTTTTCTTTCAGGCTGTCAAATTCGAAAGTCAAAAGTTTTTCTTACCCAAAAGAAAAAGAAGTTGCCACAGTTAAGTTTTAGTGGCTCCAACACTGAGCCAAAGGTTTTTGTTACTAGTTCAGTAGCTGGTCTTTTCATTATTTATTTTTTGGCCACAATTTTTTCCAGCTATTAAAGAAATATTTAGCTGCACTGTTGATTGTTTAATTGATTTAAACTTTTTAAAACTAATAAACGCATATTTTCATTCTAATATTTAAAAAAATGAGCAATAAATGAACAAACATTTCCCGCACTAGCCCCCCCCTCTCCCCTTTTTTTAAAATCACATTCTAATTCTCTCCACCAATCAAAGAGAACTTCCTGTTTCAACATCCCATAATAACAAAAATAAATTGTCATCACGTTAAACAAAAGTCAACAAAAAGAGATCACGGAGTCACAAAACAAAGTTTGATTCTAAAAATAGATTTGCCATTATCATGTACATCACAGCTCTGGTCAACATTTCCAAGAGGACTTTGTCCTGAAGAACAATGTCCTACAGGACACTGGAGGCAGACACAATTTGGTGGGAATTGAACATTTTGATATTTGATTCACTAGTACATTTTATAAATAAATTAGTTTGATCTGATGGTTTTTCCCCTCAAGAATGAGTTATGAAAGTGAAAGTTTTATGAATTTTTAAAGTTGTTTTTAACAGCTGTTAGCTGCTGAGCTAATCCAAAAGTATTTAACAGCTATACATACTTTCAGTGCTAGCAAGTATCGTTTTTTTTTTAAATCACCAAAAAAGTGAAAAAGTGATCACATAATTACAAGAGATTTTCTTTAAATAAAAAAACTTAAGTAGTATCTAACCATGTATAAATCTGAAATATAAAAAATTATTGAGGTATATCAAGGGAAATAGCCCTAAGGAGATAATACATTTTGGGATAATTCTGCAAGGGAACTATAAAACCAATGAATTTTATAATTTTCAAAGATAAAAAATATTTCTTTGAGATTTGATGTTTCTTTAAAAAAAGTTTTAGTTTAATATAAGAAAATTATCTAGGGCCAGTTAAAATTCTGTATTGATTATTTTACTCTTTAAATACTTTACAACAGTTTTAATAAAGTGAAATTTAAAGAAATCTCTTAAATTTAACATAAAAATATTACCAGGATCAACATAGAGAACTAGGCTTAAATATACACTATAAATTTGGAGTATCACTGAAACAGTGGCCAAAATACATAGCAGATGCTGTCCATATGGTGTTTTAACCTAACCAATTGAAAGAGCAAAATTGAATATATTTGTTAATGGTCACAATATTTGTCTAACAACAGCTTATCCAGCTAAAATTAGAAACTCTTGTATTTTTCTTCCTCCATACAAAAAAACATGCACAAGTTTTCAAGGGGAGAAAACTTATGTCTGCCTCCTATTAAAGACTTAAATTTTGATTTTTAGAAAACATCAAAATTAGCATATATTTATCTACAATTAAACTTTAATAAATAAGTAGACATGATTATAGTTTTTTTTTTTATAAATGCCAGTTTAAGATTTCGGTAAAAAAGGAATCTTCTCTCATTTAGGAATGTTCATATCAAAAGTAAAAATATAAAAATGTACAAAAAAATAAAATAAATGAAAGATCTTTTGATTGGCAGTGTTGAATCTTGACAAAAACCTGATTCAAAAGCTTAAAAACAATGACTAGCTGACATAAAAGATAAGAAACAATTTCAATAACTTGAACTGTTTTGGAATAGTATATGAATATATTACAAAAATTGTGTCTCATAATAAAAACTACATTAATGTTGAATTACATCACCAAGACAAATATTTAATTTGTTCTTTTATAATACGATATAATTATAAAAACAAATTTTAAAATGAACAATTTTTACAACCTGGAATTTAATTCATAACCATAACTAAAAACTTGAATGAGAAATTACTTGAATAAAATTAACCAAACCTGAACCAAAATTCACGTACAGATACAGCCCATTATTCAATCACTCTCCTTTTTTGGTGGGAATAAATAATGTATGATGCATGTTTCTAAAACCATGAACAATTTCACACACTAACTGAAGACTAAAGAAAACTTAACTCTTGACAACCTTTATTGTGCATAATTGCTTCCCTGGAATAACAGTTTATTCCCCTTTGATTTACTTATTATCAATCAATGTCTGCAGACGTGAGACCAGTTCCCTGGCAATCTTTAGAACCTGTTTGGTGTTATGGTGTTCTGCCATTTCTAAAAAAAATTAAAATATTGGTAATCCAAATTTGAATTTTAAAAAACGTTATGAAAAAATAATGAAAACAATGTTTGTTTAAAACCAAATATGAACAGTTATTTAAAAAAATATTTTTCTATTATCCCAATTTAAACTAGAACTAGACCACTAGCTCTATGTAATGACTGATGACACAGTGTAATGACCACAGATGTTATGCAATGATCACACACAATGTAATGACCACTGATGTTATGTAATGATCACTAAGTCAATGTAATGACCACACACAGCGTAATGACCACTGACACAAGGTATACTGACCATTAAAAAACTTGATGATGTCAGTAAAGTCCATGTTGTTGTCCAGTATAATGTCCCTATATACCTGCACCAGAGCCAGGGCTATAAACAAAACAAAATGGCTGGAGGTCATGTGCTTGGCCGCCCAGATAGTCTCCCATACACTGAACACATCCTCATAGATCAACTCTGAAAGAAAAACATCAAAACATTAATTTTTTTAAGCATTACTAGGGTAATGTATTGGAAAATAGCATAATAAACTTATATTTTTCATTTAAGTAATCCAAAAGTCCAAAAAGGTAGCATACTAAAATTAGTTTACATTTTTTAAAAATCTGGCACAGCTTGAGTTTAAGTTTAACCTTCGAGATATTTTTTTTAGTTATGTCCCTTAGGTCTTTGTGAATACACCATAAGTTTAAAATACACAATCCAAAAATAAGTTGTTTTTTCGGTAGGGGGGGGGTAGATTTTCTTAGGGGGGTGGGGGGGGGGGGGGGACCCTCAAAGAGATGCCTGGAAGAAACTCTGCAGTTCTATCCCTGGCTCTACCTTTCATTAACTCCTGCACAACTACACATCAGATATACATCACAGTAAACACACTGAAGACTCAAGGGAAATAATCATGATATACACCATACAAGAGATGTGATAATCACTAACAAGACATAACTAACAAAATATATTTATACGAGCCGGCCCGCGGCATAACATACGCCGCTATTTAGTTGTTTCTAATTTTCAATAATTCATAATTTGTGAATTCGACAGTACCAACGCTGACACTGAAAATATTTCTTTAAAACACTATAAGTAGCTCGTTAAGGACCATAACCCCCCCCCCCCCTTCCTTCCCTCCCTCCTCCCCCCCCCCCCCCCCCTACGTTTAAAATCGTTGGCTCTGCTTGTAAACATTTAGAGTGAACAGCTCACTAAAACCATGTAGGGGTGGGGAGGTAGGGAGAGCGTTTGCAGCTTGTTTTCTAACGGCTCGAAGAAGAGAATTATATATATAGATATTCATACATTATTAAAACAAGTGGATGTGAAAATTAAAAAACAATGTACCACACCAAAAAAAGTTTTTAAAAAAGTCACCTCTCTTAAAGTCTAATAAAAACCATCTGTAACAAAAGTAGAAATGTGTGTAGTCTCCATGTTGATGCATGTGCTCAAACAATTCACAATCTAGTATCTGCAAAAAACAATATATTAAAGTGTGAACAATTCACAATCAAGGATCTGCAAATAATATTTTAATGTGTGAACAATTCACAATCAAGAATATGCAAGCAAAATTTAAATGTGTGAATAATTCAAAATCAAGGATCTGCAAAAAAACAATATTTTAATGTGTGAACAATTCACAATCAAGAATATGCAAGCAAAATTTAAATGTGTGAATAATTCAAAATCAAGGATTTGCAAACAATATTTTAATGTGTGAACAATTCACAATCAAGGATCTGCAAACAATATTTTAATGTGTGAACAATTCACAATCAAGGATCTGCAAACAATATTTTAATGTGTGAACAATTCACAATCAAGTATCTGCAAACAATATTTTAATGTGTGAACAATTCACAATCAAGGATCTGCAAACAATATTTTAATGTGTGAACAATTCACAATCAAGGATCTGCAATCAATATTTTAATGTGATGAGCTAAATCAGAGTTTACTGTACTAAAGAATAGATCACAATGTGCCTATGCTAAAGATTAGATCTGGCTTTACTAAAGACCAGATACAAGTTTACCTATCTAAAACTAGAAAAAATTGTACCTGTACCAATCAATGACAAAAAACCCACCTGTATTAAGGACCTCATGTTGGCAAAGTGCGTGTCCATGGCGCCTCCATGAGGAAAGTTACATGACATTCTCTTCATCAGTTGACAGAAGCAACTAAATGCCAAGGATTCTGTCAAAAGGTCAAAGGTTATAGAGTAAACACATGAAAAATTATTCATAGTTTTAATTAGTCATCACTCACTGACCATCATCTTTTTGTTACAGTAACTATGACTGATAAGTATGGCAGTAACTATGACTGATTAGTATGGCAGTTACTATGACTGATCATTACGGCAGTAACTATGAATGATTAGTTTGGCAGTAACTATGAATGATTAGTTTGGCAGTAACTATGACTGATTAGTATGGCAGTAACTATGACTGACCATCATCAAATATGACCAGTAGCGGCGCCGCCAGATCACACATGCCTTGAACATAGCCAACATCCAGGTGTTGCCATACATACCTGAGGATTTATTCAGACACAAGTTATACTTAAAGGTATTTTAACCATCAGACTTACTCATGGCTCCTAGCCCCAAACTTAAATTCGTTAACCCACCCCTAGCCCCTCCCCCAAGTTATCCCTCTTAGCACACCCCCCCCCCCTCCATTTAACCACAGTTCCTACCCACAAGCTTTAATGTGTCTTTGCCCCCCCCCCCCCACCCCGATAGAACCTACGTGCACATTATGTTGCGCAGTTTGTCCAGATTCTCAGGGTTGAAGTAATGATAGTTCCTGTCACATCGCTGTACGTCCTTATCAATACGATGCAGGTTCAATGCCACACTGTCCAACAATTCAGCCTGAATTTGGGGGGGGGGGGGGGGGGGGGGGGGTGGGGAAGAGGAAAAATGTTTAGATCACCAAGCTTTGTAAAAATGTTTACAAAATACCTAAATTCAGTAGTTTAACAGCACTTTAAAAAAATTGTTAATAATATCTTTACAGTAATTTCTATTTATTTTTCGCAAGTAATAAAAGAATGTACAAACATAAGAACACATATGGGACAGCTAGCAAAGGGAGACAAACCCTTTTATTAAAGTAAAAAACTTCCAGTTATTTAGAATTTTTTTTTTTACTCAAAACTTGCAAAATTAAAAAACAATATTTGTAGGATATTGGAAATTTTGTCAAACTAAAAAAAATTGACCTACAGAGTAAATTCCACCGTTTGATGCAGGTGAAGCAGGTGACAGCAGGCTCTCACGACTGGCTGACAGGTGACGGCTGACCTCTGACAAGTTGAAAAATAGAATTAAAACAATACATTTTACATCAACAGTTTGAAACGCCTACTAATCATCCAACATACCACATAGAAGATTGCTAATCCAGGATACTCTATTAATTAATTAATTATTTAATTATTCATTAATTTATTTAACCTAGCAAGGTTCATTAATTAAATTTACTAACCCAGGTTCATAGTCCTATTCACTTCATAAATTAATTAACTTTACCTAGCCCAGGTTCATAATTGTCCATTTTATTAATTATTTAACTGTACCTAGCCCAGGATCATAGTCCTGCCCACTTTATTAATTAATTAACTTTACCTAGCCCAGGCTCATAGTCCTGTCCAATTAATTAACTTTACCTAGCCCAGGTTCATAGTCCTGCCCAATAAATTAATTAATTAATTAACTTACCTAGCCCAGGCTCATAGTCCTGTCCATTAATTAATTAACTTTACCTAACCCAGGCTCATAGTCCTGTCCATTAATTAATTAATTTTACCTAGCCCAGGTTCATAGTCCTGCCCAATTAATTAATTAATTAATTAACTTTACCTAGCCCAGGCTCATAGTTCTGTCCATTAATTAATTAATTTTACCTAGCCCAGGCTCATAGTTCTGTCCATTAATTAATTAACTTTACCTAGCCCAGGCTCATAGTCCTGCCCACTTTTTGTTTCCTGGCCCAATCTGTTGCCAGCTTCAGTCCTGCTGTCAGAGTCATCCACGGTGGAACTTGTCCTGGAGCTGACCTCTGCAATAGAGGGGTTAGCATTCTCCTCGTCCACCACGGCGCTGTCCACAGAGAGTTTGGTCGTCATGGTGATGCGGTCAGTAACGTCTGCGGGCAGGGAGCGCGGAGTCAGTGGCGTGAGGAAACCTGAGTCACCGACGGAGTCCGTCTTGGATCTGCTGGGTAGAAAACAACAAAAGCAAATAGAAGAAAAATAAATTAATTGTATTGAATCTGCTGGGTAGAAAACAACAAAGGCTAATAGAAGAAAAATAAATGAAATTAATTTTAAAAATTAGTACGGAATATAAAAAATACTGGTTATTAATTTCTAGTTTGGTCACAATTTTATTTTATAATATAATAGGAACCACTGAATTACTTTAGCTTTTGAGATGATTAATACTTTAGCTTTTAAGATTAATAATAGTATTTTAAAATTTGAATTGGTAAGTTTTATTGAAGTCATGTCAACAGTAACGATTGTATTAATCTTAATTGTAATATTGGAGGAAATTTCCTCCAATATAATTAATTAGGCGTTTGGGTGCTTTGACTATAATTCAGCCTGCTTTTCTTTCTAGGTTTGCTTCTATAGCATTTGTCCATCAAAGAACAATCTGGAAGGCAACAGTTGTTTAATTTTGGAGCTGTTTTCTCTCCTAGATGTTGTCCCTAGCTAACAACTGCAGGGTGAGCAGGTCAGAACTCAGCACTTTTGGATTGACAGTCATGGACAGTAACTCATTTCCTACCCTTCAATTTTTTTTTTAGCAGGGCAGGAAAGATAACTCCCTGAAAGATAACTGAGTTTCCCTACTTGTCTGTCTCTGTGGTAGTTGAGCTCCCCCTGGCTATAGAGTCCCCCATCCCATCATCAGGGCTGTACTGCAGGGAGTTGCCTTTCTTGATGGCCATAGGTGGCGTCTCTGTCCCCACAGCCCTGTCCATGGTGCTAGACGTGATGGACAGCTCCATGCTGGTCTTCCTGTCCGAGGAGGGCGTGGTCCGAGCGGTGGAGCTCTCCTCAACTACTGTTTCTGGCCTGGATAACTCTTCAGACTCAAAAGATACAAAAACCTGAAATAGAAAATAACCACTGTGTCCTGAGGTTATTCCACAGGCCTATACCTCTATCATCACTACTGGAAATTTACCGAACATCATAAAAAACACAATTTTGATTTGTTAATTTTTGTAAATATTTTCAATTTTTTAAAGTTGAATTTTATATTTAACCTCTGTTGAATACAAGAGATGTTAACTATAAAAATTATTTAAGAAATAATGTAAATGACTTTATTACTTTTCAAGAAACAATAAAAATATTAATTTACTAATTCTCTAAACACTTATACTTGTTTACTGTAAATAATACCCAAAATATCTACAATTTAAAAAAAATTCCAATTCCAGATAAAATTGAAAGTAAAACTATCTAGCTAGAAGAAAGCTAGTTTTGAAACATGTAATAAGTGCATTAGAGTGATTTAAGAGAGAGGCAAGAGTTAGCTTCTCCTAGACAATGTTGAATCACTTTACTAGACAACTAAAAATAGCGTGCTCAGCAGTATTATAGTTCAACTAGTCATGTGATATTATGTCAACACTTGTGAAGATCAAATTATACAAACCTACTTGAAATGTTCCCACAGTTAACAGTTAAGTTTTAGTTTGAATTAAGAGTTAAATCTCATTTCCAAATATTTTTTTTTTACTTATGTTAATTTTCTTTCAAAATATAGCCTACTTTAACATACAAATAACACAGATTTTGCTATTTGAAGTGACGAAAACAAATGTTTACAGCTAATAAAAAACAACTTCTGTCTCTAAACAAACGTTGAGCTGTGTGAGAGAGGGCAGGAGCTCCTGCAAAGTGCGGCACACCGTCCACAACACCGGACACACACATACACATACGTCCATGCCTTAAGGAATCTTATAATCTGCAAGGGTGACCACACCTCGTTGCTCAGGCTGGAGTCCTTGCGCACCAGAGGGATGTGGCCGTCCGTGCTCTCCTGGGACAGCTTGGCCAGGTTGGCCGCAATGACCTCCTTGTCCCGCTGGCGGATGATGGCCTCGATGGCCAGCCATTCTGACATGACCTTTTCGTACTCTGTCCTGACAGCTTGCTCCAGGCCTTCTCTCTCATCTGGGGAGCTGCCAAATTTGTAGTGGCCTAGTAGGTATGGCCAAACCTAGACAAGACAACTACATTTAGAGTGGCCAGGTACCAAAAAAAAAGCCAAACTCATCAAGTTAAAACCCAGAAGAAATTAAAACTTAAAAAATGAGCACATTCAAACCGTTCAATACCCGTAACAAAACAAAACCAGGAAATCCCAAAATAATAAAAGCCTTGACCTTTCACCTTAAATATATTGACCTTTCACCAACAAACACCAAAAATGTAAAAAAAAATTGTAAAAAAAAATGCACCTGTTTCCTGAGCTCGTGGGCCACACCTCCAAAATACACCAGCCTGTAGACTTCTGCTGAGTTAGTCACCTACAACAGGGAAATACAACAATGGAGCTTCATTAAATCAACACATCTCATACAAGTTGTCTCATACAAGTTGTCTCATACAAGTTGTCTCATACAAGTTGTCTCATACGAGTTTATATCAATGGCCTTGAGGTTAAAGTAATTTTTTGCTCAGAGGCCATATAGGTTAAATGTCAAGTTATTAAACCAAAAGAATATTTTTGTGGTCTACAGGTGATTGGTTTTTTTTTAGTGGACCATAATTTTTTGTTGCTTTGGTAAATGGATCTTAAGAACTAAAAAGTCAGTATTTTAGTAAACAATTGATGGTGTTCCAGTTGTTGATTTACAAAGATCCTGGTACTTACAATGTCAGTAAAGTGTCGAATACAATGTCAGTAAAGTACTTACAATGTCAGAATAGAGCTAGGTACTTACAATGTCAGTATAAAGTCGGATACAATGTCAGTAAAGTACTTACAATGTCATTAAAGTACTTACAATGTCAGTAAAGTACTTACAATGTCAGTAAAGTACTTACAATGTCAGTAAAGTACTTACAATGTCAGTAAAGTACTTACAATGTCAGTAAAGTACTTACAATGTCATTAAAGTACTTACAATGTCAGTAAAGTACTTACAATGTCGTAAAGTACTTACAATGTCAGTAAAGTACTTACAATGTCAGTAAAGTACTTACGATGTCAGTAAAGTACTTACAATGTCAGTAAAGTACTTACAATGTCAGTAAAGTACTTACAATGTCAGTAAAGTACTTACAATGTCAGTAAAGTACTTACGATGTCAGTAAAGTACTTACGATGTCAGTAAAGTACTTACAATGTCAGTAAAGTACTTAGAATGTCAGTAAAGTACTTACAATGTCAGTAAAGTACTTACGATGTCAGTAAAGTACTTACGATGTCAGTAAAGTACTTACGATGTCAGTAAAGTACTTACAATGTCAGTAAAGTACTTACAATGTCAGTAAAGTACTTACAATGTCAGTAAAGTACTTACAATGTCAGTAAAGTACTTACAATGTCAGTAAAGTACTTACAATGTCAGTAAAGTACTTACAATGCCATCCTGACACAGCTGACCCCACATCTCCGAGGTCAGACCTTTCTTGGCGTCCACCGGGCTGTCTTCAGACACGACACTGTGATAGACCAAACCTGACAGGTGTGTCCTCACTGTCTTCAGGTGTCTGCAGTGTGCCAGCCCTGCGGCAGGTACAGACAGCAGGTTCAACTTTGTTCACATATGTTAATAGGGGGCAGGTGTATGGGGCATGGGGCAGGTGTATGGGACATGGGGCAGGTGTATGGGACATGGGGCAGGTGTATGGGACATGGGGCAGGTGTATGGGACATGGGGCAGGTGTATGGGACATGGGGCAGGTGTATGGGACATGGGGCAGGTGTATGGGACATGGGGCAGGTGTATGGGACATAGGGCAGGTGTATGGGACATGGGGCAGGTGTATGGGACATGGGGCAGGTGTATGGGACATGGGGCAGGTGTATGGGACATGGGGCAGGTGTATGGGACATAGGGACATAGGTGTATGGGACATACGACAGGTGTATGGGACATGGGGCAGGTGTATGGGACATGGAGCAGGTGTATGGGACATAGGGACATAGGTGTATGGGACATACGACAGGTGTATGGGACATGGGGCAGGTGTATGGGACATGGAGCAGGTGTATGGGACATAGGGACATAGGTGTATGGGACATGGAGCAGGTGTATGGGACATGGGGCAGGTGTATGGGACATGGAGCAGGTGTATGGGACATAGGGACATAGGTGTATGGGACATAGGGCAGGTGTATGGGACATGGAGCAGGTGTATGGGACATAGGGCAGGTGTATGGGACATACGGCAGGTGTATGGGACATAGGGCAAGTGTATGGGACATGGAGCAGATGTAGGGACATAGGGCAGGTGTATGGGACATACGGCAGGTGTATGGGACATAGGGCAAGTGTATGGGACATGGAGCAGGTGTATGGGACATAAAGAATTCTCTTTAGACCTAGCAATCCATTGGGCAGATGAAGGAGAGTTCATATGTTTCTTGACCTCGGGAGTGAAAGTGTGGTCAGCACTATGCCCAGCCGCCTTTACTTTCCCTAACATAAGTTAGGTACCCATCAGACTTGGACCCGGATTCTGGTTGGCAGAAGGGCTCTACCACTTAGGCCACGCCTTCCCACTGTATGTGATATGGTTCAGGTGTATGTGGCATGTGATATTGTATGGGACAGGTGTATGTGAAGTGAGACATGTGTTTGTTGCATGTGAACATGACATGGTATACAGAAAAATATAGCACTGTTTAAGTGACATTTTTCAGGATGGTGTGGTCGAATGGTAGAACGTTCGACTGCTAACTCAAAAGTTTCGAGTTCAGATGCCTGGCTCATCTAAGAATAGTCTGGGAATAGTCTGGGAATAGTGCTAACCACACTATCCAATGGACAGTAAGTAAGATTACTTTTAAGTTAGTACTTTTAAGTGACAATCTGGACACATAAATGTCTTGATGGAATTTTTACATTCTAGAAACTTAAAGTGATTGCATTTACATTCATCTTTCTTATAAACAAGTTCTTCATCTAATTCATAACATGGTGAACAAAAAGTCAGGTGAACAAAATGTCAGGTGAACAAAATTTTAGGTAGTAAATGCTTACATCCATAGAATGCCCGCGAGATAATCTGTTTGGTCATGATGTCACACAGCTGTTTGATGTGGTTTCTGATGACAACAGCAGATTACACATCATCATGACATCAATACTCAACTTATGGAAAAAAAAAAACTTTTAAAACACATCTTAATTACTTTAATTAAATTAAAATGTTTTTGATGTGTGTTGTAACATTTGTTGAGAAGCTCAAAGTAAGAAAAATAGATAAAAATATTTTGCTAATTTTTAAAAATGTTCAGTTTTATTATGATTTTTTTAAACATTTCCATTTTAATAATGTAATTATTAATTATTCAATTAGGCTTGGCTAATTATTCCAGAGATCGTAAACAGATGAAATAATGGCTAGATATTTCAGAATTTTTGTGGTAAAATAAATTTTTGGACAAATAAATAAAACATTAAAAATATTCTTTTCCAATGAAAATTTGATATAATTAAAACATCAGGAATGAGTTTATTTTTCATGCTGATAATTTCAAAAATTCAATCAAATAAGTAAAGAGCTTACTTATAAAAGGATAAATATTCAATAATTACAGTATTGTAAATATTACTGTATATAAGTCAAGCAAGTGATTAAAAATATAAATAAAAATTAGATAAAATTAATGATAATAATTATACATCAAAGCTCACAACAATAAAGCCTTTATAACATCTAACCATTATATATATATATATATATATATAACCTGCTAATGTTATATGTAAACAGAGCCTTTTAACTCTGCTCCCATTAACTACTCTTAAGCATTTTGTCTATCATGATTCTTAATTAATTAATGGATAAAACCTTCCAACTCCACAAAAATGTTCCATTATATTTATATTACAAAACAACATTATAAAATGCCATGCTAAAGATTTAACTTTCAATAAATAAGTAATTCATGCAAGTCTGCTGGTCTTGTACTGGATGTGGGGCGGACAAATGGTCAGGATATGGGGTGGTGAAAACAAATTAAATGCTGTCATTTGGACCACCAGTTTAACTTATTGTGGCTCATGTTCTGTGTTGTTCATTTTATAACTGCCATTACAAAGTTCCATTATTTATCTATTGATGACGTACATATGTATATGTGTGATATGATGGTAGCAAGAACCAAATACATCATGACAACACTTACGTACACATAGCCACTGTACCTATGGTTGGCATCATTGGAAGCTTGTACGAGGCAGCAGTTGTTCTGCTCCTCTTGTGTACGGGCATACGACTGCATTGACGACTGCATCGACGAGCGGACTAACGGGCTGGGAGGCAGCTGGCGCCTAACTGGCCATGGCGACTTCTCTGGTGATGCCCTGGGGGACCATGGAGCTTTGGGGTCAAGCATTTCAGGGGCTGGAAGGTAAATAGTGACTTAACGTTAAAAGTTTCAGGAATTGGAAGGTAAATAGTGACTCAAACATTAAAAGTTTCAGGAATTGGAAGGTAAATATTGACTCAAACATTAAAAGTTTCAGGAAATAGGAAGGTAAGTATTGACTCAAAGATTAAAAGTTTCAGGAATTGGAAGGTAAATAGTGACTCAAAGATTAAAAGTTTCAGGAATTGGAAGGTAAATAGTGACTCAAACATTAAAAGTTTCAGGAATTGGAAGGTAAATAGTGACTCAAAGATTAAAAGTTTCAGGAATTGGGTAAATATTGACTCAAACATTAAAAGTTTCAGGAATTGGAAGGTAAATAGTGACTCAAAGATTAAAAGTTTCAGGAATTGGAAGGTAAATATTGACTCAAACATTAAAAGTTTCAGGAATTGGAAGGTAAATAGTGACTCAAACAGTCCTACTGAGGCAAGATTATCAAGTCTTACTGAGACAAGATGTATTGATCACGTACAAGATGTATTGATCACGTACAAGATGTATTGATCAAGTACAAGATGTATTGATCAAGTACAAGATGTATTGATTGATTTATTGCACTGAGACAAGGATGTATTGATTAAGTCTTACTGAGCATGTCCGGTTTGAAAGACGCCACAATCCTGAAGACGTAGTCGGCCGCCTCCTCCTCATCCATGCTGGTGGTGCTACCACTGCTGGTGCTGCTACTGCTGGACAGGCGACTACCTTTCCGCCGAAGTTTGGGGAAAACTTTACCTGAGAGAGATGGAAAAGAAAATCAGTGCATTATCCCAATTTAAAATTATTCCATCATCAGAAAGAAAGATAAAACTCTGCTAATGTTAACAATAGTTGAAAGATTTTTAATGATCAAGAATAGCAGAGAATCATTTAACCAAAACAGACATCATCATGTGACTGCTATAAATAGCATACAGACAAGTTGGACAGATTGGGGCAAGGAGAGAGCTAGCTAAACTAAAACTTTGACAAACAATTTTCACAGAAACACCAACTGACATGTAACTATCAATTTAATATTTCAGTAATCTTTCAATTATTTTACATTCCTAGGGTTGTGGGAAATTTTAAAAATTAAAAAACTTTTTATGTTTTCTTTTTTTTTCCAAGTTTTTCTTTTTTTTTTTGTAAATTGAAACAGCTTTAAAATGTTCAGTATTAAATAGTGATTAGTAATGTTTTCAGAAAAAACAATTATCTTATAGTGTTGAGGGGAGGGTGAAGGCTAAGGGGTAAATTCATTTTGGAAGGTGGATGTGACTATTCAAGACATTGTGGTCCAAAAAAGAAATTTAAAAAAAAAGTGTAATGACCTTAATGACCTGATCCAGATAAAACAAAGGAAAAATAGCTAACAGAGTTACAACTTCACACAAGTCACAAAGGTCAAGGTTAGTAAGGGAGAAAAAGAAGCTCACTTGCCCGTGCTTTTACCTTTGCCCTTTTGTGACCAAAGGGGCGGGTCCAGCTGACCAGTGGGCTGCAGGCCGGTCTCCAGGCAGGAGAGGAAGGACAGCAGGTGTCCACCTTTAGGGAAGTGTATGGGGGGACGCTGTACGCCATCCTGGCCGACCAACACCACTGTACCTCGGCAGTCAGCTGGGGAAGTGGAAACAAACACACTGTCAGGTGAACGTAAACATATGGCAAAACACATATATACAAACATACCATCAGGTGAACATGCACATTTGGCAAAACACATATAAACATACTGTCAGGTGAACATAAACATATGGCAAAACACATATCAACATACTGTCAGGTGAACGTAAACATATGGCAAAACACATATATACAAATATACTGTCAGGTGAACATAAACATATGGCAAAACACATATCAACATACTGTCAGGTGAACGTAAACATATGGCAAAACACATATATACAAATATACTGTCAGGTGAACATAAACATATGGCAAAACACATATAAACATACTGTCAGGTGAACATAAACATATGGCAAAACACATATACAAACATACCAACAGGTGAACATAAAGATTTGGCAAAACACATATACAAACATATCATCAGGTAAACATAAAAATATGGCATAGCACATATAAACATACCATCAGGTGCATATAGAAATATGGTAAATCGCACATATCCAAACATACCATCAGGTACACATACAAATGTAGTAAACGCACACATACAAACATACCAAAAGGAACACATAAATAAACCACAATGTAATCATGCAAATATGCAGAAAATTATTTGATATATAACATGGCTTTAGTAAAATATGAATATGTTCTTTAAACAATTTCTAAAACCCAGTTTTTGTATACTGTTATAATGGCATGAATAGAAATCAATTCAAAATGATGTTTAGAAAGAGACGACATATAAAATAAACAAATGAACCAAAAAAAAACAACTAATTTAGTAGGTGACATACCAACGTATGTGTAGTCAGAGATAAACAAAGAACACCATAAACACTTACGCTGTTGGTGGCAGTGAATGTAAACAATGTCCTCCATATAGATGGTCATAGCAAACTCCCAATACTGGCTGTAGAAAATTAATGAAATAAATGACTATTAATTGATCAGAGGGAAGAAAATAATGACACTAGTATACCAATGGCCAAAAGGTTGCCACAAAACCCATTAATTTGCTAAATAAACAAGACTATTAGCTAAAATTAAATAATAAATGGTTAAAACAGTGGACATTAGTAAACTTATGATATTAATTTTGTTTTGTTTTTTAATTTAAAAAAAAAAACGTACCTTCGGTCAGTTTCATCAGCAGAATCTTCACAACATCCATTCATTAACTGGTTGGGTGTCCACATGATGATCAGGCCATCTGAGCTTTGGTGGAGCGACAGGTAACCAGCTAGGGCCTCTTTGTCTTCCTTCTGACCAGATGAGAGGACAGTTAACTAAGGTAGGACATAGGACAGTCATGTTTGGTAGGACAGAGGACAGTCATGTAGAGTAGGACATGGAGCAGTCAAGTAGCATAGGAAATAGAAAATACTCTACTTCATCTGCTCCACAGACTATTGCATAGAGTGAGAGAACCTTTTGTCTACAACAAAACCAAAGCTTTGTGTAAGAACCAACAGCACCACAATCTGGTGTTGGCTCCATACCAGACTCACAATAATGCAACAGTAATGGCATATTTTAAAAACAGGGGTGTTAGGCTACTGTTGTAGTACAACATGCTAATGTCAATGATAACACCTAACCCTAACCACAATCCTACCATAAACATTCCCTAACTTTGACCCCAACATTAAACCTGATATTACAATACTACTAAAATATAAAAGCCTGTTATTAAAAAGTTTTTATTTTACTTGCTTCTTCTGTCTAGATCAAAACTAGCAAGTGAAATTTCAACCACTTTTAACTGACCAATTTATCACAAGCTCATCACGTGGGTCAAGAACCAATGACAATGCAATATGACATCAAATTTGAATTGTTTGGATGCTTAGTTATTTTTTAAAGCATAAACTAATATTACCCATATCAAGTACAATTTACCCCTCTATTATACCCATGTGTGTTAGTACAGTAGCTTACCGGCTGGACCAAGACGTTGTTTTTGCCGTAGAGCAGGGTCAGCTTGGAGTTTTGGTGCAAGGACTCCACGTACTCCCTGGCTGACATATGAAATGTTTTGGGGTCTCTCGGCTCCTCTGTTGCATTACTGGCGTCACGACGAACCTGACACACGGGAAGTGACATTAGGACCAATCAAAACATGTTTTTGGTTATAATGCATTATTTTATTACTCTGTTTTATTTACATACGGTTTATGTTTTTTGTTTGCTAATTGTTTTTAATTTACCACCTGATAATATTATGAATTTCTTTTTCCATGCCAGAAAATGCTTAACCCATACCTGCCACTCCTATTAATCACCCTATGAATGAGCCAACCCAAAACATCTACCTGCAACCCCTGTCGTTTGGGTGAACCTGGTGATGTGAACACATGGCTGCCGCTGGAATGAATCCTGTGCCTTTGGACCAGTTCATCTGCAGGGGGGTCAGTCCAGAAGTGGTCAGATGTCTTCATCTTTGTGTAGTCCAGAGCACAGGGTCCAACTGATGACCAGACAAAAAAGTTTCATGTAAGCTATTCTAGGATTCTAGCATTAAAAACATACCTAGCAGTGAAATATACCTAGACATTAAAACATACCTAACAGTGAAAACATACCTAGCAGTATAAACATACCTAGCACTAAAAATAAAACCTAGACATACCTAGCAGGATAAACATACCTAGCACTAAAAATATACCTAGACATAAAAACATACCTATAACTAAAAACATACTTAGCAGTATAAACATACCTAGAACTAAAAATATACCTAGACATAAAAACATACCTATCACTAGAAACATACTTAGCAGTATAAACATACCTAGCACTAAAAATATACCTAGACGTAAAAACATACCTAGCAGTGATGCCAAGATAGGGCCATCCACAGGATCTGCCAGCAAAGCATCTTGCTCATAATATTTACTGTAAAATATTTGTATACAAATTTACAAAACACCAATAAAATAACAAAAAAATACAACACAAAATTTAGTAAAAAAATTTCAAACATTTTAAAGAAAAGTGGGAATGTTTCCTGTTTGAAAATGTGAACAGGTTTGAATGACATACCTGCTATTTTGAACCAAGTAGTCCAAGATTTTAGCCAACTTTTTTTCAAAAATTGCCAAACGAAGCCACAAATATTTTGGAGTTGTCACAGAAGTGGCAGTTTTTTTGGTTTGATTTTTATTGTTGTCCAGAGATTTTCTGAGTAAAACAAGTAAAACAGAAATAAGTCATTGAAAGTTTTAAAAATAAACATTTTGTAACTGTAAAACTAGGATGAGGGTCAAGGTGATACCTGGAGCCAGACAGTTCTGTAGAACTCGGAGTTTCAAGGTCAGAGGCCAGTCTGGAGACTTCTGCTGCTGGCTCGAAGGTTTTGGAGACTTTCTGCAGGAGGGCCATTGTGGAGCCATATTTGAAGAGGCCCAGCGCTCTTTTTTTCAAGCAGTGCAACAAGCAGGCCTCGACAGCAGCTGGGGGTAGAGGAGGAGTTGTTACTTCAGGGGTGGGGCAGGGGGGGGTACGTTGCAACAGTAGGGGTGTTTCTGGTGGGGGAGAGAAGAGATGGTTAGAGTATATATTTTCTATATAAACCATATAGTTTCTATCTCACCCCAGGGGTACTGTCCCCATCCCCAAAAAGAGATAACTGAAAGAAACTGTGACAAATGTGGCAGGCAGGAAGGGGGAGGAGGTAGTTGCTACAGGGGGGGAGGGGGTAAAACAACATCTGTCTACTTGTAAGCAAATCCCCAAACAAAAAAAAAAAGCCACCGTTGCCCCACCACTGACACAAAAATGGTAAATACAACCACCACCCCACCCACCCTTCCGCTTGTCAGCTCAACTCACCACCATAACACCATTTATCCCAACACGAAAGCCCGCTATACCTAGCTAGAACTGTTCTAGATCTAGGAAGATATCAGGGAACACAACTCTAGGAAGAGATCAGGGAACACAACTCTAGGAAGAGATCAGGGAACACAACTCTAGGAAGAGTTCAGGGAACACAACTCTAGGAAGAGTTCAGGGAACACAACTCTAGGAAGAGATCAGGGAACACAGCTCTAGGAAGAGATCAGGGAACACAACTCTAGGAAGAGTTCAGGGAACACAACTCTAGGAAGAGTTCAGGGAACACAACTCTAGGAAGAGATCAGGGAACACAACTCTAGGAAGAGATCAGGGAACACAACTCTAGGAAGAGATCAGGGAACACAACTCTAGGAAGAGTTCAGGGAACACAACTCTAGGAAGAGATCAGGGAACACAACTCTAGGAAGAGTTCAGGGAACAAAACTCTAGGAAGAGATCAGGGAACACAACTCTAGGAAGAGTTCAGGGAACACAACTCTAGGAAGAGATCAGGGAACACAACTCTAGGAAGAGTTCAGGGAACACAACTCTAGGAAGAGTTCAGGGAACACAACTCTAGGGAGAGTTCAGGGAACACAACTCTAGGAAGAGTTCAGGGAACACAACTCTAGGAAGAGTTCAGGGAACACAACTCTAGGAAGAGTTCAGGGAACACAACTCTAGGAAGAGTTCAGGGAACACAACTCTAGGAAGAGTTCAGGGAACACAACTCTAGGAAGAGATCAGGGAACACAACTCTAGGAAGAGTTCAGGGAACACAACTCTAGGAAGAGTTCAGGGAACACAACTCTAGGAAGAGTTCAGGGAACACAACTCTAGGAAGAGTTCAGGGAACACAACTCTAGGAAGAGTTCAGGGAACACAACTCTAGGAAGAGTTCAGGGAACACAACTCTAGGAAGAGTTCAGGGAACACAACTCTAGGAAGAGTTCAGGGAACACAACTCTAGGAAGAGTTCAGGGAACACAACTCTAGGAAGAGATCAGGGAACACAACTCTAGGAAGAGTTCAGGGAACACAACTCTAGGAAGAGATCAGGGAACACAACTCTAGGAAGAGATCAGGGAACACAACTCGTCTCTTCAAGTACACAAGTAGCTCCAGCCATCTGTTGCTGATGACGCCGTGCACTGTACTACAGCCGTGCTGAGATCAGCCGGAACACGGAACTGCCGGTAAACAACCGGCGCCGGCCATGGCTTCATCTTGATATAGCTATCAGGTGACACGGACAGAACAGTCCGGTTTGTTTTGATCGCGGAGACGGGCCGGCTAATGTTGGCCGATTCGCCGGTTGATGAGTCGTGCCGGCTAAAATTCGCCGGAATTGACATGCCGGTCCATATATTTACATGCCGGTTGTTTGTCAACTTGCCGGCTGATAAGAAGACGTTCCGGCAAATCGGCCGCTGAGACGTACCGGCTAATGCTGAGCGACTTGCCGGAATTGATATGCCGGTCGGTATTTGCGTTCGTGTGAAACATACCTTACAAAAAACGAGAGGGGGAGGGAGGGGCTAATCGATCTGTTAAAACCAGCCGCCCGAATCAATAGCGGGGTGACATCGATCTCCCAGAGTCCTTTAACCTAGATGCTCACCCCCCCCCCCCCCCCCACACGCTAAAGATTAGGTATTGATGTTCTTCCATGAGAACTAGCAACAAACAGATTTTAGGCACACGGCTGTATGTGGTCCATATGTGAGGTGACACAAGGCTGTATGTGGTCCATATGTGTGGTGACACAAGGCTGTATGTGGTCCATATGTGTGGTGACACAAGACTGTATGTGGTCCATATGTGTGGTGACACAAGGCTGTATGTGGACCATATGTGTGGTGACACAAGGCTGTATGTGGTCCATATGTGTGGTGACACAAGGCTGTATGTGGTCCATATGTGTGGTGACACAAGGCTGTATGTGGTCCATATGTGTGGTGACACAAGGCTGTATTTGGTCCATATGTGGTGACACGTGGTCCATATGTGTGGTGACACAAGGCTGTATGTGGTCCATATGTGGTGACACGTGGTCCATATGTGTGGTGACACAAGGCTGTATGTGGTCCATATGTGTGGTGACACAAGGCTGTATGTGGTCCATATGTGTGGTGACACAAGGCTGTATGTGGTCCATATGTGGTGACACGTGGTCCATATGTGTGGTGACACAAGGCTGTATGTGGTCCATATGTGGTGACACGTGGTCCATATGTGTGGTGACACAAGGCTGTATGTGGTCCATATGTGGTGACACGTGGTCCATATGTGTGGTGACACAAGGCTGTATGTGGTCCATATGTGGTGACACGTGGTCCATATGTGTGGTGACACAAGGCTGTATGTGGTCCATATGTGTGTTGACACAAGGTTGTATGTGGTCTATGTGTGTGGTGACACAAGGCTGTATGTGGTCTTTATGTGTGGTGACACAAGACTGTATGTGGTCCATATGTGTGGTGACACAAGGCTGTATGTAGACCATATGTGTGGTGACACAAGGCTGTATGTGGTCCATATGTGTTGACACGTGGTCCATATGTGTGGTGACACAAGGCTGTATGTGGTCCATATGTGGTGATACGTGGTCCATATGTGTGGTGACACAAGGCTGTATGTGGTCCATATGTGTGGTGACACAAGGCTGTATGTGGTCCATATGTGTGGTGACACAAGGCTGTATGTGGTCCATATGTGGTGACACGTGGTCCATATGTGTGGTGACACAAGGCTGTATGTGGTCCATATGTGGTGACACGTGGTCCATATGTGTGGTGACACAAGGCTGTATGTGGTCCATATGTGTGGTGACACAAGGCTGTATGTGGTCCATATGTGGTGACACGTGGTCCATATGTGTGGTGACACAAGGCTGTATGTGGTCCATATGTGGTGATACGTGGTCCATATGTGAGGTGACACAAGGTTGTATGTGGTCCATGTGTGTGGTGACACAAGGCTGTATGTGGTCCATATGTGTGGTGACACAAGGCTGTATGTGGTCTTTATGTGTGGTGACATAAGGCTGTATGTGGTCTGTATGTGGTCCTTATGTGTGGTCACACAAGGCTGTATGTGGTCCTTATGTGTGGTGACATAAGGCTGTATGTGGTCTGTATGTGGTCCATATGTGTGGTGACACAAGGCTGTATGTAGACCATATGTGTGGTGACACAAGGCTGTATGTGGTCCATATGTGGTGACATGGGGTCCATATGTGTGGTGACACAAGGCTGTATGTGGTCCATATGTGGTGACACGTGGTCCATATGTGTGGTGACACAAGGCTGTATGTGGTCCATATGTGTGGTGACACAAGGCTGTATGTGGTCCATATGTGAGGTGACACAAGGCTGTATGTGGTCCATATGTGTGGTGACACAAGGCTGTATGTGGTCCATATGTGTGGTGACACAAGGCTATATGTGGTCCATATGTGGTGTGGTGACATAGGCTGTATGTGGTCCATATGTGTGGTGACACAAGGCTGTATGTGGACCATATGTGTGGTGACACAAGGCTGTATGTGGTGACACAAGGCTGTATTTGGTCTGTATGTGGTCCATATGTGAGGTGACACAAGGCTATATGTGGTCCATATGTGTGGTGACACAAGGCTGTATGTGGTCCTTATGTGAGGTGACACAGGTTGTATGTGGTCCATATGTGTGGTGACACAAGGCTGTATGTGGTCCATATGTGTGTTGACACAAGGTTGTATGTGGTCTATGTGTGTGGTGACACAAGGCTGTATGTGGTCTTTATGTGTGGTGACACAAGACTGTATGTGGTCCATATGTGTGGTGACACAAGGCTGTATGTAGACCATATGTGTGGTGACACAAGGCTGTATGTGGTCCATATGTGTTGACACGTGGTCCATATGTGTGGTGACACAAGGCTGTATGTGGTCCATATGTGGTGATACGTGGTCCATATGTGTGGTGACACAAGGCTGTATGTGGTCCATATGTGTGGTGACACAAGGCTGTATGTGGTCCATATGTGTGGTGACACAAGGCTGTATGTGGTCCATATGTGGTGACACGTGGTCCATATGTGTGGTGACACAAGGCTGTATGTGGTCCATATGTGGTGACACGTGGTCCATATGTGTGGTGACACAAGGCTGTATGTGGTCCATATGTGTGGTGACACAAGGCTGTATGTGGTCCATATGTGGTGACACGTGGTCCATATGTGTGGTGACACAAGGCTGTATGTGGTCCATATGTGGTGATACGTGGTCCATATGTGAGGTGACACAAGGTTGTATGTGGTCCATGTGTGTGGTGACACAAGGCTGTATGTGGTCCATATGTGTGGTGACACAAGGCTGTATGTGGTCTTTATGTGTGGTGACATAAGGCTGTATGTGGTCTGTATGTGGTCCTTATGTGTGGTGACACAAGGCTGTATGTGGTCCTTATGTGTGGTGACATAAGGCTGTATGTGGTCTGTATGTGGTCCATATGTGTGGTGACACAAGGCTGTATGTAGACCATATGTGTGGTGACACAAGGCTGTATGTGGTCCATATGTGGTGACACGTGGTCCATATGTGTGGTGACACAAGGCTGTATGTGGTCCATAT